GGCAAAGGGAAATCAAGGGCAAAGGGAAATCAAGGGCAAAGGGAAATCAAGGGCAAAAGGAAATCAAGGACAAAAGCAAAAACATACAACACTCGGCATTCGCTGGTCGTCACCGACCCAACTACTACTCGAGCCCTTGTTGGTTTGTCTAGGGGAGAGCGGACGGGATCCCGAATTCTCCAACAGGTATGGTCGTATGTGACAGTCAGATGGCAAATGCTGGATTATCATTTCAAAGTCAGGTTTGGTGATCGGAGTGAAGGAAAGCCTGCAGTGTTGCTATGCGGAGCATTGGAGACTTCGGTTCCCCAACTCGATAGTTCAAACCGTCAAGCTAGGGCTCCGGACCAAAATGAGTGCCAGCACCGTGGCGTCCTCATAGTAACCCCCCGGGTCAATCACGTCCCCCGTCAGCAGTCCAACCGAGATATTCTTCTGCTTCAAGTTTCGCCCCGCGAAAATAACCTCATCCGCTTGCCCCAGCTCCTTGCCCTCCTTAACCAGCCGCGACGTCTCCAGCGGGAGGTAATACGTCGCCGTACGCGCCTTGCCCAGCATCATCATCCCCTCTTCGTCGGCATCCAGCCTACTACCGGCCCGCGGACCGAGCACGATAATCCAGGCAAACGACTCATCACCTCCTCGGTCTCATCCTCGGGATCAAAATCACCGCCATGTACTCGGCTACTATGCCTCGCAGCGCTAAGAGTGGCCCGCTGTTGCCCCGAGCGGGAGGACATGAGATGCTCCTTGCGGGCGTGACGGTGCCCCTGTCTTCCGTTACCGCGCTGGCACTCAATGATTCGGGAGACGTAGTACCAGTGGCTGGAGTTGACGACAGCACTGACGCCCGATGAGCTGCGATTTGCCGCATCCAACATCTTTTCAAGCTTCGACATGGGCAGTTTGGCAAACCGACAGCGAGTGAAACTACCTACCATTTCGCCATCGGCCGTGCATACAACACCGGACATGGCACTCGTTGACCGTCTTATCACCAGCTTCGGCGGCGGTAGCACCTTGTCAATGCTCTGACCTGCCGCTGCTACTGCAGATGCTTGTTGCTGCAGCATGGTCTGCTGCATCTCCATGACCCGGTCGACGTTAGGTAGCCAGTGCCGGGTTGGTTCGCACTGGTACAGTGGGAGTTAGACCGGTCTGCACTCGAGATCGGCATTGCCGTGTGCCATCAGTCGCCAGTCTGGCAGTGGCTCGCGGAGAGCCCGTTTGCTCAGAGCCGGGATGTTACCCCAGCAATGGTGTTGACTGCCTTCGGGCTGCCCTGTGGCTCTATGGCGAGGAAGAGAGCGTCTCCGGTTGGCGTACCGCTTTGGTCGCCATGGGAACCCCGAGGGTGTTCACCACCCCCAGCAGACCTGGGGACCGAGATCACCAAGGCATTTGCCTGCCGCGAGGCCAACCAGGCAGATGAACTACGAGTTCGAGGAGACCGAGCTCTTCTTCTACATCGTCGAGTCCCTGTCCTATGTAAGTTCGAGCGGCCCCTTCTCTACATGTCTTCCCACCAGCAGATTGACCACGTGTGTCCAATAAGGAGGACGTCCTCCGCATGGTGCGGCTTTCGAACCGCATCCGCGCCGCCTGTAAGCAGCGCGCCCACGAGATCGCCCAAGAGCGCGAGTGGCGCGACGACTATGAGCACCACAACCAGCGCCATTACCACCGCCACCGCTACTCGGTCGACTACGACGACGGCCCCGTCGTCGAGCGTGAGATCCAGTACGAGAGCCGTCATCCCGGGAGGTGTTACCGTCACTAGACGTTTCGACAATACCTGCGCTGATTTGGATATCGAGTTTAATGCGCGATATGTTTCTGGGTATGGCCTGACGTCGTGATGTTAAGCCAGTGAGCAAATCAGCTAGCGAGCGTATAGATCTGATGGCAGTTAGACGGGTTAATCTGGAGCCTTCCCTTTTAGATAGCGATACGGGGCCAGACAGACAGGGAGATGGATGAATGATGGATTGACGACGTGATTGATCGTTTGTCTGCATTTGCTGTTTGTTGTAACGTTATGTTGCATTTTCTTGCTTTTCATCTTTGGATTTTCAATGACCTCATGACATGGAATGATCTCCTTTGACTATGTTGTCGCTTCCTTGGCATGTTCATGGCCAGTTTCTTGACGCAGCTGATGACTTATAATGGAAAAAAAGAGCTGTAACATTATGGAAACTGGATGGATGGAATGAATAACTCTGGATGTACTTGCGTTTCTAGTTTCTCGTATCTTTGATTTGGAGTTATGGTAACTATTCCTTACCTACTTAGACTCTTGCACTGCGAGACACATGCCTTTAGTTGGGCGGTGTAGCTTGGCTGGGCATGAAAGTTATGAAGGCTAACGTTACAATATGTTTCTAACTCAAGTTACCGTAGTAATTACCGTGATCCTGAATCCGGCAGCTTTGCATCCCGGCGGCGGCTGTGTTTGAAGGAGCACTGACCACTTCTTTATTTAAGACATCGCCTCATCTCGATAGATCCACAGGCCATCTCCAACTCCAGTCCGTGTTCGATCTAGGGCCAAGATAAGTGTTGCGTGGCGAGACCACCACTTTGAGGTGCTCCAATGGGGTATGACATGGTGGCGGCCACTTCGCCCGAGGCCTGAGTTAGAAGTAGGTGCACGCAGTGGATCCATTTGTCTGCGCGAGTGATCCGTTCCCCGTTCGGGACCACGGCCCGCCCTAAGTAGAGGTTCATGGAGGGAGCAGGTTTTTGCAAAAATGATGGATTGCCTCAGCTGATTGCTATAGTTAATACGTCTGTCTTTCCACAGTCAGGCTCCCTTAGCCGGAGCGGCATCGGCTCCGCTCGCCCTACACCGGATCGGAGTGGGCTGACCGCTGCAAACGCACTTCTCCGGCCGATTACCTCAGTACACTGAAGCGTTAGTGGCTACCGTCGCTCCATAGTCACAACGCTTTCCTCTCCTGCCAAGCCCAGCCATCCTAGCAACTAGAACCTCGATGTTCAGATCGATGTTCAGGTTTAAGATGTCACCTTATGTTGTAGAAGCCGGGGATCAACAAGACTACCTAAAATGGGCAGTGAGAACTAGGCATTGTTAGACCCTGACCTAATCGGAGACTTGGTATTGCAGTACCGCTGTAAGCCTTAGTGAGACAGCCGGCTTACCTGCAGCTTAACTCTAGACAACTTGAATCACCATCGGAGACTTTTACACCTGTATTTCCCAGAACGGAACCTGACTTCCTGATTAGGAAAAAACAAGTGTCCGACATTACAAGTCGATGGGACAGCTCAGCAAATCAACGGAAAATTGAGAGAAACGTAACTCGGAGACTTATAAGCCCAGAGCCATTTACTAGCGGCTACTATAAGCTATATGAGATGCTCTCCAATTATCATAAGAACTTCATCGGACTCAACACCTCGAATCTACGACAATATTCCGATCAAGAGATTGTGTCTTCTAGCCTTGTACGCTCTTGCTCTTACCTTCCATTCTTGCAGAAAAAGGAACCGAACAATATGGCCGCGCCCAAGATCTTCGACGCCATCATCATCGGCGGTGGCCCGGCGGGCCTGTCCGCAGCCCTAGCACTGGCGCGCGTGTGCCGCACATCCGTGTTGTTCGACTCGGGCGAGTATCGCAACCAGGGGGTCGAAGCCATGCACACCTTTCTCTCGAGGGATGGCATCCACCCGGAAGAGTTCCGCGAGGCGGCGCGGCAGCAGATCCAGGAGAAGTACTCGACCCAGGTCTCCTTCATGAAGGGCCGTGTCGTGCGCGTCAACAACAGGGAGATCCTCCCGGGGTACACTGGCTTCGAGGCCGTCGAGGCCCGCGGCCAGGCATTTCTCGGGAGGAAACTCATCCTCGCCACGGGAACCGAAGACATCTTTCCTGACATCGAGGGATTCAAAGAGAACTGGCCAGACAACATGTAAGCCCCTTTCCCCAACTTGAACCCATCATCACGATCCAGATTGACACTGACTTCTTACCACGAAGCCACAACTGCCCCTTCTGCGACGGCTACGAAACCCAGGCCCACCCCGACGGCACGGGCATCCTAACCTTCGCCAACCCGTCCTACCTTTCCTACGCACTCATGATCTTGCGCTTCAACAAAGCCAATACAACCATTTACACCGACGGCCCGGCCCCCTCAGACGAACCGACCCAATCTGCCCTGCGCATTGCCCTCGCCAACGGCATCCGCCTCGACACCCGGCGCATCCGCCGACTCGTAAGCAATCACCTCGAAAAGGGCATGAAGATTGAGTTCGAAACAGGCTCGCCGCAAAAAGTAGGCATGCTCTTCCATCGCACCGCGATGCGCGCTCGCGGCCGGGAGGCGCTGATCGAGCAATTGGGGTTGGAGGTCAAGCTCAGCGGGGACGTGGCGGCTGATAGTTTGACGTTGCAGGCGAACGGGGTTCGGGGCGTGTTTGTGGCGGGGGATGTGTGCGAGATGGCCAAGCAGGCTGTGATTGCTGCTGCGCATGGGGTCAGGGCGGCGGGGGGCGTGGTGCATCAGCTTGTTGAGGAGGAAGGGGCGGCAGTGGAGGTATAATTGGGGTCACCGGGGTGGAGGGAAAGAATTGGAGGCGGTTGGGGCGGACAGGGAATAGGAGGAGGACAAAAGTAGGGGTCCGAAAAAGAGCGGGATGATCTATAGATGAACGTAGGAGGATTTGTCTTGCACATGGAACACGATCAGTTCCGGTGATGGATGATGCTGCGTTGTGTACAAGTGAATGCATGTACCTCCAGTCACTCACGTTTGACGCGCAGATCTATGTTTTGAACGGGGACCGCCCGGTTGAAGCTGAAGATATGTACCTCATGCTGTTGAGCATGTATTTCCGACATAGGCCGGATAGCTTCAAGTGGTGATTGTCCCCCTTAGCCCGCCCGAGAAGCTCCTGAAGCCTAAACAGCCCAGCACTCCGTCTTGAATGCATAAACCCGGTTCCGCCAGTCCTCAGGCAGCGCCTTCTTGGTGTCCACGCTGTAGGAAGGCCCCTTGATGACGGTGTCGCAGTCAGGCGTATCGTACAGCGTAATCTTGCACCGGCTCGAGGGGTTGGTCTGGCTGTTGTAGGCGTAGTACGTGATCGAGTTGGCTGTGTAGCGGTACTCCTCAGGAAGGTTGTGGCACTTGCTGCCTGTGCCGCCCGGGCCTGCCTTTGTGTAGGTGAGGCCGCGGAAATCCGTGAAGCTGTGCAGGTATACGCGCCAAGCCGAAGCGTTGCCGGCCAGGGCGATCACGGCGGCGGCGGCGATGGTGGTGAGCTTCATGGTGGCGGTTGCGAATCTAAAACATTCCGCGCCAGTCAGCTTAGGCGGCTTCTTTTGATCGCGTGAGCTGTGAAACTTACTGCGACTTGGACTTCTGAACCAAATCAAATTTGAGCTGATGACTTGAGTGTTGAGATCATCCAGAACTCCGTACCAGAGGCCGCTATATATACCTTACACCGACATTGTCACTATCACATCTTGCTCCATGTTATCTCAATGCATGCAAAATCCCGTTGCCCTTCCATATTCGCTTTCCCATTTCGACCCTCTACAGCTTGAATGCGGGGCATCGCAGACCTGCGGCCAGAAGGATGAGCAACCCAGAACAGTTTTGCGCTTGTGAGGCCACACAACGCGATGATTTGGGACCACGTGGTGCATGTCATCACTCAGAGTGACAGGAGACGCCTACTTCTTAAAACCCAAATTCATCCGAAGAGAGGTAATCCATATAGCAGCTGTAGTGCTTCCAAAGCCACTGAAACCGCTTATGCATGCCCACGTGCCTGTGATTCAGACTCATGTTTAGAGGATAGATGTAAGCTCACCAACGCGCAACCGTATTTGGATACCGATGTGCCGCTCAAAGATTTAAGTTCAAGTAGGAACTTTGGGCCGTCTCGGCCCGGTCCGAAGGTTTCCCGGTCCTAGTCTTACTTTTCGCCTGATGATGGAATCAGATCTAATATGGACTCCAGATTCGCGCAAGATCCAAATAATAAGCACTAAACTCAAGTAGGCTGATTCCAGAACTCTTATTGTTCCGGGACCCCGAAAACCTGCCGAATACGGTCTTGATGTTAAGTGCCGTAGGTAGGATTGCAGATGCCCAGAGCCAGCAAGGTTAGATCGATGCAACCTCACCCGCTTCCCCCCTTTCTTGAAGTCTCTTCTTGAATGTCTCGGAGAGGAATTCAGATCGAGTGTCGAGCAGGCAGAGCATGGCATTTGCATCCTGTTCATGGGAAATTGGCCGTTACTCGCAGCAATGTAAGTCAGAAGTCGACTCGGATGTGGCGGGTGTCACGGAAGCAGTGGAAGAGCTTGGCCAGTGGCCCTATACACTGCTCCTTTTGGACGCGCTTAGAATCTGTAAGTGAGGCAATCAAGTCGAGTCTTTCCAAGATACCTGATGCGAACAAATTTCCAACACATCACAGTGCCTTACTGTGATCTTCATCGCTCATCCGCATTGTTCCAGTACACATGATCCATGATCCAAGATACCCTCGGCCACCCAATCTCTGAAATTTCCGGCTGTTGAAAGTTCTGTCTTCTCTTCAATGCCTTCCTCTTCCCACTGCTCTTTCCAGTGAACATATTCAGTTCTTCTAAATTGTCCAGAGCCTCCATCGCCCAGGCCTGGCAACTCCAGGTAGTGCTCTCGTTGTCAACCGCGTTGCTTGAAGCAGGGCAATGGCGCTCTCGTAATTGGTTGAGCTGGTGGTGCCAACCTCAGTGGAGTGAGATGGCGCGAGGAGCGCTGGTTCCTTGTCGTAGATGGGCTCCTCAACGTAGTAGCCGACGCCACCCTTGTCGTCGCCGACTTGAGGAATGACATTGCGTTTTGGGGATTCTCCAAGAAAATGGCCCAATGGTTTGGATTCCATTCATTGTAGACGTCGTAGATAGGGATATAGACGGCGGTGGGCATAGCGAGGGAGGGAAAACCTTAGACTGAGGCCTCACAAAGAATACCTGGACGATGAAGCCGGGCAACGCAATGGCGCCCGCGCCATGATCACGGCAGAAATACAAGCGAAGGTCGTCGAAGACTGAGGTACAATGATTCTACACTGCGATGGGGTTCCAAAAAAGAGACAGCTCGAGGAGTAGTGGGAATTCGTCGAGGACGATCGATGGTCAGGGTGTAGGACATTGACCCTTTCAGGACAGCTGGGAGATGGCTTGATAAAGACTTCAGGCCGTCCTTGCGGTCAACGTTGGGGCCTGACGTCTGAATTCTAATACCTGGTTCGTGCCTCAGAGATCGCCTAGCGATTCGCCCCGTCTCACCAAGGGACAGATCAAGGGGCCCATGTCCGGCGTTGCAGTCACGACACCCAGAGAGTCCAGCAACCAACTTGCCATGCCCAAGGGCTGTACCAGTGGGCACCCCAAGCCAAGTTCGAGCGCCCACATTGGCTGATATCCCGCACATGTCATTCCAGGAGGTAGGTATAAATAGGCGCCGTAGTGGAGACATACATTGGTACCTACACCATCTTACCTTTGTCGACCCATCTTCATTCCCCAGGTATCAATCTCGAACTACCTAACCGCCAGCCTCATGCAAGCCAGCGGTCGAGGAGTGAGTCGATGGCCAATTCGATTGGCCATGTCCCTATTGCGTCGGTTGGGAGGTACTGAAACCAGTCGGACAACTCGCCCCGCGTATTGATTGTGGACAGGGCCTTGACGAACTCCCAATACTCCGGATACCAACCGCTCGACTCCCAGGCAAGAAGCGCGAGTATCCGAGTCCTCTTCTTCTCCCCTCGCTTCAGATTAGCGCCTTCCTCGTCGCACCAGTCGACCATGATGTTTCTGGGATAGAGGCCTCCATGCGTCATAACCAGGCAATGGTCACTCTGATCCTCGCTCCCTGGCGCTTTTGCTTTCGCCTGCGCGGCTTGCTCAAGGCGGCGACGAAGCTGTGGATACGTGTCTGCCTATTGCTTCAAAGCCTTGGCCAGATTGGCGGCCGAGTTGGTCTTAAGTTCGACGCCAGCCTGTGAGCGTGCTCGTGTTGACCAGCTTACGCGCCTCGTTGATTTGCTCCTCTACCGGATTCGCTCAAGGCGGCTTTGACACTCTGGCGAGCCTGCGGCGAAGTGCCCATGTTCAGGAGGCTGGGCAGTTATGGAGCTAGTCTTTCGTGTTGGCGGCAGGGTCTAAGAGTTGAAAGCGATAATGAAAGTGACAATGGGGATAGCTCGTCGTAAATAAAAGATACCATAGGGCGCCATACACTTCTGAAAAAAAGAGCTAGGGTCTCAGTTCAACTTTTGTAAAATACTTCACCACGCAAGATAGCTGATAGGTTGCTCTGGTAACGTTAGTTAAGTATTCCATAATCGCCAAGATCGTCTCTTAAACAGCTCAGAAATCAACTCTCTTCAATTTCAAGGAGCTGTTCAACTAAATGACCTTCTTCAAGGGGAAAGATCACCTATTTTCCTTTAACATTCATTCTCAGCTTAAGATTTTCTTTAGGAAGAAACGTCCGTTAGATACTCCGATTTAAGTTTAGAAATTTTCCTTCGCTTAGTTATAGGAGTTTATTCCTAGTAAAGGTATATTGGTTGTAAGTGAGTCACCTGAGTATCTTAACGGTCAAGTATTCAACTTGAGGAAGTATTTTACAGTATTCGAAGTCTCCTAGGCTTTCATTTCTGTACATGCTGGTGGCGCCCTATGGTAACCACGATTCCGCGAGTGAGTAGCTTGGCTTCCAAGTGCCCAGCGTCATAAAACGGCTGTGGGGCACTCAGAATCTTGCTGACAGCTCGACTTCACCTTTGCGCTCTGGTTCTCTTCAAACACCTTTGCTCTCTGAATTGCATCGAGACTATCGGTCCACGGACATACGAGACCAGGCCATCTGCCCCTCTCCCCTTCTCTTCCGCCTTGCATGTCACGGCGCGTCCAACATGCTACCATTCGGCCCCGTCTCACATCCTAATTCAGAGCCTTCGGCAGAACACACTCACACCATCATCTTGCTTCATGGCCGCGGCAGCACCGGGGAAGAGTTTGCCGAAGAACTGCTTGAATCAGAACTGTCCAACGGAAACACACTGCAAGAACAGCTCCCAACTTGGCGATGGGTCTTTCCTTCGTTCCCCGAGCTTTGGAGCACTGCTTTCGAGGAGACAATGCCGGCCTGAATTCGAGGCACACTCTCTGACCGACGTCACCAAAAGGCAGGATTTGCAAATAGCCGGGATTCACGACTCGGTCCAGTACCTGGCCCGTCTGTTAGAGAAGGAGACAAGAAGTTGGGAGGCGCAGCTCACAGGGTTGCGCTGGGCGGCATCAATCAGGGAGGCGCGGTTGCAGTGTGGACGTTGCTCTACGCAGGCGACGGCGACGTCGCCCAACGATTGGGAGGTTTCGTGGGCGCAAGTACCTGGCTCCCCTTCGCCGATGGCCTTTAGCGGTATCTCAACGGACGATACATCATGGGAGACGACGATCAAGTCAGTGAGCAGATGCATTCGTGAAGGCGATGACGGCTTCCGCAAGGCGGGCTCTGCACCAGCGTGGCACTTCTGAGGTCAACCGGCATCCTGTTCCAGCGTTTTCGGCTCACGGAACGGACGATGCATATGTGGATATCGAGCTCGGACTAGTAGGCGGCACGCGTGTTGAAGAATGTCGGGGCGAAGGTCTCATGGACGGCGTATACCAGTGCGGAGCAGGAATGCGATTGGTTAAGGGAACCGGAGCAGTTCGACGAAATTGTAAATTTTCTAGAGTCAATCTCTACTTCAAGTTCAAATCAGTGTACTCAATGTATGCTCTGCGCCCACGAGCAATGGAGATTCGTGCGGTGAAGTTCGGCCCCTCGAGCCTCGAAGTCGCAGAGACCGGGACCTCCCTGGAACTTCCCGCTCCAAAATGTGACGGTTAACGGGATTTCGTCCGGCGAACCATCGGTTAACAGAGATGACTCAACCCTGCTGAGGGATTGTGTAGTTGTGCACCAGAGAGAAAAGCGGTCAGGATTGAATTGATGGAGGCTACAATCGTACCAGGGCATCTGGGGCCGGAAGTTACGGTTGGGCAACGGTTGCCTGGCACAACCGTTATTGGCGAAGTAACTGTAGCGGCGGTTATCTCTGAACAAACGGTTCTTGCAACAGCAACGGTGATTCCTCTTGCCCAGGCAACAGGGGTCTCTGTTAGCTCAGACACACAGGAGGCTTCACGCTAACAATCGCGGGTAGGCACGGTTGGAAGGCACGGAAGATGAACATCAATTGACTCGATCTCAACTACATGATATGGAGGGCGGTTGATGCGGATGGCGGTTGATACAGAGGATGCAGAGGTCTATTGATACGGAGGATGCAATCGGCCGGCTATACGAAGACACCTGCAGATCCGTTAGTCGGTGTATTGTATTGCAACGGAGATTAGGTAATACCAGAGAGCAAGAGAGCTAGGGGATATAGAGAGCTAGAGAGATAAAGAGAGCTTGAGAGATATAGAGTGTTAGAGAGATACAGAGAACCAGGGAGGATACCTATAGTGATTGAAAGACTTAATTTGCAGATCATGATCTTGCTCGCAAGACCACCACCACTCAATAGACCAACTACCCACATCGAATCGGTGAGTCACCCGGCCCAGGTCACGCGAGTAAATTCATTCGCATCGTCGTTGTCGTCGTCGTCGATAGCAGTTGCGAGGGCTGGTTATCATGCTCGCGATGTTGAGATTCTAGTCGAGTTGCCGAGAATGTATCTTGCATACAATTCTGTATGATAGGTAACATCCTTCTTGACGAGGGAGAAATAACCGGTACACCAGGTAGCAGTAGTGATGGCTGACGCTAGTACAAAGCAACGGTGGATTAATCCGAATCTATCCAATCCAGTCGCCTGGCGGTTTACTGGTGAAATTGGAAGGCAACGGTGTTGCAACCGCAAACACGCTCCCATACACTCTCAGTTGACCCATTCCCTGGACCCGTTATTGCTTGACGCGCAGCCAATCAACTTTCCTTTAATCGCCCCGCTTTAACATTCGCCCGCACAACCTCAAGTCCAAGTCCGAGTCTGCGAATACCGATGTCCGGTAATCTAGCGTTTGGCAAACTCGGCCAATCCAGCACCACCACCATGTCGAACTCGTTCGTGAACCAACAATTCCAACCCGCTCAAGGTCTTCAGCCCGTTATTCCCTTTGTATGTTGAACTCACTGCTCGTCTTCGATGGCACTAATCCAAGCAGGAGCGGCCACCGCAGCAATCTCGCACTCCGCTCCGAGCGCGCGTCGAGACGCCTATCCATCCACCCCAGGTACCTCCAGCCCGCCCTCCCCAGTCGACGCCAACCCGGCAACAACCACGGCCGATCCCGCAACAAGCCCAGCAGCAGCCCCAAGCCCAGCAACTCCAAAGCCAACAGGACGAACTGGACCAGCAGTTCCGCCAGGCCGAGCAAGCCTACCTGGCAGCGTACAACTCCAATGCGAGGGCTCCACAGCCTGTGTATCATACCATCGATCCCACGAAGACCACACTGAGAGCCGAGTCCCCTTACACTCCTAACCCATGGAGACAACCGGAACCCCCCAATAGCCTGCGCTTCGTCCAGCCCCAACCTGGCGAGACTTCTCAGCAGCACACGAACGGACAGGGACATCAACAAGAAGTCGGCGATGATCAGGATGAGTCATTGCAGGGGGACGACTCGGGTGCGGACGAGGATGGAGACGAGAACACGAACGAAGCAAACGGCGCCGCCTCCGATGGCCCCAAGGACATCGCGCCTCTGGTGCAGGACGTAAAACCCCTCCACTACCCGGCTGTTCGTCCGACCCTCCTTCTCGGCCCCTACGAGACGCGCGAGGAGGCGCAAAAGGCGGCCATTGAGTACGGCATCGCTCAGGGGTACATGCTGATCCAGACCGGGTGTGCGCGGGCCAAGACGTGCTGGGAGGGCTACGGCCCGGAGCGGCCGCTCGTGCGCATCGACCTGATGTGCGACCGCAGCGGCATCTGCAAAAACATGGGCACGGGCAAGCGCAAGCGGCCAACGCACAAGATTGGCTGCCCCACGCGCATCAAGATTGTCCGGCGCAAGCGCGACGGCTGCAAGTGGTTCATCGACCCGCGCTGCGAGCTGCACAACCACGACCTCAACGTCGGCAACATGGAGTCGCTCGCGAGCTACCGCCGCTACCGCCGCATCCAGGCCGGCGGGGCGCGAGTCGAGTCGCGCAAGGAGCGGTCCGAGCGCAGGAAGAGGGGCACCTTTGGCGAGCTGCAGCCGGCGCCAGTGCCGCCTCCGACGTTTCATAATACCGGCCCGCAGCCGCCGAGCGAGCCGACAGGGCCGGTCCACATGGCTGCCTACAAGGGGCAGGTCAAGATCCTTGAGATTCTGCTCAACAAGGGCGGGGACATCGATATCTATGACTCGACGGGCAGGACAGCGCTGCATTGCGCGATTCTGGGTGGGCGGATGGATACCCTCAAGCTGCTGATTGACAAAGGGGCGAATGTCTCGCAATGCGACTCCAAGGGTCTGAGCCCGCTGCGGCTGGCTGTCGAGAAGGGGATGGAGGACGCGGTGGTGGCGCTGATTGAGAAGGGGGCGGACCCGAACAAGTGAGCAGTTGGCTACGGGGGATGAATCAGTCATGGGTTGTCTCAGTACATCTACCGTAAGTCGAGTTATCATTCAATACCCCCTTCCCCGCCCCATCAGATTGAGTCTCAAGACAGCTCATGGTTCCACTGTGACCAGTAGACCGGAAGTTAACGCAGTGCTTGGTGTCCAAGCGACTGTCCTACCCGACCACCCCGCCACAACTCACCCAGCAACATCTGCCAACCAACCAGGGAAAACAAAATCCGAATGCAATGCCGGTCCTTACCCTCCCCTATTTATCAGCAACCCCACCAACGATCAATGATATCAAAAGTCAAGCCATACTAGAATACCCAAAATACCCCTCCCTCTCGCTCCATTGGTCCCGGCCCGCCCTCTGATCCGTCGACCGCCCGTCCAGCTCGCTCCACCCGAGCCGGTCGGCCATGTAGCTGCCCACTGCGTCGCCAAAGTCGTGGAGGGTGTCCCGGGGGACGGATTCGAGGGCCGAAGAGAAGGATCTGCCGACGGAGGACAAACGTGAGCGGAAGCTGGAGCGGGAGCGGGTTCGTCGGGGTGGTGAGTAGGCCCTGGTGGTGCGGATTGGAGAATAGGCTCGTGAAGTGCGGAGGGGGGAGTAAGTAGATGTTTGAGGCGGGGAGTAAGCCCGCGAGTAGCTGCTTCTTCGAGGGGGAGAGGACGCCCGCGAGGTGTATGTGCTCGTCCTGGGTGGAGAGTATGCCCGGGAGTAGTAGCTACCCGTTCTGGGTGGAGAGTGTGCCCGGGAAGAGCTTGTTCGAGGGGGAGAGTAGGCGCACGAGTAGCTGCTCGTTCGGTGCGGGGAGTAGGCCCGGGAGTAGCTGCTAGTGCGTGGGGGCCTGTACGCACGGGAAGTGTACGTGTTTGTCCTCGGAGGAGAGTATGCCCGCGAGGTGTATGTGCTTCGTACTGGCGAGGGAGACCGCCAATATGGCAGCAACTGCGGGCTTCTTAGTGGGGAGCAAGCCCGCGAGGTGTATAGTGTGCTTCTTGCTGGCGAGGGGGACCCCTGATAGGGTAGCAATTGCGGGCTCCAAGGCATAATAGTCTCAGATCGTTGCGGTATTGAGAATGTTACGATGATCTTGGGTAATGCTACTGTTTTCCAGGGGTCGGGAGTGGTTGTCGGTGTAGGCATAGCAACAAGGTTCCATGGTAAACGGAATTCCTAGCTGAGAGTGGCACATCCTAAATACTCTGGCGATGCCCTCAGTAGACACGGCGGCTCAACAAAAACCAAGTCCCAGTGCAGTACAAACGCAGCACCTGACCGCCGTCAGATGGTGTGCCGTTTCGTTGGCTCAGGGCTTCTGCGGAAGAGGTGGAACTGGCATAAATGTAAATTCCCGAGTTCAGCCAGATGTCAAGGCCTGACTTTTAAGCTAGGATGACTGAAACGTGGTATTTGTTTTCATACTAGAATATCCGTTACACGAACATCGCACAGGACGCGGGAGACTTCGCGGGCCAGTCTTTCATGATGTGTTTGAACCATTTCTGTGCTTCATGATTACGACATCGTGCTACTGACAACCAGTCTTTATTGGAAGGAGTATGGGGATGAGGAAGTGACCATCGAGTGCTACCAACTTGCTTTCAGCTGTATCGCCAGATGGATCGGGAAGATACCGCTTGCAAGTCCTGAGGCTCTTGTTCAATACATCATGGGGCGGAATGACGAAAGGAGCTTAATTTCATTCAGCAGTATACGCTTGTGTTTTCTAGGCATGCGTTTGCATGGACGCTCTGTGACTAGCCATCCGCGTGAGGTGCCGCAGGATGCCAGGACTCACCCGAACCGGCGCCGAGCTCTCGGCTCCGCAGAAATCGGCTGGCGATGCGGAGCATCCGGACCTCAAGCTACCCCCTCCCAGGAATTCATTCTTATTATCCATGTCAACAGCCAGATGTTTTTGCTTCTTCCTCAAACTACATGGCATTACGGGTGCAACAGTCGTTCCTTTCATCCACTGCGTAGAGCTAAAGCCAGGAGCATTGCAGTCCACACCGCCCAGTCGAGTAATATTGTCATCCCACTCTTACTGCTTAATAGAAGAGGACTTTCCAATTATAACTTTTCCCATCGAGAATGGCACTCCCGCTTGCCTTGAGAAACTCCGGGAGGAAGTCTCCCGCAGGCCCAGAGACGTTTTCCGGCCGCGAGTACTGTCGCCATTTTCCCAAGTATAATCCACCTCCAGGAGAGTGATTGGATTGACGCAAACGTCCGGCTGCGCCTCCTGGCGGATGCGTAGTGTCGGAAAGGCCCGCAGCCCCTGACGGCGTTGGGCCATTCCGGCGTCCGGTTTCAACTTGTTTGGTCCTCGAAAATTTCGACAGTATTTGACAAGTCCAAACTCGGTGTAGATGTCTTCACCCTTTATCGTGTCGCCAAAAAGGTCTCTCACGATGGACTCAGCCTGCTGGGAGCCCTCAAAGCCTATGCACGCCAGCTGCGACTCCAGCAGCATCGTTGCCGCGTGGCTCCGGTCATCCAGTCGCGCCAGCACCACTGCGATTGGTCCCTGGTTCCATCCGAAAGAGGCCAGAAACATCTTCACTGGCACTGTGGTGAACAAACCTGGGCTTGAAGGGATCCTGCCCACAGCAAAAAAAGCACACCAGCCTCTCGATCCGATGCTACAGCCAAAATGCACATAATGGTAGGGATCCCAGTGGCTCCGAGGCACTGACCTGCACCTGACACCCTTGAATGACCCCCAATTAACCTGGAGTGCCGAGTATCGGTTACCGACCACAGGGTCGGAGCCAAGCCGGAAAGGACATAGCGTCTGAAGCTTGGTAGCCAACGGATTGTTTCAACCGGCGCCCGACTGTATGTATGTGTCTCCAGTCGGAGTTGTCCCTCATCCAGGCTAAGACACGTGTTTTGACAGGTGTCGAGCATATATGTCGCCGCCGATCTTTCGCAGAGAAATGCCCACTATGTGACCATCCACGTAACAAAATGTCTCAAGCACGGACGTCTCCCCGCGCCCATTCCATCTTAAGATCAACCGCAGACTGGCCTCGGTCTGGATACCGCGAGTCGTGATAGAAACGTCCGCGTGGGCCGAGTTTCCGGGGAGCAACTCGACGTCGCCACAGCCGGCAAACTGGCGGGGCGACTGGGCCAGCACGCCCGAATACTCCCGCCGCGTAGCGCCGTCATCCTTCCACACAAAGATGCTCAGGTCTGCCGTGCTCTGAATGATAGTCGTCTGCAGCCGGGTAAACGCCTTGATGCCCTCGCCGTAGATAAGCGACATGTTAACAGCGAATATGCCCAGCAGACAATAGGCCATATCCTCCACCCGCGTCGGCTCCCGCCTAGAGGCCCACGACATCCTCCTCGCGACCGCATAGTTCGATAACTGGGATCATGACGAAGCAGCGCCTCAGGAATGCCCGTAACAACACTGATCAATCCAGACAGGAGGGTCTTGGAGCCCCTGATATTCCATCCTTTGTCGAAGAAGGCCACCACCCGCGGCGCGATCAGTTCCTGCAACGTCCAGCCACGGGTAAAATACCGACAACCAGGCAGATTCCGTTGCAGGTCTTCTTCCGTTCCGGGCTCTAGATCGGCCAAAAAGACGTAGCACACGGCGGCGTCGCGGTACCAGGCAAACATGGAGTTTATGGCCTCGGTCAGCTCGGCGCTGCTCGTCTTGTCGATGCAGCACGAGTCGACCCATGCGTATTCCAGCTTGTCGCGGTGGAACGCGACGGCGCAGGTCTGCTGGATCTTGCGGAAGCCGGCTGTGCCTTGAAAAGTAATAGAGTCCGCAGCAGCAGATGTCAGCTGTTGAAGGGTTACTTCATGCTCCCACGTGTGGGAGAGGATGGCGTATGGGGGGGATGTGGGAGCCGACGAATTCGCTCATCTGTGGGGGTGGCGGACTCGGAGGTGGTGGTCTCGAGGGGTCTCATGCTGTATGCAGGAGAAGGACGGTGACGGAGACGGACAAGAAATGACAACGCAAGCCGGGAATCAATCAGTGACTCGGACTCGGTCATAATCGTTTGAACCTGAGTGAGCCCAAGGGGGTTGAACCTGCCCCCGCACTTAGCGACTTAGCTGCTCAACCATAGTTGCAGTAATTAGAAAGACCGCCTGATTGGACTGGCCATTTTGTTGGCAGCCTGCATTGTCCGCTTCATGCAAATTTCTGAGATGCGCTTGCCAAATTAGCGCACCCGGCGCATCGCTCGCTCGGTGTCTTGCCGGACGCAATCCCGTTGGCGTTCCCGGACCGTCGCCGCCTCCGTAACGACTACAAACGGCGCCGGCGACGGGGGCCGGAAGGCGTTGCCCATTCTACTTCGTTCACACACGTCGAGTCTTCGGGAACGCCTCCCGCGCATTCGCGTTAGAGATGCATTGTTGGCGCTAGGATTCCGTCCCCTGTCGATGAAGACAAAGGCAGAATGTTGGCGTGGGTCGTTCGGGGCTGTCGTCGAGGATGCGTAGTGCGGGCTCGCTCGCACCGTCGGAGCTCCTTCTTCCCTTCTTCCTCTGGCTCTAGAATTCCCTTCCTCCCTTTCTCATTAATTATTCTTCTTAAACCCGACGTACCCCTTGGCTCTAGCTCACCATGACAGTACAACAGCAACTGCGCTTCTTTGTGATGGACCAGAAAAGCAGTTAGTATCTCTAATTGTACGGGGTCGCCGACCTAATTGTACGGGGTCCGCACCGACCCCCTGAATTCCGCCACACCTGTGGCAGGCTGAGCCTCGGCAACCCTCGTCCAACCCTAACCCGCGTTGAGAACCCCCTTTATGGGCAGCCTCCCCCTTTTTTCGTGGCCTCTGAGCAACGGCCCCATCACGGTTGCCCCTTTTACCTATCATCCCTACCTAGACAGTGAGAATCCATTACTGCTCGTCGGCTAATTCTTTGCAATAGCAGGTACAAAGGTTCACCCCTCTCCACCACCACTACCTGACGTGGACAGGGTCGCGGATCCAGGGGACCATAGGAAGACGGGGAAGAGGTCAGAGACAGGAAAGAGGTCGTGGATAGGGACGAGGTCGTGGACAGGGAAGAGGTCAGGGACAGGGACGAGATCGTGGGCAGGGACGAGGCCAGCAAAATAGTGGAGAGCGAGGAGGAACGGGTCCTGCGTCTAGCGCAGCCATACAGCTCGGGACGCCAGCGCCGGACACCCCCTAGGCTAGTTGACAGATAGGAATAGATGCCTGATTTCCCTGCGATAGATCCCCAAGGCCACAATACACATTATCCCCAATCGCTCAAACCGATCTTTTTGCTCTGGAGTATTTTTTGGCCGAGGCTCAGCCTGTCACAGGTGTCGCGGAATTCCGGGGTTCTGTGCGGACCCCGTACAATTAGGTCGGCGACCCCGTACAATTAGAGATACTCCTGGATAATTTGGTTGCTTGTTGTGCATCGACCACATGAGCTGGGCAGCCAGGTGGTGGATTGGCTGCAGCTTACCCTCGTCCTCAGGTTTGACGGCAGTCAATATAGGGGGCAGGCAACTTGGCAGGACAGTGTTGGTCAGGCTCCACCACGGTTTTGGAGAACACCCAGCTTCAATCGACCAGCTGCCCTCTCCGCGGCTCCCATCAGTTGCACCTCAATCTTTGTAGGCGTCTAAACCACTGCGATGCCGTTAATACGTTGCTGTTGGTCTTCCAACACCAGGTCCAGCAAAGCCATAACTTACACTGCATGTTGGATACAAGAATTCATGAGTGTGAACAGCGCACGGTAGCGCTGGAGATAGACGTCGTTAAGCCTAAGTCATCCCTGGTTCTGATAGTTCCTTTCCAACACCCCAAGTTCTTCAGAAATCCGGGAAGCCATTCTCATGTAGCTTGAGCCAAGACAGCAGTTCGCTTTATTACCCCTTGCTGCCAAGACGGAATGGTTGCACCCTTGTTGTTGCTAGAACCGGAAATGGCTTCAGAAGGCTACAGCTACACCGCATATTACCTTCATGCTCCAAGGGCTGCTTCTCACGCGCAGGGGCAGCAGATATTACAAGGGACTATGTCCGGCATTGTTGCTATCACTAGACCTATAAATGATTTTGCATAAGCAGCAAGAGCTATTGCAAAGAATTGTTAGCATGGTTAGAGGTAGGAATTGTGACGAGGCACAGGAATTGGGCTTGCGTATCCTCTAGTATTGGTGTGGTTGCACGAGGAACCAAACTGTTGGAAAGTCAACAGCTACGAATTTACCGCACCGTAGCAATCGGGCACAAAGAGATAGACAACTGCTTGATTGATGATGGATTCTCGCGTCTATTCTATTTTGTTTCAAAGTTGCAGGGCCTCTTCCTGATCCTGAGAATCTTGGTGCTAAGCCATTAGTCACCCCTGAACTGCCCTCCCTAACTGTTGGAATATCTACGCCAGAGTGAGGTCCTTGCAGGGGACCCGGGTGAGGGCAGGTTTATTACAGGGGTAGTAGTCACGTGGTCTAGGACCTCGAGGACCACTACTGCGGCTGCAAGATTCGCACCCCCTTATTCAGAAAAGAATAAGAGCATCCAACTGAACCACCACTTTAGCACGTTCCTCTCAAGGAGAGGGTATTTGCCATGTGTTTCTAATGTATCGCGATACCTGGTATTTCCTACACTGACCACCTGCCCCAATCCAACAGAACCTTTTCGAGTGCCCGGGAGCAGCCCAGAATCTGTCAATTGAGAGTTCTGTTCTCCTTCTCCAAGTTGCCTGGGTGCCTCCCAGACCTTATGTAAGTTTCCGAGTTACAAGTGCCACCACTTCCAACACCCAGATCCATGATTCAGACCGCCCTGCCTGTAGCCGTTGCCGATCCAACAGACTTTTGAGAGGGGACTATACTAAACGCCCATATTTTCCTTTCCTTTGTTAGACGGACACTAAGCTCACTCTTTTTCCACACCTTCAGAACCGCCCATTTGACTGCGTCATCTCACATTTTCGCGGCTCTGGTCCAACACTGTTTGTGGGCCGGATTGATCCAAGGTGGCCCCCAGGGCAGGGGGCCGGCGCAGCGGGTGGCCACAGGTTCAGCCGCAAGTTCCGCTGTCTCAGTTGGCAATGGCACGCAACATCGCTTCTGCAGCCACGAAGAAGATCTTTTTGCCCCTCAACATCAGAATCAATCCGACACTGTCTCGGCACTTTTCTCCTGCCTGTCCACGGTCCATCGCATTGCCGCTCCAGCTCCTAACCTCGAATTTGAAATTCCGAGTAAGCCCGACTTCACCCGCCAGCACCATGGGCTCGTGGATCTCCCGCCTCGCTCCCCTTCACAAAGTTCCCAGTCGGCCGGCAGTGCCGCTTCCCCGCGTTCTGGGTCCTAAACTAGCCTGTTTCACTCCAAACGCCCGGGCCGACAATGAGTTTGTCGAGTTTCTCGGCGGGAGAGGACGTGGACTCTCAGGTCTGGAAGGTCAAGATCAAGGGGCGTTGTTCGCCCGCAAGGCGGTACGTGATGATGCCCGTACACTGGTTCAGTCCCGCCCAGTGAAGTCGGGCTCCAACTCGGAGTGTCCTCCCTAGTTCTACTTCTGCCACTCGGAAACTCTCCGTTAAAAATAAGGACGGAGACCCTACGAGGCCACTCACCAACTCGCAGCCCTATGTCGCTTACTTTGACCCTTTCAACTGTGAGTGCCGTGCCTATAGCCGACTCAAAGAGAGGCAGCGCAAGAATCTGCCCGTCAAAGCCTACGGCTATCTCCTCCTCACTCACCAGCAGGAAACCGAGTTGGCTCGGAAAGTGACGGGCGATCCCAGTCTGCTCCCCTATGCCAACGCGGGCACGCCGGATGGCGACAATATCTGCTAGCGGTACGAGGAACACCGCGGACTGCCCGTCCGGGCCATCGTCAAAAAACTGGTCTCTAGTAACGCATCAAATTCCCATGACGCCCAACGCATGTGGGCAGACCTGGACAACCTCTATTCGCTGAGCATATTTGTAGGAGACCCGCACGGCGGCAACTACCCTGGCGAGAAGCTTGTCGACTTTGGCCGCTCGTGGACCATGTACCATCCGGCCTTGGTCCACATCCGCGACAGCAAACTACAACTCTTGATGTTAGAGCTCCAGCAACTGCTCGACTATTACCACGACTTATCGAACAGTTCGTCAGACGAGATAGAGATCCCCGAAGACCTTGAGAGCTATTGCACGGGAGAGATTGCAAAGTCAAAAACTTCCCCAAGGGCCTACAACTGGCCCAAATGGGACAAGAACGCCGAGGCGGTGAAGGTGCATATGGAATCAAAGCTGTTTGAGAAGCCGGCCCTTTGATATCGCGGCGGTGCAGTGCATCATGTCAAGACCAGATCGCCACATCTTTTATTCAAGTGAACAACACGCTGGATTGCCACAGAAACAGGCAGCAGGGCAAAGAACTGACCGAGCATGAATTGAGAACGTGTCCCACGCTCGCCATGGCTCAGAGAACCTCCCCTGAAATGACTGGCAGAGTAGCCAGGGACCAAGATACGATTTGATTTTGAGTATCCCAATCCCTATCATTTCAGGCCTCTGATCACTGGACCTCAAGTGCTCGCAAATACACCCGACCTAGCAAATGTTCCTCGCGCCGTTGCCCGACAGAGACCAGTTGGTGTTCTCGCCGCAGGGCGACTCTCGCACCGACGTGCCATCGACCCGGAGCGTGATCCAGATGTCCCTGTTGTTGGGGAACTCGGAACGCGCCGCGAGACGGACCTCGCCGCCGCCGTTGACGGTGCCGCCACGGATCGAGACGTTGTAGCAGTTCTCGATGAGCACCGCGTTGTTGCCGTTGTTGGCCAGGTCCACGTTGTTGATGACGGCGCCGCCCGACTGCGACACACAAAAGATGCCGCGGCCGCCGCCGCGCGAGACCACCTTGTCGATGTAGACGTTGGTGTCGTACCTGCCGTTGGAGAGCCGCCCGTTTTCGTTTGCAAACCGCAGCGTGGCGTAGCCCGTGCCGGCGCCGGCGTTGTTGGCGTCGACCAGGCCGACGCGCGCGTTGGTTGTCTTTTGCAGCAGCAGCCCGCACTCGCCCACGTTCCGCGCGATGACCTGGTTGATGGTCAGGCCGTCAATGTTCCACGTCTCGACGGCGTGACTGCCGGCGCCCGTGACGCGGATGTCGTCCATCTTGACATTGTAGTTGGCGGCCCGGTCACGGTCGAAGCGGATGCCCAATCCGCCGCTCAGATTCAAGGTAATCTTGCCCAGGCTGAGGTTGCGGGTGCCCGAAAAACGCAGGCCAAAGTAGGGAGAGCCCGTCATGGTGAGGTAGGGGATCTGCACGTCGTTGGCGTTGGTGACCTCGATGGCGCCCCGGCCGGAACGGCTGGCGACATTGATGGTGCCGCACCCTTCAAAGATCTTGCCACTGGTGATGGTGATGGTGTTGGCGCCGATCGACCCGGACGCCATGACGGCCACCCGCTGACCGGTGCTGATGGAATCCAGGGCGGCTTGGATGGCAGCGCGGTAGTCGGAGCCCGAGTACACCCGCGTCGAGCCGCGGTTGGCCGTGAAGGTGCCTGAGCCGGTTACCGTGGCATGAGGCGAGCCGGAGCCGCACTGGGCTTGGGCCACCGAGGTGAGGGCAACTAATGCCGTGAGGAGGGAGAGGGCGAACTGGGCCATGGTTGTGGTTGATTTCCTGTGCCTTGTGGAACTTAAGGTGTCGGGGGGGCGGCGGGCTGGTGTATTTATCCTTCCCGGCCCTTCAACACAATCCAGGCTCGGTGTTTTGAACGCCGCATCCTCAACGTCGGGTATAGTCTGGTTCGGGCTATATCATTCCGAGGACGATCGTTGGAGGGAATGTACATGAGAAAGTGGTAACGGGGAGCTTTGGCCAAGCCCGTTTACATATTAAGGGGCGTGGTTACTAGACCCGGCGGAGCACCACTGCCGGCTTGGCTTCAATCGCGAAACGCCGATGCAAAAAAGGCCGGTTTCCGGGCGCTGGCAAAATTCGTGCCATCCACTCCTTGGACATAAAAGGAGTGAGACATGCTACGTGTTTGTCAACAATCAACATCCTGAACTTTTCTTTGTGGCCCTCCGTCCGGCAACCTTGCGCTCTGATGCAGTCTCACCGACTTATGGGTCACGGTTCTCGTGAAATCAATGCCCGATGGCTCCGTCTGGTCAAAAACCTGGTAATTCAGAGCACTGGGCTGAGGCGGGAGCAGCCGCTAAGGAGAAGTCTGTGCGAGCGGTCATGTCATCATGTTGTCTAGCCACAAGCGCCTCCCCAAATTTTCCAGCGACTTGCGCCAACGGTCAGCCGTATGATCCGAGACGACCGAACAGAATCATGATTCCCAAGTTCCTGCCAAGCAAAGATCCCATTATGAGCGCGAAAGAACAATCCACTTTCGGAGGGACAACAGTAGCTAGGTTGGATCCTGCCGCTTTCCGACTCGTTCAGAGCTTCTCAGGCGACATCAGCACAACTCATGGCCGGAGGAGAGGTGCAACTGATTGAAAGGGACGAACCAACCGCCACGGAACGATCATGATAGTTCCGATGCTAATCAGATATATCTAAACATGTTTTCCCTCACGGACCTCTTCATGGTCACAGGTTTCCCATTTTCGTACTCGACACCTGACTCGCCCCCGTCACCAGATATCCCCTCCATCTTCTGTCGTAGTTCCTCGTCTATCTGGGTCTGTGTCTTTCGTTTTATTTGACCTGGAGTCGAAGTCGCAGGAGCCGAGGCTCGGCCTGTCTCCCTCTTGCTTGGCGATATGTCCGTCACGGTCCGTTCCTTTTACGGATGAGTTGTGAGCGGGGCGCAAAATCCTCGACTGATAGGAGGGGGGAAAACGAGTCAAGCGATACTTACTAGCTTGTCCGGGCCGGAATTGTCTGAAAAGCTGCGAGCTCCAGTTGCAGTCTGTCTTGGCCATGGCATCGCTGGTCTCTCGCGCAGGCTTGAAGATGAGGCCAAGTGGGCTGGGGTGGGCCTAACCCTAAATCGAGCGGCCGGCCCCGCGATGTTGGACAAAGCGATCATTTCCAGATGACGTTGGGTCGTCCAATAGTCGAGTGCTGGAACTGCTCGAGTTTCGATTCTATGTTATCAAGCAGGCCAGCAAAGTAAGGTGAGGTAAGGCAGCAGAGCTTTGATAGTCGGGAGGCTTTATGTGACGAAACAGTTCTGGGTGATGTCATGAACTTGCTCAGGTAAATTACCTTACCGTACCCAAGGAGAAACAAGCTACGGGACGAAGAGAAGCAGGCAGGAAGCCTGGGCCATGCTCTTTCAAGAAGAGCCCTCATACTGATGTATTACAGATAAGAACACCACATATGCCTTCCTGCAGTGAGGCCCAGAATGCAGATACTGTACCATCACATCTTGGCGGAGCCTTTGCTTCGCGCTTTCAGCCCTATCATCGACACACCGGCGCCTGAAACATGGTCCCATCCCAACAAGTGAGAGTCTCTAATCCGTACTCCACTGTAGCACCAGGTCATGGTTCTTGGCAGGGGTTCTTCACTCAGAACTGGGGGGCGTGGTGTTAGGGTTATGTGTGCTGGGCTACTTCGTATTGGTACGGATGTACTGTTTTCGTTGTGCAGCATCAGGGATGACGTCATAGCTCGACACGTCAGCCACGGCTCGTCATGGGAGGGTCAGCTTGCTCCTCCAAACCTCACAAACATCAACAGCTTCCCAGCAGAAAATCCATTTTTCGAAACAGCCAAGTGCTTGATAAACACTTGACATAACTCCATATCCGCGACGAATTTCGACTGCAGTTACCATGGAATCATCAAATAACCCCCAAACAACCGTCCAGCAGCCGGCACCAGTCCAGCTTCACACGCTGCACACTGCCCAGCCGCCAGTCTCACAGCCCATGAGTGCGTCCCCCATAATTCATTTCTGTTCCCCCTTCGCCTTCATGTCCAGTTACGACGCTTGATCAAGATTTCAGAATGAGAATCAGACAGAGCTGACAAAGTACCTTCTCCTTATAGACCCGCAAAAGCCGCACCCGGAGTCGGACGCCGAGCTTGGGTTGCGCGGCGGCGAACGCAGCGGCCTGTGCCCGGGCAGGTTCTGCTTCTGCGTACCATGCCCGTTGCCGTGCGACTGCTGTATCATTTGAGGATGTTGATCGCGTTGATAGAGGGAGGGACTGAGGTTCAAGAGGGTCCTGAATAATTGATACCCACCTAGAAGAGGGTGGTAGTGCTGGGAGGTTCTAAGCATGCGTCCGTCCTGGATGGGTCACAAGTGTGTTTGGGGTGGAGTTGCTTCGGGCAGTGGTCGATTTATGATAACTACCGTCTATTATCATCTCACCTAACTTTGTTTTTCCTGTACCATGACCCTCGTTCTTTGGTGAAGCAAGCTAAGGTACCTTACCTTCCTCAACTACAGCACAGGAAGCGCCATGGCTGTTACACTAAGTCACTCCGGTCTCTCCATGAAAGTTCTAACTTCCATCATCAAAATCCCATACTTGAAAACTTGAACTAAACGGCTTCCTTTCCGCCCTCATACTCTGGCGTGAAGGATATAAAAGTCACCAAACTTCGTCTTGGTGCCCCCGGTGTACGAGATCTGCCTCTCTTTCAGCGTGCGCTGGCGAGTCCTGCTTGTGTATCGCCACCAGCCAAAGACCATGACCACCGTGAGAGTAATGGAGACGATGAGCTATATCCAGAAGTGAACATCTCGCCAGTCGTTCTCAAAGTCGAAGACATGCATGGAGAAAATCGTCTAAGAAGTGTCAAGCAGAGGTTAGAGATGGTTAACGCTTGGCGGGCTGCCAGCTTGATAGGTTTATTGCTTACCGCAACAGTGGTAATGGGAAGATACAGCATAGCAACGAAGGCAATGACAGTGCTGGCCTTGGCTGTGTTTCTGGTTGATTCAACATCGTGGCTGAGCAGCTCCGACGTGAACTGGAAGTGATAAGGCGTCAGTCGAGCTGGACGACATCTTACCAATTCACGAATCTCAGGTCTTCCCGAGCCCCTTTCACTAATGACTTACCAATTCCTCAAAATAGATCACGGCGTCGAACATCATCCGGCACCTAGCCATCACATAGCGTCGAACTCGATGTTGACCTCGTCGAACCGGTCTTTGAGCCTCGTGGTGCTTGTTGTAAAGTCGTCGTCGTCTAGCCACTCAGAGCCGCCATTTCCCGTCGAACCTTGGGTACGATGGGCCCATCCCTCGATTTGCTGCATCAACCTGTGGAGCTGGCCTTGGGTTGACCGGACCTCCTCCTCGGCCTTCTTCGTTTTCAGACGACAGTCTCTCAGTTCCCTGCTCAGCTAGAACGACCGCCAAACCTGGGTCTGGTCTTTCCGTTAAGCCCCAGTTTCATCGAGGCAATTGGACGTAACCACCATCGACGCGTTGCCCAGTCTTCTTACCTTCAGGCTGCAATGGGAATGATCGATGCTGGGAAGCTAGAAATCACAGCCTGCTGTACCCGTTGAAATCTTCGGGTATTTGAGCTGCAACGACCATTGCAGCGGGGGCCGATGATCCGGATACCAGAGTCGGTGGTCGGAAGAATTTAGCCAGATTAAGAAGCTACCTAAAGCTTACCCTGACATCATGGCTTAGCCACCAGCCTCCCTGACCCGAGCAGTCCGATGCATCCTTCACCAAGCTTTGTCCGGGGATAAGAGAGGTTGACCCTAAAGTTCAGGGGTTGACATGTAGGTTTGGACGGCGGGCGCAGGTCCATGAGCATAGCTACTACACAGCAACCACATCATGCTGCTCTCAAGTCTTCTTCTGGCCGCCATGGCCTCGGCTGCGGTAGTTATCATCCCCGGCGGCGGTGATCCCAAACCTTACACGGGTCCCGCCGGTGTTAGATCCGAAGACGCCTACTTCCGCGAGTCTGCGCCGAACGAGTTCAGAAACAACTCAGCCAAGCTCATCATGACATCCCTCTCGGTAACTAACATGTCCTCCTCTCTCGGCCTCCGGCCGTCAGGAGACTCCTTCATCCGCGGCGCCATCCAGGCATGGGGCGAGCACCTGCACCTCGTGATCCGCCCAGATGAAGTCTGGTTTACCATCCTAGTCCAAATGGGCTACTAGATGCTCTCCCACGCCGAAGAAATCCGCTCCCTCTTCGTCGACCACCAGGGCCAGGAGGAAATACTTGTCAAGGACCTTACCTGGTACGACGTGCTCCTCCGCTTCAAAGACGAGATCCAAGAACGCGTCAAGACCCCCTGGCTGCTAGACTGGATCACTCCCAACTTCTCTACCACCACCGACTCGGACATCATGACGGCCAACATCATCATGATGGGCCTGACCAAGTCCTCTCCCGCTTCGTGTCCTCTTTTAGAAAGCCGGATTCACCTGCCACAGAGCTCTTTTGGAACCAGATCGTCTCGGGCCAGGTTGGCCACGTCTGCGGCGACCCGCCTATGTATGTCTCCGGCTGGATCACGGGCTTCGTCTACTGGAATGACGACGGGGCGCCCTTTGCGCGGACGAGTTACCGGAGGTATGAGAGCGTGCTGAGTTTGGATGGCGTTGAGTACCCCGTGCTGGACCTGACGTTGGCGCCGGTGGAATATGTGCGCGCGCCGTTTGTCATGCTGGACTGGGAGGGCATGGACAGGTTCCCGGCCTATGTGGCGGCGGGAACGCTGGGGAAGCAAATCACTGAAGGACCGCCGGAGGGGTATAGGGAGGCGTTAGGGGGGGCGGGAGACGGTGTGGCGCTGGCGGAGGGAGGTAAGGAGATGCATGCAACGCTGAGGCCGTTGAGTGGATGGATGCTGTACGAGCCCTTGCACCATAACACGACGTTAACGAAGTGGGGCGCTGAGGACGAGTTATTGGATATAGTGTTCAACGCGAGGAGGTTCATGACGGGAGAAACTTGCGGTGTGATGGCCGCTTCTTAGGGTTGAGAACTGTAAGAGGTTTCCGTGAGTGGCAGGGACTAAAGCATCACATACACACCCATATTGAGCCATTCAAGGGTCACGGTATGACTACAGCGACGGTTGACCAGGGCATTGTCCGTCTTCGTTCTCCCCCCGTCGCGTCGTGATCTACGCCGTTTCAGGGGCCCGGCATACCCCGATTTCTGTTCTCACGTAAAGCTCGTGTCTGCCTGCCTGCTCAAGCCACTTTGATATTCTGCTCTCTTACCCTTAAAATCCCGTCGAAGCAATGGTCAGCGGTCCGGATCATCCGCAGAGGTATTTTTTGGGCGAAAGTCCGTACGTGATATCCGGGCAGGACAAGGGCTTCATGTCTGCCCGGCGGTGCATAGACACATGCACAAAACACCTGGTTCTTCTGGAATGAACCAAGTCATCAGTAAGGCTGATGCGGCTAACACAGCCAATGGATTGTGATAGCATCCCTCTGTCCTGACCCAAGAACCAGGGCGGAGCCGGGCGCAAGGGGGGCCGCAGAATCCAACCCCAGACATGCCTGTCCAGATGCTGTCAGAAAACTGTCCGCTTCGGCAGCGGCTGTGCATGTAACCACAGAAACGCCAGCATTCTGGCCAACCGGGAAGCCTCCCGCTTCGTCCGAACCTGGTTTCTGACCTGGTCTCGCAGATGATGCGAAATCGCCCGACCATTCGTTCCTCCCATCCCCTGCGTCCACATGGCGACGACAGGATTCGTACCCAGCTTACCAGTTCGCTCTGGATTGGAGTGTACTGAACTGGCTCTTGAAGTCGAGTTTTGGGTTTGAACCGGTGAGCAACTACAAAAGCACCATCTCACTGACCCGACCTGGAGGAGAGATGAAATCATTTCAAACTGGAATCTCGTCCCGCCTTTTTCTTCCTTTCGAATATGCGAAGGGAAAGGACGACAAGCTCACGTCTCCTCCCAGCACTCATAGTCCGCAGACAATTTTTGGTGTTATTATGGCTGAACCCTATCAGATCCAGCAACGTTTGATGGACACCTGGTGACCCGCAGAGGCCATGGTAAGTACGGTATTCGAAGAAGCCGATCCTGTCAGCTTTGAGCAGTGCTGCAGTGTCAAAAAAACCATCACCTCGCTACCGCGGGAGAGTCCAGATACGAAGCTCGCATGCAGGTGATGTGAGGCAAGGGCCTGGGCTCCTCATCGGGACTCAGCTCCTCAACTTGAGGTCAGTGCACTGATAATAATATGGTAACCAATCAAGATGGGCTATCCAACACAAGTAGGCGTGAACAGGATCGATAAGAGGAATCAGCTTCGTCCGGGCTTCAAGGCCGGGTGTCAGCTTCGTCCAGGCTTCAAGGCCCTGACCCGGCCCAGCTAGGAGTCCTCGTCATCAACAGCTGGCTCCGGTTTATGCTAATAGGAGCCGAACTTAGATCCCTTCTCGAGTGAGGTGAGTCTCAATACTTCCGCAATCGAGCGCATACCTACCTCTACACGATCAACATGTCATCTACTCGTTCGAGATTCACCCGTTCGCTGGCGCTTGGGCTGCTCTGCGCTCTTCCCATGTTCAACCTCACATTGGGCGCACCTACCCTGCCACGCGATGTGACTTCTCCCAAAGCTGCCATTGCGGTTAAGCTGAACAGGAAAGCATCCCGTGCCAGGTCCCTGGCTGGGGTCGAGATTGTCGAGGAGCTCATTCGAAACGCTCAGGCAGCTTTCGGACATGCCAAACGAGATGCGCAGTTCGACGTCCTGCCTCTTATTGCATCCCTTACCCCTGAGAAGGTCGTTGAGATGATTCAACGAACCACTGAGCTCGATCCTACCTACGAACCAGCTGATTTCAGTTCCTGGTTTCAAGTCCATTTCCCTCAGTCTACTATAGACGAAAGCAACTATGAGATCGTGGAGCTTCTTAACGCCCTCGCCAGCTCTCAGGAGGTGGCTAGCTGCCAGCACCTCACCAGCAGCAAATTTCCTTCCGTGCAACCTGATGACGACCCTTTATTCTCATCCCAGGGCTACCTGACCGCTGGTGCGGGCATCAACGCCCAGTACGCATGGGGCTTTCCCGGCGGTGACGGTGCCGGAACAACCATCATCGACATTGAGGGCGGCTGGCAGCTGTCGCATGAGGATGTGGTATGATCAACCGCCTTCACACCACGAACGTAGAATTAACACACCTCTCCTACATGTAGGCGGCTGCCAACATCACTCTTGTCGCCGGCATGAACGTCAACGACCGATATGGCGGCAACTACCCCCACGGCACTGCCGTGCTCGGCGAGATGGTTATGAGGGACAACACCATCGACGACGTCGGCATCGCGCCTGCGGCACAGGGCCAGTTGTCAGGATCCAGTGCACCGTCGGCGGGGAACCCGCCCGAGGCTATCATGGATGCCGGCAACTTCCTCAGCCCCGGCGACGTGATGCTGCTCGAGATGCAGACTGTTGACACCAGCTTCAACTCCTGGCCGATTGAGATCCTGGACGCCGAGTACGAGGCGATCCGCTTGGCCGTCGCGCTGCGCATCACCGTCGTCGAGCCGGCTGGCAACGGTGGCATGAACATGGATAAGCCCGTCCTCCGCGACGGCGACACCACCGCCCGCGCGCTGCTCAACCGGGACAGTCCCGACTTCCGCGACTCGGGCGCCATCATGGTGGGCGCGGGAACGGCGGCGGTGCCACGCTCGCGGTTGGGTTTTTCCAACTATGGGAGTAGGGCCAATGGGCACGCGTGGGGCGAGAATATCCAGACGACGAGCGTCACGATGGTCAAGGGTCGTGGCAGGACAGTTATGACGCCTTCGACGGCACGTCGGGCGCTGCCCCGATATTGCTGGTGCTGCTCCTAGTATTCAGGGTATGGTGAATGCGAATAGGGGGTCCAAGTTGACGCCGACTGAGCTGCGAAGTCTCATTACCGTTGGTGGCTCGGCGACCTCGAACCTGTCTAGCGACCTGATCAGCGTGCAACCGGACTTGACGGCTTTCGTTGACGGCGGGCATTTGCAGGAGCGTGTGTCTGAGGATGGGTCACGTCCCAGGTAGTCAGAAACCGAATGAGAGAAGCTCGCCGATAACTGAATTAAGGGGTTATTCTGCGAGCGATGATGGAGTTCAGGTCAACAGGTATGGACGTCCATCTTGCTTCCATGTTGGCGTTCGGACTTTCAGAAATAGCAGAGGAGGACTGTTAATCCCCGGCCGTATAGATACTCGGTTAATCTGATGCTTCGCAATCCAGGCCGGTACCTACCTCATTGTACCTTTCTGAGGTTCACGGAGTCAATGACAAACATAAGACCAAGGCGTCAATTTGCACTCCTAACCTCAAAACTTCCCTTCCTCAAGCATATTCCTCATATTCGTACCTCACCTTGAATTCCCCCGGCCCGCCCGGACCAACCTGACGACCGAGAGGCGTCATGTCCAGCAGCTGGAGGGTCCCCAGCAGTCGATCCAGGCCTCGCGAATACGCAGAATAGGTGTGATACACCTTGCCATCTCGGCGCAGAAAGACGCTCAAACCCGGCTGCTCGCCCGTGGTGTTGTAGTTCAGGCCTTTGGCGTCCAACTCCGCTGCCGTTGCAAAGTTGTATTCCACAGGACGGACTGAACGGTCCATTGTCGCATGAAAGTCGTAGTTGAAGTCAGACCCCTCGCTCGAGTACCAGGGAAACGTCCAGCCAAGCTTCTTCTTCCACGCGTCCAGCTTGGCAAAGGGCGCCCGGGAGATGACGACCATGTTGGTGTTGCGAGAGCGTAGATGACAAAGGTCGGGGATGTGCTCGCCTGATTATACAGAAATAGATGTCAGATGGCGGCATAAGTCTGAGGAACGCAACGGAGGAGTGAATACGAACCGACAAAGGCACATCCTCTGCATCCCCGCTCGGCATCCGGGTCGAACATGAAGTGGTAGACGATGAGCTGGTCTTTACCGCCGAAGAGATCTTCGAGTGACAACGTTGTTCCACCTGGACCGTGGAACTTGTACTGTTTATCGACTAGAACCATTGGAAGTTCCCGCACCTGGGCGGCGAGAGCGTCCTGGGCTCGGGTAATCTGCTTTTCTTTCTCGAGCAGCGTCTTGCGGGCGGCGACCCATTCCTCTCGGGTAACAACCTGTGTTCGTTGTAAGGCTAAAACTGCCCACCACATACTTTCCGGAAAATGTGACAACTTACCTTGGTAGTCATGATGGAGCTGATTGAGTTTGGGTACCAGTCGTCTAGCTTGTCGTGAATGAGGGAGGTCAACTGTTGCCCTGAAGGAATGGAGAACTTTATCATCTCCAGCAGGCAAACCGCTGGCTATAACCTAAGTGTAAAAGTCCTGGGTGGGACAACAGACATTCCCGTCAGGCAGCGACGACAGTTACATCCAATAGATTCCTCTCAATTTCAAGCGTAGCCTCTCAAATTGATGGTGATTAGTGAACACGGGAAAACCCGCCCGAATCCGATGAATCCGATGGTGATGACGGCAATGGAGACTGGAGTGGCGTTTGTGGCGCGCGCCATTTGACGCAGCGCACGACAAGCAACAGCGCCAAAGCGACGCGCTGTCACATGAGGGAGAGCTCGCTTACAAACTTTGCCGAATCCAGATCAGTCTCCAGGCGATGTTCACACCAGTACAGCTAAATTCGGGCCAGTCCGGTTAAGGAGACGAGACGCCAGTCAAGCGACACTTTCAATAGCTGCAGCACTGCTTACCCCGTGTTAATAGTTTGACAAATCTCTTGGGTAAGACGGAGAGGATATGATTCTCGTCCGGCTTCCTGTCTTTGCCGTGATGTCAGAGTCAATCAGCCAATATCTGTTGGGAAGGAACGTCGGTTCACCAATGCGAGAAAGGAAGGGAGGCACGAAATACTATATGCACCCCCCGCCTCTTTTTCCTCCCCGTTTCTTCACTTTTTCTTCTCTCCCCCCTCCTTCTTCAAGTCATGTCATCAACTTGAAATCAAAGCAGTGCGCTTGTACTTACTCGTTCCTTCATCGGAGAACTGACAGCGAACCGCGCGAAAGCCCTGGTCTTATAATATAGAAGAGAAGACTGAGTGTCCGAGGTAGTAGAACACAAAAGGCCTAGGGGCCTATTTTGCAATGCTCAAAATGACATCGACTGTTTTACTTCCGTGCTTGGACTTGCTCATTGCAACAGTACGAGGATTTAATATTATATTCCCGTGCTTAAACTTCCTTGCTGCAATGATACAAGGATCTCATTTGAACTGTCTGGAGATAGTGAAGGAGGAATAGCTTCCGGCTGATGAGGGGAACGCTTCGGGTTTCGAGAATCGAGATCGGGAAACACTCCACAATGCCTGTTATCCATTCTTCCCCGAACCCAATGATATCCTCCCAGCATCTCGTCCCCCGAAGTGCGAGGTAACCAATAAAAATAGGTATCTTACCTTAGGTAATATCGGGTAGAGGGTACTCTTTGAAGGTTCAAAGCGACAGTACACCCCCACCGGAGTTCCTGGACCTTCATTTCACTTCATACCTTACTCACCAACCCTTAAATACTCAAACGCACAATTGCCAAAATCCCATCAATGAATACCCAAGCGGGATTCTCCCCACAACAAGAAGAACCGCAACACCAGAATGACGACCCCGAAACAAACCTCAACACCCTCCTCGTGGTCTCGCAACAAGGAAATCTCCCCCTCGTCCAACACCTCCTCACCCTTCCACAAACAAACCCCAATCCGCCGGCCACACAAGACTTCTACGGCCGCACCCCTCTCCAGGAAGCCTCTCTCGCGGGGCACCTCCCCATCGTGCGCGCTCTCCTGGCCGCGGGAGCAGACCCCAACACGCCGGGCGGCAACAACGGCGGGCTGACTGCCTTGTCGCTCGCGGCTCGCGCCGGCCATCTCGCAATCGTCGAGGTGTTGCTGCAGAGCGGGGCAGATGTGAACCTCCCTGCGGCGCGATACATGGGGCGGACGGCGTTGCAGGCGGGTGCGGAGGGCGGGAGTCTGAAGGTGGTGGAGAGGTTGTTGGAGGTTGGGGCGGAGGTTAATGCGGCGCCGGCGTGGAATAGTGGATGCACGGCGCTGCAAGGGGCGGCTGGGGGAGGGCATGCGGAGGTGGTGGAGGTGTTGTTGGAAAGGGGGGCGGAAGTGAATGCGGGTCCGTTGGGGAGGTATAAGTGCCTGACGGCACTGCAGGCGGCCTCGAAGGCGGGGTCGAAGGCGGTGGTGGAGAGGTTGCTGAGGGCTGGGGCGGATGTGAATGCCGCTGGGTGTTACTTTTGGGGATGTACGGCTCTGTACGCGGCGGCGGAGGGAGGGTTTGAGGGGGTGGTGGAGGTGTTGCTTCGAGCTGGAGCCGAGGTTGAAGTGGTAGAAGGGAATCCCAGGGGGTGGACTGCACTGAAGGTTGCGAGGGTGAGAGGCCATGAAGGGGTTGTGAAGATACTTGGAGACGCTAGAGAAAAGGCAAGGGATAAAGAAGTGGTGTTGCCGCTCATGGAATAACTGGATAAGCATGAAGGGAACAGGATGTTCAATGTTGGGATGGTGAATAGAAGAAAGAGCGCTTGCTGACTGGCTCGATCAGCGAGACAATATATCAGGGTCAACACGCTCAGCCCACTGCCGATCCCGAAATTGTAGAAACAAAGAGCTAGGTCCCTTTCTCCAAGATACCTGGTAATTATGAGGTTGCAGCTGGTGGCCCCTTTGACCATTTTTTTCTCCACAAAAGAGTGTCTCTGACATGGCTGGCCATACCAAACAAGAAAAGACCGTTGTGCGAGTCCATAAATGACCCGACTGGACCCTTCTACTTAGACGCTTCATAGACTCAGCCAGTGCAGCCATCAGTGTGGTCTTGCCTTGATGGTCCGGTTGCCCGTCACAGAGTACCGTAACAGCAATGTCCATCACCCGCCGACCCAGAAACCCCACGGGCGTGATGGTCACCTTGACCTTTAGACTTTCTCAAAACCCTCTTCTTTTTCCCATAAAGTCCACGGTTCCGACACGGCCCAGGATTCCTCGCAGCCACCGCCGGGGTGGTGGATTATGTCCTCGGCATGCGTTAGGGGCACCACTTCGTCACAACACCAGTCCAACATCGCTCGGACTGACCAGAAGTTGGTCATCTCTCGCCATGGTATCAGCCCCATCACTGGCATCTTCTGATGCACTCCCAGTTCTCTCCTTCCAGCGATAAACGGCGGTGTATAACGAGCCACTAATTGATTTGTCGTTCCATCATTCGTTGTCGTCGTACTCGGCCTCGTTTTAAGCTACTGAAAGGCGGTCCCACAACGTCACGGACTTGAGGACACGAGTGATGCACCAGGCGATGGCGCGACCACTATGGGGGGCATAGGGATTCTCCAACCTTCCCGCCTTCGCCGTGAGCTTTAGTTCCGCATCCTGGGAACCCGTCGCTGCAAGTCTAGGGATAGCCCTAGGCCCCGCAAACAATTCTCTTGTTGCCATGCTCTCGCCGGTCCAAATCAAGAATCTTCCATGACCAATCATTTGGGCAACTCGGTGCACTACTGAAGTTCCCCGACGGAAACAAGCTTCGTACTTGTGTCGTGAGAGTTGTCGGTGAGTAATGATGTGCCGAAAAGACGGGAGAAAAAGGCTTCAGTCTGCGTTGGCCTCCAGTAACCTGGACTCGTGAGGCCTCGCCATGGGCGGAGGTAGATGATTTGTGCTCATCGATTTCCTGCAACATAATTGTCTCCAGCTTCAACATGTCGTGCCTGTAGCGTAGATGGCAGAAATTTGCAATGTCAAAGCTTTGCCCAGTACAGTTGTTAGCTTGAATGTGGCAATAATCAGAGAGGGCTCATGATACTTTCAGGGTTCCTGTCGGCTCGGCCGCCCGTGATCCGTCTGGCTTCCTGACCTCGCTGCATCCGGCGCTGACGCGGAATAATGTGAAGTCATTAAATAACTTCTGACGGCTGAAAGACTTTGAGTGCGAAGTACTCGACGTCGTCTCTGGCGTGAGGAGGGCAGGACTGGACAACCTGTCTCCCACACCGGTGCAATCGAGTACGGTGTTCTAGGGACCACGTGCAATGTATACTCGGTGCTACGCCTGGGGTAAGGTTAACGCACTTATTTGATGGGCCATCGTACGGATCCGTACCAATCAGCGCTTGACTCGCTTCTGTTGCTGCCGAGGTCAGCTTGGGCGCCCGTCATCTCCTGAAACCGGCTGGTGCTGGCAACATGTCAACACAAGGGGGAAAAAAAAGAAACAAAAAAAGGGTCTCTACTACTACATCACAAAGTTCCTACAGGGTTACTTTGGCGGGCCACAAAGCGGCACGGTCCTTCATGTTGAGAAATGGTGGCTAGGTCACCGAGAAACGCCGACACTGTTTAGGCTTAGCGTTATGAACTTAGTTCAGCCTTTGTTTTGGGCTGCCCGAGCGGTACGTTGCCAAAGGGGGAGCGCAAAGGCTTGTTTATAGTTACCCAGCCGGCAACGCTTGAACTGTCCAGTATCCCGCAACGCTATCCATCCGCTACTGCTTGCCGGCCTTTTCAAGGATTTCCCTCATACGTCTATGCAGTCCGCTATGTTCTCTTTTCCACCTCCTGCCCCCCTGGAAACACTACCACCGATCACACCGGACGAATCAACACACGCCCTACTCGTCCTCCTCCTCCCGGGCCTCCTCACCCTTATTAAGCCCGCCATCCGTAACGCCCTCTACCTCTGGCTCGTCACCCCATCGTCGGCCTTGACTCAACCTACGCCCCTGCCTGGGGCATCTTTGATACCATCCGCTGGCGCTGGTCATGGTGCCCGTGCAGGCGCTTGAGGCCGCGAGTCTCGCCTTTGTGGGGCGCATGGCGGCGTGAGTTGGGGACGAACGCAGTCAAGTCCGGCCGCGTTGCGTTCCGCACTATCCTTCGCATCATGAAGCCCAAACTCGTCGCCGTGGGCATCGCGGTAGCGGCCGGGGTTCCGGTCGCCATAGCCCTGTCGCTCCGGGCCGCGAGCTCCTCTGCGTGGTATCCGAGCGATTGAGAGGAGGTTGCCGAGGTTACGGCATACATATGGCGCACGATCGATTGGTGCTATATATATCATGCGGCATCGTCGTAGTTAGCGAGCATTGTACTGGCGAGAAGTGCGAAGTGGTATCTATATCAGAACCTGGCAAGTAATCTGCTGTATGTTCTGCCGTAGACAATTATATCCGAGCTTGGGGTTCTGGACGAGGGCAATGCGTGGAAATACCATAGTTTTGTTTCCGGTGGGAATTTAGTGTTTTTGTCGATATTGTGGTTGTGGATGCGTTGTGGGTGTGGAGTTGGATGACAGGGAGGGCGAGGTTGGAGAAGTTCCGGGAAGGTTGAGCGTAAGTATAGAGAGGACTGATAATAACCAAGTTCCGAGTCGTCCAATCCACCACCATCAAGCGAACAATTCCCAACGTTCCTGTCTCTTTCCAAGCCCATGGTGGTCAGCTGATGCCGTCGGTCACAGGCCGTTCTCTTCATTACCCTCCTCTTCGCCACTAGCCTTGCTCCAAATGGAGCAATCACGAGTCAATCCACGGCATTCTCAGGTGGTTCAAGGATGGCGTCGTTGACCATCATGAACCAGATGCGTCAGGGACAAGCGACGTTGGGTGGGCACCTGTCATATAAGGCGACCCGGCGAGGTATGCAAGGAGAGTTACTTTCTGTTGCCTGTCCTCGTAGAGGCCGGAAGTAGGGTTGCAGAGTGGGCCGCCATGCACGCAATTATTGTCCCTTGATCTCGTCGAGAACGGAGACGTGTAGTAATGCTCCAAGTCCTCTCGCCGAAGTCGCAGGATGCCAAACCGGCCCGATCGTCGCAAGCCTCCAAAGAACGACACCAAATATTTCTAATACCGTACCTTAGGATGAAGTGCCAGAGAAGAGTGATCTGATGTATAATCGGACGGTATATTCTCTATGTGACCAGAGAAACTTGGAGGTTGGCAAGGGCCAAGCGTTCGTTGAACACTAAGCTACCTACTGTACCTACCTAGAGCACCCTAGGTGCATGTAACGTTAATGGATGGAGCTGCCTTTTAATAGTCTGATTTCCATAACATGCACCGAGCGCCCTACCGACCGATTCACAGAAACGTCGCGATGGGCTCTTGATTGATGATTGTACCCTGGGCGAGAGTCAAATATCTAGCTACACTTCATTCTGCTAAGCCTCTCCTCTCCCTTTCATTTTGCTGACCCCGCCTTCCCCCCCCCCCCTCCTTCCCCCTTTACAACTAGAAGGAATCGCTTCATCTCGGCCGCATCACGCTTGGGATTTTGTCTCCTCATCGAAGGGTTTCTGCGCTGCTACCAGTGTTCTACTTGCGTCGCGCCAGGAGCTCCTCAGGCATCCCTTCAGGACCAACCCCCGAACTAGCAATAGTAAGCTGAAGAAAGGGGAGTAGTTAGCTCATGATCTTGATAGGTTCTCTCAATGTCGACGTGATGGTGGCTCTAGTTAAACAGATAAAGGACGGGGCACGTACCAGTTCCTCAACCTTGGCATCGTCCAAGCCGACAATATCATACTTGGTAGCCCCATCCGCAAGCACCAGCGTGTCAGGCTTCACCGACTCGGTGCAGTTGCTGTCGCAGGTGTCCTCTGCACGCCGGCGGCTGACAAACCAGTAGCGTGACCCCGTGTAGTTGTACCTCGAGTTGGGAGTCATGCAATACCAAGTCTGTCCATTGATGTCAGCCAGCCACTTGGGCGAGCCGCAACCACCGCCGGAATAGCCCTGGGCATTGATGTGCCAATTCGTCGGGACGCCGCGGTAGGCCACGCTGACGGAGTTGCCGGTGCAGCAGACGTTGGGGTTGATGCCGGTGCAAACGGCGGCGCCGCCGGAGCAGTCGCTGGAGCCATGAAAGTAAACATCGATGGCCGAGGCCGAAGCGACTAGTCCGAGGAGAACGTGGCTGAAGTGCATTTTGGACTGAGATATATAACTCAAGGCGTTTAAGACGAGGAGGAGGGTGTGGATGAAAGGGTTGAGGATGAAATTTCGGAAGTTAGATCAGGGAGAGAAGACGCCCGTTTATATACCTCATAACTGTCATCTCAAGGCTCGTTCATGGCCTTGGGTAGAACCCACCAGTACAGCGCTGTTTGGCTTGTTCGGTAACTTCGGTTCCCAACGTCTCCATAGAACAAGGCAAGTTGCGAGATGTGGATTCCCAGTGTGCATGACTATGTAGAGTAGAACAAGTTTGGAGCTGGGGCGTGGAGCCTGTCAGCCTGATACTACAGTAATATCCCGAGGAAAGCTGGTGTCGAATCAGATAGCCTGTGATACTTGGCTTACCTGGTTGTCTACGATGCTGACTTGCCTGTTTTGTCTCAAGGCAGGCTAGCCAGGCAAACACAGTGAGACAAGCGCTAGGAAGTGGAAATAGCCTTCTGGGCGGGCATCTTCAAGGGAGAAATGACGGTGAAGACTTGCATTCCACTGGGCGGTTAACGAACGCTGTAGGAGTTACCTACCTACCTGGTAATCTGCTCAGTTGGTTACGGCAGCTATTGAGGCGTAGTCACTCGGCAGCGCACCTTGTTGGCTCTTTTGAACTTTCCGTAAGCTGGCTCGAGGTTCGGTCGCGGGGATGGTGCATTCTACTAGTCCGAGGAAGCTGACAAGTCCGAGAAGCAGAGCTTACCAAAGGTGTTAGCCGACTGGGCCTACATCAAGCATGTACAGCGTTGTATTCCTTCCTACCTTCCCGTTGTACCTGATGCTGACAAGCTCCAGAATTCTGGAGCAACTGGGTCTTCAATACGTCTGCCTCTTCCGGGACAAGGTAGGGCCTACCATCTCTACCTAGCTAGGTTGACCTCGGACGCTCTACTCTGAAAGTAGGCGAGATCAAGCATCTCTTAGGTCTCCATGTCATTCTGTTGTAGGTGCCTTAACTCACATATCCAGGTCTTTTGCACCTCCTTGCTTTTTTCATGCCATCCATACATGCGTGCATGTGGCTAGCCAGACCTCGAGCGTCTGAGCCATCTCGCACATTACCTTACATTTCCTCATTATCACACTGCCATCCCTCCCTGCATTACATCACACATTCAGACCCGGGAACTCAATAAGGTCTTTGTCACAAGACACTCTTGCTTACCTTAAGTAAAGGCCCTGCTCAAGAAAAAGCACTCTTTCATGCTTAGGCGGCTGAAATCGTGATGCTCCACCCAAGCTTCCTTTAGCGAAGTTATGAACTTGCCGGCAACATGCTTAAGATACCGGCTACTTCGCGACACTCCATCGGTGGCCGCGATGTACCTGAGCATTTGTTGTCGGTGGCTCAGTGATTGAGAAAACGAAGAGGCAGACTTTCGTGGCCTGTGTACAATATCCAGTGAAGGACGGATTCGTAAGCCTGCTAACAGCGGCCGCCATCTCCGAGGGATGAGTGGCCACGATGCATGAGACGATGGTGGCAACATCATAGTCCTTCCTGTGTCATATATATGCAAAGGAGGTTGCGATGACCGACGCCGGGCGGCAGGTCCCGAGCTCTTGTTCGGGTGACCCCTGGCCAGATGCAGAAGGGTGCAAATGAATGAAATTAAAGGCGGCTGTCGTGGATGTAGACTTGAAGTTCGAATTCAAGTTCTGCAAACTTTGCGATTGCATTGTGAAGCAGGCTTGCTTCTTTGTCATAACTCAACAGCCAAGTATGATCGCAGTTGATTAACGTTACAGTAGTTAGCACTTCACACAACCAAGGTGCCCGGGATTCACAGCGCTTCAACATCCCATCAATGCGCGCTCAGGCTGCCGCCAATTCAGAGCCGAAGCTCTGCTCCTTTCTGATGGTGTCAGTTGCTTGTGGGTCATTACGTCTTTCCCGGCCCGATCAGCTTCAGCCGCTCCTTGTCCTCGGGAAGGAGCACTTTTAGGTCTACGTTCCTGACCAAACCGGAGTCATCCAATTCGGTTTCCCTTGAAAGTGCTGCAGAGGCCGCTCTCTCATCCGAGGAATTCGAAATGGGAACATAATTACTTCGACAACCATGGATATTCATGGATGGAAACCCTCGTCTTTCCTGACTCCGCATGTCTATTTGGCATTGATGCTTTCCTCAGAACACCTCGCCCTCAAAATTCAACTCTCGCTTGGCCATTTTTTCACATACCTTATTTTGGCGTGATTTTCATAATTTCTGTGATGCCAGTCTCATGTCCGCGGCGCCATGTCGAGGTTGTTGCCCATGGGACAACTCCAGCCCCAATTTCATGGGATCCAGATCAGCTGTTACTATGGCTACGGACTGCCGTAAGCAAGGGGCGGCACATGTGGAGGATGGGCCGTCGGACCGCTAACTTTACTATACGCAAGTTGATTGGCTATAGGCTGATTAATGTAAGCAGAATCGGCTACGAATGGCCTTCAAAGTCGTGGAGAGATGGAGACGGAGGCGGCACAGTCAGCAGAACAGCATTGAGCATTGCTGGCCCAGGCCGGCGATTTATCCAAAGTGGGGAGAGATTACCACCATGCTCCCAACGGTGACAGTTTCGGGAATCCGACAACACCAGCAAACCAAGGACCTCGACAAGGCCCGTCGTTGACAGCGAGTCTGTCGTCTGCGGACATAGTCGAATAGCTGAGAGACCCAAGCTTCCATTAGTACAAACCGGCCGTCTAAACAGAGCTGGACTCTGACTCTGAGTCCATCTCATTATCTCGACGGGAGTCTCCTGCCCGCCCCAAGGTTACATCGGACCGTTGCAAGCCACCCTCGTCCAAAGGACACCGTCTCCGGACTCCCCCGCGAATCATCAAGCACCGGTTCCCTCTTGTTCTGTAACGCTCGATTTCTCGACTTCCTGATTCGCCTCTAGGGCCACACCCCCCAACGCCGCGGGACATGTGCCCCGGTGGGTTGCATATCGAAATCGGCGCTTGCTTCCGCTTCTTACGCTAGTCCCTGGCTCCTTTATCTCGAGCCTGTTGGTCAGCTTGACCAAGTCCTGGGGCAAAATTGGGGAACCTCACCTTGCCCTTGCTTCTCAATTTATTACCTGGTCCTGTTAATATGGTTCCGAGGCTGACACCATGCCGATCTCATACGCTTGGGGTCGAGGCTATACTCCGGGCCCTGCAGATCAATCTATCCCCCACCCATCAGCTTCATGAAATAGGCTGCTATGCTTCCGCAGGATCCATCCTATCGGTGACAATACGTTGCCTCACCCGGGAGTGCCGTTCCGTGGGCTCATTGACGAGAATGCGGAGTGCAGGACGGGACGTGCCTGCCAGACACACGTCTGGGAAGGTACCAGGCGTTATTTATGCCTCGCCAGTTTCCTGTGAAGACCTAATGGGTTGAGAGGGAAATTTGTCTTTTTTGGCCCAGCCTGACTCCGAGCCAGCTTGTCAGCCCCAGCAGCATTGGAGCCATGAAGTTTCTACGCCGCGCTGGGACGACCGCACTCGCGGCGTCGTTGTGTAAGTCTCTGGTCCCAATTCCCTTGCAAGACGGCCTACCGAGAATGACTGACACTTTCAAGGCCTGCAACAATGCGTCGCCCAGATGACCGAGGGTTCCTACACCGACGCTGAGAGCGGCATCAAGCTGAAGACCTGGACTGCCACCGATGGGACCCCTTTCACCTTTGGTCTGGCCCTACCCTCCGACGCTGTGACAAAGGATGCCACCGAGTACATTGGTCTCTTAGTAGGTTAACACCTCTCCTTGCAACGGGAGCACTCCGCTAACCCGTTCAGCGCTGCCAACTCGCCACCGACACGTCGCCCGGGTGGTGCGGCATCTCCCACGGCCAGTCCGGCCAGATGACCCAGGCGCTGCTGCTCGTTGCGTGGGCATCCGGAGAAACCGTCTACACCTCGTTCCGCTACGCCACGGGCTACACGCTGCCGGATGTCTACACCGGCGACGCCAAGCTGACGCAGATCTCGTCCAACGTGACGGCCACCGGCTTCGAACTGCTCTACCGATGCGAGAACTGCTTCGCCTGGAACCAGGGCGGCACCAGCGGAAGCGTTTCAACCAGCCAAGGGAACCTTGTCCTCGGTCGCGCTGCCGCGAGGGATGGTCTTGAAAATCCCACGTGCCCGGACGAGGCCACCTTCGGGTTCCACGACAGCGGCTTTGGACAATGGGGGGCGCCGCTCGAGGGCGCTGCTCAGGCGTCGTATGCGCAGTGGACTGCGTTGGCTACGACCGTGCCGGAGACCACCTGCGGCGGGTGAGTCGGCTTCCTCACTGCCAGGAACTGCATGGTGTGCTAACTAGACGGCAACAGCACCGGCGGCCCGGGCGCGCAATGCATTCCTGCTCCCGAAACAACATACGACTACATTGTCGTCGGTGCCGGAGCCGGCGGAATTCCCGTGGCCGATCGCCTCAGTCAAGCGGGCCACAAGGTGCTGCTGATCGAAAAAGGACCGCCTTCGACCGGCAGGTGGAACGGCACCATGAGGCCCAAGTGGCTTGAGGGTACTGGGCTCACGCGCTTCGATGTTCCGGGGCTGTGCAACCAGATCTGGGTCGATTCTGCCGGCATTGCCTGCACCGATACCGACCAGATGGCAGGCTGCGTCCTGGGTGGTGGAACTGCCGTCAACGCCGGTCTCTGGTGGAAGGTGAGCTCTTCTGGACCCAACGTCAAGAATCCAATGTAGGGCTAACAAGTTGCGCCAGCCCCCTGCTAAGGACTGGGATTACAACTTCCCCAACGGCTGGAAATCCAAGGACCTCGCCGATGCGACAAGGCGCGTCTTCCAGCGCATTCCGGGCACCTGGCACCCGTCCATGGACGGGAAGCTCTACCGACAAGAAGGATACGAGATTCTCACCAGCGGGCTCTCCAAATCCGGTTGGAAGTCGATCGTTGCCAACGACGTGCCAAACCAGAAGAACCGCACCTTTTCCCACACCCACTTCATGTTTGCGGGCGGCGAGAGAAACGGCCCGCTGGCGACGTACCTCGTTTCGGCTGACGCGCGGAGCAACTTTGATCTGTGGACAAACACGGCTGTCAGAAGAGCCGTTCGTACTGGCAGCAAGGTGACCGGCGTTGAGCTGGAGTGCCTGAGCAATGGCGGTCTCTCGGGGACCGTCAAGATCAAACCCAAGGGCGGCGTCATCTTCTCGGCTGGTGCTTTCGGCTCGGCCAAACTACTCCTCCGCAGTAAGTCAACCATGATCGTAACAAAATTGCAGGACTGACCAGTGTACAGGCGGTATCGGTCCCGAGGATCAGCTCGAAGTTGTCGCGAGCTCCAAGGACGGCGCCACCTTCACACCCAAGGCTGAGTGGATCAAGCTCCCTGTCGGCTACAACTTGATCGACCATCTCAACACCGACCTCATCATCACCCACCCGAACGTCGTCTTCTATGACTTTTATGAGGCATGGAACACGCCCAACCCGAGCGACAAGGACTTGTACCTGAAGAAGAGGTCCGGTATTCTTGCGCAGGCGGCGCCAAACATCGGCCCAATGGTAACCTCCTTGGGATGGGTATGCCGGCTTGACACCTGCTGACTGTAGTGCAGATGTGGGAGGAGGTCACCCCCTCGGACGGTATTGTCCGGCAGTTCCAGTGGACTGCCCGAGTGGAAGGCGATGGCCGGTTTACAAACGACACGACCCGTAAGCCATCCACACTCCCGTCTCGCTCCAAGTACTTGTGGACATGCTAACAGCCTTCAGACGCCATGACGCTCAGCCAGTACCTCGGCCGCGGCGTCGTATCGCGCGGCCGCATGACCATCACCCCGGGCCTGGCAACGGCCGTGACGGAGCACCCGTACCTCCACAACGCCGGCGACAAGGAGGCTGTAATCCAGGGCATCAAGAACCTGCAAACTGCGCTAAACGTGATTCCCAACATCACCTGGGTCCTGCCCCCGCCTAGCGGCACGGTTGAGGACTACGTCAATGGCGTAAGCCCCTTCCCTCCCTTTCTGTCCCAATCCTTGTTGATAACACAATGACTGACCCTGTATGTGCGTGGGTAGCTCCTGGTTTCCCCTTCCAATCGACGCTCCAACCACTGGATGGGCACGGCCAAGCTGGGCACCGACGACGGGCGGACGGGCGGCACGTCGGTGGTGGACTTGAATACTAAAGGTATAGCAAACTCCCATATTCGTGAAATGTTTATCCCGCTTCATCGCTGTCTTGGGAACCGCCAATCACTTCCCATTCCCAAGACGGCGCAATTGCTCCGAAACACTCCAGACACATCTGAAATAGGAATGTCACAGCTGACATTTGTTGCAGTGTATGGGACGGACAACCTCTTTGTGGTGGATGCGTCCATCTTCCCGGGCATGACGACAGGCAACCCGTCGGCCATGATCGTGATCGCGGCGGAGCAGGCGGCGACCAGGATTCTGAGGTTGAGGAAATGAAGTGTGGCGCTTAGCGGTGGTCTGGGTGTGAGCTCCAAGGGTTGAGGTCTGACAACCGATGTAAGAATCGAGTTAGTGTGGGAAAATCAAGATTATTGTCCTCCAGTGCATTCTGTTGCACCCGACGCGTTGCTCACTCCAGTTGTGTTCTACCCTTGACTCAGGAGCAAGTGAATCTTTGGTCTTTTTGAACCGCACTCCATTTAGTCTTTATAAACCAATAGCGAGCAGCCACTGCCAAGCTACGGTGGGTGAGCAACACCTACAATTCTTCCGTAGTATAGTGGTCAGTATGTGAGCTTGTCATCCATCAGGGTCGACGTCGCTCGAGACCCGGGTTCAATTCCCGGCGGGAGAGACCGAAACGGCGGAGCCAACCCAACCGGCAATTCCGCACATTTTTTCGGAAATATGTCCAGGGTCTTTTTTGGTGTTTCTTAAGCGTTTCAGGGGTTGGCCAACCTTTCAACCAGGAAGACGCGACCGCACTCCTGCCTTGCGCAAAAATCGTGGGCAACTGGACGTCCGAATCAAGTCCACAACCCTTTCACTTTTGCCGCAACACCGTCAAGAGCTGAGTCTCCGCTCGCAACTTGTACTTTTCCTTTCTCTTTGGAGAGCGCCAAACCTCTTTGTCATAATGTCATTGTTTCCTTGTCTCGTCTGGACAGCCGTCTGTTCCTTCTGCATGGTAGGACTTGGGTAAGTATGTTTTGAGGGCTTGGCTTGTTTCTTGAACACCTGAACTTGGAGGAGTGAACTGAAGGAAGGAATAGTCCTTGCTTTTAAGTGGAAGAATGAGGCGTCGAGAACAACAATAAAAACTTAGGAGAGTAATACATTGCCGAAGAGAAAGAAGAAACCCGAACGTTCAACGGCCAGTTGCGGCCGAGAAGCCAAGTCAGTTTGTACGGTAGTTTGTACTTTTGTTACTCACCAAGCAAAATCGCTTAGAATCGAATTTTTTCGTCGGGCAGCTTGAAGTTATTAGAAGTCGAAGCCTGGAATCCATGTATCCTGATACAGCTGGTTGGCGGATTATCACGGTCATGTAATCTATGGATGGCCAAAAAGGTTGGTTCCCATACAATCAAATGGATGCTACCACGCCAACAATACCCATTCTCACTGGGGTTGCAGCTCGTAGGCTCGGCAGGTTCATGAATGCAAAGGATGATTTGCATGTGGGCTCAGGGGTAGAGGTGCGATGAGAATAACTTCTACTCCGACCCTCATGGGTGCACTCGCTGGCTTGATTACACTCTGGCCCTTCGCTATTCTTTATGTTGTTCCATCCACTGTGCCGTGCAATAATTTTTCCAGCCATCATTCCATTCTATTCCTACTGCCTGCACGGTTATAAGCCGTCACCTGCAAAAAGCAGCACTGTTTAGTTATACGAATTGTGGAGGAGGAAAAAGAAACCCACGAACCTAGCTTTGACGTTTCTGACTTTCTGGCCCTCTTCGTTTCTATATTTAAGAGACAGTATAAGTGCAATGCCGCGACTGCTCAACAACCACCCCTTGCTTGCACATTCTCGTGTCTCTCCCCCATTCAAAGTTCATGGCAGCTGCCAGCCAGTTCACACAACTCTTCCCTGAGATAAGTATTCAGTGACATTCTGCTATTTTTTTTTTCCAGCGGGCGTTGAGCAGGCCGGTTTTTCACTTCCTTTTTACTCCTTTTAGCACTTGCACTCTTGCATTCTTGCACAATCTTCAACTTTTGAAGCGTTGTGGCTGATTTTACTGCACTGAGCATCGCCATTCTTCTCACACCACCATCGTTCAACCCTTCAATCCCCAGTGCATATCACCATCCTAGAGACAGCAGCATCGCCCATCATGTGCACCGGCATCATCGGTCAGTGCCAGTGCTTCAGTTGCATGGACCTTCCTACGCCTGGCAAGGTTCTGCGCATCGATTTCTGCCCCACGCGGCAGGATGAACTCGTCGGCGTCTGGACTCCCTTCTCGCCCCAGACCGGAAAGCTCACTCCGTGCTCCAACCTGACCTTTGACCGCGTGCGCGACCCACTCTCATGTCATTTCAGAAACATGGACGTTAACCAGGGCACCACGGCAAAAGCAGTCACTCACACCGACACCAAGCTGAAGCGGCCTGAAGACGTTCAGAAGGAGGAATCACTCAAAGACGCTGCCAATCACGCCCTCTCTCTGGGCTCAGCTTCCAAACCCATCGAGAACGACCCTGTTGGGGCCGAGGTGGAAATTCATTTCACGCCCATTAATGCTGCCGCAGTTGCGAAACATGCTTCTGCGACCACAAACGAGGACAAACCCGGAGCGATCAAAGCCATGCCCACTTTCGATTACAACGACCTGGACAAGACAGACAAGGCAGACAACATTGACAAAGCCGGCCACATGAACACAATGGACAATGATCCTCACGCCACCGCCTATGAGAGCAACACCGAGAGCAATACCGAGAACGACAAGATGGACATCGACGATGCGCCTTCTGCGGCCGCGGACCCCGGCGCCGGTTCTTCCCACGAAACTTCCACCAACCCGACCGACAAACGGACCGTCACCAACGTTTCCGCTGCTAGCGCTGGCTCCGTTCAAGAGACTCTCTCCAAGCAGACGGCTAGCGCCACTAACACCAGCGGCTCCCTTACGCCCTCGAGCCGCAAGCGCCTCCCCGACAGCCGCCCGCGCACTCCGGCCGTTGCTGAGGCCGCCGCCAGTGTAACGCGAAACAACGGCCAGTGGACGCACGAAGAGACGGTGAAGTTGCTGCTGCTGCGGGCTAAAGCGGTGGCGTTTGAGGGTATAGCTGAGGTGAGTTATCCTTCTGCCTTGCCTTTTTGTTTCTTTCTTTCTTTTTCTTTTTCCTCTTGTCTCTCGCCAAGTCCCCGGATCGTCACGAGAGATCAACGCTGATCAGTATTGTGGACAGTACCTCCCTGGATGGGACGCTGCGGCGTGTGAGAAGCGACTTTCCGAGCTCGCGGGCAAGCATGGGTTTAAGGCTTTTATTTGAGGAAGGACCCCAAGGGGGTCCTTGGAGAACTGCCGTTGCCGGGTTGGCTGGATCCGACAGGATCGGCAGAGGGGAGATACTATCGCCGCTGCTGTGATGGTTGGATTACGTGGTCGGTCCTGAGATAGAGACCTTCCAGGTTATTAGATGCCCGGGCGATCACCCGGGACGGGCAACACGCCTAAAGATACGGCAATAGGAGATCCTGGGCCGACATAGGTCCCTTTTTCTTCTTCCACGAACGTATCACTTTCAGTACATCTCGGCGAGGTACTCAGTTGCCTGGAACCACCTTGGACCTCAAGCTCGTTCGTTGCCTTCCAGGTTGCAATGGCCGGACGCAGTGCCACCCAAGACCGCCCACACCTCTCGATCTGTGGCCAAGACGTTGCATCAGCCCGGTAAGGCGCTCTATTAGGTCATACGGCCGCGTCGACCAAGCGAGCAATGCGAGCCGCCCGACATCCTCCTGAGTCCAAGCCCGACGATCGCTGCCGGTGACGTTACCTGCGGCTGTTTCACCGAAAAAGCCCCTTAACGCTACCTACCAATTCCGTGAACAGCCACCTCTGCGAGAGCACCCATGACACGCCAGCTGTTGGTTTCCGTGCCGGTCTTCATTCCCTGACACGGCCTGGACATCGAGCGGAATTGGGGACTATATTCGGTTCACCAAGTGTTCTGGGTATTCCGAAGGCGCATCTTCCAGTTGCACTGAATTATAGTTCGAGCCTTCGAGGTCCCCGGATACATTGAAGATTTGTATATGTACTATCACGAGTACATATGGCTCTGTCCAACCCTCACACTGTTCTCCATCCCCTTGATTCCAGGTCGATTAAACCGTACTTGACTGCTGTGGCAGTGACGAAGGCCGATTCGATCATGACTCCCCACGGTAGGTGAAACCAGTCACCCTCACATCGACCGTCACCTCGAACCACGGCCCACTTCGAGTGGCTCCGGGTATTACGCAGTGGTCAAGCTGGAGGGCACAAACTGCCCTCACAGAAATAACAGCAAACGAAATCGTTTCCACCAGGGCAGACACCATCTGCAGATTCCATAGGTTAGCATTAGCCTCTGGCTCATTAGGGAACCATTGCCGTTCGGTTTCGACAAGGTGTAATGATCAAGGGAGATAATCGTAAAATAATTGGTAGTTTACCCCGAAGCGCAACTCCCGGGCAGCCGTCGCCAACATTGCGCCACAAGCAGGCCGTGTGGAAGTCTTTGGTGGGACAGTTGCGGGTGATGCGACAGCCCATGACGTTGTCGGGGTCGTTGGGGCACGGCCAGTTGCCGGGCGAGCCTTGGAGGGCGTCGCCGCCAAACTGGTCTCTGCAGACGTTGTGGTCCAGGCAGATGCACCACTTGGTGTCCCAGGAGCCGGAGCATCGGCCACCGACCACCGCGAGGACGACGGGAGGAAGGAGGAGGGTGGACAGGGCGGCAATCACTTTCATCATGTTCGTTGGGCTCCGTTGATGAGGGCGAGAATGGGAGTGATGTGGTAACTGAGATACAAAGGGGGTGGGTACCCTGTCAGGTTTGTGATGCAGAGGGATTGTGGGCTGAGAGTGTTTGGTTAGGTACATTTAGTATCTCAAAGACCAGGAGCAGAATTATGCCCTTTGTCTTTAAGCACTTTTATTCACCGTCTTGCACTTCCAGCTGCTCTTGAATCTTCTTGGTGCAAGCCGGGTCATCACAGACGCCGTTGGTTCGTATCCTGGCGGTGCCAAGTCGCAGCCGGACGATGTGTAACGCTGCAGTATGGCGGTATGGACCTCTCAATGGCTAGAGGTCGTTGTTGGATGCTGAGTGGAGCCGATGGCTTGTCGGACCTGTTGAAACCGGGAGCAGCTTCAAAAACTCATCGACTCTAGCAATGTCAGCATCAGGTGAGGATTTTAAGTGCTTGAGCTGCGGCTAGCGCACAAGGCTGTGCAGCTCGCTGTTGATTGCTCATTACCGGTGTTGACGCTGGACACAGCGACTGCAGAAGTGCAGAGTGCGACGTCGCCATGAACAGTGCGAGGTGGTACACATGGTCCCTTTCAGGAAGGTGGTGCACCTCGGATCCAGTCCGAACTTCACGCGTCCGCTGCAGGTTTCTTTTGGAATACCTTCAGGTGACATATAACGTTGGGTGCGCTGTGTAAGATGTGGTTGAGTTGGGGATTCCTCATGATGAATATGCGCAGGGCAGACCTCACAATGGTAGCCGCCTGTTTGCCAGTTCCGGTTACCACACGTAGCGGGCACCCTTACAGGTCCCAGGGGGGGAACCGGGGGCGGGGCGGCGCAATTCTGGTGCCGAAGGACGCTTTGACGGTAAGACCGACTATTGTTGTCATCTCGGCGGAGCGAGCTGAAGAGAAGTGGACAAGTGCTATAGCATCCAAACGTTAGAACTACAAGCAAGAGGTCCGTGTGATGGATATTGCCCCAGGGGGTTTCCTCTACTTCTTAGTGTCCGAGGTGAAGTTGACACTCGTTGACCTGGTGTTGGAGCCAGGGGACTGGGTGGGAGATCCCGGCCGTGAGCGGGACTCGTGCTCAAGTGACTTGAGGCACCCTTGCCATACGCCTTGTTTCAGGCTTTGTCCAGTGCATCGTCCCGAGCCTTCTCATGGGCTTGGCCACCGGCAAGGTATACTAGGTTATCCAGAATGTCCCACTTCCGAGAGCTTTTAGGGTATATGGCGGGCTATATGGTAAATATGGTGTGTCTTAAATTGATTTAGTATGTTAGAAGGCTTGTTGTCAGGCATGTTGGGGTTGGCACACTGAGTGTAGTAAGTAATGGATTGAGAAAATCCAAGCTCAATGTTTTATAAGTTGATTGATGCCTGGCAGTATTGGATTCTTTACTGGCGATCTGGTACGCGAGGACGAAGTTGATCCTTTATACCGAACCTGTACATCACAACAACTAGCATGAGCTTCCCCAGGACTAAGGTACTGGGCACGCTTCCCCAAACTTCGCTTATACTCAAGCATCCAGTCGTAGGCCCCTTCTCAGCCTCCTCATTCGCAGAATTACGGTCAGTTAGATGGTACCAGTGGCTGTCCACCCAAACATGCTTCATCACGCTGTGACTCAGAGTTCCTAAACAACGAGCAAGATGTAACCCCTAAACTTGGGATGAGGTGCACCGCCAGCAGTCCTTTGTGAGCAACTGTGATAAGTCTACGCTTACAGTCATTGAACAACATGGCAGGTGCAGGCTTCGTGACTCTCGCCTTCTCATTCCCATGCCCAGTGGAGCCTTTCCGTTCAGGTCAGATACCAGACCGGTAGATGGCGCCAACAGCCTCGAAGAGACAAACAATTTTGCATCTTTCACTTATCTACACAATACCTTAGTCTACCGACAGGAACATGCAACACCCAAGTCATTGCTATCAATGATGGAACCGGTGCTGATTTGGGCAGCAAGCCGGTCTGCCCAACAAACTGGGAGTGCTCAGGGCGGCTCATACATTGATGTAGAAACGGGCATCACCTTCTACGGACTTGGCTCTCCCGCATCTCCAACCGGCTACTCTTTTGGCATGCTGCTACCTCAGAGCCCGACGACAGATTTTATCGCGCAGATCATCAGTCCCCTGACTGACGGCGACGGGTGGGGAGGCGTCAGCTTGGGAAGCTCCATGGTTGGGCCCCTTCTGCTCGTCACATGGTAAGTTAACTCCGCGCAGGTAAAAGAGGGAAAAGAAAAGGGAAGTAAAGGGAAAGAAAAGGAAACAAACTGAAAACCAATTCCAACTCCCAGGGCCAATGGGGACAAAGTCATGTCCACCGCCCGCATCGCCAACGGCCACACCCCAGACGCCGTCGTACCCTACACAGCCAACCCCATAATCATCCTCCCCATTGCACGAGGAACCTTCGTCAATAGGACGCACGTCTCCTCCACCTTCCTCTGCAGCGGCTGCATCAACAGCGACTCATTCGACCCGGCACGGGCCGACGGCTGGGGCAGCAGCAACCACAGCGACGTCTTCTTCGGTTACGCCTTCTCCCAGACAGCGGTCGACCACCCGTCCGACATCAACACCGCCCTCTCCGACCACACGGGCACGGGCTCCGGGTACGGCTCGTTCCGCGTCGAGTTGAGCGATATCAAGTCGGACGAGTTTGAGCACTACGCTGCGATGGCAAGGTGCGGGAATTCCGGGGGGGAGCCTGGGCTGCCGAGTACAGGTTCGGCAACTAGCCAGAGTGGACAAACGACGACTTCGACGACGGCAGCGAGTTCGGCTTCCACTGCTGTCCCAGCTGCTACCGCGATGAATCAGGAACCGGAGGACGGGTGTGATGATTCGGAATGTGACACGCCAAGCGGGTCAGATTCCAGCTATCGAGAGCTGCCATATGTCGAGTTCTATGCTTTGCTGCTGCTCGGGGCGATGTTTGTGTGGCAAGCGTTGAGGGGTTGACGCGGATGGGGTTGGAGGCGCAGGGGAGTGGGAGAGTTTCTGAAGTCAAGCGCTTCCAAATGTCAGGGGCGTTTGAGAGTCTTGCGCGGTGCGAGGGGTGGTGCCCAACACAGGCATAGCATGAGGGACAACTATCTGCAGCCAGAGTTAGCCTGAAAGAAAAAAATGAAAATATAAAAAAGGTTGGTACCAAAAGATACTCATGATTGGAACGTACCCACCCCGCTTCCATAGAAGGTGATATCAACACGCAATCATGCTATCCACTGCACTCCGTAGGCCACCTGTCAGTTAAGGGGAGGCGGATACTCAAAAACCAACGGGAAACCTCCACGGCCGATATCTCAAGCGCAATGACCGCCTAAGCGCTGTTCCCAAAAAACTTCGTGATCTTCTGGCTTCCCTCCGCCTTTACCCTGGCCTTGGCAGGGCTTCTGCCGGTGTTGCTCGTCGCGCTGATCTTGCCTCGAGCCTCTGGCTTCTCTTTGATCGGCGACGCCCCCTTGTTCGACGGCCCCTTCTTCGCCGGCGGTGCTCCTTTTACGGGCGACGAGTCGGCCTCCCTCTTGACACCCTTCTTCGGCATGCCCATCCCTCCATCATCAGCATCCCTCCCCACCTCCTCCACCGTCTTCATCTCCGTCTTTCCCGACTCCTTCTCAACCTCTACCTCATCTCCACCCACCCTTTCCGCTTTCTTCTTCTCCGCACCTTTGGCGAAGAAATTCGCGATATTCCCCTTGTTCTCCCTGCTCGCCACGGGTATGACAAAGCTGGGCGAGTTATTCCCCACCTTGCCGACCTCCTGACTAACCGGATACACCTCGAGCTCGCCCTCAAACGGCCGCAGTACCGCCTGCAACTCCTTCCCCCACTCTTTCCTCCCCGGGTCCAGCCACCTCAACATGGCCTCGGTCCCAGGCTCCAGAATAACCGGCATCCGATCATGCAGAAACTTCAACTGCTTGTTACTGTCGGTCGTGATCACGGTATACGTATAATGCTCCCCCTCTTCCCCTTCGTACCGAACGCAGTCCCACAATCCCGCAAAATACATCAGCTTCCCGTCCTTGCGCTTGACGTAGTGCGGGATCTTGTTGCTGCCTTTCTTGAGCCACTCGTAAAAGCCCTGCGCGACCACGACGCAGCGCTTGCGCCCCTTCATCGACGCCCACATGCCGCCCGGCGAGGCGAGCGAGTCGTCGCGGCAGTTGATGGTCTTGAGCATGGCGCCGTAGTCTGGGTTGCGCTTCGTCCAGGACGGGATGAGGCCCCATTTCATCGACTGCAGCTTGTAGTGGGTTTCTTGCGGCGGCGCGTCTTGCTCTTCTGTTGGGAGTTGGTGGTGGTGGTCCGCGTCGCGGTCGTCGGCAGAGGCGTTGGTGTCGGTGTTGGCATGGGATGTACTGGCTCGTCCCCAGCCGGGCACGTCGGCGCGGTAAACGATGCCGTGGTAGCCCGGGGCAAAGTTGTAGCTCTGACGCGGGGCACCGTCGCCCTCGTCGGCGGGGGCGTCGTCGACGGGCATGTCGTCGTCTTGGAGCATTTGGCGAATTTGGGAGGGCCGCTGTATCTGTCAGCCACAACGTACAGAACCGAGATAAGGACGGTCGCGTCGCGTCAATTCGACTGCGACGGAATGAATGCCAATGGAAGCGAGTTTGTATTAACTTACCAAGGCCAGCGCGTATCGACCGCACATGTTGGGTTGGCCGCAAGACCACGGTGAGTTGATTCGACTATGGGCGTTTGGCGGTGATGAGTACCGGTGCAGGAACAAACTAAGGCAGATTGTGTCGTTGCAGTTGTCGCACTGTAGATGACGTCCATGGGTAGACGTCCCGACTTGGAGTGGATCAACGCCGCGAGATGCTGTCGCCAGATCACGTGCGGCCCTTAATCAGCTCCTTAGCATATGTAACGTTAGTTAAAACATATTTTTTTCTTTACCTTTTGTGTAATCCTGGGCAAGGCACGAGACGAAATCTCTGGGGAAGTCATCTATGGTAGTAATATAACATGCTGACAACTCTCTTCTACTTCCCAAGTAAACGCACCGCCGTCTACGCAGCGACACTCACCATCTGGGCCTGCTCCATCACCATCCCACTCCTCCGTTTCTCGATCCTTGCCTTCCGCCTGATCGCCTCATCCTTCTTCCACGCATCCTCGAACAGCGTCGGCTTAGGCGCAACCTGATGATCCCGTATCCCCAGTCTCCTGACGACCTGGAACGCCCCGGTACCGATCGACATGGTTTGTCCCATGATAATACACTCGCTAACCCCCAGAATTTTATCCTTCTTCATCCCCGCCGCCGCATCAAACAAGTGATCTGGCGTCTTCTCAAACGACGCGAGCTGCAACACACTATCGCGCATCTTGGCCAGCCCGAACCTTGTAATCCCCAGAATCTCGCCCTTGTACGTCATGACATCCGCCAGCAATTCCATGTGACGGGGATCGATGCCCATGTCGCCCATGACCGACCCAATTTCCTTGGCGATGGTCGTGCGCGCCGCCTCGATGCCGAGTACGTCGCGGCACTCCATGACGCTATTCGTGACACACCGCGTGCCAACGACGCCCTCGGTCGTCATGCAGGCGCGCAGGCCGTACCCCTCTACCAGCACCTTGTGCTCGTTGCTTTCGCTCGTCTGGATGATGGCCCGCGCCGCCTCCGGGTAGCCCGAGATGGCGACGTGCGGCAGCATGCGCTTGAGGAAGTTGACGCGCAGCTGGAAGTCGGCGGCCGACTCGTCCATGGCGCTGGACACGAGCTGGCCCTTTTCGATGGCCGCGGCGCGGACGCGCGCCGCTTTGCGCTGTGCCGCGGCGTCCTGCCATGTGTTGCGCACGATCACCTCGACGCGATCGCGGGCGATCCGCAGGTCCTCGGCTTCCACCTTGAGCTTGAGCTTCTTGGCCCTGACGATGGCGTCGGCGATGTCCTTCATCGAGATGCCCAGTTGCATGTCGGACAGCGCCTGCAAATCCACCTGCAGAACGATCTTAGCCACGTCCGGAAGCCACTCGTCATCAATGTACGAGATGACATCCGAGATATACGTCTTCTCGATCCTGCCCTTGACCACACGCGCTGCTTTGATATCGGTCTTGTTCTCCAGCTCGCACGTGATGACGGGCGTACTAATGAGTTTCGACGCGTTGATGATTTCTTTGATACGGGGCACACCCTGGGTGATACTCATGCCGGCCACACCGGCGAAGTGGAACGTCTTGAGCGTCATCTGCGTGCCGGGCTCGCCGATCGACTGCGCTCCAACGGCGCCCACGGCGTGGCCGGGCTCGACCCGCGCCTTCTTGTACTTGTGCAGACACATCTGGATGAACTGACGAAGTGTTCGCTCCGAAACCTTGGCGACGCGGTCGACATGCGCCTGTGCCTTGGCTTGTATCCTTGCCTGCCGAGTAGCGTCGTCGAGCTGGTCCTCCTCGCCGAGTTCGCGGCGTAAATCCTGGAGGACATAATCAAACGGCTTGAAGGGCTCGCGGAAAGCGTCGACCTCCATCTCGAACCCGTCCGTCCTAACCGGCTGCCACTTCTCGAGCTCTCTCTTCATCGAAATGTCGTCCGGGATGCACGGGTCCAGACCCACCGCTTTCCGCGCCTTGGCGAGTTTGATCGCATGTTCCCGGATGTAGTCGCGGATTGTGTTGAGATACACTCTGGCGCTCTCGTGCTCGTCAATGGCGATCAGGACGTCGTGGTCCATGCTCTCACGAATCGTCTCGTCGTCGTACTTGATCTCCTCATTGGTGACGAGGTGTCGCCTGACATACTTCCTCCTCTCGTCGTCCAGGATCGATTTGCACAGCTTCTGGATTTCCCAAGGCAACAGAGACGGTTCCGAGTTGCTCCAGGTGATTGTCTGGGCATGGTTCCATGTCCTAGCAAAGTCGACGGGTTTGGCGTCGCCTTCCATGTCCACGGGATCAAGCCGGTCGGCGCCGTACTGGAACTGAACAATTCCCCCTTCTGATGTTCGGACAGTGTCGTCATATTCTGTCGAGAGGTCTTCGAGAGACTTCATGAGTCGTCTGGACATGTAGCCCGTCTCGGCTGTCTTGACAGCGGTATCGACCAGACCTTCTCTGCCCGAAATGGCGTGGAAGAGGAACTCGGTCGGCACCAGACCAGTGTAGAAGCTGTTTCTCACGAAACCCTTGGACGGGGGCTGCCGCGCGTTTTTGTGAAAGTGCGGCAGACTGCGGTCGTTGAAACCGTCGGGCACACGCTTGCCCGAGATAATCTGCTGACCGACGCAGGCAACCATCTGGGCGACGTTGATGTCGGAACCTTTAGAGCCCGATTTGGCCATGATCAGCGGAGCATTGTTCTTGCTCAGATTCTCGACACAGTAGTTACCCGCCTGCTGTCGAACTTTGCTGAGAATACCCGAGATGGCGTTCTCAAGTGTTTCCTCCAGGTTGCAGCCGGGAGCCTTTTCGAGCTTGCCTTGCCGGTAAGTTTCAATAAGGTCATCGCATTTCTTGTATGCATCCTCCACAAGCTGAGCTTTGTGGTGTGTTAGGGATCCCGATGGCCACACGTCGCCAACGCCAATCGAGAAGCCTCGCAGTGTCAGCGTCCTGGCGCAGAGCTTAGCCAAGCGGTTCATGGCAGCCGCCGCATAGTCCGGTCCAAAATCACGAAGGATCACGTAAAAAACCGAGTTCTTCTTGCCTCCTCCGACCGTCGACTTGTCCATCCTGCCGCACATGACCTCGGAGTTGCGAACAACCAGGAAGGCGTCGTCGATGTCCATATCCGGGATCTGGCCGTCCTTCTTCTTCTTGAAAACCTTGTTTTTGGCATCGAGGTTCACGAGGACAGGAGACTCCTTGTTCGGGCGCATCAACACATTAAAAATTTGCTTGCCCGTCCACAAAGACTTGGGTTTGACGATTGCGGGCGGAGGCAGTTCGAGGTAAGTGTCGCCCAGGAGCATCTGTGTGCAGATGTACGTGAAGGACGCCCGGTCAAAGAAGCGATCCTTGCTGCTCAACAGGTAGGCGGCAGTAATGAAATCCTGCGTGGCCGCAATGATGGGTTCGCCGTTCTTGGGAGTGATGAGGTTGTTCTTGACGCCCATCAGGTTGATGGCCTCCGCCCTGGCCTCCTCCGTCTGGGGAACGTGCAGATTCATCTCGTCTCCGTCGAAATCGGCGTTGTACGGGGTGCAAACGCATTCGTTCAGACGGAACGTCCGCCAAGGCCGGACCTTGACGAGATGGCTCATGATACTGAGCTTGTGCAGCGACGGTTGCCGGTTGAAGAGAACAATGTCGTTGTCCTCTAGGTGGCGCTCCACAACATCACCGTATTCCAAGCCATTCGCATGCCTTTCGCGAGCTTCCTCTTTAATGATCTTGAGGTTGTACTTGGCCCCGTCCTTTTTGATGATACCCTGTGCACCGGGCCAGATATTCGGCCCATTGCTGACGCGCTCCCTGAGCTTCTCGATGTTCGCGTGGTTTACGCGCTCTGGGTATGTCAGATTCTTGGCCACTAACTGCGGCACCGCTACCTGCTCAATACTCAAGTTGGGGTCGGGCGAGATGACGGTTCGCCCAGAGAAGTCGACACGCTTTCCTGAAAGGTTGCCACGGAAGCGGCCCTGTTTGCCCTTGAGACGCTGGCAGAAGCCACGGATGGGCTTTCCAAATCCTGGCTGGTAAAGGCCGGGAACATCACTGTTGACGTACATGCCGACCTGCAGTTGCAAGAACTCCCATTGCTCCATGATCACGGGCAATGCGACTCCTTTCTTCAATGACTCTCGCAGGTGGCCTGCATAAAGAATGATTTCCGATAGCTTGCTCGTGATGTCATCCTCGTTACTGGCGTTTTCCTGGGCCACGGACGGGCGAATGCAAATCGGCGGGGCAGGAACATATTGCCAAAGAAACATTTCGGGTCGGCCCTCGGCGGGATCCAATCCGAGGAGCTCGCAGTCGGTCGGGCTGATAGCCTTGAAGAGATTCAGGACTTTGAGGGGGTTCAGGTCATCCATCGCCTTCCGTGTGTGCTTCTCCAGTTCGGGCGTGTATTTTTTGGCATGCTCGAACGACGCGTCGAACTCGACCTTGCTCTCTGGGGCAATCTTCTTTTGGGCCGTCGACTTGTTGAATGCTGAGAATTTGTCGTGGACAAGCTTCATGACGCTCAACTTCCGAATTGCACCTTGGATAGAACCGCAATAGGGACACGTCCTCGCTTTCCTGCACTGTTCATTGATCTTCTTCAAGATGGCCGAGCGTCTCAAATTGTCGATTCCGGGGCGACGCAGCTCCTTCAGGAACTGGCGCCGCTCCGGTTCCTGCAAAAGAACTCTCGCGCAGTCCTTGCAAATATTCTGCAGCGTCGCTTGGATGTACTTCAGGTAGCCAATGTGGAAGACGGGGAGCGGTAGTCGGACGTGACCGAAATGACCGGAACATTCTTGCAGCCCAAGGTGGCATGTGGCACACTTGCTTTCGCGGTTTGTGCTCGAGATTCCCTACCGAGCATGTTAGCTCGTGCCGGCGCAACTGGATGTGGCTGAGCTTCTCACCAGGCGAGGGTCGAGCGGGCCGTGAGGAAACGCTGTTCGTCGGTTTTCGACATCGTAGAGCAGGTTATCAGAGACCTCGAGCACACCCTGGCTCACAATGTCTTGATGTGATCTATTTTGCATAGCACATCAATCTCTGTCACCGAGACGTTGTATGACAACGCGGCAAGGAATCCTTACTGGACGCCAAACTTCAGCGCCTTGAAACGCTTTGGCAGCTGGTCTACGACCTGGTCTTTGCGTCGGCGCAGTGTTGTTTTTGTTTCAACAGCCATTTTCCCTCGGTCGATATGACGACGGACGGTGCGGATCGAGCGATGGAAGGTCCCGATGTGCCCTTGATGTCGTTGCGCAGGGCTACCTGCTCATTGCGGGCAGCGTTGACCGTGCGAGAATGGGTCGGCCGTTGATCGCAACCGGTTTTGAGGGTGGAATTGAAAGTAAAGCACTGTGTTGTCCCCTCGATAGGTCGCGCGCGTTGCAATGCTGCTGCCGAGGTCGGTGGCGGTCAGGTTGTGGTTTCGGTGTTCTCTCGGTCAGATCGCGACGAAAATGTTGCCGGCGGGGCATCCAGAACTTAGAACGCAAGTGACTCCAAATTCTTGAGCCATGCGAGTCGTGCCCCACCATCGTTCCGCTCCACTTACGCCGAGACCGTTAGCCCTCACGGCCCTCACGAGGACCTCCAGCTCCCGGGCCATAACGGCGCTGCCTGCCGGATGGTGTGAAGTTCCGATTCCCGCCAATCAGCGGCCACGTTGCAACCACACTCCGTCATCGTTCGTCCAAGAAGCCGCAAGCATGTGCTTGCAGCCCGCAACGTGAGAAGTCGACCCAAACCGAGACCTTGTTTCTCGCTGTCTCACCTTGGAACACTTGTTGGTCAGATAAATCTGGTACCATAAGCTTCTCTTTGCGGTCTCTGGATAGTTCTGCTTTCTCTTATCCCTAAATCACTAATCATACTGTTCGACGCTCGTCTTGAGTCGTGTTAAGCAAACGAACCGCGCCGCTCGCTCCCGCTCTTCGCCGCATTCAAAAGCGAGACGAGGTCTGTGACGCCCACGGTCTCCGCTTCTTGTATGTCTAGTGTTAGGATCGAACACCTCTAGTAATCTTGCAGGATATTCAACATTGGCGCCTCTAATCCTATCCCAAGCTGCTCCCCATTCCTTGTTGTGGCGGGATAAGCTTAAGTTCCAAGGAATCCTTCGACGACTCTGGCAGGCGAGGAGTGCGCCGAGACGTCCCTTCGGGTGGCCTTCTGGTCGTGCCGGAGCCATGGCTCCTGGTTCCGCCGAGAAGAAGGCTGAGAAGTCATACTTCGCCTCGGCTGTCGACTCGATTAACCCCTGGGCCGCCAACCGCAGCACAACCCCGACTCCAAGGGATCCCCAGCCGCCAGTTCCTCCATCACACCCCAACGACCATACCACAAATCCATATTATGGACAATCTTTCCGGCGCTATCCGCCTGATTGTCCACCGTTGAACGTGCAATGGTTCCACGCTGCCGATGTATGTCACGGTTGTAGATCCTCCACTCGGGTGGAATGCTTACCCAACGCCTTGACAGGTCCCTAAGCGCAAGCCGAGATTTTTGTTATCCAAGAACGGCCGAAACATCAAACCCTTGCAGCCCAAGAAGTTTGTCCCCTTTTCCGTCGAGGACTCCCGCGCGATCGAGATCGCATACCAGACCAAGCTCGAGGATTTGGAGGAAGAAAGAGGACAGAACAGAAGCGATGCCGCGCTCCGAGCTGGACTTAAACGTCCCCGTGGGACTTCTCCCGACGCATCGTTGAACGCGGACTCCCAACCCTCCAAAACAATGGTTCCGGTAAACGAGGACTTCCTGTTTGACGTCAACATCGAAGATCGCGAACTTGCTCCCGTTTACTGGGAGGGTCCCGTGTACGAGGTGCGCCGGGGAAGCTGGTTTTACCAAGAGGGATCCGCCCTCCGCCCCTGCGAGGAAAACTTGGCCGCCCAGCTCGAGGAGGGCTATCTCAAGATCAAGCCTTGGCAGTATCCGGCAAGGTCGCGCAGCAACTCCTCGTCCAAGCCGGTTGCTCCGAAAGCCTCGGGGGACAATCAGCAGGCTGCCGCGGACGCTCAAGATGACGCTTCCAAGAAGGCGCCCCTTGCGCCCCAGCATCAGCCACAGACATACCGCCTATTTGGAGGCTACATGAATAGTGTCGTGACGTACGAAGATTCAAGTACCGCCTGGCTGTCATCAGAGGGGATGCTATCTTGGGTGACATCTACAGTGTATGAGAGATTTGCCGGCGGCGGTTACATGGGGGGGGTGAAGCTCGTCCGCGGATATTCAGAGCCAAACAAGGTTAAGGAAGACAAGCGGCCGTCGACCCCAACCGGGACGGAATCAAGTTCAAAGGAGCGAGGCGATAAGCTGTCCAAGCCGCTCAAGCGACGATCTGCGCCGCCGTCGGGCACGGGGTCAGATGCAGGGAACATCAAGCAGGAGGCTCCGAACGCTTTGGAGAGTACCCGGAACCGCCTAACCAGACAGCTTTCGAACTTGATGGAAGGCGTTGAGGACCCAGACAGGGAGGAAGAGGCCATTCGCAAGCAGGAAGAGAAGGAGATCGCGGGGGACTACAATGCCAGGGTCGACGAGAACCAAGGTCGAGACATCGAGCACCTTGTGCTTGTTACTCATGGAATTGGGCAACTCCTATCGCGAAGGTATACGATCTGTGACATCCAGTTTCCTGACCGATGGGCTTGCGGCTAACCGAATCTCAGGATGGAGAGTATCAACTTCGTGCACGATGTCAACGTACTTCGAAAGACCATGAAATCGGTTTACTCGGCTTCGGCCGATCTGCGAGCGCTGAACTCTGAGATCAACGAGCCCGGTCCAGGCAACTCTCGCGTCCAAGTATTACCTGTTTGCTGGCGTCATCTTCTCGACTTCCCTAAGCGCAAGCCGAAACGAGGCGAGCGTGACCTTGGGGAAGCAGTTGATGAAGAAGGCGACTGTAAGTACGGGCACGGTTGCATGAGTGCCCTCTTCTGCAGCTGACGGAATTACAGACCCTTCCCTGGAAGACATCACTGTTGAAGGCGTCGCGTTCGCAAGGTCGCTCATCTCTGACCTCGCCCTGGACGTTCTGCTCTACCAGAGCGCATACAGGGAGCAGATCGTCGAGATCGTGCTGCGAGAATCAAACCGCATCTACAACATTTTCAAGAAGCGCAACCCTAACTTCAATGGCAAGGTGCACATTGTTGGGCACTCGCTAGGCTCCGCCATCATGTTCGACATCCTCTGTCGACAGAAGGAGATGAGTAGGGTTACGGAGCCGCCCAGGAATCCCCTTCGGATCTGGCCCAAGTCCGAGGACCGGTACGAGTCCAGGGAGCCCAAGGAACTCGCCTTCGACTTTGAAGTGGACGACTTCTTCTGCCTCGGTTCTCCCATCGGCCTCTTCCAGATGCTCAAAGGCCGCACCATCGCAGCCCGGACCCTTTCCCACGCCATCCCCTCAGAGAGCCCGCTCAACCCGGACTACATGGACGACCCGTTCCTGGACGCCCCTACCCAGTCCTACTCTACCCACCAGCGCGTCTCCCCCGTGACGGGCCTCCCCTTCAGCGTCTCGTCTCCCAAGGTCGGCCAGCTTTTCAACATCTTCCACCCCTCGGACCCCATCTCCTATCGCCTCGAACCCCTCATCTCGCCCGTCATGAGCACCCTCAAACCGCAGGCCCTGCCCTACACCAAGAAGGGCATCTTCGGGTCCGTCGCGCCGCAGGGGCTGACGGGCATCGGCGCAAAGGTGGGCCAGAGCGTTTCGGGCCTGTGGAGCAGCCTCAGCGCGGGGATTGCCAGCAACCTGCTCAACCGCAGCCTGGGGTTGAGTAATGAGGACGTAGCGAAGATTACGGCGTCGCATCAGGAACAGCAACAGCAACAGCAGGGGCATGTCCTGAGCCCTGGCGCGGGGACCAACGTTTCTGCGGGCGTCATCCCCGCGGAGGGCAGTAAAGTGCTGATGGACGCTGAGAGGAGTGAAAGGACGGCCGAGCGAATGCGGCAGTTGGCGAGCGGTAGAGAGGGCGGCAATGGGAAGGAGGCGACGCTAATTGACGACGAGCTGGAGACCCTTTATAGTCGGTTCCAGAAGAACAGGGTTGCTATCGCGGCGTCGTCCTCATCGTCCAAAGAGATGGATACAGATGGAGAGAAGGATGCTCCCAATTCTGGCAAGGAAAGGGGGACGGCGACGACGCTCAGTCGTGAACAGTGGCTGGAAGAGGAGAGGAAGGCGCAGCGGTTGCGACGGGAGGAAATGAAGATCCGGGCGCTGAATCAGAACGGGAGGGTGGATTATTGCATTCAAGAGTAAGTTTTTTTTTCGTGGGGTTTGAGACGCTTGGTGCCCTGGGGATGATCGAAAGGCTGGCTAACTGAGTGTAGGAGTGTGCTTGACTATAATCCGCTCAATACCATTGCTTCGCATATGAGTTACTGGGCAGACGAGGACGTCAATCATTTCATGTTGTCCCAGATGCTGGCAAGCAAGGACAGGACGCCAAAGGGTTGAAAGTGATGATCAGGAGCGGTTGAATGGAAGGGTGGTTTAGTCCACGGCGTGAAGGAGAGTGGGCTTTGCATGGCGAAGGGCTAGAAGGTGATAGATTACCGGTTCAACTTAAATTGAACGAATGTACTTGTGCATTCTTGTGTGTACACACCGTTGGCTTGTGGTGGTCCGAGACCAGTTCTCACTAATCGGCCAACGGGATGGTTTCGATATCTTCCTGGCCATCCAGCCACCCGCTATACGTGGTAGGCCCACATTCCTCGTCTCCAGCGCCACTTCGAGCAGATTCACGACCTAGCTAGGAGGGCTGGAAGACCTCAACATCCCTGTGAGACAGGTGCCCTCCCCAGAGGGAAGTCACCATCGACTCGCCGCCCAACACCGATTTTCGAACGCCGTTCACGGGCCGCGAAGCAAACACAGTGGTCCCAGGACTTTCGTAGCCATTTACGTCCTCCAGGAACTGAATGGTGAGTTTTTGTATTTTCCCAACACTCTCCTCTGTTTTACCCTCTCCTAGTTCCATGGTCTCTTCACCCCTGACTAAACCTCAGCTAAACAAACCCCCTTCAACCAACCTCGTCCACGGCGGCCCCAACTCTAAGCAAACATCCCCCGCCGTCCTGCCCCTGTCATCCCTCACAAACCACACGTCCTCCTCCACCGGGACCACCGGCCCTGATCCTTCCCCGCGTCTAGGCAACCCCATCGCCTGTGCGACCTGCACAACCGCATCGGGGAAAACTTCCCGGTTGGCCCCGCTCCCCAGCCAGAGTAGCAGCCACACGGCCTCCTCCTGCCGGGCCTTGAGCGCCACGTGCAGCGCGCTCCGCCCGCCGTTGAGCGGGTCGCGCCATGTGAGGAGCTGGGCTGCGCTGAGCGGAGTAGCCTCCAGGTCCGAAGAATCGGGCGAGTCCATGTCCGAGAGCAGCTCGACCATGCCCTGGACGTCGCCTTCGGAGACGAGCGTGTGGAAGGCGCGCGCGGGGCGGGCTTCCGGGTGGGTGCTGAGGAAGGACTCTTCTGCCAAGGTCGGGTAGATGTCTAGGTCTGGTTGGACGCCGCCTTCGTTGGTGTAGTGGGTGAGAATGGTGGGGGTTGTGAGGGCGGGTTGCGGTGCTGATGACGACGAGGACGAGGAGGCGCCGGCGGCGGTGGAGGGGTGGTTGGAGGGGAGGTAGCTGTTGCAGAAGGGGCAGGTGAGGGTGGCGGTTATGCTGCTGGACTCGTCGACAAGGCATTGCCAGTGGTAGTGGCAGCCGCAGGGAAGTAAGAGGTCATCCGGGACGGTTTCACCTTCGCCGTCTGACTCTTCCGGGTCGAGGGTTAAGCTGAGGGGGTCGTGGCATGATTTGCAAATTTCCGTCATTTTGGGGGTTCAGCGAGGAAAAATCACGTATGTGGGAAGATGTTCAAGTGAGGAATCGATGTGAAAGGTCTTCGGATTTTGATGCTAGGAACTCGCGTCAGTAACATCTGGCTCGGGGTCGGGATAGAAGTGATTTTCCAACCTTGAGGGTTTCCTCTTGCGTCGGGTCCAGTGTCGGAGTGACCCGTTCTGGCCACCTGGAAGGGTTTGCGCCTCACATGCACCGGTGTATTCCACTTGCTTGTGAAGCTATCCCAAGATGCCAAGGAAGAAAAAACATAAAAAAAACTCCGTCGCCTCGGTGTTAGTGTGGTATGCGGCTCAACTTCCTTATTCTGCTGCCTTTTCACAGTATGAATAGGTCAAGCTCGGCCACGTCTTAACATCCTCCCCTGCAAAAGAAACAAGCGCTGCCTGACGGCTGATTGGGCCGTTACGCAATCCTCGCTGTGGCTTGGCTCCTGGCCCGGTCGGATTACATCAGAGGCACCCGAGCCCCTTGCGCAAGGAACCCCTCCACCCCCGCCAACCCAACCCAGAACGAACAAGTGCTCCCAGGCTTCCGGAGAGAAACAAAAAGGCGAGAATATCACGCCTCGCGTCTGAGCGGACTCGCTTCCGGCTGCCTCGCCTTATCCTCCAGCTTTATCTGTAGCGAAACATACTTCCTGTCTCCTTCGCCAGCCCTTGCGCTGGCTTCTCTTGCAGAGAGCATCGTCAACCATTTGCAGATTCGCTTCAAAAGATTCGGCGTGTGCCACCATGAACGTCCTCAAGCTGCAGAGGTTAGGGATACAGCAACTACCGCAGCGCATACCTACCGAGCAGTTGTGACTGACGCATCGGGCAGGAAATTTCCTCAATTCCAGCAAAATGACATCTTCTCACTCGCCGACGCTTTTCGCAAGCTCGATGTCGACGACAAGGGGTACATTGACGAGGCGACTGCCATCAAGGCCACGCAAGCGAGTGAGCGCCAACCCTACGACGTGGTCCGTCAGGCCCTGAAGGAAGTTGAACTTGATTCCTCCCGGCGAGTTGAGCTAGAAGACTATGTTGGGGTATGTACCGCTTCCATGGATCCTCGGCTAGCGCAAGCTTGTCTCGGGCACGCCCGTCGACCCCCGCAACATGCACTGCCCTCCCTCTGCGACTACAACAGCTAATACTGGTTTCAGCTTATCGCCAAGCTCCGCGACTCTCCTGCTGGCTCCCAGAAGGTTGCCGCTGCCGCGGCATCCACCCCAGCAGCCGTCATCTCCCAGCGGACAGGCGGCGGCCACGCTTCCAAACCCAGCATCGGCAGCAGCGGCAAAATCTTCGTGCAAGGTTCGAACTCTAACATCACTCACACCATCAACGAGGATGAACGCACCGAGTTCACCCGCCACATCAACGCAGTGCTCGCGGGCGACCCGGATATTGGCAATCGGTTGCCATTTCCCACAGACACTTTCGAGATGTTCGACGAGTGCAAGGATGGTCTGGTCCTGGCGAAGCTCATCAACGACAGTGTCCCCGACACCATCGACGAGCGTGTGCTGAACCTGCCAGGGAAGAAGGGCAAGACGCTCAATGCGTTCCAGATGACCGAAAACAACAACATCGTCATCGAGTCGGCGAAGGGTATCGGTTGTTCGGTAGTCAACATTGGCAGCGGGGATATCATCGAGGTCCGGGAGCATCTCATTCTCGGCCTCATCTGGCAAATCATCCGCCGCGGTCTGCTAGGCAAGATCGACATCAAGCTGCACCCCGAGCTCTACCGTCTGCTTGAGGAGGACGAGACGCTCGAGCAGTTCCTGCGGCTCCCGCCAGAGCAGATTCTTCTCCGGTGGTTCAACTACCACCTCAAGGCCGCCAACTGGCCGAGGAGAGTGCAGAACTTCTCGACCGACGTGAAGGACGGCGAGAACTACACGGTGCTGCTGGCGCAGATCGGCCACGAGTACGGCTGCACTCGTGCCCCGTTGCAGACCCGGGATCTGCACCAGCGGGCAGAGGAAGTGCTCCAGAATGCTGACAGGCTAGGGTGCCGCAAGTTCCTCACTCCCTCCTCGCTCGTCGCCGGCAACCCCAAGCTCAACCTCGCCTTTGTTGCCAATCTCTTCAACACACATCCCGCTCTCGACCCCATCACCGAGGAGGAGAAGATCGAAGTGGAGGACTTTGACGCCGAGGGCGAACGCGAGGCCCGCGTGTTCACCCTGTGGCTCAACAGCTTGGATGTGCAGCCGGCCGTCCAGTCCTTCTTCGACGACCTCCGCGACGGCACCATTCTGATGCAGGCTTACGACAAGGTGATCGACGGGTCGGTTAACTGGCGGTGCGTCAACAAGCGGCCGGCGGGAGGAGGCGAGATGTCGCGGTTCAAGGCGGTCGAGAACACCAATTACGCCATTGAGCTCGGCAAGCAAAACGGCTTCTCGCTGGTCGGCATTCAGGGCGCCGACATCACGGACGGGCAGCGGAAGCTCACCCTAGCCCTCGTGTGGCAGCTGATGCGCAAAGACATCACGCTGACGCTCAAGGGCCTGGCGCAACGCCTCGGCAAGCGCGAGATTACGGACGCTGAGATGATCCGGTGGGCCAACGACATGAGCCGCAAGGGGGGCCGCAACTCGAGCATCCGCTCTTTCAAGGACCCGGCCATCGGCACGGGCGTTTTCTTGTTGGATGTGCTCAACGGCATGAAGAGCAGTTATGTTGACTACGACCTGGTTACAGCCGGCAACACGGACGAGGAGGCGTACCTAAATGCCAAGCTCAGCATCAGCATTGCGAGAAAGATGGGCGCCACCATCTGGCTGGTGCCGGAGGATATCTGCCAAGTCCGCAGCCGCCTGGTGACGACGTTTATTGGTAAGTACAGGGCTCCCCTGCCTGGGTGTGTGTCCACGATGGAGAAGCTGACAGACCTACAGGATCGTTGATGGCGACGTACGAGAAGATGCAGTAGGCGGGGTACAATACCTTAGGCAGCGTTTCACGGATAGAGTGGCAGGCTGGTTCCAGGAAAAGAAGGTCGAATGATCCATGACGATCCATGGTTATTAACTACCCCACTTTTGTGTTCTCTAAGGCCGGTCGGATTTCTTATCCGCGGTAGCTGAGAGAGTGACATGTGAATTATGAGTTCGAACCATTGCTATCCCGTTGGCTGTCCCTAGGGAGCAGAGCGAGCGGCAGATGGCAGCGAACTTTAAAGATGGCAGATTACAACATCAGCCAGAGCAGTTATGATTCATTGTACAGGGCACCAAACACCGAGATACTCGAACCAGATTTGCAGTGCCTATAGCCGAACAGCTTATACCGGAGCGGTGACGAATGAGCAGAAGCACTCCCATTACTTGGAAAAGTCTTGTCTGATAAATCAGCCCTATCCGTACGTGTATGGATCCATTTCCTTTTGAGTAGACTCATGACTGAAACAAGGCGCATCGACGGCCCGGGTATTGTCGAGGGAATGTTTATGGCTGTGTATGAGTCTGGTTCATACGTTATCCTACGGTATTCCATGGACATCTTCTCCTCGCCAACCTCGCCGTATGTCAACCGTCTGCATCTGAAAGCCCAACACTTTGGGTGTTATTCCGAGCAAAGTGGCATGACACGCCCCTATCAGGCCGTTGGTATATATTCTTAGATTGAGCTTCGAGCCAATCCTAATCTCAGCCTTACACAATAGCTCCGTAGAGTTCCATCACAACAAACGGGCCCATACGCACTGACGTACCATGCAGGCTGCACCAGCTATATGTATTAGGTCCACGTCCATCCTTATATCGTCCCCTAACAAGTCAGATGACATAGCTAGAAGGGTTTGGGACGACCTCTCCCTCAGAAGAGGTCACCCTTCTATTCATTTTTGGAGGAGAGCTAACACCCCCCTCTGTGGGGAGTACGCCTCGGGGACAACCCCAGCGAAGTAAATAATTGGTCCCAGGATTTTCGTAGCCATTCACCTCCTTCGGGGGCTGAGTGGTGAGCTTTTTAGGTTTTTTTGTCATGGTTTCAGCCAAAAGCAGCGTGCACCGGCCGCAACAAGTAGCCGCGACGTCTTATTCCAAGCGGGATAGTGTGGGTCAACACTGCGATATCTCGAATCGGTTTTAGATGGTTCCTGGCGACATGCTTCCAGTCATCAGGGTTCACCAGTGGGTCATTGTCAAAAAGCGGCAACGAGTGGCGGTTTTATCCGGCAGCAGGCCCGCCATCCCGCCGCCGCCGAGGGCGGGCTGCCCCACCATGATTTGAGTCAACACTTCGGGCCACCTCATTTTTCAAGCTGGACGACGTGACGTCGACCAGAATTCTGCTTGACACTTTCCAAGCCCTGCGGCAAGACAGGACACAATGGCGACTGCGGATTCAGACAAGAGGTTCGCTCTCATCAAGGAGAACCTGGCCGAGGTGCTCAACGAAGAGATCATTAAGAAAATCCTCGATGAGGGGAAACACCCCAAGATTTACTGGGGTAGGTATACGCGGGAATGCCTTGTCACCTGCGCTATTGTACTGCATTGATACTGGCGATGCTGACTCTCGATGACACAGGTACCGCGACAACAGGCCGCCCGCACTGTGGCTACTTCGTCCCCGCCATCAAGATCGCCCAGTTCCTCGCCGCCGGCTGCGATGTGACCATCCTCCTCGCCGATATCCACGGCTTCCTTGACAACCTCAAGGCGCCCCTCGAGTTGGTCGCGCAACGCGCCGAGTTTTACCGCCACATCATCACAACCATGCTCCAGGCCGTCGGCGTGTCGACAGAGAAGCTGCGCGTCGTGCTAGGAAGCTCGTATCAGAAGAGCCCCGAGTACGTCATGGACGTGTACAAGATGGCTTCCATCATCTCAGAGCACGACGCCAAGAAGGCCGGCGCCGAGGTGGTCAAACAGACGGACAATGCGCCGTTGAGCGGCCTGCTGTACCCCATCCTGCAGGTGCTGGACGAGCAGTACTTGGATTGCGACGCGCAGTTTGGGGGGATGGACCAGCGGAAACTGTTTACGGCGGCTAAAGAGTGGCTGCCGAAGCTCGGCTACCGGGAGCGCGCCCACTTGCTCAACCCCATGGTTCCCGGCCTGCACGGCGGCAAGATGAGCTCGAGCGACCCCGACAGCAAGATTGACCTGCTTGATCCTCCCGAGACGGTGGCTAAAAAAATCAAAAAGGCGCACGCCGCGCCTCAAGTTGTTGAGGAGAACGGGTTGCTTGCCTTTATCGAGTTCGTCCTGTTGCCTGCTGCGCGCCTGCGCGGCAGCGCGGAGTTCCGCGTCGACCGTGAGCGGGACGGGTTAGAGCCGCTGGTTTACACAGACATTGAAAAGATTCGCGAGGATTACAAGACCGATGTGGTGTGTCTTCGTCCCTCGCCATGGTAATAGGAGTTTCGGGTGCTGACTTTGTTTGCAGCTAACACCGCAACTCATCAAACCCGCCGTCACACGAGAGTTGAACGCCCTTCTAGCTCCCATTCAACAAGCCTTCCAAGCTTCCAAGGAATGGCGAGAGATTGCCGACAAGGCTTACCCGCCACCACCAAAGAAGGAGAAAAAGGTGAAGAACAAGGGTACACGTTATCCTGGCGGCGTAAGGGAGCAACCCGATACCAAGGAGACGGAATTACCAGTCCAGCTAAATGGGGAGGCTCTTAACTGATTGACCGATGAAGTTGCGGGATACCTATCGAGATGTTAGCGGAAACATCAATGGGATGATGGGCTTTGAACGATGTCTTCGTTGAGCGCATCCGTCGGCGTACCTGCTGTTTGGACATTGAGTCTGGTTGGCCTGCTCAACAGAACAAAGGGTCGTTAAGGCCTGTCTCCAGGCCGTGTAAGTAATCTAATGACGTTTGGTACGCAATTTGGGTTACTAAGGTGGTTTCTTGATCTTCGGCCACGTGAGCGAGGTGTGTGGTGCCATATATCTGGCGTCTATCGATGGAAGGAATCCACGTTCTGAGGAAGTGTGGGCCCCAAGAACTAAGGCCATGCTCATACCCAGCACTTCAATGGCTGATCACTCTTCTGTGCCGGTCTTGTATCTCTCAGGTCTGATCAATCGATCACGACTAACCGCAAGTCACCGTCGTTAGTTTGTCACCTGATTGGAACGTGTTTAGGATCCCTTGTGGTAAGCGTCGGTCAAGCCGCCATTCCAGCTGTCCCTTTACCCCCTCTCTTAATGAGAACAACCCACAGCGTTGAAACCGACAATGCCGAACTTTGGTGTCACATTGATGGTTGAGGGGCATAGCTCACTCTCCCAATCCCTGGCCTGAGTGAGATGGTACTCACACCACGACCAATGCATTTGATTATGAAGGCTTGGTTCCGGCTTCCATAATTAACTTTTTTGCAACGGACCTGAGTCATCAAGAGTTGCTAGCTCATACACGGCTGATTATCCCGAACTTTTACCTTGTCCTGCAGCGCCCCGCATGGTCCGAGAAACAGACCCCAACTACGACCGAGTCGACTCCGCAACTGGGGCCAAGTCTGTCCCTACCATCGGCATGGGCGCCGACGAGGCTCCCCTGGATAACAATGGCTCGAGCTTCCCTTTCCCAGCCGTTGGCACCTTGTCCTCACCCAACGACAGTCTCAACCATCACGAAAATTTGGGCATATGGAGCTCAACTTCAGGACTGCTGATGACGACCGACGGACGAACCCGGTTCTCTCTACTGCAAATCACCGGATGTCGTGTCAGTAAGACGACGGAGGCCTACACCAGGCTCACAGGACCAGAGTGGCCAAGCGGCTCTATCATCTAATTCCCATGATTTCAACCGGCAGGAAGCAAGATCGCCCCTTCTGCCTCCCTCTTCCTCTCTGCCCCGTCACAAGACGGCTCAACCCCAGCACACCGCCGCCATCCGCCAGTCGAAGACAACAACACCCACCACACTGCTACCACCACCAACAGCAGCAACTCGCCATCAGCGAGTTCAACAACCCCCTCGACCCCATCCCGCACAGTAATACCCCCACTCCACCACCACTTACACCGCACCACCAACAACAACCCCAGGAGAAGATACACCACCCCAGTCTTCACCCACACCTTCAGCACTTTTGACCGACAGAACCCGCTCGCCGCCAGCTCGCCATTCGCTGGCTTTTTCACGCTCTTCTGGATGGGCGTGTTCTTCGCCGTCCAGATCGGCGCCGACAACTGGCGGGCGCACGGCAGCCTGCTCGGCACCAACAAAATCATGCGGGGCATGGTTGGGGCCGTTGGGAACGAGTTGGCGGTCTTGGGTTAGGCGGATGAGGTTATGTGTGGTGCTATCGGGTATGGGTGGGTGCTTCAGAAAGTGGTGGTGAGCGGGGTGTTACAATGGGATCGGGGTGGGTGGGTTTTGCAGCACGTAGGTTCTATCTTTTGCTCAGTTTCTCAAATTGTCTTTGTCATTCTTAGCTTAAGGTAAGGTAATGCGGAGGTGTGCTGATGAGAGTGTTGTGCAGGTCTGGCAGACGGTGTTTATCGCCGGCGTGGTCCGGCTGACCATGTGGCGGGACTGGCCGTGGACACACACCGTGTTTTTTGTGCTGCATGGCTCGGTCATGCTGGTGAAACAGCACTAGTACGCATTTTACAAAAGGGCATCTGTCGACCGTGTACAAGCGGCGGGCACGGTTGCTGGCGTGGCTCAAGCAGCTGGGCCGCATATCTCCAGTTACCTCCCCGGCCAAGACAAAAGCCCCTGTGTCGGATATCAACATATCGCCTCTTGCAAAGGTGCCAACGGCCAAGGAACGATGGCATTGTCTGCCGTGTGAGAAGGTGCTGGATGTTGTGAGGATCGTCGCTGTAATCGAATCGGTCGAACCGCTGGAGGCGAAGCAAGTGCACGTCTTTGAGCAGGTGTTGAAGTGGGAGGTCGCCGCCCTGTCGGACGAGCTCAAGGGCATGTCCACGACACCGGGCCGCGAGTACCCCAATAACCTCACATTGCGCAACCACTACGGGTACATCGTGCTGCCGACCGTGGTGTACTAACTCGGGTACCCCCCCTCCGAATCCATCAACTGGTCCTACGCGGCCGAGAAGGCGGTGACGTGCTTCGGCCCCTTCATGATGGAGCAACTGCTGACCTGGTACCTCGTCTGGGATCTGGGTGACCATCCTCAACTTCCTGGCTGAGGTGACCTACTTTGCGGACCGTGGCTTCTACGATGCCTGGCGGAACTGCGTGTCGTGGGACCAGTTTGCGCGGGACTGGAACAGGCCGATGCATCACTTTCCGGTGCGCCATGTCTACCACAGCTCCGTCTCGGCTTTGAAGGTCGACAAAGACACGGCGACCGTCAGCACCTTCTTTTTGTCGGCCTGCGTCCACGAGCTGAGCATGTGGTGCATCTTTAGGAAACTGAGCGGCTACCTGCTAGTCCTGCAGTGTGCCAACTGCCTGTATATCTGTTCCCTATCGTCACCCTGTGCAAGTCGAAGACAAAGGTTGACACAAGCACACCTGCCAGTTGGTGAGGTTGAGCCGTATTAAATGGTTCCGTACGCGACCTGTGTTAGCTAACGTCATCTTTTGATTGGGTATCAGTACAGGCCCCAGCATTCTCTGGAGCTTGTACTTAATCTTGTGATCGGTAGGTTCAGTCGAATAGCCGGAGAAGTCTCTCAGAGTTAGAAACGGACATAGAGAGAACCAGGAAAGATTACTGAATAGAGGGCTAAAAGAATATATGTAAACTCCAGGTGTTTAGAAATTTGAAACAAAAGTCCTCGAATGGATTAATGTTGAACTCTTGTGTAGTGATGGTTCGAGCACATCGAACCTCGGTGTTTGTGTCGAGTCCCTAATTGTTCCGAAATGTTCTTTGACAAATGAACTGTGGTGTTTGGCTTTCAAGTGTTGGGTGGCCCAAGCCAATAGGGGGGTCAAATAAAGTGGGTCCTACGGCTAAGCTTCTTTTGGAGGCTGCCTTTTCACTTTCCCCAAACTTCAGCCTTTTCACCTTTCGTCAACCTTCTGGAATCGTGCCATCGATTCATCATCGAGTGCTGGCTTTTCTTGGTTGCCTTTGTCTACCAAGCATCGCCATCCTCAACGGGGCTGCACACCTTGGCTGTTTCTTGCGAAACTGATAAGTCCCCGTGGAAAGCTTCGCGCCGAGACTTTCTCTTTCTATCTCACCAGCTTAAGTTAAAGCACGACATCATCATGTCCCGTAACGGAACCACCCTTTACGTGACCGGCTTCAGCCACGGCACTCGCGCACGCGACCTCGCGTACGAATTCGAGCGGTACGTTCCCACGACGACGACGGCTCCACAACTTCGAGCCCGGTCCTCGATGCCTTCTCCTGCCATCCCTCCTCTCCTCCGTCTTCCCTCGGCGCCGAGCACCGCCCTCCTTCTCTCCAATCATCCTCGCCACCGTCGCTCCTACCTTTCGTGACCCGCTCGATGCTCCGATTCTTCGTGCCCGCCCCGTCCCCCTCCATTCTCTCGATCGAGCGGCCGGCGAAAATGACCCTTTCTTGCATCGGGCGAGTCACCTGTCAAAGCGGCAGAATGATTTTCGAAGCTTGACCGTTCACGGCTGGCAAATGGACATTCCTCCTCGACAATTTATCGCTGTTCTGAAAATACTGACATTTTCCAATTTTTTAGCTATGGCCGTCTGGTCCGGTGCGACATTCCGGCTCCGCGGTCCGCTAGCAGCAGACTGTAAGCAAATTCGCTGTCTTTCTCCCGCCATCAGAAACCAACAGGCAATTGCAGATTTGCTTTCGTGGAGTACGAGGATCGCCGCGATGCGGATGACGCGTACCACGATATGCATAACAAGCGCATTGGTCGCGACGATATCTTGAAGATCGAGGTAGGTTTCCTCCTCCCAACCACGCCTTTCCCGACTCATATTGACACCGTTCCAGTGGGCTCGCACCCCGCCGTCTGCCTCGTGGCGCTTCGACCGTACCGATCGGGACCGTGGCCCGCGTCGCTCGTCTCCCCGCCGTCGCTCGCCTAGCCCGCGCCGTCGCGACTACTCGCCCCGGAAGGATGATCGTCGTGACCGTGACCGCGACCGAGACTACGACCGCGACCGCCGCGACACCCGTGACCGTTCCCGCAGCCCTGACCGGTAGGTTTCCCCATCGCCGGCTATTTGTCAAGGTGCAACCTAACCCCGTGCTGATTTTAGTCGCAGCGATCGGGACCGCGACATGAAGGACGACCGTGACCGCGACCGTGACCGTGATGACCGCGACCGTCGCGAGAACGGCGCCAACGGTGATGACAGAAAGCGTATGTTCCGTACGCACCAAGGCAGGCGATAACTGACAGCGTGGCAGCCATCGACAGCCCCGACCGCCCGGCCCACGATGATCTCGATGTCGCCGAGTAGACGCAATTTTCTCGGGATCACTCTCTATGAGAAATGGCGACTCTTCAGGGTTCTGGCTGTAAGACTGTCAATGCACCTGGGTTCTTCCTTCTTTCCCCTCTCCGGTGGACTACTGATGTTGGGTGCCTTTGGGCGTTCAACCTGATCAAGCTCTTTAGCCCCACTTCCCGCTCGAGTTGCTCGGCTGCCCGTTCACCGAATGGTTTATCAGGGCACGTTCGATTACCGAAAAGCAGGAGAGGGTACTTGAAACAGCGAATAATACGGAGTCATCGGACGTAGATATCAGCCATGCGATCGTTTCTTTTCCTTGCGTATCAGTGGAGTTGGTGGGAAATCAAAACAGATCAACTGTTACTAGGTAGCAAATGCAGGGCGCTTCTCAACAGGACTTCATGGTGATCATCGCAAGCGCCTTGACACCGATTGGATTCGTGAAAGTTGAACTTCCCTGCTCTCCAGGTCAAGAGCCTGCCTGAACAGGAACAACTCCATCGGCTATCGGCGGCATGCAGAGTCTTGTCCAGCAGTTCCATTGGCAGTACCGGAGATCTGTTGTGTGAGATGCATTGGCCATGGCGAGTGACGCCGTGGCAGCACTTGATGCTCATAAGTTGAGATCTCCATACGTTGGTACATGTGCCTGACGTCCGGATGAGGGACATCACGAGTAATCAGGTACCGGTGGTACTGGTCAACAGACATCCCTTGAAATCCCATGTCACAAAGGCACAGGCCTGAGACGAACCCGGCATGGAGAGCTGTTGCTGCGGCTAAACTTAGCCCGATCGGGGGATTCGGTAAGATTCGGTACATTGCCAACTTTGTTAGGGGGGGCACCGGGGGAGAGTTGCAGAGTATCAGCTACCAGAGTCTGCCTTCCCGTGAAGATAGATGCGTTAAGCCAAAGGTACGAACAAAGTGCTTCGTTGTCATTGTAAGATATAGTTACCCATGGGTGGGATGGACCCACTTGGTTAAATCTGCGCATTTTCCTGCGGACGGGAGAGTGGTTTACGAAAATACCCGGACGCAACTTTAGCGCCCGGACAGAGGTTATAGGTGCAATGCACGTTCAGGATCTCCATCAGCAAGCCAAAACAGCTAAAACTCAACAATAAGTTAATAGATCGCAGAACTTAGTCTACATATTCCATATAACTATAAGATACTCTCTGTGACGGCACCTGCTGTCGAGGTGCGCGCTTGTCTTGCTCTAGCATTTATCCCCTGCATCGCGAGGGCTCTTCCAGCTTCTCTTCCTTTTCTCCCCATCTTGTGATTTCATACAATAGAGAGGTCTTTCCGCAGCCTTGCCTCCGCCATGGCCCTAGCTCTGACACTATCCTAAAAACCTATGGTAGCTTTATTAAAGTGGGTATTGTCTCTCTTAAGAATTGAAGGAAGTTGAAGAGTGTCTCCTAGTCTTAGTATTACTTAGTATCTTCCTTCTCTCAGCTGAAGTACCGTCTCTAACAAAGAAGCTTAGCAACTCCTTCATTAATTCACTTCAAATTTCTGAGCACTATCTTCTATTTAGAGAAAAATGTATTCTCAAGTTTTGATGAAGTGCATCGCTTATACTGCATCGATATCGGTATTTGTTTGAGATCGATACTGAGGTTAGCTGGAAGTTGCACCTATAACCCTGTCCGGGCACTCAAGTTGCGTCCGGGTGTTTTGTAACCCACTCTCCTGCGGAGAGTGGGCAGTTACAACGGAGTGGGGCAACATACCCACAGGTAACTGAACTTGAAAGCAATAACTGAAAACGACATAAAGACGGGAGTGCTGATCCTGAGGGTAGCTTGGCGTTGCGGCATTGTCGATGTTTTTTCTCGCAGCGTCATCTGGCCCTGGCCAATCTCCACCACAACACGGTCCTCTTTCAAAAGCTCCCGTGTCAACCTTCCTGACCAGCACATTTCTAAAATACCAGTACACTGCGCACGCCTATTCGATCACTTTCGGCGTGGCATTCTGGAAGCCTTTGACAACGCACGCTCGACCGCGTCGGACAAACAAAGACAAGCCGGCCGCCACCTATGCCCCTCGAGGACCCCAAAGCGCCTCTATCTCCAGACATGTTGGTCGTGAAACCATAACCTTAGCTATCTGAAACCTTGCCCGAATCTGCTTTGACGTACGCGCCTACAAATCCACGGTTGCACATTTCCACCGGCTTGGAATCTCGATCGGTGGAGACAAGACAGTTCCGCGGGGCCATCCGACCCGCCTAGCTTCAAGTGCGCTCCTTTCCTCGTGACACCGCATGCGCCTGAAACCGGCGCAGTCCTGGTCGGAGACCACTCGTTTCTCCGGTGTCGTAGGCCTTCCAAGATCAACGGCGACTAGCACAACTTGCGCAGCTAGTTTGGTTCAATCTTTGCTACCTAGCTAATACTTCACAATGTCGACTGTACGTATCCCTTGGCTCGGCTGCCACAAGGGTGCCCCCACCATTGAACAAAACCAGTTCCTCAAAGGAGGGTTGAGGGAGCCAACCCCCGAGGTAGTTTACAATGGAGACATACTAACAAGATTTTCCCTCCCTCTCCAGGCGCAGTCAACGCGGTCCAAAGACGAGCCAGAGCCCAAAGCCGAGCTCTCGGTATCCTCCTCCCTACCACCACCGCCCCCAACCGAAAAGCTCCGTCCCGTGGACCAGTTCCGCTCCGCCATCTCCGAGCCCGTGGTCGCGGCCTTTTGCGCCGGCGGCGTGGCGGGCGCCGTTTCGCGCACCGTGGTGTCGCCGCTCGAGCGGCTCAAGATCCTCTTCCAGGTCCAGAGCGCGGGGCGGGAGGCGTACAAGCTCAGCGTGGGCAAGGCCCTGGCAAAGATGTGGAAGGAGGAGGGCTGGCGCGGGTTCATGCGGGGCAATGGCACGAACTGCATCCGCATCGTGCCGTACTCGGCGGTGCAGTTTGGGAGTTATAATTTCTATAAGAGGGTGGGTATTCATCGAAGATGAAAAATGGGGGAAGCTATATGGGATTGTGTTGACTTTCTTTTGGCTGCAGCACTTCTTTGAGCGGCACCCGGGGGACAGTCTCACGCCGCTCTCGCGTCTGACTTGCGGCGGTCTCGCCGGCATCACCTCCGTCACCTTCACATACCCGCTTGACATCGTGCGGACACGACTGTCTATCCAGTCCGCGTCGTTTGCTGAACTCGGCGAGAGGCCGAAGAAGCTCCCCGGCATGTGGCAGACCATGGTGATGATGTACAAGACGGAAGGGGGCGTCACTGCGCTGTACAGGGGCATCGTCCCGACAGTGGCTGGTGTTGCACCATATGTATGAACCCCTGGACGAGACAGTTTTGGGGGAAACAGCACTGACTCGCAGCGTGCAGGTCGGCTTAAACTTCATGACGTACGAGTTTGTCAGACAGTACCTGACATTAGAAGGCGACCAGCACCCCAGCGCGGTTCGGAAATTAGCTGCCGGTGCCATCTCTGGAGCGGTCGCGCAGACATGCACATATCCATTGTGAGTGTTCATGTGCCATGAACCAAGATCAAGTTTCCCAGACGCTGACTTTTAGCAGCGATGTGTTGCGGCGACGGTTCCAAATCAACACCATGTCGGGCATGGGCTACCAGTACAAGTCCCTCGCGGACGCGGTCCGCGTCATCATCGCCCAAGAAGGCATCAAGGGGCTTTACAAGGGCATTATCCCCAACCTCCTCAAGGTGGCGCCGAGTATGGCGTCAAGCTGGCTGAGCTTTGAGATATGCCGCGATTTCCTCGTCAGCCTGAAGCCCGAAGAGGAGCCGCTATTACAATGATGTTGCCTAGACGTGAGTCCTATTCGCCGGCGTCGTTGACGTTCCTAAGGCTCTGATTTCCTTAGGAAGACCCCACAAACATCCGCTCGACCATGGCAACTTTTTTGTGTTCCTCTAGATACGCCACTGATAAAACTAGTTGTACATACCAAACGAACATTGCTTTCATTGCTCCGGCTCCCGGCTTCCATATCGCCTTGGGCACGACTGAAGGGAGACATCTGCAGCACCACCCCCGGACCCAATTTCACATGAATGGAGGCAGGGAATAGGGGTAGCCCTGGTTCTTCCCGCGGAAGATGCTGAGGAGCAGGCTGTACACGACGAAGAGGACGCCGCTCCAGGCGAAGAGGGCCACGCTCTGGGTCCTGGGGTCGGTCATCCGGGGAACCTTGATGGCCAGGTTAATGCCGCAGAGCGCCAGGACACCATCTGCGTTGATTGTTGGGGTTAGAAAAGGATACAAAGAGCGGAGTAGGTGGGTAAGGGGTTTCTCAAAAAAAAGTAAGACGGATAGACGGAGGGGGATGCAACTTACACATGGTAGCCACAATCTGCGTCTCTAGACCGTACTGATTTTGAAAGCCACCTGCGAAATAGCTGATACCGCCTTTCCCGTCGCCGGCCACGTACGGGACGTTGCGGATGTGGTTGTACATGTGGCCGCTGGTGAAGAGCAAGATGCAGACGAGCGTGACAGCGGCCCAGACAGTGCGGTTCTGGATGACAGGCAGAACGTAGGGCCACGCAGCGTAGGAGGCGGTCAGGCCGCCCGACAGGATGACCAACGACGAGATCCAGCGCATCCAGTTGATCGGTCGCTTGACGGGCGGGTGCGGGCGGTCGGGCAGGTGCCGCGCCAACCAGCTGTGGACGAGCTCGGCTGCTTGGGAGCTAGAGGATCATTAAGAACAGCAACGTCAGCCTCCGTCCGAGTAAGTCCAAGTGCCCAGGGAAATCCCCCCTAACTTACCCGCTCGTAAAGTCATATCGAATCGGCTCCGGCGAGGCCACGGCGTGCGGACCAATCGTGGGCGGGAACAGAAACAGCACCGGCGCCGTTTGCAAGCCCAACTATTGCATTACCAACAACCCACCCTGTCAGCCCCATACCATTCATCTCCAGGGAGCCATGCATGGATGCATGGCGTGACCGGCGGGGCGGTATTATGTATACGTACGCTCATGAAGATGTCCCTGCCATCCCCGAAGTCGAGCGTCCCAAACACGGTCCGCGACTCGCCCTTCTTATCTCCGCCCGTCCAGCTGCGCGCCAGCAGCTCCCACTCGGGCTGGAACTCGCGGCACAGCTGGCACCCGTACCGGCTGTCCATGGCCGTCAGGAGCACGGCCACGCTGTAGTCGCGCGGCGCGCTCGTCAGCTCGCGGTATGAGGCATCAGCGAGCTTGAGCGGGGCAGAGGAGAGGGCTTTGTTGTGGTAGTGCTGGAAGCGCTCTTCGGGTGTTTTTTTTGCTGCGGCGAGGGTGGGTGCTGAACCGAACCCGAGGAGGGTGAGTGAGAGGAGGGTGAGGAGACGCATGTTGTGTAAAATGGTAGGCTGATTGATGGGGGGTTTGGTGTAAAGGAATGTCGCGGTCGCCGTGATGAGGGCCAATTGCTCCTGGACGAGGGGCGCCGGGGCTGTCGTCGTCGTCCGGAGCTGGTGGATGGGACGCTTGGCGGTTTGGAGATGGAGCTTCTGGAAGTGTGTCCTCAAGCGCATCATCAGCGAACTCGTTTGCAGCTGGCCGTCCCCTGCACCTTGGCATTGCTAGACCGGGAACAGCCGGCAGATGGCTTGATGGGGTAGCAAAATGCAGCTAGTCCGATTTGGGAATGATGTTTACTTCAAAGTGTGGGCCGCAAGGCGAATGATGCATTCCTTTCGTTTTCCGCATTACATACCTCAACGACACCCATCATATCGCGCTTTTCTTCCGGCTCTTATTTGATGAGGCATCTTTTTGGAGTCCCTCAACTGATTTTTTCGGCCCTCGTAGCATTACGACTCACCATTGTTGCTGCCGCTCTGCATACTTATGCCGTCGAAAAACGCGTCACAATGTGTAAACATGGGCTCTGAAGAGGTGCGCATCAATGCCGACAGTGCATAGTTGGCCATGTGATTGCTGTTCTAATGCTCAATCAACGCTAGAGAAACGAAATGCTCCATACCCTTGACATGAGGTACCGACGCACTCTCCATAGATGCGACCTCGTGGTCAAGGACGAGGAAGCGCGGCGCTTGAAGTTGCGCAGCATCATACTCCGCGATGAGGCATCGGCGCTCAAGGACCAGCTCGCACAGAGAGATGCTCGAATCAAGCAGCTCGTTGACCAAGTCGATGACGTCCGGAGTCAGCTGGGCGGCGCGTTGGAGAAGTCCCGCAGGCAGGATAAGCTCATGCAGTCGCAGGCTCGGGAGATCACCAATCTGAAGGTGACGAAACCACCAATTTTAACTCTTCGGCCGAGATCTGACAGGATGCTACTACAGGAGGAGCTGTCGGCAATCAACGCAGTATCACAAGACTCGGCCAGATTCCTATCCGAGAAGCTCGCCCTCTCCCGTGAGCTTGCCGTGCTCAAGCCGGAGCTGGAACATCTACGATCGCAGTTGACACACCAAAAAGATGTGCTCGCCGAGAAGCTGGCCCTCGAGCGCCAGCTTAATACGCTGGAAGTCGAGCTGGCCAACGAAAAACGCGCCGCCCAGAAGGCAGACCAAAAACAGGAAAGAGAGAGCAGGGTAGAAGAAGAGCTGCGCAACCAAGTGCGAGATCTGCAAGACGAGCTGGCCAAAGAGAAACGGCTTGCGGAGAAGAACAGAAAGACCAAAGAAACCAAGGAGAGCAAGGTAGAGGGAGAACTCCAGTCTCTCCGCGAACAGCTGGCAGCAGCGGAGGAAGAGCTTGCTGCTGAGAAGCGCAAGGCTGAGCAAGCAGAGAACGAGGCCTCGGAGACATCAGCTGCAGAGGAGGAACTCGAACAGCTCCGGGCGGCGCTTGCTGAGGCTCGCAAGGCCTTGGCTCACGAGAAGAAAGTGATGGAAAAGCTGCGCAAGGAGAATGAGCAGGCCCAGGTTGATGCAGAGGAGCGCCAGCAGGCCATGGGCGACAAGGTGGACAGGCTACGGAGCAAACTCCGCGACACACAGGAGGAGCTGAAGAAGTGCCGGGCTGAGCTCGAGAAGGCACAGGCAAGGACAGTGACGGTTTCCAGCGCCGCGACCACTACAGTCCCGCTTAAGAGCGCTCCTGGTGCCAAGCCGAACGCGAAGAAGAAGAGATCTGCCGACGAAATGAGCGTGGATGACAAAGTCCTTCTCACCCCGGGCAACATGGACGACCGGCCGAAGCGCCCCCTTAAGAAGAGAGGCTTCGACCTGTCCATGGTCGGCGGAAAGTCCGAATTCTCCATCACGCCCTTCCTCAACAAGACGGCCAACCTTGACGGGTCACCCAAACCTTCAAGCGACGATGCCACGCCAAGCGGCCCAGTCCAGTTCCGCGCCGCGGAGCAGGCCATCGCCACAACCCCTCCCGCCGAGCCAGCTTCCGAAGAGCCACCAACCGCCAATTCCTCAGCAGCCAAACCCACCACAAAGCTCGTCGAGAAACGACCCCGCGGCAGACCCCGAACGAAGCCTCTCGCCGGCTCGGCCGCGTCCAAGAAGAACCTGATTGTCCCCAAGCGCAAAGGCCCACACATCGAGCCCACGTTGGAAAATGTGGCCGAAGAGCCAGACGACGAGGGAGACAGCGCCAACCACGACCAGGAGAATGTCTCTGCGAGTGGCGGCTCTGCCACCGCGAAGAGCACTGCCGCTTCCACTACCACCGCCTCGACTACCAGCGCGATCAGCAGCGTCATCCCTGAGAAGGCAGAGCCCAAGAAGAAGAAGCGCAAGCTGCTTGGGACAAACACGTCGACGCTGTTTGATGGCGCTGAGGACGAAGGCGAGAGGGTGAAGCCTGCAGCTGGTGCTGCTGTTTCTGCCGCTGCTGGTGCTGCTGCTGGGGTCAAGAGGCCCGCGGTGAAGGTTGGGTTTGGTACTGGTGCTGGTGTTGGGAAGGGCATGGCGGCGGGTCGATTTGGAGCGGGCATTAAGAATGCTTTTGTGGGGACGACGTTCTCGCCTCTGAAGAGGGATAAGCGGGGGGCGGGGGCTAGCTTTTTGGCGTAGCCTGCTCATTTGTTCCACCCGGATGGGTTGAGAGAGATGTTGCGAAGTGGATTGTTCTGTGGGAATTTGAATTAAGTCTGGGATGGTGTATAGGCATGGTTCGGCGTTTGTGGTATCTTGTGGCATTTTGGCTTTTGGGAAGGGTTTCGAGGTTCTGGGATCTATCTGGGTTTTACTTGTTGGTTTACAGCACAGCACAATCAACGGGATGCTTCATTCCAACTATTCCTTGACTCAAGTAATACTGATAATGACGATGGGCTTGGAAAAGGTGTTGTGATTGTGAACTACGATCTCAACATGCTGGAATATGACTTTAACGAAATCCACGTTTCTTATATGCGAGTTCTTACGCTTTTTCTGGATGCCAAGACGGTCAATTCAGGAAGTCATGATACTTAAGCGAGGTCAATGCTCCAAATTTGCAATTATTCACTTCACCTGATCACAGCGATCGTCAACACTTGTACTCGGTATACCTTTTGATACCAGCCTCGGAGGACTGCCTTGCCTCTCACCTTATGACATAAAGGAGTTGAAACACCAACACTTATGAAGGTGCCATGGATCCGGGCTGTCCCCGCCAATGTCGATGGGCTCACCGCACGCTCTTCACATCGCGGCCTGTGTTCATGTTCAACCTCTGACTCATTCCCGCTCAATGTATCTAACATCACACCAAAATGGAGACGCGGACCAAGGATACCACCACCACCCGTCCCTTCAATACCACTTCGCCCTTCCTCTTCCTCCGCATCCTCCCGCTGGAAGCTACGCCAAGGCGCCGACCACTTCGCCCGCTCCGCCCGGGTGCAGGGCCTCAAGTCGCGCGCCGCCTTCAAGCTCCTCGAGCTCGACTCCAAGTACCACCTCTTTCGCCGCGGCAAGGGCCAGGTCGTCGTCGACCTGGGCTATGCCCCGGGCAGCTGGTCGCAGGTGGCTCTCGACCGCACGGCGCCCAACGGCACCGTCGTCGGCATCGACATCATTCCCGCCCAGCCTCCGAAGGGTGTCAGCACGATCCAGGGTAACTTTCTGAGTCCCGGGGTGCAGGCGATGGTGAAGCAGTTTCTATTGGAGGGGGAGAAGAAGAAGAGGGCCGAGAGGGCTGCCGCCAGGAACGTGATAAAGGGGGAGGCAGAGGCTGATTGGTTGAATGAAGTGGCCGACCGACCGAGTTATATCGTTCTGGAGCGCATGGCGGCGCACGAGAGCGAGGTCAACAGCGGTGTCTCCTTCGCCGCCTCATCGACACCAACATCACACGACGACGAGAGCATACACTCAAATGCAAGGGGAGAAAAGCGGCCAAATCTTCGGTTGGTAGACGTATGAACAACCCGCTTGAACCCAGGCCGACTCAGACACCAACCCCCCCAAAAGAGAACGAAGTACATCCTCACTAACACCAAGATCATCTCTCCTTCCCGCCAACCAGGTAGTTCTCAGCGACATGTCAGCACCCTGGCCCCAGACCCACGGCTTCTCGATCAAAACGTTGAGTAACCCGTATATCAGGATGATGAACACGAGCGGCATCGCCTTCAAAGACCACGCAGGCAGCATGGTACATCATAACCATTCCCTTCACTCACCTCCATCTCATCCTTCACCCCTCGAACTCCCTCCACATATTCGCAACGACCAGATATGACTAACCACGCCCACTTCCTCCCGCTCACCCCAAACAGGATCTCTGCCACGCCGCACTCTCCTTCGCCTCCGACACGCTCAAGCCGGGCGGCAACTTTGTCTGCAAGTTTTACCAAGGGCCCGAGGACAAGGCGTTCGAGGCATTGCTCAGAAAGATGTTTGCCAAGGTGCACCGGGAAAAGCCCGAGTCGTCACGGAGCGTGAGTCTTCACTCGTAGATGTGTCCTAGTTCAAATCAAGCTGAAGTCAAGTCGCAGGAATCGAGAGAGGCTTTTTTTGTGGCGCTCCGGCGAAAAGCGGACGTGACGCTAGAGGATATTGAGGGGCAATAATGGATGATAGCCTTGCTGGTAAGGTCAAGTCCATTGACGATGCAACATCAAAACTGCGCACGATGTCCGCATAGAACGTTGTACAAAACACACGACATTCGTCAAAAAGCAGTCATGCGTGTCGCGGCAGGGCCCAATGGCATTGTCATTCATGACTGTGGCATCAACAAGCGCCAGCCCGTCGATTCCTCATGCCCGTAAAAAGAGAAAAGACTTTTGCGTCCCATGTGCCGTGGTCGAGAGCAGACCGCAGACCATGGCAAGCCCGGAAACCACATGCCCCAAACCAGTGCCATGCGACAACCCAGAATCCTGCTCTACGCCCCAAACTCCAGAGAGTATCGGTCCCAACTGGTTTAGACCTTGAAGCCACGCGACCTCCTGCGGCCACGGGCACGCTCGAACTTGCGGCCCTTGGAACGGACATAGGGCTTCTGTTTGGGGGGTCAGTCCTGTTCTGGCTGTGCTTCATGAACAGCCAAAGGGGAAACGAACCTTGTTCTTGTGGGGACCGAAGCCAAAGTGCTTGACGGCCTCGCGGGCGTTCTTGGGGCCGCGGAGCAGCAGGGTGTTGGCACCCGTGGGCTTCTCGAGGGCCAGCTGGTCGAGGGTGATGACCTGGCCGCCGGCAGCGGTGATGCGAGCACGGGCAGTGGCGGTGACGCGGAGGGCGGCAACCGACATCTTGGGGACAGTCAGGAGGCGGTTGTCATCGGTGACAGTGCCAACGACGACCACCGTCTTGTTCTCGTTGCCGTTCTTGAGGTTGGCCGCGATGCGGGACAGCGAGATGGGAGGGCGGTTGATGCGGCTCATGAAGAGGCGACGCAGGACAACCTTGTTGAAGGGCGCATCGGTGCGGCCTGGTTATTGTCCGTCAGATGATTGATTCGGCTCCAATGGCTAAGAACTGAACGGAACTTACGGGCCAGGAAGCGGTAAAGCTTCACCAAGAGCTTCAGGTAGACGTTGTCGCTCTTGGGCGCCTTGCGGTGCGTAGACCGCTCGTGGTGCTTACGCAGATCGATACCTAGGTTCCGACGAAAACTCCAGTCAGCCTTTGGACTCCGGTATGCTCAATTGGCACGCTTCGACCAGCGATGCATCATCTCGAAGCTTGCCTGTGCCCATTCGCGACAGCGCTGGCGGCAGCAAGCAACGGCGACGGAATTCTCGACTGGGAGCAGGAAATGCCATGGTTCGCAGAGAGAAACACGTAATTCGGAATCTCTTCCACTCGCACACAAAAGGCTTCGAGGAGGCCGGTTACGTACCCATCTTGACGATGACTCGCGGATTGTCGACAAGAAATCCGAGTCGATGGGAGGTTCGTTGGCGATGGTTCCAAGAATTCGGAGGCCGCAAAATTTGGGAGATTTTGGTGCTGGTGGGGAGGGTTTTGTGCGTAGGCGGTGAGTAGCGGCAAATTCTTTTGCCCCTAACCCTCGCCAGGACTGAACTTCCACTTCCAATTCTCAAACGTCCAACGGCCGCCCTAATAACGGCACGGTTTCCAACAGAGCTAGAAGTTGGAAGTTGCTAGTGAGATCATGGCCCCGATTACAGACAAGACGGATCTGGTTGCAGAGTTCCCTTATCCAGTGCAGCACTAGGAACTATAACATAGCAAGCTAATCTGATGGAGTCAAATTTTTGCCTTCTTTTGCTCCGCAAAAGTTAGGAATAGAATCAACATAGTCGTCTCAGTTATTTTACAGAGGAACTGAAGAGATGACGATAGTTTGACTCCCGGTGTACCTGGTTGAGGGGCATGCTGCTTCGACTCATGCCTCTCGCGCGGCTTGAACTCCCTACTTCTTTGCTCTGTACCTTCTATACTACCATTGACTCTTGGCTTTTTCTGCGTTTGAGATCTCTTCGCCTTCTCCTTTCTCCCTCCTCTTCCTTTCCATTCACAGCCCTGAAATGCTCAAGACAGAATTGGCACCGTGTAGACTTGACGTTTGAATTCACATGTAGCATTCAATAGCCATTGTCTAGTGTCTTGCTATACAATCGCAGCAAAACCCTCTGGTACTACCATCATCATGGAGATGATTGAGTCATGTCGCTGTGATGCAACTCGAAAAACAATTGATCCTTAGATTACTTGATAGGTGTGCTTCTTGTCGCGATTGAGAGCCGTTGAAAGACGCAACGACCTCGTAACTGACAGACCGCCGTATCATAAGAGCCTGAGGATGGTGTGAGAAAGGATCAAGCGCGAAGTGTTGAACCAAGACTCGTTGACTCCGAATTCGAAAGAAAGAAGCAAGTAAATAGCCATGAGTTCGAGCAGATATATCGAGAAACTTGATACCAACAATCATCATACGCCTCTTTCCATCGTTCCCAAACTCATAATCAACTACCTGTGACTTGTTAGTCCAGTTCGCCGTAGGTTCAGTGCCTTACTCATAATCCATTGCACTGACATGGCAAAAAAGATTGTAGGTTCCCGAATCTCAATGTCTAAACTACACCCAAGTAACTAATCTAGAACCACCTCAAGTAAGTTGAAGAGAACAGCTACCAGGGTCATCGTCTGATTTGTCTTCGTCAATCGAGTTCTGCGCTACACCACTAATGATCAACTGGCAGCCTTCTCCATGGTTGTAAGCCATCCAGAAGGCGGCATTTATCAAAATTGAACCGGGCCACAAGGCGAGGTGTGGGAGTTCACGACGTAATCCGAGGCCTCGATTGAAACGATTGGAACAAACAGGACGGCACTAGCGCAATCAGCCGTCGAGTACCGCATCCGTCAGGCTCAAGTCGTGTTTGTCTGAACGGTACTGTTCCAGACTCATCAAGTATTAACACAACCATATTATAGGAGCTCTCATCCCATTTGGTGTCCCTCGGCCACTGCCTCCGAGCCGAGATGGTCTCCGAGGGCTTTAGCCGTGGCCGCGAGCGCGTCCTCTACATCGAGTCGGTCGAATTGCGCGGCAGAGCTGGTCTGGGTAGCATCTTGATCGGCATCCAGCACGACCCCCTGTCTGACACCGTGGCACTGGTGTTGAGGTTGTCGGCTAATAATCTACGGCTTAATGTCGTTAATCTAGTTCTTGTCAGACAATGGCGTATTTTAGCCACCAACTGCCGCTTAGCGCCGGGACAGGAACCATGCTGGGGGGTTGGGGGAGGAACTTGAAGTTCATGTATGCATGTACCTAGAGTCGTAAAGTGGCTGTCCTAGATCGTGAAGTGAACATGCCATGAGCCCTGCAGACACGCTTAGTCACTACGGAGTTTGAAGCCTCGACATGACAACGGACTTGGCAGAACGGAGGGTGCCGATGTCAAGAGAAGTCAGACATGCCGCAATCAATATGTTGGCCATGGTCCGGCGCCGTCACCGACGATGTTCACTTGCCACAACAGTGCGGGACCTTTCTGCTCCGTTTTCCTATAGTGTCTCATCAACAGCCGCTGTTCTTTCATGTGGCGAACCGTTACCCGTTGGTCGGCACGGCGAGCTGGTTGTAGAAGGCAGGGAGCAACCTCTCCATGGTCCGTACCCTTCTCCAGCCCGACCCAACCGGAGACCGAGAGACGTGCATGAAGGGGGGATAATACCCCAGATTGCCAGCAGCCGTCCCCAATTCCCCACACTTCCCGAACCCCAAAACGTCTCCGTGAGCCATCCACCAATCCCCGGCCGGACCGTCGGCCATGGCCTGAGCACAAATGAAGGGCGATATGAAACTCGAGATGGGATCTGGCAAGCGTGCCACTCGCAGTGATCGACACTCGCCCACAGCCCCGCATCCCATATCCCAACGGCGACTGCTCGGCGCGGCTCACGCCTTCCGCGGAGGGTCCAACCCGAAACCTCGCGCCAGCACCGGGCCTGTCTTCCTGATTGCGAGGCTCATCCTCCAAGGCATGGCAGCCTCAGGGCTAGCGCAGGGGCAGACAGTGTCTGCGGTTCCAAAGACTCCTGGTCGTTGTCAGGGGGGCACCGCAGCGCCAAGGGGGAGTCAGTCCCTGGTATAAAGTCGAGCCACCTTCCCTCTCTTGCTGAACGAGATCTCTCGACCAGGCATCACAGCTTCAGATCCAGTTTTGCGCGTGTGTGTTCTTGCCCAGCATGAAATTCTCGCAGTCTGCCGCCGCCCTGGCGTTCGCCGCCACGGCCCTCGCTGCCCCGTCGCCGACGACTCCCCAGAAGCCCAGACAGGCGGGCGGCTGCTCGTCTGCCGTCACGCTCGACGCCAGCACCAACGTGTTCAAGAAATACAAGCTGCACCCCAACAGTTTCTACCGCGCCGAGGTCGAGGCTGCCGTCGCGCAGATCTCGGACTCGTCCCTGGCGTCGGCCGCCGCCCAGGTCGCCGACGTCGGCACCTTCCTGTGGCTCGACACCATCGCCAACATTGGCAAGCTGGAGCCCGCGCTCGCCGACGGCGTGCCCTGCGAGAACATCCTGGGTCTCGTCATCTACGACCTCCCGGGCCGTGACTGCGCCGCCAAGGCGTCCAACGGCGAGCTAAAGGTCGGCGAGCTCAGCCGGTACAAGACCGAGTACATCGACAGTGAGTCTGCTGGTAACGCTTCAGGCTAGCAGGAATAGCACTGACACGATTTGCAGAGATCGTCTCAATCCTCAAGGCGCACCCCAACACGGCCTTTGTCCTCGTCATCGAACCCGACTCGCTCCCCAACCTGGTCACCAACAGCAACCTGCAGACGTGCCAGAACAGCGCCTCGGGCTACCGCGACGGCGTTGCGTACGCGCTCCGGCAGCTCAACCTGCCCAACGTGGTCATGTACCTCGATGCTGGCCACGGCGGCTGGCTCGGCTGGGACGCCAACCTCAAGCCCGGCGCCGAGGAGCTCGCCAAGGCATACAAGGCGGCCGGCTCGCCCAAGCAGTTCCGCGGTATCTCGACCAACGTTGCCGGCTGGAACGCCTGGTAGGTTTTCCCTTCATCTCACATCTTCGGGCGAAGAAAAAAATAGAAAAAAGAAAAGCAAAAGCCATATTCAGCGCTAACAGTGTGTGTTCAAGGGACTTGACCCCCGGCGAGTTCTCGTCCGCGTCGGACGCCAAGTACAACCAGTGCCAGAACGAGAAGCTGTACGTCGAGAAGTTTGGCGCGGCGCTCCGGACGGCGGGCATGCCCAACCACGCCATCATCGACACGGGCCGCAACGGCAAGCAAGGGCTGCGCCGGGAGTGGGGAAACTGGTGCAACGTCAACGGCGCCGGGTTCGGCCGCCGCCCGACGGCCGACACGGGCTTCGAGCTCGCCGACGCCTTTGTGTGGGTCAAGCCCGGCGGCGAGTCGGATGGCACCAGCGACACCTCGGCCGTCCGCTACGACAGCTTCTGCGGCAAGGAGGACGCCTTCAAGCCCTCGCCCGAGGCCGGCCAGTGGAACCAGGCCTACTTTGAGATGCTGCTCAAGAACGCCAACCCGGCTTTTTAAGGCTGCGGTTAAGCTGTGGGGGTGGTCCACGGATGGGGATGGGGATGGCGAAAAAAGATTGGACTAAAGATAAAGAAGCCAATCGCTGTGCATGGTCGCGCGTTTCTCTCGCCAAGTTCCTCTTCAGTGTGGTAGTTTCATAGGCGTATATATGGCGTTGCGTACATGTCGCGGTGGCCTCATCTGAAGTGACGGACCGCTGAATTTGTCGCCTGCTTGGAAGCGCGTAACACCGGCCATTGGAACCGAAGAACAGATGGTTAGATACACAAACATAGGAACAAAGAGGGATATCATACATACATATTATAATACATTGACCTGAGCCTTTGCTCGGGCGCTGTCCTCTTCCCTCTTCCCAATATCACTGGAATGGTACAACACAAGGTCGCATGTCCATCAAATCGTTCTCCCCTCCGCCCTTCGTCGCGGCAGCCAGATAATGCCGTACTCTCAGAGCGCGCATGGCACTCCTTAAGCCTCCCACAGCCGAACCTGACACCGCGAACCCGGAATCGACCAGGTGGCCTCGCCATGCCGAGTTACCGCGCTTTCGTTGACTCTGCGCCATAAGCGGAGACGGTTTCGTCAACTGTGCAGTTCTCAATGACTTTCTCATTTGACCAGCCGCCAGATACCCAGCCAGGCAAGGCCGAGCGAGATGGCCGTGATGCCGAAACTCCTGCTGCGCATGCCGAACCGTGAGCCGCTGGCCAGGATCTTGGCCCTCTGTTGCTCGAGTTGGGACTGCCCGGAGATGTAGCTGTATGCAGCCAGGCCTAGAAACGCGCCGCCACCTATTTTGTTTCGCGGCGTAATGAGCAATGGTTTTTTTGGCTGGTGTGCGATATTGTTAAAGTGATCGATGAGACGCACCAACGATCTTGCAGGGCAGACAGTCGTCTCCGCGGTCCTCTTTGAGGAGATCTTGCAGCTTCTCGGGTCTATCGAGCGCGTGTACAGATGGTACGACGTCCTTGGCCATCGTCGGTGTGGAAGAATTGACTGTGTTCCCTCAGTTGCAGGCTGTCTTCACTAGGTTCGGTTGAGTGTTCACAGTCAAAAGGTGGGCAAGGGAACTTCAGGTTGCCGTCAATCCAATCGAGATTCTGCAGGGGTCGCAGAGAAAACGGATCCAGCAGCTCGCCAGGGGTGCGCTAAATTTCAGTGGGTCCGGTGCGCTTATGGCGGCCCCTCGTTCATTGCGTCAGTGCTCCAGGGACTCCAGATCTCCATGGATATGTCGTGGGGACAAACCTCAACCCGGAAGCAGCTCCCAAACCACTCAACAACAACAGAAGGAAGCCAAAAGGTCACCATGACCGGCGTCATCGAGGCGCTGCATATCTACGACGAGCACAAGTGGGTAACATTGCCATCTACCGCCAACCGCAAGCTACCTTGAACCTTCAGGTAACTAACGACTAGTATGTTTTAGCTCCCTCGTGTTGTCGCACACATACACCTCGCGCCCGCTCGCAGCGACATACCTCCTCCCGCTCTATCTCGCCCACCCGGTCCCGCGCCCCAACCTGATCCACCTCCCCAACACGAACCCCCCCACGCTCGTCTTCAGCCTCACTCACGCCAACCTCCTCTTCCTGCTCACCACCTCGTCCGAGGTCGAGCCTCTGCTGATCCTCGAGTTCTTGCACCGCGTGGTCGACGCCCTCGAGGAGTTCCTCGGCGCCCCCTTGCTCGCCCACAAGCTCGAGGCCTCGTACGATGTCGTCGCCCAGCTCCTCACCGAGCTCTGCGACGCGGGCACCGTCTCCACCACCGAGCCCAACGCCCTGCGCGACCTGGTCGAGGTAGAGGGCTTCATGGACAAACTGCTGGGCAACCTCAACCTGCCTACGCCCGCATCTACTACCACAGGCATTGGCAGCAGTAGCAATAGCAGCATTAGCGGCACCGCCTTGTCGTCCTCCTCCTCCCTGCCCCGACGCACCGCGTCCCCTCTGGGCCAATTAGGACCCGCGGCGCCGGCCCTCCCCTGGCGCCGCGCAAACGTCCGCCACACATCCAACGAGCTTTACGCTGACATCATCGAGTCCCTGCGTGTCACGCTCGCGCCCTCAGGAAGGCCACTCGCGGCTTTCGCCCACGGCACCATTGCGTTTACGTCTAAAGTCTCAGGCGTGCCCGATCTCATCATGACGCTTACTGCTCCCGGTAGTGGTGGTGGTCGGAAAGGAGGGGGTAGTGGAGGGGGTTTGGCGGGGATGGTGGAGCTGCCTGTGTTCCACCCGTGTGTGAGGCTCAACCGCTGGCGGGAGCAGCCTGGTGTGCTGAGCTTTGTGCCGCCGGATGGGAGGTTTATTCTGGGCGGGTATGAGGTGGATTTGATGCCGGGGTTTTCGGAAAAGGATGGGGTGTCGTTGCTGGGGCTGGGCCAGGGGAGTGGGTTGAGGTTGCCTGTGTCGGTGGAGGTCAAGACGGGGTTGGGGGTGGCTGGGGCGGATTTTGAAGTGAGGGTGTCGGTGAATAGGGTGTTTGGCTCTACGGGTGCGGGTGGTGGGGGGCAAAGTGGGTGGGGAGGAGCAGGGCTGGGCGGTGGCGGGAGGGGTTTTGGTGTTGGTTTGCCGCAAGCTGGCACGCCGGCGTCGCCGGCGCTGCAGGACCTGGTGGTCACGGTGCCGCTGCCGGCGGACGTGAGGAATCTGTCCGAGATTAGGCCTACGAGAGGCGACGCGACCTACAACCCTGGCGACCGGGCGCTGGAGTGGTCCATCTCGAACAAGGAGTTGGCCCAGGGGACGACTTCGTTTGCGCTGCGGTGTACAGTCGTGGGGCAGATGGTGGACGACGAGATTGAGGACTCGGACCCGACTGGGTTCGGGTTCGGTACAGGCGGGGATGCATACACGTACGACGAGCTGTATCAAAGTTCACCACAATCGGCGATGAAACCGACCACGGACGCTGGGGCAGGAGAAAGGGATGAGCGGCGGACGGCGCAGAACAAAATCCTGATGCCCAGCTCCGCCTCGGTCAGCTTTGCCGTTAAGGGCTGGCTCGCCAGCGGCATCAAGGTGGAGAGTCTCCAGCTGGACCCAAGGAGGAGTCGGGGCCTGGGTGAGGGCGTGAAACCGTACAAGGGGGTCAAGTACCTCACAGTTAGCAAGGGGGGTGTCGAAATTAGGTGCTGACACAGTTACTTCACCAACCGCAAGCACAGCATCATGTCTCGCAACGGCACCACCCTTGACGTGGCCGGCTCCAGCCACGGAATAGACGTGTATAACCTCGCGTACGAACTCGAGCGCGACGTTTATACGATGGCAATAGCTCTATCCACTCTAAGCTCGGTTCTCGATATTTTCTCCTGCTATCCTTCCTCTCCTCTGTCTTCACTCGCTGCTGAACAGCGCCCTGGTTGTCCGTCTGAGCCTGCCAGACAGTCACCATCCACCCGCTAAAGCATTCTCGTGGGGTCCATCTTGCAGCAGGATTATGCCGCGCTCGCCCCAGTCTGGCGGACAATGCATGCCCCCCCTTCGATGAACAGGGGAACTGGCTCCGGGACTCTAAGGGGGGGCATGCGATTTGGATATGAATCTGGCTTGCGATATGGCCGCCTGAGGATGGTCATGCAGAACAGCATGATGGCTGCACCACGGCCGCTTGGCCAGCAAAACGGGCCTTGAAACCGCGACCCGAGGTGGCTTTCTTCCGGAAGCCTTGCACATGGTTACAATATTTTGTTTCCGCCGTCAGAACAGCAAACAGACAAAATTTGGATGCCAGTTTCTCCGCATGTCCGATGCGCACGTTTACCCGTCCGTTTCTGGGTCGCGACCCGCCCCCGATAGAGGCCATGGAGCGCCGGGATGTGTGGCAAACGTGTGATCGGTGTCCGTGGCCGGGCCGGGCCAAATGATGGTCTCAACGCTGGCCGGCCTGGACACGGTTGCTTCTATCTGTTGCACCACTCTCCTACTTCCATGGGAGTTGGTCGTCATGTAGCAAAGCCTCCCCAAGGAGACTCTGCGTCAACACATCAACCAAGCACAGTCCCATGAATACACATGCTCGAACGCTAGCCCGAATGTCGCTCCAATCATCCCAAGCTCGATCAGATGCAAACGCCGCATTTGATGATCGTCTTGCAGCCCACGACCGGAGGATAGGGTTGTGAGTGTGGTGAACCCCCGTTATGCGAGGGATTTCCCCCCTTATGGGACCGTGAGGCCATATTCGGACCGTGGATTCAATTGTATTCGAGCGCCAGGCAGCTTCAACAATATCAACCCGGCAATATAATTCCCCACCCACTGTGCTGCCGCTGCTGTATTGGTGCGGCACGGTGCGGCGTGGGAGGGGAACTTTCATTGTTCCCGCGAGCATCAACGAGTGGAATGCCCTACCTCATGCAGACAGGAGACTAGGTCTCGCAGGGAATGGGTTGGGTGAATTTGATGGCGAAAGTAGTAATGGACAGGCTGTCTGACGATCGCACCCCGCTCTTCTCCGTACACGTCCATCTCGGGTGCTTGCGGCTTTTGCCTGTCAACTTGCACCGTTATCAGATCAACTACGACACTCCCTCCGCCAAGCCGCTTTTCGTTCAACCACCCACAACGAGCCTTTGTGACAATACTGTGGCTCACTGTAACACATGATCCTGGCCGGCGCTTGGCCAACTTTACTTTTCCGAGACAGAGAGAGTCGAGAAACTCCGTCCACAATCCTCTTCTTTCAGAAAAAGAGCAGTCCATAGGGAGGATGTAAATCAGAGCAGATATCTAGCATAGGCACACACCCAAAGCATGCCCGACAGTGCCGAAAACTGTGTGCACACCACAACGTTCTGAAAGTCCCAACAGGCCGTGGCTGAGAAAAACAAAAAATCGAGATCTCGTAAAGTGAGCCAACAGGAAATGGCAGACGGCAGTCCATAAAGATGGGTATGGATCCTTCCCACATGCAAGGCTGCGCTGAGTACCGCATCTTGCCAACAACACCAAAGTACAAAGTACTTCCGCACTCCAGCTCCCAGAAATACCTACCAAGGTGGTTGCCGCCAGCCCTGTTGGTTGTAGTTAGACTGGCGGGTACCTCAGGCGGCTGAATTCATGAACGCAACAGAGTCCATCCATCCATACACCATGCCAGGTATTTAATTGACTGTACCTTCCCTTGTACCTTCCCTTAAACTACGACGTGCTGTAAGTCAGCCAGAGTCAAGCAACTCAAAGAAAATAAGATACAGAAACGGCAGGATTCGCTCGAAGGGCCGGTCGACCGTGTGGCCTCCAAAAACAAATTTTTTTTTTTTACCTGGTAATAAATGCATTCTTCAACAGGCACCGATGTAAGTCTGGCAGCCTACCGCCAACAACAGGCTAGATACTGGTCGAATTCGTACTGCAATTGTCCCCAACAACAGGTTGACTGGGGTCTCTACTTTGCATAAATCCAAGCAGCTGATGAGTGAGGCTGTGAGGCCAACGGCTCCACCCACTTACACCACCCCAAATAGGTAACCATCTCCGAACAGGGACGAGCTGGGTTTCAGTGTCAAGCAGAACAAACCGCCGCAACACGTTAAAGCGGGCGTACGGTAAGCATGTCCATACGGCCAAGAGTGATTCTGGCGAGCCTCGGCAGAGCCACGAGCCATAACCAACAAGCGGCTGGATGCACAATGTCCTATAGAGAAATGGACCGCCCCAGAAAGGCCAGTATGTCGGATAACAATAATGCATGCATTGTGATTTCCTCTCCCACTACAAAGATAGCTAGGTATCAAGGCCGCCCTCACCCGCCAATGTTTCCTGGCCACCTAGGTAGCTCGCTACCCACAAACCAGCCCACAAGCAAAGAACAACAGGGAAAGAAAAAGAAACATTACATCCCAAGCCGTAAACAATGCCATACCTTATTTCTCATCCAACCATACAAAGAATACTGGGTAAGAATACTGGGTATCACAGGAGATGGGGGGTAAAGCTCATCACTTCTTTAACAGCCACGTCGTTCTAGGAGAGAAAGAGATCCAGCCTCAAGCCCTGAACAGAGACAACAAGACACTAGTGAATCGAGAGAGAAAAGCAAAAAGAAGAAAAGATTAAAAGATAACCATAGCAAGGAAACACAGCGAGCCTCAAACCGGGGCAATACCCCTGCGGTGGCCGGCTTTAAGGCCCATGTAGACACTCCAGGTGGCGACGTCCTGCATAAAACCTGTCAGTGAACTGCAAGCAGAGGCTTGAATCCTCCAAACCAAGGGTTCCCCCCCCTTTGAGAAGGAGCAGGAAACTCACCCGAGTAACTACCGACCCAGCCCCCACGGTGGAACCCTTCCCGATCCTGACGCCAGGGAGGATGACCACATTGGCCGCGATCCAAACGTCGTCCTCAATGATGACAGGCTTGCCGTATTGAGTGCCCTGGTTCCCTCTGCGCATCAGAGGGTTGGTGCTGCACGTGCCTGTGTAGATGCACACGTTGGGGCTGATGATGACATTATTCCCAATCCTGACCTCGCAGACGTCATTAATCAAACAATTTCGGCCAATGGCGACGTTGTTGCCAATGTGGATGTTGTAGCCATAGTCGCAGTTGAAGGGCGCTTCGACCGTGGCGTTTTCGCCTACTCGGCCCGCGTGCGTCACGGGCGACACCATGGTGGGCGACAGCTGGACACCCTCGCGTGGCTGCAGTATGTCGCGGAAGAGACGCGCGCGCTCGGCGGGGGAGACGCCCAGGTTGGGGTTGGTCGAGTTGTTGAACCGCCAGCAAGCCGCATTGCACCGCTCCCGCTCAAGCACGAGTTCCTTGTCGAACGGATAGTACTGCCTTCCGTTCAGCATCTCCTCCTTTTGACGGCGTGGCCTATCCGAGGGAAACTGGGTGTGTGACAGGGCAAGCTGTGCTGTCGCTTGAACACCGCCCGAAGGGGTTTGCGACGACATGGTAGATGGCGGCGCTGGTGGGGTGGATGTCCGGCCGCTGTGCAAGACACTGCTGAAGGGCGGATGGGTAGAGATGGTGCTCTGTGGAGGAGGCGGAGGTGGTGCTTGCTGCTCTGGGTCGGTCCGAGTAATATCGTGAAGCGGCGGCACCCGCTGGTATTCCTTGGGCGCCCGATCAGAGAACGCAGATGTTGCGGCGGCGCTGACCGGAGTCGGGAACATATTGGCAGATGCCGACATGGCTGACATGGCAGATGCCGACGTCGTGTACCCTGACAGCGCCGAGAGTTTGTTGTCGGGACTGATGATGGAGCTCGGCATTGTCGATGCTGTCAACCTATCGTCGTCTGACTGCAGCGGGCGGCCCTGGGGCGGCGTGATTCTGAGCGTGGGCTGGCCACGGTTATATGGCAACGAGTCACGCTTTGGTTGCTGACCGAGCAGCGGCTGCTGGTTGCTGCCGTACGGGGCCGGTTGCTGGGGCATTCCGTATGCGCCGAGGGGGACATAGTTCGGATCCTTCGACTCGATGTTGACCTGTGCTGGCTTGCTCTCGGGCTTATTCGGCCAGGCTCCCCGTTGCGGGGGGTATCCGGCACAAACAAAGCCGCCTTTGTAACAGTTGTTGCCTATGTGGATTGTCAGCCGCCGGAACAGGCCGATGCGGCCGCGAAATGAGGCCATGCGTGTAAACCGGGCGCGTGTTGGGCCACCGCGCGGGGGCCACACCAAAACAATTCTTGACGGGGCGAGAAACTCACATTCCGGTTTTTTCTCATCGCACTTCTTTTTGCGTTTCCTGCAGGTTAGACAACCCGTCTTGGTGCGGTTGCTGAAGTTGCGCTTTCTTTTCTTCGGATCCGACTGAACAACCCCGTCTCTGCGGTGCTCAGGCGTGTACTGGCCGGAGTGCATCCCGTGATCGTCGCCATCCGGGCTCTGATCCTCGTCGCCATAACTTGTCGCCCTCCGTAGCATGTCGCCCACTGGTTCTTCTGACTGAGCTGATACCGGACCAGCTGAGTAAGGGGCTTCGTAGCTCGATGTGCGCTCCTCTCTGGAACCGCGCCGACGCCAATGCTCTCCACCATCCCGCGCTTCATCTCCTCGCTCTTCTTGATAAACACTTCTCTGGGGTGTTGTCCGTCTATCACGTGATTCCGAACGATAGCGGTGCGGTGCATACTGCTCGGACGGGTCCGACCGCTCTGGCCGTTCTACCCTTTCGGTTCTCGTAGGCGGCGATAGCAGGCGGTCTCTCCTGGGTGATTCTGAGATGGACCGCTTTCGTTTGTGCAAACCCTCGGCATCGGTAAAGGCAGGGGCGCCAGGAAGTGGAAGCCTCTCGTGGTTGGTGCTGCGCCGGCCCTCTTGAGCATCGCGACCCTCGTGCGCATCGCGGCTTTCTCGATCCCGCTGGCTCTGATACCCTTCCGCACTGGGTTCTGCGCTTGGCGATTGTCTGTTTGCCCGATCTCCATCTGGTACCGACCCGTTCATACCTTCGGCAGACTTTGGCGAGGCCCCATTCAATGCTGTGAAGGACGCCATCTCCAATCACCGCCACTTCTCCGGAATGTTTCTAAGTCGATTCTCCAAGCCTTCTACAAAATGGTCCGTACGGGAATGGGGAACAAATCCGTCACGGCTCAGGATCTGAACACAGAGTCCCACTTCCACGGAGCCAAGGTCTGGGGCGACCGCTCTGCGGCTGACAAGCGTTGGACAGGTTGGCGCAATGCTCGGTTGGCGTCAGCTAAAGTCGCGCAATGAGGGCGGCCTCAGGCAGGTAGCGTTCGGCTGTGGCAGATAAATGAGATGCCAGAAGCGGCGGATCCAAGCGAGTCGATTCCCGAACCTGCTGTGGGACATGCAACAGCGGTCAACCTTCCTTGAATCGCGGCGTTCGTGTGTTTGATGAATCGCCGTTGTGCGTCTCTAAGATTGATGAAGCCTAAAAACCAATCGAAAAATGAGAAAGAGCGTACCCGCTGCAGAATGAAGGATGATGAGCAGAAAGGCCCGCGCCGGGCTGCGATGTAGCACTGATGAAGGAAGGTGGGGACCGGGCGGCGCTCGTGCGTCCGTCACTTCCAGCCCTGGACTCGTCCGAAATCTGGCGTCGTCTTGGTACCACTTTGGTCGGCGTAGGCTTCGCTGCTGCGTCAAAGTGAAAAAAGAATAAGTTCTTTTCCTCCCTGAATATTTCTGTCTTTCCGCCCCGTTTTGGCCTTGAAAGCCACTGTTTGCAGGCGATCCTCGGCTGTGGAAGCTGAGTCGCGGCTCTGGCGTACGTGGAATGGCGGATCCAGCCAGGATGCAGCAATGAGTGACCGCAAATCCGGGGCCCGGTGTGCGCAAACCCAAAGCCGGGGTCGGATTGTGACCACCGCAAAGGCCGCGACAAAAGCTGATAGCAAACCGTCACAGTGCTCCCTTCCGCCGCCGCCGCTTGCTGCTCAGATCGCCACCTAGGTGCCGATGTGGAATGTGGAGGCTTATGCTGCTTGCTGTTGCTGAAGGAAAAATCGACCTCGCGTTCGTTTGTGGTGATGAGGTGCCGGTGTGACACGTCAGAGATTCATTACCCTAAGGTGGTGGTGCCCGCTTGGTAAGTGAGTGATGATGAGGTACAAAGTATGTGATCTGTGCGCGAATCTCACGTTCCCACACGTTGCGCCCTCGGCAGCCCGCTACCAATGCGACGACGGATGTGGTTGATGAACCGTGGACAGAGAACCCGAGATGCTGCGTGTGGGTACGACGTTTCGTAATCAGGAGGAGCCGATATTGCGTTCGTGTGTTGCCGGCTCTTCGAACCTCAGAGTACCCCTTCGCCTTTGTCTTTGAACTTGCCGGGCACTGGCGCTTGGCGTTGTGTTGACGCGCGATTAAGGTTTCTGCTGCGCCTGTCGGAAACGATATGGGAGGCTGGAGCCCAGGCTGATGCGCGGTGCCGCAACGTCGAATAACCTAACACCTCCCTTGAGCAGCGGCGAATTCTCAAGTTGCCTCTCTGGTCGCAAAGTTCCGGGGGCAGAGCGTGGGAAATATTCCCTTGTCCAGGCAGACTATCCCCGTAACCCCGAGCCTGCAGAGCGGAGCAGAGATGCGGACAGGTATGATGAAGGGGGTGCATGGAGTCAAAGTGTCCAGCAGCCAAACAAGCGCCATAAAATTGTACCGCTCGCGAGTCGGAACGCACAGACGCCCGCGCGGGTGCAGAAGGCTGGGATGAGAAAGCGGCGAGATCTTGCAGGGAGCCCTGGTCGGTGACAGTGTGGGTCTTATGTTACCCGTGTCTGTGAAATCCTCTGGGGTTAGACTGGGGTTGGGTTTACAGCGCGCAGCGCGGAAGTTGAATCTAAGAAAGAGGAAATCCCTCCGGCCAGTGTCAGCAGCAAGTCCGCTTCGTGTGCCGTATAATAAGATACAAGTCGAATGCAAGGACATGGTTTAAGAGGGGGAAGAGACGTCAGACAAGGTACCTTACCGTCCCCCGCGTTGGAATGTGGGAGTCAAGCACACATCTACCAACAAGTCCTGTCAGCGGGCACTTGTGCTAAATTCAGCGGCACACCGCAGAGCCGAGGAAACGACAGGAACGTCGATCTCGTACTGGTACATGCGGAGGCCTTCCGTGCTTGGGTCCAGAGTACTCCGTACTGTACCACAGCTTTTTCATTTCCAGGTTGTTATGTAACAGCGGGGTGGAGTACGGAGCTGCTCCGCATTGAATATCAAGACCCTGCTGCTCATGGCTGCTAAATAATAAACGCGTTGTCGAGCCAGCCAGGCACTTGCATGTGCACTTGGCTACCGCTATCCGTCCTGTGTGCCTGTACCTGTACAATACATCAGGTACCGTCTGGCGAGCACGCCAAGCCATTCTCCGTCGGCACAGTCGAACATGGCAATGATGGTCGCAGGGGTCAATCAGGGGCAGAAGCCCATTGTTCAATAGTTCAACAACTCATCGAGTCAATCGTTATACCTTAATCGTCCGTTTCCTACCCTGCCGGAGACTTGAAGGAGGGCGTCTGTTTGGGGCCTGGGTTGACATGGCTTTGGCTAGGTCAGCATTGACCGGCCACCACGAAGACCAGCCTCGCCAAGTCGACCGACATCAAGTTGAGCCATGCCTGGCGCTCTCCATGCAGTTTGCTAGGCGCGGTTGGCAGCCGCCGGCTGCAAATGGGAAGTGCTTCGATCGTGGTGCCATCCCGGACGTTGGCGTCTGGTGGTGCAATTGGGCAACGAAAGGGGCATGGATAAAAATGTTCCTCATCGCGAGAATCATGACAACCTGCCCTATCGCCAATCCCTCAGATCGTGACGTGTGTAACGGGGCTGCCGCGACGCTTGCCCTCGGGGACCGCCTCACCTCGCCCCGCCTCGGAAACCGGGGAGCTTCTTGGGCGATGGCCACCCGAACTTTGTTTCCGCAAACGACGGCGTGCATGTGTGAAGGACCGTCCGTCCCCTGCAGTACGAACAGCGACATACACACTAGATAGGTACCGTGCCACCTCGCAGTGATTTGATTAATGCTAGCTTTGGGCCAGATCTTTGCTATCCATATTGTGTTCCTCTGTGTGACCCCGCTTCCGTTGAACGAGGCGAGGGATTTCCCAACGAGCGATGGTAATCGAGTTCCTGAGGCTTGCACGATGAGTGGCCAATGACTGGGTGCAGAACCAGTGATGAGATGACCCTTGGTTGCTAAACGCAGGTCAGCCCTGTCTTCCGGTAACTACGCAGTGCTCACACCGTTTTGATCAAATACGAACTTCTGGCCTGAAAGAGAAGTCGTCAGCCGCGGCCAGCTCGCTTCGCTGCGTTTGGAGGTCATGGGCGGCTCCGATCCGCGGGGATCAGCCGCCAGCCGGCGGTAAGACAGAAACAGTCAAACAACACGACGGGTCATAGAGGAAAATTTGCCCCATCCACCTCGCTCGTGGTCATTTGAGAAGGGTTGCCGAAACTGCACAACGGGAACATTGATGCTACCAACCAGCTGCCAAGTCGCCCTATGCCTGTCCAGATCCGGCCAAGTGCCCACTTCTTCGTCAATTATGTCCACGGCGGAGGAACATATTGGCGTGCGGGTGAAAAGCCCAGGGTTTCTTCCGTGCCTCGGGCCTGCTTCTGAGCTTTGGTGTCATCCGTCCCCACACACCCTGAAGGTGCCGAGTTGTGTTATGCACGAAACGCAGTCGTTAATCTTCCGAGATGACGCCCGGGGGAGATAATATAAAAACAAAAACAAACAAAAAACAAAAAAAGCCCCCAGGTAGGAGGTATTTCGCAAGGGACTTGGTTTGGCGTTGCGAGATGCTTGAAATGTTGGGACTCGGCCTTGGCCTTCTGACGATGGCGGAAAACAGAAGAGCGGGACGAGCGTGAGCGTTTGTCGCATTGCATTGGACGTTGTTACGCTATGGTACACAGTTTGTGATACTGTGTCCTGTAAGGACTCGGAGGCCGAAACGCACGCTAGACCTTGTCACCATCTCAATTGGCAGAAAATTGAAGCTTATTGGACGCCTGTTCTATGGGAAGCGTAATCCTGATTGGCCGCGACGGAAGGCGCTGCAGCCTATGAGAGCCCGGAAACAATTCAATAGCGGGCGTACTAAGGTCAAGCAGCAAGCGGCGGCAGCGGGCGATTGCTGATTTTATTCTTGGAACATGATTGCCAGTTGTCCAGCGGCAGGTGCGGAAGGGAGATTGTGCGATCTGGTGCCCAACATCCCTGACCGGGACGGAGGCGGTTGTCGCGATTGGAACTGCGCTAAGAAGTTAATCGCTCGTCTCAACACTTCGGCGATGCGATAACTATCTGGATTGATTGGTGTGCGGCATCTCGCATCAGTCTCATATTCGGACACTTTGAACTCCACTTATGCTTAAGTCATTGAACATGACGAGTTCGTTTCATCGGCAAAATCGGAGAAGCACCACCCTCCGGCTGACTGATGACGAGAAAAAGAACACGGACCCGGGCGATCTCACATGGAAACCCTGCCAGCCGACCGAAGCCCTCCGCCGAAGGGGCTTACTGCGGGGCGGACGATAGCCGCTCCATGCAAGGAAAAAGGCCTTCATAGGCAACCCCATAATAAAGCCAAAAATACGATCCTCCATCATAGGCTAGATTTCGGCCGAGCCGCTGAATCCTCAAGTGCGGCTTACGACTGAAATGTGCATGAAGAGACCGGCCACATTACTGTTTCGGTCCATCATCCCACAGTCGAGCTTCGAACACTGTATCACCTCACGGAGACATCAGTTACATCACATGCTCTGTTCGAAGCACCCCTGGCCGATGGCACGCAACCTACCGGGGCTTCCTCACGTTCCAGATCCCCGCTACCACAAGACGAGTCCGGACATCAGTTTTTCGAATATCTCCTGGCCCCCTGGCACTAGTCATAACTCTATCATGGACGGCATTCACGAACCTCCCTGTACTCTCCCTGGCCCTGTCGAAACAAGAAGAGCGTCTTCCTCGGAAGAAAGTTCATTTGTTGCGCAGTAGTGCTCCGTCGTGTGGCCACGGCGCCGGTATCATCGATGCCATAAACAGGACTGCTCGGCATCAGGGCGGCTCGCTCCCGCGCAGCGAGTGGACGCCCGTCACCGGGGGCAAACGGCGAAACGCTGTGTTTTATCGGATGCTCTCCGCAAATAATACCGTTTCCGCCGGTTACGACGCAGGATTGCGCAAACATCTATGGCCGTGGGCGCCAGCCTTGTGTCGTACGTATGAAGTCTGCATTGCTTGACGCCCGAACGGCGCTTACAGTTCCCAGCAGCGCGTAACGTTCCCGAACGCAGCGTTTCTATTGGCCCCTCCGCCCCACACACATCGAGCACGGCAACCGCCATCATGACATTGGACGACGACTTCTCCCACGACTTCTAATTCGGGATGAACATGTCGTTTCGAAACGCCAGGAAACACTACTGGCTGTTCACCAGCCCTACCGTGATGTCTTTGCAGGTTCCCGAGCCGCTGGGTGATCGCCAAGACCGCTTGCCCCCTTGCCCGTTGACACCATTTGCCCGGGCGTGGCGCGGCCCACGCACGCTTTGGCATGTTGCAGGGGGGTATGATGCGGCTCTGAGTTTATCGAGACGACAAAAGGGAGGACTACATGTTCATGCCAGCGGCTGCGGCAACCACCGGCGGCAACACCCCCAGGGGTCCTTGCGAGAACCGTGGCATGGGGCGCCTGCAGGTACCGAGGGTTGTCGATACCAACACCCTGTTGTCACCCCCCCTCTCCCCGTCTCTTAAGTCGCCGACCGCCTTGCCTTTCGGAGTATTTTAGCTACCTGCCGGCGCCACCACACACCCGTTACCGCCGCCGCGGCTACGATGGGCGCATGCGTCAAGCAGCCCTATCAAGGGCGTGACGAGATCTAGATCTGCGGCACTGGCAGTTTGTACCACGAAACGAGGGTTCAAGTACTGGTACATAACGGGTAAACGAGCTGTACCTGCATATATGGCTCGGGTCCACTTTCAACGACATGGCTTCTCAACCAAGTCCCAAACCCAACCAGACGGCAGCCGCCCACTCCGCTCACGCGACGAGAACGTGGCCTGTTGGTCGGTTATTTGCCGAGGAAGCTTCTGATTGTCTTTTTATAGCTTCCCTGCTTCAAATGAACTCCAGGAACCCGATATCACACGACCCAGCGACTCGGGGAGGACCGGGAAACTCACCCTGTCTTCCTAAAATAAACTTGAATACTTTTCACCGCAGACCTTCCCCAGATTTCCAGGTCATTCTGAAACATTTCACGCGGGTGACGGGATTGTAGGGGGATGACTTCGTACCTGCATACTTTCTCTTGCCCCCAGAGCCGAGCCCATCACCAGCCAAGCGCCCATCCCGTTGCATCCTCGCCAGCGCGGCTCCGAGACCGGCATCCGCGTTGGATGTTCGGATTGGGAAAGAAATCGCTACGCTACAGGATGTCGTATCTTGCGTGTCTAATTTGTTTTACAACAATCATTGGCACATCCGAGGGAGTCTCGTCGGCTGCCTTGGTACTGAACTTGGCCTGCTCGTCCCTGACATTGATCCCCTCGATGCGTGCTACGAATAGTTTAGCCACACTACCGCCGCCGTCCGCTGCGCCTGGCTGAATATCTCATTTCCGCTTTACTCTCCAATAATGCTCCCGGGAGCTTGTCAAGCCCTGGATTCACGATGCAGCCCACCACCTGACTGAGCCTTTGTCAAGAGCACTTAAACAGCTCACCACCCGGCTCCTGGTGGAGGTGGATGGTTACCAAAACTCTCAGGGCCACAGAATCTTGCTTTGGGGGCCGGCGGTTAGTGTTCGAACATCAACATGTGGCGGCGGTTTGCGAGTCGTAACTGGTGACCTCCCTCGAGAGGGAGAGGAGAGGCTGGTGAGTGGAGGAATCTGGACCTAATATGTGCAACGCCGGCAGTACATTGTTCTACATAATGAGAACCCAAAGCATTGCGGAGGCATCTGAGCCCGGCGCGGGAGGAGATCGTGACTCGCGATAAGGAAACTAGCGCTGTAAGTCTTCAGCAAGCAAACGATATAGCTTGATTCACTGATGCCCTGATCAGAGTGCCGAATATCTGATGCATGTAGTCAGACGTATAGTCAACGCTAGCCTAGAAGGCACCTTTGGGTTACGAGGGCAACCTCTTCTACAACGGTTTTCAGCTCAGACCGGGCAGTTGAACCTGAACTGATACTTGCTTCCACAATTATTTTACGACAGACTGAGAATTGGCTGCATTGCATGTCTGGTACAGACACCAAAGTCACCTTAGTCGACGTCACAGCATCGTAACTCAAATCCCCTGATGGGAACCACATGTGCCTGACGCTCATCACTCCACACAAAACCCTCTTCTGCAGCCAGTCGCGTGTCGCGGGCAAAAGGAGTAGGGAGCTTGGGCGGCGTCTGATCCGACCCGCTACATTGTGAAAAACTCCAAACCGCCCCCGGAGATATGCCAGGAGCCAGCCCGAGTGGCGTGGTTTTGTCGTGTATAGCAGTGCAAGTGGCGGCCTGAGAGGTTTTAAGTAAAAGCCTTAATCGTCTATTTCGCTCGATGACTGAATGGAGCACCTCGGAGATGGGGCTAAAATGCCAGATCAAAACTCATCACGCATCGTCGCAAGACGAGTCTGTCGTTGAACCCTTGGCAAGTCGACTGAGGACTGGCGAGTCGAAGTGCTCTTCTCATATACACAAGGTAATCACGTTCTGACCGGGTCTTCAACCTGCTTGTGCTCAATGCATCACGATGGATACGCTGGAGTGTCTTCCACAAGGGGATTTACAGCCACCAAAATCACCATTACCGCTGCATTCGCTGGCACACCGCCCATCCGCGAATTTGTAAGGCCGGAATCTGGGAGGGAAGCTTATGCTGATACCCCTAAAACGAGCTCGCCACGCGCACGTCGACCACTAAGCTCACAACATGTATTGTACTGAAGCCATCGCTAATCATCTCCTTCCCTAAAAAGCCATCCCCAGCAGGGAGTGGAGCTACTTCTTCTGCCGCTTCGCGCTCTTATCACTAGTGGAGCTTAGCACGCTGGCACTCCGCTTGTGAGCCCCGCCGCTGCTTCCCGGTCTGGCGTCAGCAGTCTTCTCCTTCTCCGCCCCGGGCTCCCCTTTGATCCCGTCCGCCTCGTCAGCCCCACCCCCGGTGTCGGCTCCAGCGCGAGCGGACTGCTCACCACCCGGCCGCGCCTCTCCGTTCGCCAGCTGCCCATCGGTCTGATCCCCAGCCGTCCTTTCTTTCTCGTCTTCCACATCCCCCTCCTCAGCGGCAACCCCATTTCCATCATCATCACCACAACCACCATCCCCCAGCACACCCCTTGCCCGCTCCCTCTCAACCTTCTTAGCCTCCTCGAGCTTAATCTCTCCCTCCAACTTATCACTCAGCTTCCTCAAATCCACCAGCGCCGTGACAGCGCCCCAGAGCACCTCAAACTGGGCCGTCACCGCCGCCGTGGGCATTATTAGCCGCGGCGGCACGTCCAGCTCGGCCAGCGCGTTGGTCATGCGCAGCTGCTGCTGGCCCGACTTGTGACTGTACAGCTTATTGATGCGCTCGTACCGGAACGTGGGGCCGCTCCCCAGCCGCTCGTGGTACGACACGCCGTAGACCTGCTCTTCCTGCGCCGAGAGCTTGCGGCGCTCCTGGTGCTGCTGGTGGGCGGCGGCGGCGGCGGAGGGCAAGGAGCCCTTCTTCTTGTTGGCGGTCGCGGCGGCGGCCGAGAAGGAGGTGGCGGTTGTTGAAGTAGGTTCGGCCGAGGTGCGGGCGCCGCGGACGTCGGAGTCGCGGCGGCTTGACGACGGCGCGGCAGCGATACTCTCGCGACGGTTGTGGGGTCCAGACTCGGGGGCGGCACTGTTGGCAACAGGCCCGCCTGGGCTGACGCCGTCGCCCGGGCCGAGGATGCTCTTGCGCTTCTTGGACTTGTCCGTGGACATGAGGTTCTGCAGGAGGGCTTGCAGTCCGGCGGAGCTCTTGAACGAGTTGATGTCCGAATCTGTGGCAGGGTAGTCAAGGCGGCGGTAGAGCTCGCGGCGCTCCTCGTTGAAGCGCTCGGTACGCGCTAGGATGCGCTTGATCTCGAGGAGCAGGGACTCCTCCTCGCGGGCCTCGTCCTTTGACCGGGCCATGGTGTTGAGAGCAAACTCCTTGCGCTTCCTCTCCTGCTCCGGATTGAAGTTCTGCATTATCTCGTAGAGTTCAAACTCTGGGCGCGTCATGTACTGCGCCGGCTTCTGGACAGCCATCATCTTCGATGCCACCTCGTAGTACCGGGACTTCAGGTCCTCCATAGTCCGCGGTTTCGGTGCGGGCACCACGGCAGTACTAGGCCCGTTCGCTTCCTCCTCCTGAGGAGGGGGCTTTGGCACGTACTCGTACCTGTCCCATATGATGGGCCAACGCAGGTCGTATTCCTGGGCCAGTTCCAACAGGTAGTCTGTTTCTTCCTTGGTCCACTCGCTGCTTTGGAGATTGGACTGGTACTGGTCGTCGTTGTACTGCGGTACGGCGACCTTGGCGTTGAATTTGGCGAAAGACGAGTCCTCGAGTGTGTCCTCCTTTCTCTCTCCGTTGACCCCGTCCTCAGCCGGCCGCGATTCCCCGTCTTGCATGTGTTCTGCTGGCGGCGCGCCATGTTCCGTCTTACGTTTCCAGTGCCTGAGGACGAGGGCGCCATTGTCGCCCCGTGCCGAGTTGATGAATGGCCTCAGTTCCCACCGTGCAGCCGGCTTGCGACTGGCGAATCGCCGCTTCTTGAAGAAGGAGACCTCGGGAACAATAGCTATTGGGTTGTCGCCGCCGAGACTCTGCACTTCACGAGCGAGGCCTTTCAGGTTTGGCCGCGGAGCGATAGTTTTTCTCTTCTTGGAGGGGCGGGGTCCAGCGGAGTGGTCCGAGGGGAGGTTCAGGACATCGCGGACGTCGTTGGAAGTCATTTTGGTGGGGTGTTTCGCACCGTCGCGGGTCGCGGGTTACGCTAACTGTGCAAGCTGGCTGTACCCAGGCGGTCGCATTCACAAAACCGATCAGCGGAGCCCGATTTCAGTGAAAGAAAGTGTTCTATGTATGCACATGGGAAGATCTAAATCTGTCCCGGTTTGCGCGACGATAAGAAGTGATGAGAGTTCGTTTGGGCGATGCAGTTCAATTGATTGGGCAGTTCATCAATGTCGGGACTCTAATTCTGGCAGCCATTCCCGCCAAAAATTCCCTGCTTGGTTCTGGAAGTTCACCGCCAGGAGACTGGTGTGGCTCAAGCCAAGCAGCACACGTGACCAGTTTTCTGAACGTGGCACCTTCGAAAGCTTGGCCGGGGTTGCGGCCGAACGAGTGAGTGCCCTGTTGTTCGCAAGGGAAAGAGTCCAAAGCGAAATACCACCACCATCCACCCGCCATCACGGCCGACAAGATGAGGACCGTTCTTTCACTTTTGTCCCTGGCCTCGATGGCCCGGGCACTGTATTTCTTCGTCGATGTAACATCACCAAAATGCTTCTTCGAAGAGCTCCCCAAGGACACCCTGGTGGTGGGCCACTACACGGCCGAGGAATGGAACGACCACAGGCAGGTTTGGGAAAAGCACGACGGCATCAGCATCTACATCTCGGTTGACGTACGTTTTTTTCCTCCCTGAAGTAATGCGCTCACTTTTACTGTCACTAACTCCGCATCCCTTCCCCCCAGGAGACGTTCGACAATGACCACCGCGTAGTCTCACAGCGCGGCGGCGCCTCGGGCAAGTTCACCTTCACGGCGGCTGAGTCGGGCGACCACAAGATCTGCTTCACCCCGTCCTCCAACAGCGGCCGGTCCAATTGGCTGTCGGCGTCGTCGCCCAACGGCGGCATCAAGCTGACGCTGGACGTGGCCATTGGCGAGACGAGCGCCCTCGAGGGCGGCAACAAGGAGAAGATGGAGGACTTGGCGACGCGCGTGCGCGATCTCAACGCCCGGCTGAATGATATTCGGAGGGAGCAAGTTTTCCAGCGAGTGCGTTCCCCCTCACCAGCCACCACCCGCCCCTTTTCCCACTCAAATCATATTTTAAACCAGGGACATAATCACTGATGCATGCCCCGAACGAACAGGAACGCGAAGCCGAGTTCCGCGATCAGTCCGAGAGCACCAACTCGCGCGTGGTCCGGTGGATCCTGATCCAGCTCACCGTGCTGGGCGTGACATGCGCCTGGCAGCTGTCGCACCTGCGGTCCTTCTTCATCAAGCAGAAGCTCACATAGAAAGGGAAGAGGAAGGGATTTCTAAACACGAATTCTGGTTCGTTGCGCTGTTACGGGGAGGACCTGTTACCTCTGTACCGGAATCCCCGTTTTGACGAATATGTGGGCTGCTGGTATGCAATGGGGTCATGCTGCCTTACGGAAAGCATCCTGTCTGTCTATCTGTCGGGGGGTAAGAGCTATATCTCTGTGTGTGTCTCTCTCACGGCGGAAGAAGTCAACTTATGGGTTTGGTTTGGGAGCGGAGTTTCTAAAATGCAATCAACGATAGGTATATACGCAGCCATGGCTCTACTGTAATGACACATCTACGCATTAGGTCGGGCGTGGTCCGGAACTTCACCATAGGCCCAGCCTGGCTTAACAAACCTTGATCATGACTGGCAAACTGGACACGCTTCCAGTGAAGAGTACTATCTTCGCTACCTTATTCTGCGGCCTGTATTCTCTTGCTGAGTATGAGACAGCTCGCTGCCATGATTCAGATCTAAAACAGTTGGCCCGTCTTGATGGTCATCGCTTTGCGACACGCTTCCATTTCCCTCCACGAATAACATACACTAGGCCCAACGCAGTAAATGACAGACGGAAGAAACCCAAACAGAAACAAACAAAGCACTTTAAGTAGAGGTGCTGTTCTCTAAAATCAAACAAAAGGGGCATCCTCAAATGGCAGCAAGGAAGGAAGGAGGTCGGAGAATGTTTTGTAGGGCAGTCCTATGCACCATTCCATTATTCTGATTCAAGGATAACATGAATGGCAGTCAGTCTTCCGTCTAGTGAGGAGATGAAAGGGCAGTGCAGTCAACCATTGCCCATCGCTACGTCGCTGTCCCTATTCTGTTCTGTGAGTTGCTGCATGTTGTCAAGAGGGATGCTGATTATTAGAGAGTTATATGTATGGGAAAAAACAAACGTCCAAAGAGCGCCATAATGTTTTGTTTTCCCCGTAATGCCCAGCCCAGTAAATACCCAGCCCCTGCCGTCAGAGCTGCGAGAAGAACCGAGGAGGTCCAGGCCGAGAGAAGAGAAACAAAAGGAAGTGGCCCATCGAAAGACCGGACTGTCGTAATCGTAATGAAGTCTGTCCAGACGCGCCGAGTGTGTGCCGGAAACCGCTATGGAAAGAAAGTATCCTCTATGTCCCATGCAAAAACGAAAAAACGCATGCGCATACTTCAGGCAAATTCATGTCAAGACTCGTCTCCTGGGAAGCCTTCTATATAGAACATGCCGTCCTTTGCCGCCTCGCGCTGCGTCGACGTGTTAGCAGGCGCTAGCCGCAACCACGTCAGCAGACGTCCCTTGCTCACTCAACAGGGTGCCAGATGGCTCAACGAAACCCGAGGATCAAAGCTTCTCAAGCTGCTAGCCGCAGCAGAGCGTCTTCATGAACTTCTGGAAGCCGGTTGGCTGTGGTTGCTGAGGATTATTCTGCTGCTGGGGTGGGCTGTTCATCTGGGGAGACTGCGTCATGGGCCGCTGGGGCAGGTTCTGGGTGCTCGTCTGAAATTGCGCTTGGGTGGAACCCGTCGGTGTCGGCGCCGCTGCCATATAACCCCCAACCGCCGAGCGCGGGCTTGCCAATGCGGGGCCGTTTGGCCGCCCTTGACTCTGCGGGCCTATCGCCTGACGCGGCAGCGGGGGTTGCGTCGCGTTTAAACGAGCGGCCGTCAGTCCCGGGGCTTGCGGGTCGCTTTGGTGACGAGTGGTAGCCCCCCGTGAGTTGCCGTGGAGCTCCATGGCCGAAGCCCCGGGCCGAGAGTTTGGGTCGTGCAGGGCTTGGCGGTTCCAGTCCCCCTTCTTGTCCTGCTTCCTCATCCAGTCGTACTCGCCATCCTCGACTTGTCCCGCTACTTGCAGGGCCTCTGTGAAGAGACCCCGAAGGTAGTTATAATCGGGTTCGTCTTCAAAGCCCAGGCCGCGCACATACGTGAGGTACTTCTCAAACTGCTCGGGAAAGCCCGCACAAAGGTCCTTGATCGCCGTCGTCTGCTTCTTCTCGCCGATCTTCTCGTACTTCTGCTTATTGGTGGCAGCCTTGAGACCTTGCCAAGGCAGGCCGCCACGCAGGAAGTACATGAATACGTGGCCCAGGGCCTCGAGGTCGTCTCGCCTCGACTGCTCCCTGCCAAGGTGCGTGTTGATACTCATGTACCTGGCTGTGCCAGACAGTGACTTGCGTTCCCTGTAGGGAATGTGCTGCTTGGTCTTGGGGTCGCGGTACTGCTTCGCCATACCAAAGTCGACGACATGGATGACGTTGGCTGTCTTGGTACCGGGCCTGCCGATGAGGAAGTTGTCGGGTTTGATGTCTCTGTAGATCAAGTTCTTTTCATGAATCGTTTGGACACGCGACAGCTGAAGGTTTGGTTAGGTTGCTGCGGCACGCGAGATGAACGTTGAGTAGGCGAGAAACGCACCATTTGCTTTGCGACCATGCAGACGGTCTTGAGACTGAACCTCCGGTTGCAGTGGTCGAAAAGATCTTCCAACGACGGGCCAAGCAGGTCGATGACCAGGATGTTGTGGAGACCTTCCTGACCGAAGTAGTAGACATTGGGAATGCCAGCTGAGAGGCACGGTTAGGCCAAGAGCATAACTAATATTTCCTTGGTGTTGAACTTACGGCAGCCAACGAGAATCTTGTAAGTCCGGTACTCGTCGCGGAGTTGAGGAGCGTCGCTCTTCCTAGGCTCCTGGACCGCGGGCACGTCAGCGGTGCTCATGCGAGACGCGTTCGGCGTGGGTGATCAGGGAAACACGACGTACAAACTTGATGGCAACTTGCTGGCTGTTGAGGAGGTTCGTTCCCTCAAAGATGACACCGAAGGAACCCTCCCCGATTTTCTTCCCTACTCTGTAGTGGACTCCAACCACGTTCGACGATGAGGAGGCCATTATGGAAGGGCTAGGCGATAAACGCGCGACTCGACAGGGCTAATCGTGCTCTGAACTACGCCCAAATGGCATTGTCAGTTTCGGATAGTCACCAAAGCACAGAGGCCGTTCATGAGATTGCGGGACGATTGATGACGATGCAGGGCGAATCGGCGAGCGATGAAATTGATGAAGCATCGAGGCCGAGGTGCCTTCGAGATATTGCATCGCAGAATACCGGCAGAGCTGGGGAAAAAGGACGATGCAGTGGAAGAAAGGGTGTGTACGGAGGGCATGAGTCAACGCACTCACCCTCGCTTCAGGCTGGCAACCTTGTTGATAGGCGGTGGGCGGAGCTCGGCGGTCACCAGGCGTGCTTTGCTGGCATAGAACTTGGGCGGTCGAAGTAATTATAAGCAGGTCCGACAATCGCGACGACTGCTCGTGGGAAAAGCCAGTGGACGCAGCCCGATTTGGAAGATGGAGCGGGCGAAGTTGAAAGTATTGGATGGGGGGATCGAGTCGTAATTGTGTGATTGTTGCTCGTCGAGTCCTCAGCCGTACGAATACTCCTCCGTACAGCACACCGTAAAACCAGGCCGGGGCAATTCGGAGGCCCAACGCTGGCTGAAGCGGACGATTAGTGGGCCCACACTCGAACTCTGCAATCGGTCGGCCCGACACGCACTTGTCGTCTGCGGCCTCAGCAAAGGCGCACAGAGTGTGGGTGGGATGGCGATGTATCGTGTGTGGTGTGGCGGAATGTGAAATGGAGGAGGAAAAGACGAAGGAAGGGAGATAGAAGGGGAAGGCAGGGCAAGTGGAGTCGGACAACAGGGGCCGTCAACAATCCAACCAATCCAGCCCTGGCAACTTCGTTCTGCACCTTGCTGCGGGCAACCCGCCGGGGAAGTGAGCTGGTCCTTGCGCCCTTCTTTTCTGGCCAATTTCCACTGAGCTTGCCGCTGCCACCGCAGATCCTTGCCACAACACCACGTCCCCGAGAACCAGTCTGAACCAAGAGGTGTACCACGCGAATCTCAGTCGGGAGGAAGCCGTTTCGCATTCAATTGATGAATTCTCTTATTTCTGTTTTAGGCACTCATCTTGCTATGCATTGGGGTTCCTTCGGGCTGGCCTGTTTATTTCATACCCAGGGACATATCCATGAATTTAAGTCGCTCACATTAACTCTGGCCCGTGCCCTCAACGTCTTTTCTCCGCACCGTCAGTCGCTGATGCAACTTCGTAATCTCGATCAACTAAGCAGGAAAGCAGGCCGTTGACCGATTCATCAGGCCTTTGTTGCCGTCCGCCGCCCGTGGGTGGATGAGGACCGAGGGCCACCAAGAGCCAGATGCGGTGGAGCTGAAGAAACTAACGATCGGCCCAGCCCTCCTCCTCAGTCACCAGCGATCCCAGAAACGGCATGCGCCCCCAGCTATACATCCGTACGGATAGAGAGATTGGGCCAATTCTGCCAGTGAGCCGCAGCTAGGCTGGGTGCGGTCATGCATGCCTTGTAATCCGTACAAACTGCAAACATGTGTTCGCTTTGTTGTCGGAAGCCTTGATGCTCCCATGGAATTACAATTGATCAACGGCATACCCAAAAAAGCCAAGGAGCAGCTAACCTCAGAAGCAGAGCTTCTAAGTTTTTGTCTAAGACAAACGCGGCCGCTTCCGACGAACGACGTCCAGTCCTCCGCATCGCATCTGCACCGGCCCTTGAGAAGCATGCAGGCGTTGCTGCATTGAGGACCTCTCTGACAGACCCGGCCGCTGTAACTCATCGAAACCTTAGCTACCTAAGGTACTGTACCAACATCAGCCTGTTGTTCTCACCCCGGTTCTGCGGCCGGCCGTGGAGCAGAGGGACTCGATCCAGGCAAATTTGGGGCGTACTCCTTGGGACCCTTCTGCGTTTGATAGCCAGGAGAAAGCAACTTGGGAACTCCTGAGTCGCGCTGACAAACAAACCAGCGTTGAACTGTAGGTTGACGAGCGAAACGACCTCATAGCCTCATCTACACGTGTATGGCGTAGCAACCTGGCCGTTCGACCCCCTGTCCTTTACAGCGTCTCATATCAGAGCAGTTTGAACATGGAAACGCCGTTCCATCTTCCTTCCCCTTCCCTCCCCCGACCCTGGCAGTGATACACCTTTCATTCTAAGAAACTCAGAGTCGAAGCTGTCCACCCATCATCGTCCCTGACTTTGATAGGCTTGTCAATGTAAGGCATCATCCCCTCCTGTCCCAGTTGCCGATAAGCGGAAGGAGCCCCTATGATCGAAGTATAGCTGTGTAACACTTCTCCAGAGCTCGTCAAACTTTTCAGCTATTTCAAGTGCGGTCGACTATACCGATGGAAGGTGGTGTCTGGTAATCTCGTTCTGGCAAGTGCGCAGCAGCTGTCCGTAATATGCGTGTGTGTGGCTCTATGAAGCTTGTTACTTGAGAGGTCATGATGGGATCGGCAAGTTTTTCTCAACATGACGCTGGGTTACGACTCATCCCCAAAGTCTTGGAAGAACACAACAACAGTGTCTCTGGAAACTTGGCGCGGCGTCGACCACAGCAAACGCATGCTCAAGACGGGCAGCGACGTACCAATAAACACAAAACAACAGCCTTCCTATTTTCAGCTGCCCTCCCAGCCTTCAAGGCCAGGTTCAGCCCCTCAAACCCGCCGTGTTCTCATAAAGTCTCATCAGAAACCCACCGTCAAACCAGCAATATCACGAAACAGTATTTATACACCTTGGTCCGCGTATACCCTAATACGCCCCGTGATCCGTCATCTACAATGCGAAAAGAAAAGAGAGACTGGAAGGACGGTGAACCTCCATCCTCCTTCCTCGCCAGTCCTCCATCCCACAAGCCTCCCATCTTCGGCCGATCCAGGCGAAGACAGAAAGAAAAAACAAAAAAAAAATTCGACACACACGCAACCCGCTCAAACCGTAAACAAAGCTCCAGGCATCAGCTTCCCCATCCCCTTCCACCCATCCAACCCCTCCGCACCACCACCACCAACATCCACCCCCTCCCTAACACCCTTACCACCCTGCTGCTGAGCCCTCCTCACTGCCGCCGTCAGCCGGTCATACGTGACAGCGACCGTCTTCTCAGCACAATCCTTGGTCGTGCGATACCACGCATCGAGCTGCGCCTTCTCAATGGCCGCGCGCAGCTGTCTGTCCTCCCAGCGCATGGCATCGAGCAGCTTGCCCCGAAACCCGTCGTCCATGCTGTCGAAGCGGCGGTCGAGGGTCTCTGTAAAAACGCCGAGGCAATCCGACGGCTTGACGTAAGGTTGGAATGTCGGGTTGGAGTGTTCTGCATTTTGGGAAAATAAGTAAAACTGCTCCCAGCGTTTTTGGGGTGCAAGATGAAGAGAGGGGGGAAACTTACGCTCGTCAACAACTGCGAAGAGGGCGTGGTAGGCCGCCGTCTGGCCGACCGTTTCCAGCTGGTCGAGGTCGCCCTTCTCATTGGTCTCGTTGACGCGCTTCCAGTCGTCCCGGTTGAAGCAACGGCGCCAGATGAGCCGCTCGGCATTGGAGCGCTCCTCGCCTTTAAGGCCGTACTGGGCGACCTGCAGAGCCAGGTAAAACTGGTCGCCGATGGTGTCGTAGTGGTTGGGTGGGAGAGATGCGAGAGTGAGCAGGTCAATCAAGGTATGTGACTGCAGCGCTTCGTGCCGGAGCAGGCGGCCCATGGAATCCTCAAAGACCTGTAGAAGAGCCTTGTGCCTCTTCGGGATCAAAACCCCGTACTCCTTGACAGCAAGTTCCACTTCTGCCGACTCGTCGACGCCTTCCTGGATGGTGGGCAGGATCTGACTATACAGAGCGTCCTGAATCTTGATAAGTTCCAGAGCATGGTCAATCTTCTCGAGGTTGACGCCGTTCTTCCCTTCGTTCTCAGAAGGGGCACTGCTGACGCCGTCAATGGTGGCAGCTTGCTCGGCATCTTCGGCAAGCAGAGCCAGCTTGCCCAGGCTGAGCTCGATCTTCTTGTTCCAGACCTGCTGCTCGCGTGTGAGGCCCAGGTCCAGCAGGGTCTCGGCGGCATGGTCAATGTCCTTCTCCCGCTCGATATCGTTGATCCAGGAGATCTTGGCCAGCTCCGGCTTGGTCCGCAAGAACTTGGTCGCATAGCCGTTCTTGTCGTACGGGAAGTCAAGCACCGCCTGGACCCCGCTGTGCTCGAGAAGAACCTCGTAGGCGCGGAACGCAAAGCTCTCCTTGTACTCGTCAAACAAGCGGCCCATTTTCTGCTTCTTGAGCTTAGCAAGAGCGAGGTTCTGCGCGCTGTCGGTCGTGTTCCCCACTATCGCGCTCTGTTCCAACGCCAGTATCTGCTGTACCACAACCTCGGCAAGCGAGTCAAAAGACCTGTACTCCTTCGCGAGGTCGATGGCCTCCTCCCAAAGGTTGAAATCCTTCAGCCTCAAGATCTTGGTGAAAACATCTTCTTGGTAGATTTGCTGGTAAGTTCGCCCGCGCTCCTGAGCCTGCGGGTCGTCACTCAACGAAGCCCAGCTGGAGAACTCGGTCAGAGAGGTAAGGTACTGGCTGGTTAACGAGGGCAGGAGATGTCGGATGGATTCGAGAAGGCGGGGGTCAACGGGCGAGTCTTCGGAAGACTGTCCCGAGTACCTCTCAAGCCATTGGTAGCAGAACTCCACCAGCCGCTTGAGATTATTTGTGATGAAAAACGTCGCGGTCCAGGGTTCTGGGAGGGCGTTGCCGCCCGCAATGTTGGTCGGGTCAACGCCGTACTGCCTTGCTAGGTTGAGCCGGAACTGCCGGGCCTCGAACAGAGCTCCGTTGTTCACGGTAACAGCCTCCCAAACCAGACGGTTGAGGCCAGCCTCATCCGACAGCTTCTCGGTGAAGTGGTACTTGATGATTTGATAAGCCCAGGCCACAAAAATGTCCAACCGCCACACGTCGTTGATGAACCAGTGGCGGACAGGGTCCACCTGGCCGACGGCCACATTGAGCTCCGTCTTCTGATTCTCGTTGATGTAGACTGCCGTTTCCGATATAAGGGTTTTCCTGTCTCCCTTGGGACGCTCTGCGAGGAACTGCTCATGTTTCTGCCAAATCCATGTCGCAACGGCCATCTTCTCGGCATTAAAGAGCAGCATCCAACGAGTCCGCATGTCCAAGTCAATCTTGAGCGAGCTGAGATAGACGATCAGCCCGTCCAAGTACACAATTCGGCTCTTCATGTTGTTCTCAAGGGACGCCGGCAAGTTTGCAATGAATGGCGTCTTGGAGCTCACGATCTCGTGGCTCAACTCGATGGCGGCGTTTCCGATTTCCTGGGCGGAGAACGGGAGATTTCTCCTGCCTTGGAACACTAAGGGATTATCGCCCTTGACGCCAAAGAACACGGCCTGCTCTAGCTTGCTCTTCGCAGTAACCTTGGGCGGTGCGTCACTAGCGAACCGGTCAATGTCGGTGACTGCGATCCGGACGGTCCCGACTCCTTGTAGTAGGAGCACTGCTGTAGGGTTCTTCGTCCTGTGGCGGTGCGGCCGTAAGTCGTCCTGAGCGTGCCCATTCCCGATGGGCTCCTCGACGCCGGAGCCGACAACCTGAAGCGTTTCCTCGTCCCGGAAATCCACCACATCTTCGAAGGTAGGCGGTACCAGGTGGCTATCCTCCTGCAATTGTGTCTCCGGTGTGTCAGGCGGGGCGACCATGGAGGCGATAACAACTGCTCTGTCGAAGACAATGAAGGCAACAAGAGCAGGGCGCGGGAGATAGATTCGAGGCTTTGCCGGGGCACCGGGCCTCACGCTGCTGGTATACGACGTCATCGGGCGGACCGTTCCGACCCGAGGACCCTCCGGGCTTATGACTACCTCAACAAGTGAATACCGGGCCTGATGCTGCCTTGAAAACGATACCAAGAGTAAGGCGTGCTGCAACGACTCTTCTTCGTGGGTTAGGGCCTCGCTCAATCGACTGGCCCTGATGTACTTTTGTTCCAAGCCACGGGGCACAAAGGTGAAGTCGAGCACCTCGAAAGAGTCTTGCGGGAAGTTGCTGGCAGTAGGGTCTGCCTCAAAAGCGGCTTCGAGCAGCCGGTCTCGGATATCGAAATCGGCGAGAAGTTCGTGGTGGCCACTGCGGTGGATCCTCCAGGAATGCAACCGCCCCTTGGATGTCGCAGCGACTATCACACGCTCTCCAATCTTTGACCCGTGGCTAGCCCGCGCGGCAGCAATCTCACCGCGAAAGGCGGCGGAGCTCAAGGCTTGACGAATGGTCCCGAAGAAACCCAGGGCATTGCCACCGAGAGCGCTCCGAAGGAACTGAACTGTGATCCCAGGTCGCCCATGTCCGTCCCTCACGCTCATGTACGCCATCCGGCCGGAGCTGAAAACAAGGACGAAGCCTGCAGAGTCGGCATTAACGATCTGAGTGACGTGCTCGCCCGAGTACATTCCCGATATTGAGTCCTCGACGCCAGTCCGTTGTTGGCGGATGAAGTCGAGGGTGGCCGCGCTCGAGATGGATTCCCAATATGCGATTTTACCGCTCACGGGCATGATGATGACCAGGCCGGGCTCTTCCGAGGCTGCTGACGGGGTAACCAGAGACGCGAGCGGGAGAGGGTCGGACGCATGCTTCGAGGGGTATGGGAGTGTGAAAATGAAGGTTTCAGGTGACGCTGTCGTCGAGGTATAGGGCCAGACGAAGGCGTGGGTATGGGTGAGCGTCAGGGCGTAGCCTGTCGAGGAGTAGATGGCGCCGTGCTGTCGGTCTTTGGAAGAATTTAGCAAAGCTGGTCCACGAAACAGTCCGCCCTGGAGCGGCACAAGAGCATCGGTCTTACTTTGCGCGTCTGCGCGGAGTCTATCTGGCACTGACGGCAACTTGCTCACTGTAAACGCATTGTTTGCGGTCTGCAAACGGAGGGTCAGCTCGAGGCGCATGTCAGGTCGAGGCGGGAGCAAGGGGAACGAACCAAAACAATGCTCCCGTCGCCCTTGGTCGTCCTCTCGCCAGGCTTGGCCTTCTTGGACCGTACACTGAGTTCCTTCTGCGGAGCGCCAGCATTCTCAATGCCGTCGCGCTTGGCCGTGTTCAGGTCGATCCTGTCGGGTTTGACCTCGTACATGTCGGGCTGTACATCGGGATTTGCGAAGGTGGTCTCGGACAGCGGCACCCTTTGGCGCTTCGCCTTTGGCTGCTGAAGAGAGGTTTCGGAACTGAGAGGACGCTGTCGGCGACGACTGCTTCGCGTGCCTTTGGCTGGGCCGCCCTCGTGGAGCGCAGAGGAGAACATTTTCGCAATCGCTACGATGGTTGAGAGTGTGTTGGATCCTGCAGTCGCGCGGCCTTGAGCAAACAGGAGAAACAGCGCTTCAATAAATCATCGCTGGCCGAACAACGCCAGGAAATGAATGCTGATGGAATTCAATGTGCTTGAATGGGCGAGTCGGTCAGTTCTGGAACAACCGAAGCAAAAGCGACCAAGCGGAAATCGAAACAATTCTTGTCCAGGCGGGCATCTGCACGGCGGCAGTGACGAAGCCTTCATCGATTGGACTGTGTTGACTTTGGGCAAAAATTCCAGGGTTTTGAGTGGCTGCTGAAGCTGCACGTCGTGGAGCCAGCCCAGATCTTCCTCGTGGCCCCACATTTTCAGCCAGAGGCTGGATCATTCAGTTGTTTTCTGCTCAGCTTGTCTTGATCCAATCAACCCGCAGCGAGCCAGCCAGTTTCTTCCGAAAGTCTGAACCAGCAGCCTCCTTTGATGACCAGCAGACAAAGTCTGTTTCTACTATAATGTTTTTCGTGTCTACGGTAGCTATCGATCGCATTCTCAGTCTCGCCTGTATATACTGATGGTGTTCCTTAGCTGCTGTTTCCCTGTGCTTTGAGTTGTACTCATTCATTGCAGGCCTCCCCCGGTGCGTGACATCATTGTCGTTGGCTCGGCCCGGCCTGGTGTGGTGAACCAAAACCATTCGGTCGGCTTCGGCAACTTTGAAGCCGGAAGCACCGCCCCGGCCTGTTTGCATCTCGAGGACATCCGGATACCTGCCTTTACATTGCCTTGCCGCCCATGCTATAATCTTTTCATAATGGTTTCGGACATAAGACTTACTTTCCAGTACCTGCCATGAGACGGGCCACGACCTCGGTCACCATCACCGACCCCTTCGTCAAATACTCGTCTCTCATCGCCACGGGCGTCTACAGCCCAGATTCGGCCCAGTACCGCCTCGCTCACCACCTGCAAAAGGTGTACCTCAGACTCAAAGATTACACGCCTTCGCACGAGTACCGGACAAGGCTCCGACGGATCGCCAAGGCAACCAATGTCGATGCGGCGCCGCAAGGCGACGGCGGGACCTACCTCGCCTCCTCCACGCATCCGATCCGCCGCAATCCGCTCTTTGCCCGTTTCTTCCAGAGAAACGATGGAAGCGAGAGCCTGGCATTGGCGAGGGTCCTGACGAATTATCAGGCTGCCTTGCACGTCGACTCGCCCAAAGGGCTGTTCCTTTCGGGGGAAGTGGGCACGGGCAAATCCATGCTTCTGGGACTCCTCGCCGAGGGTCTGCCGACTCAACGAAAGAAGAGATGGCATTTCAACACGTTCATGCTGCACACATTGTCGAGACTAGAGGAGTTCCGCAAGTCTCGGCCCCAGTCAGTCCAGGATAGTCCCGAGTACCCTTTGCTCTGGATGGCCAAGGAGCTGGTCGAAACATCCCCTATTCTGTTTCTCGACGAGTTCCAGCTCCCGGACAGGGCGGCGAGCAAGATCATGAGCAATCTCTTTGTTGCCTTCTTCCAGCTCGGTGGCGTCCTGGTGGCGTCTTCGAACAGGATGCCTGAAGAGTTGGAAAAGGCCACAGGAGGATACTACTCGCCGCCAGCCACTGGTGGCCTGGTCGAGAGAGTCCTCGGCCTTGGGAAGAGCCGGTTTGGCGGCGAACTCGTTGGTCAAACCAGCAACTTCGCCGCGTTTCTTGAAGTCCTCAAGGCTCGCTGTGAATTTTGGCACGTGGAGGGGACACACGATTGGAGGAGGCGGGAGACTCGGGGCCTTCTCTCAGCCGAGTCGTTACCAGCTGTTGACTCAGTGCCTTCCCAAGTGGGGATCAGCCCTGGCCTCGCTGCGGGCAGCCGCGTCAAGCTAGCCGACCGTGAATGCGAATCGAACACCCAGATGCCAGCTATGTACTTTTTGCCATCCGATGGCGATGAAGTATGGATGGCTGCCCAACGGGATGTTGGTGGTATGAAACACGGGAGCCATGGAGCCCAAAGTCTGGACTGGGAGCCTGCCACATTGATAGTGTATGGGAGGAAGTTGCTCGTCCCTCGTCAGCAGGCCGGCGTCTCCTACTGGCACTTTGCTGAGCTTGTCGGCACGCTGGGACCGGCCGACTATGTTACTCTGGCGTCCAATTACCATACCTTCATCATTGACCACGTTCCCGTCCTTCTACTGCCCATGAAGAACGAGGCACGGCGATTCATCACTCTGCTGGACGCACTCTACGAATCACGATGTAAGTCGGTTATCCGGGCCGCGGCTGGCCCTGATTGTCTTTTCTTCCCCGATTCGACTGCACCGGCAGCGGAAACGGATGCGGCTCAGGCAGCAGCAGCAGGTAGCCACGATGAAGGTACCGACGCAACCTATTCCGAGACAATCGCCGAAGTATACCAGGACCAGACGTCTCCCTTCCGCCCCAACGTATCCACCTACGCAGAGTCCCCCACGTCAAAATACGACCCTGACCAGGACTCGGATTTTGGCAAGGAACAGGAGAGAAAGACCATCGACTTCAACAGAACCGGTGCCTTTACCGGCGAGGACGAGCGCTTCGCCTACAGGCGGGCGACGAGTCGGCTGTGGGAACTCTGCAGCGCACAGTGGCATGCGCGGACGGGCGACTGGTGGCAGCCGCTGCCAAAGGAGGCCAGGCACTGGGAGGGGGCCGAGGCCTCGAGATATCCGCCTTCGCCGCTTTCGAAGGGCATGCCGAGTGAGATTACGATGGGGCAGTCGGTCGAGCTTGAGGGGCCGGCGGGGCTGGAGAGGTTTAGAGTTGCGAGTCTGAAGAGACTGCAGCAATAAATAGCAAAGCCAAGGAGTCTGTTTGTTGGGCTGGTCCTGTCCCGGGATGTGTACCCTCGGTTGCCCAGGACCCACTGATCTACCTGAAAGGGGACAATGAGACCAGCCCGGCAGCTTGACGACCGTCCTTTGAAACCGTGGCAGAAAGGCGACGAGAATCTTTCTACTCATGACCTCCTCTTGCTATCTGAAGGCACTCCACGGACGGGTACGCACACAAGATTCAGGCCTTCGCTCCTAGAATCAGCATCAGGGGACATCGGAAATCAAGGATCTTAGCGCCAAACCGTTAGCCCATTGTGGGGAAAGGGTTGCATTTCCACAGATCTCCCGCTCCCGACTTCCCGCCGCTAGGTGGTGCCGGGGTCGACTAACATGGGAGAAATCAACTTCACGCCGGCCATGCTACGGATAGAGCGGGTGGCACGGAGTACAGAGCGCATATATACCGTATAAATTATATATACCATGCTATGCGTTGGTGTGGTCCACTCGCTTTGAGAACACCCTCAAAGTCTTTTGTTTCCGTCCTCACCCGCGAACATCAACCACAACCCCCGGCCAGGACAACCAATGACACCCGACCCCTCCCTCGGCCAAGTTCCCGAAACAGCAACTCTTGACACTTCGGAGCGAGTCCCGCCGTGTAAACCTGGATCGCACCAACTCGCCCACCACCTCCTTCGAGGCAGTGTTGCGCCCATCAAGCCGAGGGCAGCCACATGAGCTCTGCTGTAGGGAGGAAGAAGGCAACGTTAGGGTTAAGGGCACTGGTAGGAGGGCTCAACTGTACTCCCCAAGTTACTATTGCCGTAAAACCACTTCTTCCTTATCCGTATTCTTCCCCATTCACTCCTAACCCGCACATTGCAATGCACACCCCTCCCCGGGGACGTCGCAGGCGGCGCCATGGGCGAGAAGACAAGACTCCAAATGTTAATGTGGCCGCGTGCGCGTCAGAGTCGCCGCCAGCTGAGACAAATCACGCTTGTCCTAGGACTCGTTTTGGCCTTCTACTGTCTCGTATTTGTCTGGCACCGGCCAGCATCCAAACTGCAGAGGACGCGCCCGCTGCCGCCACAGATCCTCAACAACCTGTCTCTTGACGCAGAGCAGTGCGGGGCCTATTTCCCGGGGCTCACCCAGGAAATTGACGATGTCGTGGCCCAGGGGCCGTTCCAAGTGAAGCAGACAGGCGACTTGGGGCCGCTGCAGGGGAGGATCAAGGACGGACGAGTGCGGATTCCTCATTAGCCATCACCAGCCATTGATCGGCGCCGTTGACAGGTGAACGAGTAGATATACATAATCCACGCCCAGCGCAAATCCGACCTCTCCCAAGAGATGCTGAACGTAAGTGGCGCCGCTTACCAACTTATCAATCACCCTACCCAAACCGCCCATGTATCTCCTACTCACTCGCCCCCGTAAACCAGTCCCGGACCGCCTCCCTGCACCAACTCCACCGCGCCCTCATCACCTCGCCCTCGCCGCTCCCAGACACCATCTTCACGCTCAACTTCCAAGACCAGCCCTTCGGCACAGCCTGGGCCTACAGCCGACACGCCGACCCGGCCTTCGGCTCCTCCTCTTCCTCCTCCTCCACCTCCAAAAACGACCCCAACAAGCGCTCGTTCCTGATGCCACACTTTTCCTTTTGGGCGTGGGACCTGCCCTTCATCGGCTCCATGTCCCGCGCGGCGCAAGCCATCTCCGAGCTCGAAGCTTCGTACGGATACCTCGACTCCCCCGGAAAAAAATCAAAATGGCACGCCAAGATCGCCAAGGCCGTCTGGCGCGGCACGACATGGTTCAACAGCGTGCACAGCCCACGGATGCGACAGGACCTGGTGAGGGCGGCGAAGAATCAGCCGTGGGCCGACGTTGAGGCGCTCGACTGGACGGGCGGGGCGGAGCACAACGCCAGCAACGCGCTGCCCATTGAGGAGTTTTGCCGGTACAAGTACGTCGTGCACACCGAGGGGATCGCGTACAGCGGCCGATTCCAATTCCTGCAGATGTGCGCCAGCGTCGTGCTCACGCCGCCCATCATGTGGATGCAGCATGTCACGCACCTTGTGAGGCCCGTGCTCTCGAGCGAGTTGGACGGGATCGGGGGGAAGCGGTGGACACCGACTGAGAAAGTGAGGAGGGCGTGGCCGGTCGGGTACAGGCCTGAGGAGGCGAATATGGTGTTTGTCTCGCCGGACTGGTCGGATTTGGGTGAGACGGTGGTCTGGTTGGAGGCGCATCCTGAAATTGCGGAGGGGATTGCGAGGCGGCAGCGGGATTTGTTTGTTGGGGGTGGGTATCTCAGCCCGGCGGCTGAGACGTGCTATTGGCGTGCGTTGGTGAGGGGGTGGGCGAAGATGGCGAGGACCGAAGGCCAGGGTTGGGAGGAGACCGAAGGGATCCCGTTCGAGACGTTTAGCCTGACAAATACTGTGTGATTGGCGGTCAACTTGGCGTAGCCGCTGGTGTCGATGTTCGGGTTCCGCATCGATGTTCGGAGTTATTGCCTTCTGTCGTCGTAGACTCAACCAAAGCTAGAGGTGATCTGCTGGCAGCGCCCGAAATGTGAGTTCCACCAGCTCGGCCCATCCCGTCTGGCAACTCCCAACCCCAGGCCTATCTCCTCCTTCCAAGCCATCAGCGAGAGCCCCTCAGAGATTTGTAACCCCCGGCATCCAATTCTCCCCAATCCGCCTCATATCTCCAGCAAACTTCCTACTCGTAATTTTCTTGCCACCGTGTCCGGCAGGCGGTGAATGTTCGTCCGGTTCGAAGAAAGGGTTCTGCATCAGCCGTATGTACGCCGTCTGCATGGCCTTGAACACGGGCCTCATCTCGCCCTCCCGCAGGCCCGCCGCGGCGCCGGCGATCCTCTTGCTGTCTCTCCCGTCGGCCAGGCCTGCCGCGACTGTACCATCGATGCGCCGACCCCGCATGTCGACGATGACGACGAAGCGGGTGCCCGTGTTGGTCTCGAAGCCGTAGGCGGCGAGGCGGTCGTCGACGGCGTGCAGGAGGCCAAAGTCGCCTGTTAGCCCCACGCCGGCGGCTGCATTCTGGCGGGACCTCAGCTCGAAGACGTCCAGGGTGCTGGAGAGGATGAGGGAGAATTGGAGGGGTGTCCGGACGGGGCGGTAGCTGTTGGTAGAGGGGTCGTAGGAGGGGAAGATGGACGTGTGAAGGGGGTTGTTCTGCACTTGATAATCAGTACACGTGCGAAGAGGCAATATAAAGGTCGAGAATTCCTACATTTCGGCCAATCACGCCAATGCACGCTATTGAGGGGATTGCGGTCGCCATGATGGGCGAATGAAGCTGCCAGACAGGAGTTCGATGGAGCTAGTGAAGCTGAGTTGGGAAGCCGATGCTTTTATCAATGACCAAGCTCCGGCGAGCACCAAGGGGCCAGATAACTGTGGGTCTATACGGTATACAAAACTTCACACCGTTACAGAAACGAGGCTAGGGAAACTGCACTGGTGAGACGACCGCAACACACGGATACCCATTAAAATGAGGGCGAACACGAAGACTTGCCAGACAGTTGAAGTACCGTAGAATCTCACACGATTCGAATATACGCACAGACGTGTTCAGCCTGGAGACCAGGCTGCTGACATGCGGGAGCCTAGTACTCCAAGCAAAAAACATCTGTGCGTGTATTCGAATCGTGTGAGATCTTACGGTGAGGGGATCACTACAGCAAGTGGTATAGAACTGCAAATGCCTCCCACTTTGACTTGACCTCAAACGCCAACAGCGCCCATTCTTCACCCAGTAATCCGTGCAAATGACCCAACGGGTAAGACGAAGTATCCGACGCCGTCACAATGTCGGTAGCACACAGCCCTCACAAGTCGGACGCTCACTCCTCATCCACAAGGCATTCGGTCTCTTCCAGCCCTCTGAGCACCTCCTCGATCTCGCTCGGGTCCGTAATCGCCCAGACGCCGCCACCTTTGATCGTATCCTTCCCTCTCATGCCCACCTCCTTCCCGACCAGGTTCCGCCCGACGTAGCCGGGACCAATGCCCACCCACCTCCGGACCTTCTGCTCCTGGTCGAGATACCTTATGCTGTCCCACCACCGCACCGTCTCGAGGCACCCCCTCGCCAATAGATCCTTCAGCTCCGCCTTGCTCTCGAAGGGCCGTGCCGTGACGTTGCTGATACATGGCACCTTTCCGGGCCACGTGACGATATCCTCGCCATCTCTCCCCTTGACCCGGCTGGTGCCCGCCAGTAGGCTTTGCATCACCGTCACGGCAGGTTTCATTAGGGGGCTGTGGAACGGGCTATCGCTCTTGAGCCGCACCGCGCGCGGGTCATGGCCCGAGAACTGCCTGACGTGCGCGACCAGCGTCTTGATGCGCTCAATGTTGCCGCTCAGCACGATTTGGTTCTTGCTGTTGATGTTGGCGATGAGCACCTGGTCGATGGGCGGCCAGTCCTCGGCGCTCTCCGACTTGGTCCCGAGGCTGCTGTAGCCGACAAACTCGTGAATCGCGTTGATCAACGACGGCATGTACTCGGGCTCGCTCACGATGGCCACCATGCCATACTCGCCGCCGTACTCCTCTTCGGCGCGCCGCGTGGCTGCCGCCATGGCCTCGGCGCGTTTTTGGACCAGGAAGAGGCTGTCTTCGAACTCAAGATAGCCGCTCGACACCAGCGCGGCAAATTCGCCGAGGGAGTGGCCCAGCATAAAGTCGGCGCGCTCGGACGTCTTGAAGCCGAACTCCTTCTCCAGGATGCGCAGTATCAGGATGGACGTCGCCATGATAGCCGGCTGCGCATTCGGAGTCAGGGTGAGCACCTTCCCAGGTCCCTCCTGTATTATGCTGGAAAGCTTGTACCCCACGGTATCGTCAATTTCTTGAATGATGGGCATGGCCGTGACGGGAAAGGCTTCTATCCAGGGCGTGAGCATGCCCACCTTCTGAACCCCTTGCCCTGTTGCCGTACCACTCAACGTCAGTAGCTGGACACGACTACGAGTAGACTGGAAATGAGCAACGCACCGGGAAAGAAAATGGCCGTCTTTGGCCGGGCAGTACCGGCAGACGCATAACGAAGTTGTACCTGCAACACCGGCTGTTGTTGACTCGAGGCCGCGGGCGCCAAGACTGCGCTGGAACGACGACTCACATGTTTGGCGAGTGCGCGACATGGACTGCGAAACGGATTCATTTCTCGTATTGGAAGCGAAGCTGGTCAATTGTCGCCAGCGGCCAGCCAGTGCGAAGCTGGGGCGTCCAGGGCGGCCGCCTCATCAGGCTGCGCAGGCGACTGTGAAGCAGTTACCGTGGACCTGTCGGCTGAGAAGGCGTGGGGAGCGCCGATTGAACCACCTCGGCAGAACAAAAGGAACGGCTCGGCAGCAAGAGACCCCGAAAACACTGAAACGTAGAATGCAATAGGTCTTGAAACTGTGGGGAAGGATCCGCGCAACGGAAAGCGACGGCCGCAGCTTGCGTGGATTACGGATTACAGTGGGCTCAGTAAGACAGTGTATCACCTTACTGGTAACGTACCTGAAGACGGAAGAGGTACGTATGTTCTCTGTACCAACTGTAATTTTGTAACTTGAAACCAGAAGCAACTTCATACGAGAGCGCTCTCACTTTTATGCTTGGATGGCGTATATCTCACCATATCCAACTTCCCAAACCCGAAGCAGAAATTTAGAAACTACAATTTTGTAACTCTTGTTCTCAGCTATTCACGCGGTCACATCATAATATCAGTGCAAAAAAAAGGGGGGAAAGGCCGCATTTTCAATTTTCTCTCTCACCTCGTCTGCCTCAAACGAGTTACGACAGACACACCAACCATGCCCATCACCATCCTCGCGCCCAGACCCTCCCGCCCCATCCGCGCCGACCCGGAAGATAATGTCTCCTCCGCCTCCGACACCGACTCAGAAGCAGGCGGAGTCGAGCTAGACGGCGACCTGCCCATGACCACCCGCCCGTCCAAACGAGCCCGCCTCACCACCAGCACCGCCTCCGACATCGTCACCCCAGGCGAGCTCATCACCGACGACCCCCAATGGATGCGCGGCCACGGCACGTATGTGACGCCCGCCACGACGGCCATCATCTCGTCGGTGGCCGGCACCATCACGCGCACCAACAAGCTCCTCTCGGTCCGCCCGCTGCGCGCGCGGTACACGCCCGAGGTAGGCGACCTCGTCGTGGGGCGTATCGTCGAGGTGCAAGCCAAGCGGTGGCGCGTCGACGTCGGCTCGACGCAGCTCGCCTCGTTACCGCTCAGCGCCATCAACCTGCCGGGCGGCATTTTGCGCAAGCGGACCGAGACAGACGAGTTGCAGATCCGCACCTTCTTCGCTGAGGGTGACTTGCTCGTGGCCGAGGTGCAGCAGTTATTCGCCGACGGCGGGGCGGTGCTGCACACGCGCTCGCTCAAGTACGGCAAGCTGCGCAACGGTGTGTTCGTCGCCGTCAGCGGGACAGGGGGTGGAGGCGGGGTGGTCAGGAGCCGGCGGCAGGTGTGGACCATGGATGCGGCGAACGGGGGCGGGCAAATTGATGTGGTGTTGGGCGTAAACGGGTACGTGTGGATCAGCAAGCACGTCGAGACGGCCGAAGCGGACGGCAACAGTAAGGCGGCGGGGATCACGAATATGGAGGAGAATGTCAGCACGACCATGTACTCGAGCCAGAACGACCGGATCGAGGTTGAAACTATGAGGGAGATTGCGAGGCTGCGGGGGGTGGTGACGGCGCTGGTGGAGAACGGTCTGCGGGTGGATGAGGACATGGTCATGAGGGGTTATCATGAGGCCGTGGAGATGGCCATGGTGTCGGCCGGAGGGCCGGACGACATCTACCTTGGGGGTGAGATGGGGCAGCAGTTGGCCGCGGCACTCAAGGGGACGTAATCTAGAGCTCGGCGTTTTGCCAGAAAAATATCAAAAGCTGGGCTCTGAGGTTCCTGCTGAGCCCATCCCGTTACTACAAGCTATTTAACGCAAGAAACGTGGCTTAATGATGCCTGGTATCTTCTGAAAACAAAGCAACTAAAAGGGACCCTGTGATCATTCCATAGAGGTGTTGATGGAGAAAGGGAAAATGACCCTGAGTGTGTCAAATGCAATGGACCTGTAAAGGTCATCGGCGTCGGCCATGCTCGACCGCAATGTTATTACACCATCGTATAAGTGCATTATTACCCGTCTCCTAGATGGCAAAAAATGACATTAGATCCCTGAACATAGAACCCAAAAAAACAAGTGCACGAAATGGGAAGCAAATCCAACACTGCCCACCCCTATCTGCCAAAACGGTTCGTATAAAGATAATGGGCCAGGAGCACAGCCAACCACCGCAAGAACGCACCTTTGGCGCCCTTACCGCCCAGACACAGCACCATCTTGGCCCAGTATCCGAAACCCTTGATGACCTTGCCGTTGCGGTCAAAGTTGGGCTTCTTAGCCGTGAACCGGTTCAGCAGTTTGAGCTTGGCCATGTTGTACGGCATGTAGCGCACGTCAATGATCTTCTCGGCCCACGCGGGCGTCTCCGAGACGGTGCGGAAGTGTGTGAAGCAATCGAAGCTCGCCTTGCCGCGGTAGACGCCCCAGCCACTGTCGCCGACGCCGCCGAACGGGATGCTATTGACCGAGGCGTGGAAGAAGGCGTCGTTGAGCGTGGCGCCGCCCGATGTCATTTCGTTGAGGACTTTTGTCGGTTGTGTTAGTCCAAGAGATTCATGAGAGTCTTGGGGGTCAGGGTGTGGTTGTTCTGGCGTACCTCTCTGGTTTTCTGCCTTGGAACCAAATGAAAAGAGGGCGAGCGGTGTGCGGTGAACCCGGTTGGCAACGTTGAGGGCCTCGTCGAGCGAGTTGACCGGATAGATGCAGAAGATGGGCCCGAACGACTCTTCCTGCATCATCGGATCGTCCACCGAGCTTACGAGCACAGCGGTAGGCTCGATGAAAAGCTCAGACTCGTCCAGGGCGCCACCCATGACGATCTTACCTTTGGTGCCATCCAGCATCTTCTTCAGCCGCAGAAAATGCTTATGGTTGACGATGCGCGCCAGGTCCGGACTCGCCTTGGCGCCGTTGGGGAACATGTCCCTGTACGCCTGCTTGAGGTGCTCAATAAAAGTGGGGCCAACGTCCTTGTCGATCAGGACGTAGTTCTGGGACAGGCAGACCTGGCCCGCGTTCATAGTCTTGCCCCAGAGCAGCCGCCTCGCGGCCAGCGCGAGGTTGGCGTGCTTGGTGATGAAGGCCGGGTTCCTGCCGCCGAGCTCGAGAACGACAGGCGTCAGGGTCTCGGCGGCCTTCTTCGCGACGATGGTGCCAACCGCCGCGCTGCCCGTGAAGAAGATCTTATCCCACTTCTCGTTCAGCAGCGCGGTGGTCTCGGGAATGCCGCCGTTGACGACGGCAAAGGCAGTCGTGTCGAGCCTCGTCTCGATCAGCGCCTTGAGCACCATTGCACACGCGGGCGTCACCTCGGAGGGCTTGAGGACGGCAGTACAGCCGGCCGCGATGGCGCCCACGAACGGGGCCAGGAGGAGCTGGACGGGGAAGTTGTAGGGACCGATGATGAGCACGGTGCCCAGGGGTTCTTTGCGAACGCGGTAATTCATCAAGGAGAAGGGCGGCGGGAGGTCGGGCGACCCCAGCTTGTCATCCTTGGCGTACTTCTCGAGATGGTCGAGCATGAAGATGCAGTCCTTCTTCAGCCAGTCAATCTCGGTGATCAAGGCCTCAAAGTCGGACTTGTGCAGGTCCTTGGCGAGCGCAGCCAGCAATTGGGGCGTGTAGTCCTCCAGGGCCCAGTAGAGCTTGCGCAGCTGCACCTGGCGCCATTGCAGCTTCTTGGTCTTGTGGGTGCGGAAGGTCCCGCGGACAGAGTTGGTGATCTGGGGAATGGCGTCGACGGCCGTGGCCTGGAATTCAGACATCGACACCTTGGCAGCCATGGTTGCAGCTGTGGGAGACTCTGAACCTCTCGAATGTGATCGCTGGCCTTGCGAAAGAAACGAGGACTGAGCGTGCGACCAAGAAATACCAATCCACCCCAACTGGAAGGGCGGACAACCGGCGCAAGAGGAGCTCGGAATCGTCCCTATCCCGTCAATGTTGCAGGCCGTCGTTCAACACATACAAACCTGAGTTGGTGGACAGAGGCATGTCCAAAAAGAACAGCTGCCTGAGAAACTTGAAACCTGCATGGCAGGAACCTCGGCATCCGCGGACGAAGCGAACGCTGCTCTGTGCGCCGGAAGGCAATCCTTCCAATCTCGCACATCACATGTTGCGTCCACACCACCGGGACGCTATCGCTTTAACTTTCAAACTTATCCAACACAAATACCCACAGAGTATCGGCAGTCATACAGCGACTCATTAGGTAAAGATAATGAGTACAAATTTGATATTCCATGGCACGAACCCTAACTCAAGCTGCAACCCATGATATTGAGCGCTTCAAAGTCTTGACCAAGTCGACTTGCTCAGGAGCGGACCGTTAAAAGCAGCTCACCCGGAATAGCAGCTGCATGGCAGGGTCGGTTGCAGCCTTGGCACGAACCCCGCTTCCCCACAGTGCCCAAGCCACACGCTCAGAATAGGGATAGGATATTCGGATTACTTCTGATCATTGGAAAATGAAACAGGGCCTTGAAAGTTCAATTCTCAGATATCTCACCTATATCTACAGTATTTGGCAAATGGCGAAGAGCTAGGGCTAGGGCTACTTGAGGTGACAATTCTACTACCCTCCCCAACAGTTCGCTAAGCGAGTCCCTAGCCCGAGATTTCCATATAATTAGCTGTAAGACCCGTATTTCCATTTCGCCAAGCCTTTTCAATGAGAGCCTGAATGAAATTATATTTAAAATTTGGCTGATATCTTGGAAAATGAAATTTTCGTTTCCCATTCCTTGCTCAGAAGTCCGAGGGCCCTTGGCTCGCGACAGCTTCAACAGGCGGCAAAGAATTATCGTTCGAAAGAAAGGCCGATGTTGTGGCCCCTTTGACTTCGAAACGGGTTCTCTCCATAGGCTCAGTTCAGAGTTGCAACCACAGATAGCCCCTTATGAGAGACATGCGATAGGCTGTTGTCCAGTCAATGCCGAGAGGTCTACGAGCCGAAGCACGAGTATACATTGCGACGCAACGAGATCCCAGCTCTCCCAATCCTCTATGAGTTGATGTACATTGAATCTCATAATACAACAGCCAATTCCACGCCTCGACGAGAATCCGTTCCGGCAGGACAATGGCTGGAAGGTGTGGCCGATGAGCCCACCGTCCTCCGGATCATGGCAGGCATATGTTTCCGTCTAGTCTGGCCGAAGGCGACAGGTCGCCCTGTTTCAACGGGCATGATTGCCGAGGCCTACCTTCGGCCACGCTGCCCTCTCCTCAACACCGGAACCACCTCGACGGGCTTGGCGTGAAGCATGGCCTGTTGGATGGCCTGCACGCCATCGATCAAGGTCCCCTCCGTCCTCTTCTGTTCGTCCAGCAGCAGCGCCTGTTTCCGCTGTTCCTCGAGCTCCTTTCTCCGCTCCTCTGTCAGATACCATTTCTTGGGAAACTTGATCTGGGGCTTGAATTTGTGGTGGCGAGTATCAAGGGGAATGTCCTCAAACATGTCGGTGGGGTCCTAGAGTGTCCGGTCTTAGCCACGGGGAAAACCAAAGAAATGGCGACGCGGCTCATCGGCTTCCATACCTTTGCGGCCTCGATCATCTTGTTCACGAGGTCCCCTAAGTATCGCTTGTTCTGGGCCTGGTGCTCGAATCGCTCGCAGCTCATCTTGATGATGTCCTTCTCCGGGTTGTACCTGGACCCGGCAAGCTTCTTGAGCTTCAGCTGCTGAGCCTCGCTGAGGCCGGGCAAGTCCTTGGGGCAGAACTCCACTACGACCTTCCTGTCGGCGGGGTGGAACTCGCCCATGTAGGTTGTGTATCGGAACCGGAGGACCTCGTCTTCGGCGGGCGGCTGGAACGGCTTGGCGAGTTCTGGTTCGAACTTATGTTAGGTTTCTGGCCCAGGGGGAGAACTGAAACGGACGCAGGGTCCGAAGAAGCTTACTCGAGAGAAGCGGCATCTCCCAGACAGCGATGCGCGCGTATTCTCGGAATTCGCGATGCTCCTCGAGCTTGGCGTGACCCATGGCCATGATATCGTCCTCCTCAAAATCGTCCTCGCCAACCTCGTCCGTGATCAAGTCCTGGTCGGTTTCCTCCACATGCCAGAAGCTATCCTTCTTGGGCATTATTGGCCTGCGAAGCTGCGCAGACTCCTCGTTGACTTCTTGCGCAAGCTTCTCGATGTTTTGCTTCTCGGGGAGCGGCACCTTGCTCCAATCCTCCAGCATGCGCTGGGCCAGCCGTCGCTCTTCGTCGCTGACGCTCTCATCGCGGATGAAAGCATTTAGGAACTCGCCGGGGTTCTTGAATACCTTTTCCAACTCGTCTTCGGCCTCCTTTGCGGAGGCGTCGTCCTCTGTTGGCGTGCTGGCGGATCGCCATTGTGTCGTCGATAATGGCCGCCGATGAGTCAATTGCGGAACAGCGGAAGCCCGGAGGTTTGGTAGCCTCCGGCTAGGCCGGAGACACAGCCGAAGGAGGTTGACGGGGGAGGCCATGCCGGATTGTCGAGTCGGGTCGTGGTTGGACGCGGCTCCCGATGCGTGGTGGGAACTCGGATGGCCAAAAATCTGGAGTTGCTGGCTCCGAGCGGATCACTAGCCACACCTGCACCGCCACAGTCTACATTCCCGATTAAGTTGGATGTACACAGTAAGTTTAGCCATGTCTGAGATACTGATGCCTCATTACATATTGGGCTTATGAGCTATCAATTGGCAATAGACTATAAGCCCTGTCGAGCAGTTCTTAGTTTCTGTTTGCAATCCTAAGACTCTGTGCAAAGCGTTGTATGGAGAGGTCGAGAGAGGTGATGAGTGGGGAAGCATATCAATGGATCAAAAGACTCCGGCCCTATGTCACTAATTGTGATGGCATGTGACTGTTAACCCGGATCTTCTATCTATTTAAAGTTATCTCTACCACCTATAGTGCAGTATTGTGTGACCTGTACGGATCCGTACAGATGAACATGTACCCCTATTGCGACTCTTCGCTCACAGAACAATCGCCAGCACAAACATGTTACCCCACCTGCGAAGCTCCGCTCTCACTTGCCTAAGATTATGTTCCGAACTACTGCCGAAGTTCTTCCGCTATCTTGCGAGATTTGTCCAAAGTTCAACCTGCACACCGCCTCATACTCCCTCACACTCCGTGCTATTCTGCCAGTAATGGACCCCTTCAACGCGGTGTTCCTCCTTGGCAGTGGCCTTGGCCCCGCTCAATTCCAACAACCCCAAGATGCCGCGCCGGCCGCTGTCATGGCCAACGGCGTCAATGGTGTCGACGGGGACAGTGACAGCGCTCCGAGCTCCGGCTCGGACGCAGTCACTGCTGCCCAAGCTCGTGAGCGAAAAATTCAGAAACGTGATTTTATTCACAATGACCGTTCTCAAGCTCACCAGACCACAGCCCCTCCTCCGCCACCCCAGCTGCCTGGTCGCCAATGCCTCGTCACGGTCGGAGCAACGGCTGGCTTCCGCTCCCTCCTCGAGGAGGTTAGCAGTGCGGGGTTCCTCCAGTGCCTCGCGGGTCATGACTACAGGACCCTCGAGATCCAGTGCGGCCCTGACCTCGACGCCATCACGGAGCGCGTCGCCCGCCTGACCGACGAGGAGCGGGTCGGCATTTCGGTCATGTGCTTCGGCTACACGACCGAGATGCAGTCACACATCCTCGCCTGTCGTGGCGAGGTGAACGTGCGTCCGGCGGGGTGCGTTATCTCCCATGGCGGTAAGCTTTGCTGTCGATCCTACCACACACGTGTTCCGACGGTCCCAGCTCACACTTCGTCTCAGGCACTGGAACTGTGGGCGAGGTACTGAGTCTCGGCGCCCCACTCATTGTCGTCGCGAACTCGACGCTGATGGACAACCACCAACTTGAGCTGGCTGAGAGCCTCGAGAACGACGGCCTGGCCGTCATTGGGCACCTCGGGTAAGAACCTTATCTTTCTGAATGACTTGCGCTGATTCTTTCTCTTTCGTTTGTTGCACAATGCTAACCAATTATCATCAGATCACTCGTCGACGCGGTCGATCTCATTGCCGACCGAATCACCCAAGGCACGTTGGACGCCCTGCCGCCGTACTGCCCGCCGTCGTTTCCCGTTTCTGCCGCCGATCGCGTTACTCTCTTCGATTGGATGGTACTGACCTGCTACCCAGCCGAGTTTGCTGCGCAGATGAACGCGCTCAACCAGGCCGTCCTGGAAGCAAATTTCGCCAACGCGTCACAGCAGCAACCGGATGGAAACGGCAATGGCCCGGCCGAGGCGGTCAACAACCAGGAGGACGACGGCATGCCCCAGCTCGACTAGGAGCTAGAGACTGGTATTGCCGTACCTGGCGCCGGTGGTGGGGTCCAAAATGAAGACGGGAAGGAGCCCATCGAGCTCGAGGCGAATCCTGCGCCCATTGTCAACGGCAACGGCAACCTCAACAAAGGCATGGTCCAGCTCAACTAGGGATTTGAGTTTGGCGGCCTGGCCGTGCCTGGCGCTGGCGGAGGCCTGGTATTCAGGGATGAGCAAGATGAATTCATCTCCGAACTCGACCTGAATCACACTCCGCCCACCGTCAACGGAAACGGCAACCTCCACGACGAGCTTTTGGAGTTTATTCAGGTGTTTGCGGAGGCAACTGCTCCGCTTGCTGCTGCCCTCGAAAACGAAAATAAAGAGGGTGACCGGATCATCGAACCTGCCCCGGCAAATCAACCTCTGCCGACCATCAACGAAGAAGACGAACTGAACAATGAACTGGTGGAGTTTATGCGGGGTTTTGCGAATGCCATTGCTCCGCTTGCTGCTGCCCTCGAAAACGAAAATGAAGAGGTTGACGAGCCCAACGACCCTGATTTCGCAAACGTCCGTCTTCCCACCGTCAACGGAATCGGCAATCAAATCAACGGTATTCCTCAGCTCATTCAGCAATTCGAGGCTTTCGGCTTCGCTACGCCGGGTTTAGGTGGAAATTGGAACGACGAGGGTGACGAGCTCGTCGACGCTGAGGTCGCAAACTTCCCTCTTCCCACTATCAACAATAACTACAATCATTTCAACGGTATTTTCGATGAAATCAACGGCATCCCCCCGTCTACTCGGCAATTCGGCGCTGGCAATGCCATTGCCTTTGTTGGTGACGCAGGTCCAAATGAACCGGAAGCCGAACTCATCGACCTTGACCTGGCAAACGCGCCTCTCCCTATCAACGACAGAAATGGCTTCCAACGCACTACCCAGTTCACTCAAGAATTCGAGGCTGCAAGCGTGGCTGCCGGGCTTGGTGCAGGCGGTGCAGTCGAGTTTCAACTGGAAGGAGGCGAGCGTGTCAACCTCGACATTGCCAACTTGCCTGTCCCTAATCTAGATGAGATTGGAGATGGAATTGGGACTGGAAATGGGGACACCGAAGTCGGCAACCTCCAGACGGATCTTGGCACCAATTTGGTCGATAGCTGGGATGGCGTTTGGGCGACCGAGGACGAGGCAGAGGCCATGACGGGGGAAGAGTTGATGCACCTGATGTTTGGAAACAATTGAGTCTCTGAGATGGGGCGTTTATGCCATCAGCAATGGCGTGTTTCAGGTTCCGCGGCTGGAATTGGATTTTGGGACGATTGTAGTCCTGATTTGGTGGGAGGGAAGCTGGGGAAAGAACATGCGGTGGAGTATCTGACAGTGGCCTGGGACAGAGGAGAGTGGTTATTGTATGTTTCTCGGACGGTGGGATGGTTACCATGCGGTTTTCCACTGCTTATTGGTTGGAGGAGATACCCGTTCTTACGGTCCCCTTGGTCAGGGTCAGATTTACGGTTCGATTATCATAGTTTCAGATGTGTGGTTTAATAAAGATGGGCTTGAAGTCTTCCGGTACCTTGCATATTCACGCAGGTCCGGTCATAGATGGAAAACCTAATTGACTTCCTTGTCTTCGTTTTTCCTCATCTCACTCGTAACATCGTGATTCTATCCGTCTTGCCTGCTTTACCATACCACATACGACCAACACGAAACCCCCATACCATATCACACATCTATTAGCTCATTGCAAACCCTTCAAACCCCATATCTTGACCGCCGCATCCCCTCCCGTACTCGCAACCCTCGTATGCCCTTCGACCCACGCAACGCCATACACGCCATCCTTGTGCGCGTTGGCCGCCTTGACCCGGCTGCCCGGCTTCGCCAGGCTCCACACGTGCACGTTGGTGTCGAGCGCCCCGCTGATGGCGTGCGTCCCCACCGCGTTCCACGCAATGCTCAGCACCCGCGCCGTGTGCGCCGACCACCGGTCCGTCGCCACCTCCCAGTTTGCTGTCTTGTAGACGACAATCTTTCCTGCCGCGTTGCCCGCCGCGAGGTGGGTGCCGTCCGGGGAGAAGGAGAGGGCGGATATTGGGGAGGTGGAGGTGCTCAGTGTGTGGGACGGTGTGAGGGTGTTGCTGGAGCTGGAGAGGGTGTAGATTTGGACTGTGTTGTTGTTGGCTGCGCCGACGGCGACGGTGGAGCCGTGCGCTGCGATGACGCTTGGTGTGAAGTCGGTCGGGAGCTGGGTGAGATGTTTGGTGTCTGCGTAGACGGCAATGCTGTCGTTTAGAGCGACGATGGTGCGTCCTGTGGAGGTGGTGGCAATGCCTTTGGGTTGGGATGGGAGCTTGATCGAATTGCCGAGGAAGTTGTTGGTTGATTCCTGGATCGTGCGCAGCGTGTCGTCCCAGCCTACGCTGTAGGTTTGGCCGCCGGCCGAGGCGAACTGGGTTACTTGGTTGGAGTGTGCTTGACCATCTACCGCGGTACCGGTGCCTGTCGAAACGTCCCAGCTGCAGACCTTGCCGTCAAAACTGCCTGTTGTGAGGATCTTGCCCTTGCCCTCGGACGTCACGCCCAGCGCGGTGACACTCTTGTTGTGCCCCTGGACGACTTTGGCTGGCTTGTCGCTCCCTTCAGTGAGGTAGTTGAGATCGCCGCTCAAGCTCAAGCTGATGATGAGCCCGTCGGTTCTCCCGTGCGGCCACACCACGCCAACTTGCTGATCCGCAACGTTGACACTCCCTTCTTCCCCGACTCGCCACGTCTGCACACACTCACCGGACTCGGCATCCCACACCCGCACAGTCTGATCCGCGCTGGCCGTCACAAACCGCTTCGAATCCTTCGCCCAGCTGACGGCGAAGATGCTCCCCGTGTGTACGCCTTCGCCCACCTGCTTCGTCGGTTCGCCCGTCTTGCCATCGTACAGCTGAATCCGCCGGTCCGCCCCCACTGTGACCAGGGCGCTCCCATCCGGACTGAACGCGGCGCCCATGACAAACCCCTTGTGCAACCCCGCAGCCTTGCTCGCGAACTTGAAGGGGGGGCCGTGCAGGAAGCACATGGTGCTGTCGTCGGACACGGTGGCGGCGCGCAGGGGGCGCTGCTGGCGGATGGCGACGGCATTGACGACCTTGCTGTGGCCGCTGACCTCGCCGACGCTGTTGCCACTGTCGGCGGTGAAGCAGTGGCCGAAGCGCTCGCGGCCGTCGCCGACGGCGATGACGCGCTGACTGTCGCCGTCCCAGGCCAGGTCGTTGATGCGGCCCGAGATGATGGCAAACTCGCCCTTGGTGTTGACGGCATCGACAGCGTCCCACACGCGCACTTTGCCCGAGACGTCGCCCGAGGCAACCCAGAAGCCCGAGGGCGAGAACTTGGCGACTATCGTGGTGGTCGTATGGCCCGTGTATTGCTTGCAGAGGGAAGGGTCGTCGATGCTGCGGAGGAAAATAGATTTACCGGACTGCCGTTGGCGTCAGAGAACGGACGGTAACGTGTGAAGAGGAAACTCACCGCGTAAGCTATGCGCTCGCCCTTTGGATCGCACGAGAGCTGTGTTGGCTGACCTCGCGTTGTTGCGGGCGCCGCAGCCAGGATCTTCTCAATCTCGATGGACATGGTTGAATTCGTATGATCGAGAGTGTGCGTATTCTAATGCAACAATCTGGAACTCTGAAATCTGACAAGAGAGAGAAGGAAAAGGAGATTTGTTCGCTGGGAGGTGAATGATCAAGTGATGGAGCTGGCTGAGCTATGGAGGGGTATCAATCAGGGGTTGCGTGGTCGCGGGGCAGCGAGCTGACGCCTAAACAGTGCCTCAGGGGTGATTGGAGCCTGATGCTTGACTTCGTCACGCCCAGGTATGAGGGTTAGGGTAAGCTACCTTAACCAAGCTCGAGCTAAGGTAGCGAGACTAACTCCTACAATTGAAATGTTTCGCCAGATGATTCCCGAAGCACTTTGAGTTCTAAAATCTAGGTAACAGATTCCCGAATCTTGGTCCATCGATAAAATCGTCACTCCCCGGCTCCTCATCACCGAAACTCAAACGGGTCGCATACAGTACGGGATCCCGAGTCATCGATGGGGAAACGCGGACGTATTCCAAGCTAAAGCTAGGTAACTTGGCGGCAAGCCGGAATCCCCGTCAACGAGTTATGCAAAACCTTCTAGGACGCTTTCGTAGCGGCGAAGAAGTTCGGCGTTCGGGACATATGGATCGACTCGCTCTGCATCATACAAGACAGCACGGACGACTGGCAGAGGGAAGCTGGTCTGATGCAGCAGGTCAATTCAAACGCCAGGTTCAACATTTCCGTGACCGGCGCCGAGAATGGTAACGCGTGACTTTTCTTCAACAGACGCCGGCTCGCAGTTGCCCCGTTCACCCTTGACATCACCGGCACGGTGAGAACGGGAACAGCCAGTGCTACATGCAGCCGGGACGCTACCGGCTCATCAGCCCGTGCCTATGCTCCTTCAATATCTCGCACCGCCGCTGAACGTGAGGTGCTGGGTCACGCAGGAGCACCTTGCTTGCCCGACAGATCGTGCATTTCTGCCGGGACCAGATGTTCTTTGAATGCCGCGAGTTGGAAGCTTGCGAAATGTTTCCCCGCGGCCTCCCGAAAACGAACACCTTTAAGGCCAGTGACGATTGCGTGCTGTGGTACGGGCGCTTCAAGCGCGTGGTTCCCGGCGTCCCGAAAGTGACCGAGTATGGGGGCGAGAGGCTAGGTCGATGGCCAGGCGTAGGGCTGCTCCGGTTATCGGTTCACTAGAATATCTCCACTTGGGCCCAGCTGGTCGAGACGTACTTGATGCTGGCCCTGACCAAGCCTGAGGACAAGCTGATTGCCTTCACGGAAATAGCCAATCTGATGCAGCAAAGGCCCGAAATGAGCGGCGACGTGTATCTTGCGGGTCTTCGGAGGCGCCATCTTCCATACCACCTCTTCTGGGAGAAAGACTCTCCTTGACGTCATTACAAAGAGCGGAGGAAAGAGAATGGTGAGCCCGCCACCAGGCTGGGGACCTACGTCGCCCCGTCATGGTCGTGGGCGTCCGTCCAGGGACATGTCTCGCTCCACTACGGTCCGATCGTGACAAAATTTCCACGGATACAACGAAATCCTGGTGGAGATTCTCGAGCCAGAGACGTACGCGTCAGGAGAGGACGTCATGCGCTCGGTGTCCCGAGGCTACATCAAGCTCAGGGACTTTCCGCGGAGGGCGGGTGTTAGAAAGCGGGAGGCGCAAGCTTGGCCTTCGGGGTCGGTTCTCACCATGGTTCTCAGCGGTGAGAGTTTCGAGTGTGATGCCTGGATGGACAAGACAGATGTAATTGGGGTTGGAAGTAGCGAGGGCAAACCTGTATACTGTCTACCAACTAAGATGTCCGAAGGCACCCGATGCACCGAGGGCGTGATTCTCGAGCAGCTGGATCTCGATCGGGATATTATCAAGCGGGTGGGGAGGTTCACAGTTCAGGGGTACGCGGCGGCCCTTGTATTTTATGGTTTTGGATGGGAATTTTGGAAGAGACCGGGGTCGAGTGCAAGAGCCGTCATGATGGAGAAGGCTGCAGTTCTCAGCGAGCGGGTGGTCACTCTGCTGTGATCAGAGATCGCTCAGCAGCATACAGTTATGAGTAATACGGCAGTGTAACAAGGACAATGAGTGCGCTGATATCGACCCTTTCTAGAACCGTTATTCAGAGGAATGATATTAGACCAATCAAGCTTGTCGACTTCCAAGCATTGTCTGATAATGAAGTTGTTCCGGCGTGTTCCACTTCGCATTTACGGATGCAGATAGCTGCGAAACCCAACGCGGCATCAGACCCCGTGTTGTTAGAGACTTCTCCGTCGTGTACGCCGAAACAGTGGCCTAGTCACCGTACGAGAGTGGTGGATGATTAACTATTGAATCGACAGCTGCGCAGATATATCATTTGGTTGACTTTAGTTACCTCTTCTGACAGGGACCAAGCACAACTGCGACACCCGGTTGAGAGGATAACAGCAAGCTCTCTCATCGACATGGTAGGAGACGTTGAGCTGATAATAGCCACGCTCGCTACTGTCCCTGCTCATTGAGAAGTCGAAGTGAATGTCGCAAGCCGATTGGGGTCGTTCTCTTCCTCTTCGTCCCTTGTAGCTTCAAGCCGTGGCCAAATCCAATTTGACACCGAGAGCTGTACAAATGTGAGTCATACCATGGAGCACAGTGGACAGCCGCGGACCGCTGCGTCGTGAACCTGCTCGAGCTTCTCGTGGTAGGCGTACCTGAAGCATATGGAGTACCCGTCATATCTGTAAGTCTTTGACGTCCCCGCAAACACGTCTTGACAGCTTTACACAGCGCGTGCTCTGGACGCCCTACTGTTCGCCAGACATTAACGACATGGGTTGGGACGTCTTATTGTAGCTGAATTATTCATTCAAACAACTCTTTGAGCAAGGTTTCGTCTCCGGTCTTGATGATACAGTCTATTTCCTGACATGGACGAGGGTCGATCGGCCACCTCTGACATCGTCAACTTTGAAGGAAGGGGGTCAGGTAGACGTCCCGTTCTGCGCACATGAGACATGATGCGACGGAGGAGGCCACGTCACGAGCACTCAGCCACGCCTTCCCAAGTGATCACTGACTGACCTCGTGCAAGGCACACAAGCAGCCAACGCAAACTGGTTTCATCATCATCTAGGTACATACCCAATTCCGCTTAGACAAAGCATTTCGATCGTGTCATTGCTGCTATCCTAACTAAGGTATTTAAAGTGTAGGTCACGGTAGCGCACAGTTTCCGCCCCGTTTGCCTGAGCCCCCAAACACACGACACTCGACACACAATCCAGGAAACTCAGCCCACCAGACGATGTTGCACGCAAAGGACGAAGCCGATACTGAACAACAAAGAGCCCATCCAGTCATCATGTATCTATATACAGGACTTGTTTAGGAAGAAAAGAAAAAGAGACCCCGTTCATCCGGAGAGACAAGAGAAAAGAGGTACGGAGGGGAGGACAAGGACGCAATAGGTAGGGTAAAACGACACAACAAGCCAGCGCAACACCATCCGTTGGAGAGGGCAAAAGGAAATGCAGAAATGGAAAACCAATGGTGTATCCCGCCCGCTCCGCAATGTTACTCCTGCCCGAAACCCATCGTCTCCTCCACCGCCATCGTCAACTTGTGCTGCAGCTGCTCCAGCGTCTTGTACGGAGGAAGGTCCAGGCGGTTGAAGCTAGAACACACACACATGTTAGCCACTAGGCTTATAACAAATACCCAAAGTGACGGAAGGGGGGGGACGAAGGAGGAGGAAAGAGACAGCAAAAAGAACTCACCAAGTATGCGCCTTGGGCAGATTGTTGATATCTCCCGCCTTTTCAATAGTGAACCGTCTCGGCCCGTCGCTACCCTGCAGGTCCTTGAACCCATTCACCGGAATACGCGACGTTCCCGTGGTGAACTGCAGCAGCCTCGACTTTTGCTCGCCGTCCCACGACCGCACCGTCTGCCAAAAGAACTGAATTACCTCGTCCGTCTCGGTATACCCGCGATAGTCGGTGTGCTTCTTCCAGTCGTCCACATCAATCTCGGCGATGCCGCCAATCAGCAGCTCCAGCTCGCGCTCATCAAACACATTGATCAGGTCCTGCGGAATCAGGTCATGGAACCCCTCCTTGAACGCCTCAAACTGCTCGGCAATGCGCTTTTGGATACGCCACTTGACCATCAGGTCGACGTACTCCTTTTTGTTCTCATTGGTCACCTCGATGTTGCGCCCGTTGGGGATCAGGTCCTCGACCGTGATGACGCCAAACCGCTCGTCCTCAGTCGAGAAGGTCTGCTCGAGGATGCCGCCCGAGATGTCGTTGTCCAGCATCCACTGCAGCGACCGGTGGAAGTCGGCGTCCACGCCCTCCATGTCGGCCAGCACCACGGGCTTGCCCAGAATCATCTTGTACAGTGCCCCGATGAAGAATGCGTCGAGGAACCGCCGGTGGAAGATGGCGAGGCCGACCACCCGCCCAATGAATTTGAAGTAGTTGAGATGCTCCGGGTTGATGCCCGAGTGCGGGTTGATCTGGAGCGTGTAGTTGTCGTGCGCCGAGTACTCAAACAGGCAGTAGAAGGGATTGAACATCTCGTGCGACAGCAAGAAGAAGAACTCTCTCGAAAGACCACCGTAATCCAGGCCGTCCTCGCCGTCAAACTTGATCATCAGTCGCTTCTTGAGATCTGTGGGCGACTGCCGCGAAATCTCGGCAAACGAGTCCTCAAAGATGTGCGAGCGCCTAACCTTAATATGGCACTGGCCGGAAAGGATGCGCATGGCCGGCTGCGACCGGAAGTAGATAAGCTTCCGCCGGAAGTCACGCTTGTATTGAGGCACGTTCTGGTCGAGCGACGACGGCAGCCGGGGGTCGTCCCACGTCGTTGTCTTGGTGTTGTGGTCGACAAAGTAGACGCGTGCTGTGTTCGTCAACCGCATCTCCCAACCGCTAGGCAGTGGACCGAGCTGCGAAACCGGCTGCTGCTGGATCGTGCCACCCTGGTTGTTCTGCCCGCCGTACATGCGGATGTACTGCTGACGCCGCGGATCCACCCACGTCGTGGTGCGCGTGTTGTGGTCAACAAAGTAAGGTCGGCCCTCCGGAGTCCACCTCTGTTCCCAGCCCGGGGGAAGCTCACCCGTCCCTGCCGTCGTGGTTCCCGTGTGCAACATGGTCGAAGCGGCCGCGGCCTGGGTCGCTGCTTGCTGGGCCTGGAGCGTCGGCGAATTCGACCCGGTACGGTCTTCGGGCAGGGTACGGTTCTGATGTCTCTGTCGCTCCACCTGGGTGTTCGCCTCGGCAACGCGGGCGTCGACTAACCCCGTGCCAGTCGGCCTGTTCCAGCTCGTCGTTCTCGTGTTGTGGTCGACATAGTAAGTCCTCCCGAGGTTGTCCTCCCGGCGCTCCCAGCCGGCCGGTAGCCGTCCCTGGGCATCCTCAAACGGGCTCAACGTACTGGTAGCTTGCCGGGGATGAGCAGTCCCGTTTATCGAAGCGTTGGCAGCAGCAGCGCCAGGGGCGTTGGCTGACTGCGTCGATACTAAACTTGCTGGGCGATGGGGCATAGTCAGCTGAGCACCCGGCGTCGGCGTGCCGTTGGGGCCCGACATGGCTGATGAAGGTCTTTCGGAGGCACGATCGCCGTTGGTAAGAGAAGAGGCCTGTGGGCTGAGGAGGGAGGGTCGGCTGGATGAAGCAGGTGGCGGTTGCGTCATGCGGTTCGGAGCTGACAGGTTGGTGGAGAGGTTAATGATCAGCTTTCCGTGTACCACCAGGTTATCAGTCGTTGACTTTTTCAGGTCTCGCGTGAGCATCTGGTCTACAAAGGGGGTGCCAGCATATTAGCTAGGATGAAAAGAGTCATCATGCCAGAGCCAGGGAGTGGGGTTTACCGTACCATCCGCCTCTGGAACCAGCTCAATGACATCTCCTATCCGGATATTGATGACTCCAAGGAAACCTTGGTCCTTCTTCTTGAATTTCTTCTGGTCAAACACTTGTACCGCCAGAATGCTATCCTCGTTGACTTTGCTGTTGCTTGTGAGCTGCACTGTCCCAGCTGCCGCCGTCGTGCAGAGGTCGCGCTTACAAGTCAAAGCTCTCATTCCAATACGGATTCAACGTTCGTTTAGAAACTTGTGTCGTCTTGGTCTGCTCGCCATTGATAGTGGCGACCGCAAAGGGGTCGGGAAGTTCTGTAGACGAAGTCAGCATCCGGCAACCGTGGTATACGAGCTGTGTAACAGGAGTCCAGGACATACTGAACACATCTCGCTTGTATAAGCCGTCGGCAGCGATGACTGGATGGCAAAGTTAGTGGCAACTTCGAGATGAGAATTCCAGCGATCTGATCGCGGACAGGGAAGGGCTGATGTACTCGTTACGCGCAGGTTCGGCTGGCTGTTGTATGACAGTTAGCACGGCATTCATCAAATACTTTGGCTCGGAGAATCAGGGGCACGCTGCCGAAGGAACAGTTCGCCATCACCAGGGACTGGAACGTACGCTGGAAGCCCTGCATCCATCCGGCTGCTCATGGTTGCCGACAGCACAAGGCAGACCTAGCTAGCACGTGGCGCCGTGTCTCGCCCACCAGTCCCGCCGGCGGTTGATCGGACGGTCAACGGGTTGTGGAACGAAAACGGAATTGTTGGTCGGCGGTGACGGCGAGTATCGCTGGTTGATCGGGGATGATGGGAAGTGGGATTTGGGCGATGCAGCGTCTCGGGGAGGCCGCGCAATTAGCAGGAGGACTTGGGTCGGAAAGTAGCAACACACACGTCGAGGGCGGCAAGATCCGGGATCAGCAAGCAAGTGCGTTGCGAAGATGCGAGCGCACCTGGACCTCGAAGGGGTGGAAGGTGATGAGGCTGTGCTGTCAGGGCCACCCCGCTTTCGAACCTCGTTGGTTTAACCTAAGTATTATGACCCGATTTCGAGCGGCGACACAGGCAAGAAAACGCGGTGACGCAGTGGCTGACTGCGTACACTGCATACAACACTTTGTTGGACTTGACGAGCGGGTAAGCTGCAGAATCGAGACATCAGGCAAGCGCTGGTGTTGGCGTTGAGACTTAATTCCATGCGTCAGATTCCCCTCGACAGGGCAGGCCTACCTAGGGAATCAGCACCCGCCCGTGCCACCAAGGCATCAATGGTGGGCTCCATTTTGGGCGCAAAAAGACAAAGACTTTTTTAGCAGGCGTTTACCGGGTAAGATTCTGAACCCTGCAAACACCTTAGCCCAACTACAACCCAAAGAAGAAGTGACGAAGCCCCGCGCAGCCGGATGATGCGGATATCTAAGGTAGGAGGGATTCACATTCGTGGTTACTTAGGATGTTGATAAATGATTTGAAGTCTGTTTCTGCCCTATCATTAACGGTTTCTAGCTGTACCATTGTCTATTCCAGTGTTTTGCATCGAAAGTTCCGATCGATAACCGTTGTGGCGTCTATCTCCACCTGGGGGGATTGGAGCAGGAGGGGTCGTCGAGCTCATAGAGTGATGACTGGTAGCCGTACGGTGGAGGAGCGACACATAGTCCGGCCAGTGAGTATTCTCAAACATCCCTGGAATTCCCATTTCCGCTCGTATGTATCATGAAACTCGAGGCGTGAGCTTTGCATCGGGAAGAAGATTGGCCTTGGTAACTCTAAGCTGTCCTGGTGTGCCCCTCAAGAAGCTGGGTAACGCTCTCATAAGGTAATCTTGGAAATTCTGTGGTCATATACAATACAGGTACTGTGTGATATGGGACTTTGATAGGATATTATTGACGTCCAGAGGAATCCCGGGAACAACAACGAGCAGATCTGAGAAGCCTGAGTAAGAGAACATAGTATGCAGCCATCATCGAGCAGCCGTGGTGACTTCAGGTCTCCCCGCTGACTGTATCCCTCAACATGAGACACAACAACTCCATCCCCAGTCAGATGAGGACTCGGCACTCGAGAACAGCTAGGATCCTCCCAATAATCATATAATGGAAGACGAAGCAATCCTCGATACGTCTCCTGCCAATGAGGGGATTTCGAACAACGACCTTTTGTCGATCATGCCCCGGGATTTCCCCGAGCTGACTTTCCGTTCTTTTGCCCAAACCCTCTGACGCCTTGCCGAAGCAAACAATACAAAGTATCCCGTTGGTACAAAAAGAGAGAAAACAGAAAAGACATCGACGAGCCCTGCCCGGTCCTATATCAAGGGGGCCGAAAGACCGTCAACCTCCTTGGAGAATAACATCCCCCATCCAAAGCGACTCCGAATACACTTCAGTAAGGTGCGAACCCGCGACCCCGGCCCCGGTAGCCCCCGCGGTATCCTCCTCCTCTCACCGAATATCCGTAGCCGCCACCTCTCCCGCCGTAGAAACCACCACGGCCACCGCCGCGGAACCCACTCCTCCCGCGCCCGCGCGACATGCCCGGGATGTTTGTCCGCTTCGGCTCCACCTTGATGGTTCGTCCTTTAAAAACACTGTCGTTGAGCACGAGGGCTTGGGCGACGAGGCTGGGCTCGCTGAACTCGACGTATGCGTAACTGTGAAAACTCCCTGTCAGAACTTCCATCACAATCGCAAACATCATAATCAAAGTCTGGCGCCCAAGATTAAACCCTACCCCTTTGGCTGGCCCGTGAACTTGTCGAGCAGGATGGTGACGCGGTTGATGGAGCCGCAGCTCTGGAAGTGCGCCTGGAGCTCCTCGGGCGAGGTCGAGTAATCGACGTTTCCGACGAATATGCTCCGGTTGTCGACGTCCTCCTTGTCCTCGCTCAGGTCCTGGCGGGCCTGGTCGAGCGACGCCTGCATCTCCCGCAGCTTGGCCGCCTCGGCCTCCATCTCGGCCACGCGCCGCTTCATGGCCGAAATCTCTTCCTGATCATGTCCAGAAACTAGTTAGCCTCCTCTTATTTGTCCTTCTGTGTTCTATCTTTTGCCTTGGCGCTGCAGTGGGACAGCCGGCCTGATGGAGAGTCTTGTCGCACCTCATCGTTGTCGCCGTCGCCATGATCTCGCGACTCGTCGTGCGGTTTCTCCCCGTCCTTGGGCGAGCTGCTCATGTTGGCTTCGTCGAAGGGGTTGGCAAGTGGGAGAGCTGTGAAGCTGTGCGAATCTGGGTCAGTGGTCATAGCCGGCGGAGGTTGGGTTGAGAGTGTGGGGTTTTGCGCATATGCTTGTGGAACGCGACGCGAACTGAGTTAGATGAAAATGAGGTATCAAAATGCAACCTGGCGAACCTGGAAGGCAACAAAGCAACGCAGTAAGGCTTACAAAAATAATTCTGAAGATTGGAGGAAGCGCTCTCCCGTCACTTTATTGGATGGTTTGTGATGTTCTTAGATACACCAAACCGGCCGCTGTTGACTTGCAAGCAGTTGACGCAACGCCGAACAACATTGCCCAAGCCCGTGAGCAGCGCGCCCCATCACGTAATAAAGTGTAAGATACTTGAAATACGCAGAGTTACAGGGCTACCTTATCTGTTTCCTGTTCTCCATTCATTACCTATTATTACATTCAGAGTCCATGGACTTGGTGTAACTTCTGGTGTAACTTGATGTCGACAAATTGGTGCTGTCAGTGAGCTGTCCCTTCCCAGACATTCCAACAGTTGGCGTGTTTCGATTGTATCGCGCATGGTTTCCTCAAGCAACTTCCAGGTTACGCCTAGCCAACAGACTCTCGTCATGTTCCCTTACTCGGCACTTTTGTGCTCTGGCTTGTTTGTTCACAGAAATGCTGAGCGTCGTGCGATGGCTGTCACAAGAAGCTTCCGAGGTGAACAGCTGGATCTCTAGAGGTGAGTGCCGCAGGACCAGGCACCGAAAGTCATCCCCGATATTGTCTAGGAACCTGACTCGGCAGACAGCGTCGAGAAAATTCACATCATGACGGGATGCAATGAGAAAGGAAGCAAGACTGGCTGCATGCGAATTGCCAATGGGACGAAATCATGACTGAGGGTCTGAGGCCTACCAATAAATGCCCCGCAGGGGCCAGCCATTTCTCTTGCTTCCCACCTAAACCCAACGCTCTTCGCTCCTCAATTTACCGTCACCAGCCTGTTTCGTCGGATTCGCTCTCAACAAGGCCGCAAACATGTCGCTGGTTCCTCCGGTGACTTGTGATGGCTGGTTCTACTCGGGGGAGCTCTATGTCGAGGCGAGCGGTCACAACCGGCACCGCCGCGCGACTATCCCGGAACTCAATGCTCTTTTTGGCGGTAACGGTGGCTCTAAAGATCCCCCAGGCCATTGGTACGAGGCGCAGCTCATTCATTACGGTCTGCCGCCGTCCAAGACCAAAGGAACCGCCAAGATGAGGCTCTTCGAGGCCGTCAACAAGGGGAACTTGGCCGTGCCTGCTCACATCCTCAGCATTGAGGCCGAGTTGAAGAAAGAATGGACCAAGCGGGAGCGCGAAGCCAAACAAGCGCTCAAAAAGGCGGCAGCACCGGCTGCAGCCACACCCGCTCGAGGATCCAGCAAGCGCAAGGCTGATGAAGGAACCAATGTCAACATCAACCTCTCTGTATCTATTGGACCCCGGGGCAACGTCCAGATTACCACCCCCGAGCCCGCAGCAAAGAAGACCAAGACCAGCTCGACCAGCAAGAAGTCGGCTCCCACCAAGCCAGCTCCCACCAAGTTGACCCCGGAAACATCCACGCAGACGGCTAGGGTCAAGAAACAGACAGCTCGGCGTGGCCCACCCTCATCGAGGGTCGCCAGGTCCGTCTCCTCCCGTCCGGCACCCTCCTCACCCTCCGATGAGCCAGCTACGCGCCCGACGGCTCCACGCACGAAACAGACGGCTCGGCGCTCCCGCCCATTCATCATCGGAGCTGGCCCGGGCCGATCGACCACAACCGCGGCCTCCTCCCATCAGCTTCCCCGGTTTGATATCACCCCATCTCAGTGGGACTTGCCCGACAACAACGACCCACCGCCTCCCTACCCAGGATCTCCTAGGGTCCACGGTAGTGGCATCTACGACAACGGTTATACCAACGACAATGCCCAGGCCGGCAGCCAGCCCCTGCCTGCCCTGGGCCTGCTGAACGGCCGGTACCGCCTGCGGTGCACGGGCCCGCGCGAGTATGTTGATCGCGATGAGGACTCGAGCATCATTTTCACGCTGGACGGCGAGGCGCTCTGGGGCTTGTTTGAGATTGGCCCTCTGAAGGGCATCCTTCGCCTGGACGAGCGGCCGTGGGCGGCCTCGCCCCGGCCGATGTACTTTAGCTGGCGGGGGGAAGATAGTCAGGGCGGGGAGCACGACGAGGCGGATGACGGGAGCTATGTCAAGTTTCTGGGGGATGGTGTGGTTGTGGGCAGGATTGGGTTTTACGGGGGGATGCTTGAGTTTAGTGGGTATCGTGTTAGTGGGCAGGCGACGCGCAGCGAGATCGGCGTGTTTGAGATGAGGCGGGAGTGGGAGGAGCGGCGGCTGTAGTTGTGCCGTTGCTGGTTATCGGGTTTGTGTTCACATGTAGGATATCATGTCGGCGTCAGGAAAAGTACAGTGCAATCTCTGATGGTGTCGGTGCCAAGAACAATCGGGGCAGAACTGTGCGTTACCTAAACTGCTAAGTCTCTACGTGTAAGGATAGCAAGCAACGACGAGAATAAGTATCATTGTGCGAGCTGCACGGACGATATGGTCATGGAAATGGGTTTCCCGCCTGTTGCTTTCACCGCGGATGGTCGATAATAGGCGGGTTGCCCCTAGTTGGTCCAACTCCACTGCACGCTGATCGGGCTTCACCGGTGCCGAACAGGAGGGTTTCGTAACTTCTGTTTGTGGATTTGTCGGTCCGGCCCTTCGTTCTGTATTTGGGTCATAACATTTCAAGCAGTCAGTACATTTTTTCATGTGAGCACTCGAACAATCAAAGTCTTCCCTCTCTACCATCCACCAATACTAACAGCACACCAGTCACAGCAACAAGCCAATGTCCTCTTCCTCATCCTCCCCAGCCCTCCGCTGGGGCCTCCGCCTGTTCCTCCTCGCAGGCGGCGCCGCCGTCGTCCTGACCTTACAACCCCGCCTCCTTCCCAGGCGCGTCTTTAGCTATTCCTCATCACCCCACAACAGCTATGCCGCAGCCGTGGGCAATGATGCAGGTGCGGTGCAAACATACTGTTACCAATCCGTCCGCACGGCCGCCATCGTCCACGACGACGACAACAACAACAGAGACGAGAAAGTCAACTGCTTCTCGGTGTCTCCAGATGGGAAATTCACCAGCGTCTTTTCCTCTTCTTCCACAACTGCTTCCTTTGCGGAGTTAGTCGAGCGGCATGGGGAGATTGAAATTAGAAAGGGCCATGTCCTCCCCGGTCTATGGGACGGCCACGGCCACCTGATCCAGTACGGCGAGTTCCTGCACTCGGCTGACTTATTTGGAGCCAACTCTCCGGATGAGGTGAGGAGGCGGCTGCGGGCGTATCTGGCGGTGAATCCTGGCGTGGGAACCAGGGCGGAGTGGGCGAGGGGGATCGGGTGGGATCAGATGACCATGGGCGGGACGCCGTTTGCTGCAGGTATTCCCCGTTTCTTTCCTTCTCTTCTTTTTTATCTATTTATTTATTATTTATTTTTTGCAATATTCATATGTGGTGAGTTCGGCGTGCTGACTGTGGCTCGTAGGATTTGCTGGAGGAGGACGAGGTGCTCAGGGGAAAGTACTTCATGCTGGACCGGGTGGATGTGCATTGTACGTGGGTGTCGAAGGCGGTGCTAGATTTGCTGCCGCCGGATCTGCCCGAGGAGGTGCCTGGCGGTGAGATTGTGAGGACGCCGGGGATGGGAGTATTCTGCGACAATGCCATGGATTTGGTCACGTCGCTGTGGCCGAAGCCAAGAAAGGAGCGGAAGAAGACGTTTGTGGCGTCGGCCATGAGGGAGCTGCACAAGGTTGGGTTGGTGGGCATACATGACGCGGGCGTGCTGCCGGTGGACATCGCCATGTATGACGAGATGAGCCGGACCGAGGACTGGTCGCTCAGGGTGTACGCAATGGTGGAATGCTCGCGGAGGAACACGTTTTGTCCGGACGAGGCATCCAAGCTGGAGCATCCGGAGGGTATGCTTTCGGTCAGGAGCGTCAAGCTGTTTGCAGGTAGGCAGTCGATTCCCTATTTTCCGTTTACTTAATATCCAGACTGACCATCGCAGACGGCGCCCTCGGAAGCTGGGGCAGCGCCATGATCGAGCCATACTCGGACCGCCCGGACACATCCGGCTCTCTCCTCGTCAACGCCTCGACTCTCACCTCTCTTGCCCGCTCCTGGTCGGCTGCCGGGTTCCAAGTCAATATCCACGCCATCGGCGACCTAGCCAACCGGCTCGCCGTGGACGCCCTCGAGGCCGCCCTTAAAGACCTTTGCCCGGACTCCCACCAAGAAAACCTCTCGGCTTGCCAGGCCCGCCACCGCTTCCGCATCGAGCACGCGCAGACCATCCACCCGGCCGACCAAGAACGCATGCACGCGCTGGGCATCATCCCCTCGATCCAGCCGACCCACGCCACCTCGGACATGGCCTACGTCACCCGCCGCCTCGGCGAGGAGCGCACGCGCTCCGAGGCCTACCGCATGCGCTCGCTGCTGGATAGCCACCCCGTCCTGGGGAGCGACTTCCCCGTCGAGCCGCCGAACCCGTTCGAAGGTATCTACGCGGCCGTGACGAGGAAGAGCCCGCGCACGGGATCTGGGCCGCCGGGCCACGAGGCGGGGTGGCATGTTGAGGAGGCCTTGAGCTTGGAGCAGGCTTTGGATGGATTTACGCAGGGCGCGGCCAGGGGCGCGTTCCTGGAGGGGAGGGCTGGGGTGATTCTGGAGGGAGCATTTGCCGACTGGATCGTGCTGGATGAGGATATTGGGGGTGTGGGGAAGGAGGAGTTGAGGGGGTTGAAGGTGAGGGAGACGTGGATCGGGGGGAGGAAGGTTTACCAGAGGGAGGTAGAGTCAGGGGATGAGGTGAAGGAGGATCTGTAGCGGTAAGTAAATTTAGAGGTGCTTTTAGAGATGGTTACAGTACAGCCCTGGTTTCTTCGTTCGAGTGGTACATGGTGGCCAACCACCTGGAGATAAATTATAAGTTAGATCTAAGGAAAGTAAGAATTTGGAGAGTAAGGAGTGTAAGTGAAAGACATGGAAGAGGAGGATAAATAGTAAGAGAAGAAGGGAGAGGAGAACGAAGATAAAGTGGAGGAGGGAATAAAAGAAAGAGTACAAGAAAGTGCAAGTGAAGAAGATTTAAAAGTAGAACAAGAATCATAGTAACTAACAAAGTTTCATGATAAACAACAAACCAGGACTGAGTTGTAGAGGTTCTTGAAACCAGTAGAATGAAGGGATCTGGTCTTGCGTTTCTTTTAACTAGCAGACTGCAGTCCCCGAATCCGTCTGAGGGCATCACCTCGCACCTCCCTTACGATATCTGCTGCTGGTTGAATTCGTTTCACCAGGCCAACACCGGTGCCCCTGATTGTTCGTTAGCAGCAGCGAACTCGTGGGTAATATTCGAGGCTACGCACACCCAAGTGATCTTCCGCGACGTGTCGCCCGCCTTGTCGGCCTCCTTAAACAGCCGTCTGTTCTCCTCCAGCGGCATGCCGGCAGCGTGGTCCTGCCAGGACTTTCCAGCCAGAGCTCGGCCGTCATAGATGCCGGACCAAATGGGAGTACCCTGGATGTCATCGAGGACGGGGGTCCTAAGACTTGTGAGCCATCAATTCCCCCCTCCCACAGTCAGTGGCGCTTACTTGACAGTGGCAGGCCCCCCGTCTCTCGTCTCGAGGATGAGGTTCCTGCGAAACTCCGGCGTCCAAGCCTCCTCAGCAACGGTGAACTGAACTCTATTCAGCATTCCGTCACCACGCTCAATCAACCCCATTTCGACAAGCAGATCACCTACCCTAGTTCCCATGACAGCCCCCTCCGCCCCTAACAAATCCATCACTCCTTATCAGTATCTCCCACCATTCGCACACACACACACACACACACACAAGAGAACTTACCAAGTGCCAAAGCAGCCGCCACGCCCCTCCCATCTACAATGCCCCCCGCCGCAACAACCACCACCTCCCTCTCCCCCAACCCCAACTCCTCCCTCTCCTGCGCCAACATGTCAACCACCTCAGGTACCAAACTCACCACCCCGGCCCCGCCCGCAAACTGATGGCCCCCGGCATCCACCCCCTGACACACAAGCACATCAACCCCGTCCCTTGCGGCCTGCCTTGCCGCCGCAACGGTACCGACCTGGAACATGACGACAAATCCTTCCGCCTTCAGCGCGGCAATAGCAGTCCGAACAGCGCCCGAGGCAACGTCGTCTGCCCGCGGAGCGAAAAGCCATACCGCGGCGGGCCGGTTGGCGCGGAGGAGGGGCAGGGCGGTGGTGAGGAAGTGAGTTAGGAAGGAAGGGTGGGAGAGGATGAAGCCTGCTCCGACGGGTAAGGGATCATCATATTTGGAAACAGTGGGGAGGATGTTGAGTTTGGTGCGGGCGGCGGAGAGTTCGCTGTCGAGGGTGGTGAGGTGCGTCGAGGAAGGGGTGAAGTCGAAGCCGGCGGGTATGATTCCTGTGATGTGATCAGAATGAAAAGGGTAAGTTGGTTATGATATAGTGAGTGTGATGAATTAGGGAAAGGTAAGGGAGGGTGGGCATACCGAGGCCGCCTGCTTTGGAGACTTCTGCTGCGAGGGTGCTGTTGGCCGTGCCCAGCATGGGGGCGCTGATGATGACGGGATGCTGGGCGTGCGGGAACAGGGCCGTGAGTTTGCTTCTGGTTTGGTGGACCATTTTATGCTTGTATGCTCCTTTCCGCGGAATCTCAATTTCTTGATGGGCTGGGTGTGTAGTTTGTGTGTGAGGGGAGTTGATGCGGGGACATTCCCCTTACAAGTCAGCTCGTCTGACCAAGACATAACTGGAGCCGACTAACAGGCAACTTGTATTACGCAGCGACTTCAAATGATTAGTGACGAGTAAGATACTGCCCGAGTTGGTAGGTAAGATTTGTGCCACAGTCGAGCAACATGGCCTGTAGCGCTGACATGTATCGCTCCATATTGGTAAGCACTCCATTACAGGCGGGACGGAGGGCACGAATGAGGATTGCAGATATGTATATACCTATTTACTATGTCATTGATAATTCGTGATCTATTCATGGGTTCCTATTGCTAGGTCGCAAATGCTGCCGTCTTGTACACTGCCCGCCTAATGCTCCGAACGACCGCGAGAGAGTTCCCTGTCTGCTGATAACTTGACAGAAGTCCCCAAGAGCTGTCCATATAACAACCTTGCTGATACCAGCGTGACCGATAGCCCGGTATACTATCCTGGCCCCGGACTATCCCAGCAGAAAGAGAAAGAAACCCAACTTCAGCGCTTCATCATAACCTCGCATTCCCCATCACCATTACCAACAGCACCCCGTCCACAACACACACCCCCGCAAAAGCAAACCACACAGCCAACCTACCCAGCAACCCGCGCTTGTCCCTCTTGGACCCCGTCAGGCACAGCCCTGCGCACGCCAGCCCGAGACTGGTCATGATACCCAGCGTCACGCCAGCATCCACCTCGACCCGCATCTTGTGCCGCCCCGCAGCGATCAGCACGGCGGCAATCCCCATCAGCACAAACGCAACTCCGAAACACCCCCACGTCGCCCACAGCAGCATCCGCTCGCGGTGCCGCGCCATGCGCTGCTCCGTGAGGCTCGGCAGCGCATACTCGCCGTAGCCGTTACCCGCCGCGTAGTGCGCGCTGTAGCCCGGCGGGAAGAAGGGCTGCTCGTCCGACGAGGATGTGTACCCCCTGTTCCTTCCGGTGAAGGAGCTGCGCCGGCTCTGCCGGTTGGAGGGGAAGGGAGTGTCCAGGTCGGTTTCGGTGCCAGCGGTCGTGGCGTTGCTGGCCGCGACGGCCCCGCCCGGTGGGGTGGAGAAGTAGCTCGGTTCTGCTGGGGGCGAGCGGGTTGTGCCGTACGCGGCCGAGTCATGGTGGTTGGGGAGGAGGCGCCTGCGTTCCGGTTCCGCAGCGGTGCTGTCGCCCTTGGTGCGTCTCGGACGGGGCGAGATCCATGCGGTCAGGCTGTGAATGGGCTTGGAGAAGAACTCGCCGAAGGCTTTGATCCCAGGAAAGCTGTCTTCATTTGGGTCGATGTAGATGGCGTATTCGTCGTTGGCGTTGCGGTCAAAGTCGCCGGCTTCGCTGCCGCATTCGTACTCGTTCCAGTAGCCAACAGTAGGCCGCGATTCTGTAGCGACGATCGTCTCGCTTGGTGAGAGTTGCGCGCTGGCTTGGCGGGAAGATCTGGGCTCGCGTGCTGACCAGTCCGTGCTATTCGGAAGGTCCACTGGCAACGCAGCATGCAATGTCTGGCACAGGTCATCATACTGCGATCGCAGCTGGGAAAAGTCAAGTCTTGTGAAACTTTTGGGGTGGGACAGGATGGCCTCTTTGAAACGGGCGCCAAGTGTCGACGAACCAGTCCATTTCCTGTACTTCTTGAGGATCTTGCGGAAGGCAACCACCTGAGCGTTGACGAAGCGCTCGAGGGACTTAATGTCGTTGCCGCATTGCAAGAGTGTCTGCTCGTACTTGGCGAATCGCTGCCGCTTCTTCAGCGATATGCGGTCCGGTCCCGAGGTCGCACAGCGAAGGATGAGCCGGTGTATCTGACCCGAGAGATGCTCTGTCACGTTTGGAGGACTTGGTCAGTTGGACAACTTTATTTCCTCGATGAGCCAACCCAGGAACATACGTAACCGCCTTGCGAGCTCGTCGGCCTTGCTGACCACGAACATGTCGACCCGGTCGTGTTGACGGCACAGCTCGGCGTAGAATTCATCTTCGAACTTGGCGAGGGCGGTGTTCGGACGGCCGGGGATGGCTATTGCTGTAGCCTGGTCCTTGGTTGTGTGAGCCTTGATGTGATGTTTCAGTGAATTGTAGTCGATGTTATCTGGAACGTGGGTGCATGAGAGATCAGCAACCGCCACCTCGGCATTGGACTCCTTTTTTGGTGAGACATCGGGACCTACGAAGGCTCCATTGCGGTACCGACTCCTTCTCGAACTGCTCTCCGTATTTCATTCCCTGCGATTCGCTTGTTGTACAAGCACAATTTGGTCCTCCGAGGTCGAGGGTACAACGACGACAATAGCGACTAGGGTGGACAAACGCGTGGTATAACGGCAAGTAATGGCTATTAGCAGTCTATAGTTGTGGCATTGGCTCCTGCGATGTGGCCTGCTTTGGATTATTCGCTTCGAAACAAATACGCTATTCCTGAGTGCTAGCGAATTCGCCTATTGCCAGTGGGGGGTTGCAGTGCCTATTTGAAACAAGACGATGGGCAGGAGGCGAACAACTGGTTGTCGGTGTCATAGTGGAATTATACAAAGATGGTACCTGTTGGTGGGGCTCTTGTTTGTTAGTCGCTTGGCTCGCTTTGGTCTGGGCAGGCACATGCATCGGGGTGGGCCGCCGCATCGAGCTGAGCCGGTTTACAACAGCCATTGTCTGTCCCGCAACAAGACCCCGCCACAGGGCTCCTGTAGAAACCCCACTGGACCAGACCCTCTCAAGCGACTTCTTGAGGTTCGTCCGAGTCGCAGAGAGAAACACTGTATTCCCTCCGCCGCGGCTGAGACAAGCCATGATACTCGCTTCGGGACTCGGCAATCGCACCGACATCATCACGCGTCTCTCAGTAGACTTCACTACCTTACCTCAGGACGCATTGGCACATCATGTGGATAGGAGAAGAGCACCCCGGCAGAGAAGTGGCTTTGCTGCAGTTCTGCACACAGAACGTATCTCTTGTCATTGGCTGCTGACGGGAGGATAGACGTCTACCTTACCTAGTCTCCGGTTTCCCCGCTCTGATGGCTATGGTAAATCTGATGATGTTGCCACTCCAATGGCGTTCGAGTTCCGGTGAGAAGTGAATCAAGTGGCCCTCCAGATTGTCTCCCGCCCGTTGCGCGCCCTCAAATTGCAAAACTCGTCAGTTTCCGGTAGCAAATTTACGAGGAAGCGAACTCTGTTAATCGTTATCTCGTCATTCTCGACTGTAGCCGGATAGACCCGCTCGCGGCCTTGATGAGGCCGCATAACCTGTTCCCTGTCGACCGTCATCGAAACAGGCCATGATGTATAGGCCGGATGTTGACCACCAGCTGTTAGGCCCGTCTAACAGCCACGTGGGTGCAGAGCCGCCTCTGAGTGGCTACCGAACTTCCATCTTCCGTATCCACCAAGGTGACATCCTGCGACATCAGGGACGCGGCGGAAGAATGCAACAGCAAGAGTTCTTTACCCGAGGCCAGGCGGAAAGTGTCCAGACTATTGATTACACACCGTGTATTGTCCACTACGGATGCTCACTACGGCTACTCACTATTGGACTGCATGCAGACATGCACGGTTGGTGATTCCGAGACCCTCGCAACTTGCTCACCTTGGGCTGTGACGATGCAACGGTAGACAGGGAATGCCCTCGTCGTTTTTTGCGCGGATGCTGACCGATCAGGAGTTGGCAAGCTTCGGGGCCGGGGGGGATGAAGCTTTTCTCCAGCCAGGCCCGTATTTGCTGCAGGGAGGCCGCAAGATTCTTCCCTTTGCTTCGTCAATAGTTGGTTGCTCGCATCTCCCAGAAGCGTCTCCCGCCACTTGAAGAAAACACACGATGCTACTCTGAAAATTGAGCCGGTACGAACTTACCAAGAAGGGCCGACATAACTGATTGAGCCTTCTAAAGAATCCGGACCAGCAAGGCAAGTGCTCACGTGCAGACAGCCACCACCTGGGCTCGATAAACTCAGGTAAGGTTTCAGTTGCTGCAGTTGGCTGATGACTGGGCCATGTGATTCTTGTGGCGTTTCATATTCGTAGATAAGAAGGACGAGTAAATGGAAGGCGTTGCCTGAGCTACCTGTTAGGCTGTCTGCATTAGAGATATTCTGGAGTCAAGACCGGTTCCCATGATCGAGCTGGGGTGGCCCGCGACTCTTCCCCAACCGAACTTGTTTGGACTTGGCAATCAGACGCCGGGGGGACAGACGGAGGCCTGTCGATGTGATCGGCGCAAATCGGCTGCCGCTCCCGTCACGACCATGTCGTTGTCGAAGAGGAAGGCTCTCGCGTGATCAACCCACCGAAGCCCCGCCGTGCCCCCGGCCACAGACGGGCCAACGTCCGGGATGATGGGGTCTCGGAGAAACAGCGGAAGCAGCTGCATGGTACGGTAAGTGGAGGGCAAAAAGTGCAACAGGAATTGTCAGAGGGTCTGAGTTACGCCGATCAAGCAGCTGTTTTGGCAATGAAGAACGAATGATTCTGACTATCGATGCGCACTTGACTCAAAGCCGCAGCATGGAGGCTCCATTGACGAAAGGGAGGATGGAAGGTTCGTGCGTAGGGTCCTGCCTGGTCCACGAGACACTGGCGGTGTCGGGTTGGAGGATCATGTTGCCGAAAATGGAGAGATTGGAGAGCGGGCAAGAAGAGTGCTGTTGGCACCGAGGCTGGGCAAAATCGAAAGATGGCACGACTACCACCAGAGCCAACAAATGGAAACAACGCCTTGACCATAAATGAGGTGCTCGGAGTTTGTGACGGGTACAATCAACTTCAATGCATCTTGCTAACCTCAAGCTAGCTGTTGGGTTCCCATGGATGAGTTCGAGTTACACTCTAGATTCATTCCTCTGTCATCCTCGTCATCAACAATCCGGCTCATGGTTCGAACTCGCACAATACCCAGTGCTCCGTATTCCCTGCTGCGTACCAGTACCTTAAATTTTGCAGGGCATTGAGCATGCGTTGAGTCTTCTGCCTCCGCGCGAGTCGAAGGCGGGTTTGTTCTTTGTCGTACATTTCAAAGTTCAAGTTGTCTCCAATATTGTACTGGAGCTTCCAGGGACAAGCCGATGTCGCGACAGTGAGACCCTGAGAGCAGAATGGAAAATAAGTCGGGACTCGGGGTGTTGGTGGCCGTTCAGCCACAGAACACGGGAACAAAGTTACTGCCGCTTGAAAGCTCGGATCCACCTTGCTCACGGCCTTCATGTTATTGGTTAATCTTGTCGGCAGGAGTGGAGTCTGTCCTCAGACCGTCCGAAATTTTTGACCGAAAATCGTGCAACGTCGGATGCAGTCTGCGATGGGATTATGGCGTCTGAGCTGAGCAAACGCGCAACACCAGAAGGCATGGCGGGGACGGGCAGCACAACATCCTCCCTCACATCCACATCGCATACCCTCACGAACGCCCCAGCCATGGCCGAAGCTATCACCCAACCCCAGAGCGACTCGGCCGTCGCGGTGTTCCTCGACTCGACTGTCCCCTCCAACCGGCACGCTTTCCTCTGCCCGTCGCCTCTGCTTCCGAATGGATCCCTCGAGTTAGCAAAGGAAACCCTGGACGCGCTGGCCGGCCAGATCGCCGATCAGCAGCAGCAGAGATTGCGGAAAGCCGGCAAGAAGCGGAAGCGGGATGGAACACAGGACAAGTCGGCTGTCTTGAAGATCAGGAAGCTCCATATTAACGGCTTCGAGACGGGTCAGGTGTGGCAGCAGGCCAAAATGATCATTACAAGCGCGCTTTACGAGGCTACTCAACTCCTCGGAGAACTGGAAGACAGTGACGAGGTCCAGCTGCTCAAGGGCGAGGAGGTGGAGGATGCCAAGGCCATTGAGCTCGGCGAAGATGGGCTCGAGGTGGGCTCGGAGGAGGACGAGTCTGCCAGTGATGGCGACTCCGAGGAGTCAGACGATGAGGGCGCAAGTTTTGGGAACGAAGACGAGGAGATGCGTGACCTCGAGGCTGAAGAGGACGAGGAGGAGGACTCCGACGAATACGACGAGGGAGAAAATGAGGATGCTGCAGATGAAGCGGATGGCAAAGCGAAGGGCGAAGATGATTACGATGACGAGCGCGAAGACGAGCTGGTCGAGGATCCCAACGGTCTCAACGACGGCTTTTTCTCAATAGATGAGTTCAACAAGCAGACACAATGGTTCGAGGACCAGGATGCTCGCGGAGATCCGAACACGGACCATCTCGACGACGAAGAGTCAATCGATTGGCATGCGGATCCCTTCTCCGCGAAGAAGTCTCGCAAGGAAGGAGATGATGAGGATGACGAGGACGAGTCAGAGATGGAGGAGGGCGAACTTGGTTCCGCACTTAGCAAAAAGGACCTGGAAGGCCTGGACGGCGGAAGCTACGAGGAGGAAGAGGGGAACCTACAGGATGATATCAACGACATGGGCCTCGACCTCACCGCCAACGACATCTACTATAAAGACTTCTTTGCCCCGCCGAAGAAAAAAAAGAAGCCGGGCAGCTTCAAGAAGCGCCCGAGCCTACCAGAGCCCTCAAGGCCAGACGATGCTGATATCGAGCGAGCTGAAAACGATGTTCGTCGTGATCTCTTTGATGATCTGTCGGAGAAATCAGATTCCGAGGACGCCTTGTCAAACGTCTCGGCTGGCGACCCCAAGTCGCGTCGTTCAGCCCACGAGCGGAGACAAGCCAAGATAGCAGAGGAAATCCGCAAGCTCGAGGCTGAATTGGTGGCCAAGCGGGCCTGGACCCTTTCCGGCGAGGCCGCTGCCGCCGATCGGCCAGTCAATTCGCTCCTGGAAGAGGATATGGACTTCGAGCATGTCGGAAAGCCTGTTCCCGTCATCACCGAAGAAGTGTCCGAGTCTATCGAGGAAGTTATCAAGCGCCGCATCCTCGCCGACGAATTCGACGAGGTGCTTCGCAGGCGCCCTGACACACTGGGCAATCCTACCAATGCCCGGCGCGGTCTTGTCGACGTCGAGGACACCAAGGGCAAGCAGAGTCTGGCCGAGATCTACGAAGAAGAGCACATCAAGAAGGCCAATCCTGACGCCTACGTCAGCCAGGCAGATGAAAAGCTCCGTCGCGACGAGGAGGAGATAAAAAACACGTGGAAGGAGATCAGCGCCAAGCTCGACGCGCTCAGCAGCTGGCACTACAAGCCCAAACCCGCCGCGCCGACTCTCACGGTCGTTGCCGATGTGGCCACGGTCGCCATGGAGGACGCACAGCCCACGACTGCGCAGGGCGTGGCTGGCGGCAAGAGCATGATTGCGCCGCAGGAGGTGTACGCGCCGCGCAAGGATACGGCCGAGAAGGGCGAGGTGGTGACCAAGAGCGGCTTGCCGGTGGCCAAGCAGGAGATGAGCCGCGAGGAGAAGGCGCGGAGACGCAGGCGCGAGAAGGAACGCATCCGCAAGGCCGGCGGCGTCGACGCGAACAAGTCTGTCAGCAAGAAGGCCCAGGCGCAGCGCGAGACGATTAGTGACCTGAAGAAGGGCGGCGTCAAGGTTATCAACCGCAAGGGCGAGGTGGTAGGCCTGGACGGCAAGAAGGTGGTCGACCAGATAGGGCCGCAGAACAGCGGTGCGTTCAAACTGTGAGGTAGCCATGTAAGGTGTATGTATTTTAAGGTCCCCGGTTTTGGTGACAGTCCAACGGCGACTCTAGAAGAGAGAGAGCAGTGCCGTTGTCCAGCACACATCGGTTGGTCTTCTGAAATCAACAATCTTTTTGAAAAATCATGTGACAAAAGAAAATTTAACGGATGGACAAGACACTTCCGCGACGTCCATGTCACCAACACCTGGAGCTAAACCTCCCGTCCTTCCCACTCAGCTTTTCCAGTGACGTACTTTGGAGGGTTGGCGGGCAGAGGAGGCTCTGTGGGGCACCCTCTATCGTTGACCAATAATGTAGCTCCTATTTGTGCAATGTTCAAGGATTTGGCCCGTGTGTTCAAGAGGCGAAAAGCGATCAGATTATCAACTTGCAACTGCCGCCGTGGGGAGGCGCTTTTACTCGCGACGACTGCCACCTCTCCACTCCTCTCAGTCCTGCTTCGGACATACACAATCTCGAGATGCTTTCTTCTGCGAGGACAGGCGCCTCGCTGGCCCTGCGAGGTGAGTTTGTCGCCGACTTCCTCTCCCGTTCCCCAGAGACCATTTCACGCATTGTCTCGCCTCCCCCTTGTCTAGAGACCATTGAGGCTGACAAGTCGATATACCTGCACAGCGCGGCTAACGACTTCACTCGTCCCCTTCCGTGCTGCCGCCGCCATCTCATCTTCATCCCGCAACGATGCGGCGAGCGCCGTCCAGCCACACGCCGGGCTCGGTCTCGCCAGACGCGAACGCAAGGAGGTTCCGCTTCCCAGCCAGGAGGGCACCAAGGGGCTGGTACAATACGCGCTGTTCGTTTCCCCCAACCGACATCCATCCACGATTACATGTCCTCGTGCTAACCACAAGGCGTGATGTTTCAGCACAACCCTCGACATCATGGCCAACTGGGCCCGGCAGTCCTCGCTCTGGCCCATGACGTTCGGCCTCGCCTGCTGCGCCGTCGAGATGATGCACCTCTCCACGCCGCGATACGACCAGGACAGGCTGGGCATCATCTTCCGCGCGTCGCCGCGCCAGTCGGACGTCATGATCGTCGCGGGCACGCTGACCAACAAGATGGCGCCCGCGCTGCGCCAGGTCTACGATCAGATGCCCGACCCGCGCTGGGTCATCAGCATGGGCTCGTGCGCCAACGGCGGCGGGTACTATCATTACAGCTACAGTGTCGTGCGCGGCTGTGATCGGATCGTCCCGGTCGATGTCTACGTCCCCGGCTGCCCGCCCACGAGCGAGGCGCTCATGTATGGCATCTTCCAGCTGCAGAGGAAGATGCGGAACACCAAGATCACGAGGATGTGGTACCGCAAGTAAGAGGAGGGTTTTGGTGGATGGGGTTGAACTGGCGGTGGGGGAAGGGCGGGTTGCTTATAGGGCTGGGAAATATTATGGGCCTTGTTAAGTAGGCGGACGGCCTGGGAAAAGCAGACTCCCAGAAGAAATAGGGGAGAAGTCGGTTGGCAAGATGGTTTCCTCTTGCCGACATCCATTTTTTTTCCGTCCCCTTCTTGTGCCGATTCTGTACATACGGTTTTAAAGACGCCCGAGCAAAATGCGGTTGGGCTGTACAGTATGCCGATGCCTGGCTATTTTATTTCTTTCTTGATGATAATGATGAGGCGTGGCGCTGGTAATGTTGGACTACGTCGAGATGGAGTGGCTCGCGGATATTGGTGAGCGGTATCAGTATTTGGGAGTGGGCATGGAGAGATCATCTCAAGCCAAGCTTCGCCTGCCTTAACACCAACTCTCAACGTGGACCATGAATGGTCGTCTGAAGCCATGTTGTTTTTAAGGGTAGGAATCATGATCTCTCCGTAAAATGATGGTCAATGCAGGAGAGCCCGCCATTGCCGGCATGGTTGTGCTCCTAAACGCCGTTATCATAACACTCATTCCAGCGCCTGTCGCAAATTTCCCAGAGCGGAGTCCCCAACACCAGTAGCCCAGTACGCTATATCCTCAAGCTGTACCCACAACACCGCCTTAACCCAGCCTCTTGTCCGTTTCAGCGGATGTCGCCTGCTCGCCCATGTCTGGGTTCAGGTAGTTCGCGTCTTCAGCCGCCTCATACTCGGCGATGAGATCCGCCACCACCTCTCTCGCCTCGTCAAACTCACTGAGGTTGTCAGAGAAGGGTGTCGTTTTCTTGTACCCCTCCAGGAAAGCATTCCGCTTCCGCATGCCCTCGTACTGCCTGAATATCCTCTTGAAGAGCTAGAATGTAAAGAGTGAGTCCCATGTACAAAGAGTGGGGCGGAGTATAGAGAGAAGGGATTCTCTATGCTACGTACCGTGGCAATGCTGGTGTGGTTTGCCAACATGAGCCCGCTCACGCGGTGGGCCATGGGAATGTACGGGCTGCGCTTGGTCAGCGCCACCTGGATGCTGGCGGGGCCCCATGGGATGAAGGTGGCGAGGCGACGCTCCCGAATGCGCAGCAGGCTCTTGTGCACGTCAGTCGGATCTACCTCGCCCTGGATGACGTTGAGGATGGAGATGTAGCAGCTCTTCTTGCCCGGGACGGTCGACACCATGCGGTTCTTGGGCTGCAGCAGCCGCCGCATGACGTCGAGCACGGTCGTCTTGCGGACTGTCTTGGCCTGCTCGACCTGGTCGCCCGTGAAGGGCGTGTAGGCGGTCATGAGAAAGTGGCATCGCGGCGTGGGAATGAGCGACGCCAGGATGCTGACCAGGTCGTTATGCATGTAGCCCGGGTATCGGAGCGTGGTGGTGCTGGCCGACATAACGGTCGACACGAGCTGGTTGGTCTGTTGAAACGACGGCTCTTGGAGGTGTAGCCTGTCGGCGGCGATGTGCGCGAGGGCTCCGTTGTCGAGAACAACAACCGAATCGGCGTTTTGCGTGAGCCTCCTCATGGTCAACATGCTGTTGTAGGGGTGGACAACAACGTCGCCCGAGTTGGTCGTGTCTGGAAAGACTGAGTATGTCTGTATGATTTTCTTGGGAAACCGGTCGTTCAACCGCTCCAGAAGAAACGACCCCAACCCAGACCCCGTCCCGCCTGCAATGGAGTGCAGCATCATGAAGCCCTGGCAGCTTGTTAGCTGGGCCTGTAGCTAATGCCTCGGTGTGTCGGATACCCACCTCGAGCGAGTCACTACCATCTGCCTCTCGGTCGATCATCTCCATTATTTCTTCATGCACCGACTCTCCCGTCTGATACCCGTCGCCCCAGTTGTTGCCGGCTCCCACGCCGCTCTTGCCCACATAGAAGTTCTCAGGGTTGTATATGTTTCGGTAAGGCCCTGTCTGGATGCCATGAATGACCTGAGGTACATCTTAGTGACTGCCGGCAGTTCAACTAACAAAAAGTGCCTAACATGAATCTGGGCAGTGACGTACTCGTGGTTCGAGATCGATCAGGATGGCTCTTGGGATGTATCGTGTGTCGTCGCTCTGGTAGTAAAAAACATCTTTGCGGTCGCCGCCTTCTGTAGCAAAGTCCTCGAGATTCCCGTCTTGGCTGATGCCGTGCTCCTGACAAAGCTGCTGCCAGAACTGGCTGCCGACTTTGTAACGTCATTGTATTAGTCCTGTGCTGTGGTGGGTTTGGGGTGGCTGCCCAAGGGATAAAAACTGACTGCTGTTGCCGCACTGGCCGGCCTGAATGGTAATTATTTCTCTATAGTCATGTTAGAAGCCAATATCGGTGTTTCGAAAATGACATCCGATGTACCTGGGCATGGTGGTGGCATATGGGGCATCGGCAATGCGAGACTACTGGGAGAAGAGGCGCACGCGTTGATGCCGTTGGAGACGCGTTTTTGGGGCCCCGCCAGACCTTTAGAGGAGCAACCCTGTCTGCTGACTGTTTCACTTAGTACTCTGTAAATAACCTCCCTTCCCAAGAAAGCTTCCTGAACGTGAAGTGCCGGGATCGATCACAAGCGGACGTTTGTTCCTCAACGCCCAGCTAAGGTACACACGGCTTGTTGGAACGGTTTGCTACAATGATTACCATACCGATTCGTCTCAACCGCATGCAGTACGTAGTTATCCTTTAGGCCGCCCTGGATTGCGGATGGGTTACGGCATTGACCGAACAGACGGTGCGTTCCCAGGACAATCAAACACAAACATGTATGGTAATTACCCCAGAACTGAACAGATCTCTGTTCTTACGGATGTCCGCCTCCTTTCATTATCTGCTTCTCCTGCCTAGTCAATGATAAAGCCAATTGGACGGCCATGACAGGCACCGTTACAGAGCCGTATTCACATACCACAGCAAGGAATGACACTGTACTTGTACCGCAGTAGTGAGCTAAAACGCACCTAACGTGGGGGACTTGCCAAGGGCCCGAGCGGGACGTTTCCGTGCGTGGGGTCACTCCACAGCCAGATTGCATGGCAGGCGGCCATTCATGCAGACGAACCCTTGTTCTAACCCACGCAGCCTATTAACCTGACCAGGTAGACGGAACCTCACCTGGGGAACTTGACAAGAGGCAGCCAACAATCACTGACCAGCTGTTGACTTTGGTGCTGCATCAATCCATCGTTCGCCTGACGCTGGGCTGCTCAATTCACCTCAGGTACAATACCTCCACCCTCCCAACCAAATCAAGCAGACCAAGCTTCGAACCGCAGACCATCGCAGTCCCATCCATCGGGCTACCCGCACCGAGTATACCCCAGCCGGAAATCCACGACACCCCAACTTTGCCCGTGTGCTGCCTTGCGGATCAAAACGCATGCGGTTGTGCGCCGGCTCGACGAACCAACTCTCGAATTGCAACTCGTTTCAGACTGTAGTCGAGCCGCGCCGCTCGGCCTCCCGGCACGAGTTCGTGTCGTATCGGTGCAATTATCTCGGTCTCGCTTTTTACTTTTGGATCAGGTCTGCGCCCAATTGAGAGCGGCATGCCTCGATAGTGAGGACTGGGGATATCAGTTTGATTGTCTCGGTAGCTAGAGCGTTTAGCAAGCCATGGCGGAAAAGACCCGAGCAGAGCCTGCTGGCATGATACGGAAGGAGACCACTCTGGCGTCGGGTACCTTCTCCGAATTGCCCACCATTCAGCAAGCAAAGGTGTTTGGCCCGGCATCGCCTCTCGGTTCTGACCAATTCGACTTCGCACCCAAGCCGAGCCCTCTTCGCGAACAAAGCACCGCCGATGCCGAAGCGCCCGACTACATGAATGGAGGGCATGCTCGTGACAGAGTATCTCCACATACAGTTCCTGACGGCCGCCCCCAGCCCCCAATCTCTAACATCGATGCGGTCCCGCAACCGACAGACTCGCCCGAAGGGACCGAACCACCCTCGCCGGTTGCGGGAAGGAAAAGCGTTCAGTTCACCCGGGACGATGCAATTTACGAGCCTCCAGCAACGCACTCAAGGAAAGACTCTTGGGACACAAGAGAAGCTCTGGGGAAGCTTCGTGGTTCAGGTTTCATCACGAAACTAAAGGAACTCGCCGGGCCTAGCGGATTGCAAACTCCAAGAGCTGCGAGCGTGGGCCCTGAGCTGCAATCCACGGCAAGCTCGCCGATCGCATCACGACAAGCAACGCGAACTGCGCGCGATGTGAACGAGGGAAGCGATGATGATGCGGATGCCGAAGAGACTGCCGATGAGACCGCTGCAGGACGTTCAAAAGGGAAACAGAAGAGGAAAAGGCGGATGAGGAGACTCAGGATGGAATCCCATTCCGTTCCCACTACTCCTCAAGCGAGCTCACTCGGGCCCGAAACACCCGATGCTCATAGCCGCCTTGCCTTCCTGAGACGTGCGGCTCTGGTTGGCACTGACGATCATGGCTTTTCTGAGGGCGAGGGTCGCGACCGTCTTACAGGTCAGCGCGGTCAGAGAGGGGGGATGAACCGGATGTCCAAGCCAGCCGGAGAGGGAGAGGAAGTCGACCACCCCTCTGGCTTGCGAGTCGGCCACCACTTCAGGCGTTTCTCCGCCCTCGGGGGTGGCGCGTCTGATGGAGATGTCATGAGTCCCAGAAGACCCTTCTTTGGAGCTGACAGGGCATCGACGTTCGGTGTCCAGAAGTGGCGACAGGTCAAGGGCGCATTGAACCTCTTACGCAAGAAAAAAGATGAGCAATTTGACTTTTCCAAATCCGCAGAGCTGATGGCCGAGCTCTTTGGGGGTGCTCCGGCCGTCTTGATGCTCGCAAGCATGATCCAGCGGGATGAGCATGGGAACAAGAGAATACCCGTTTTGCTGGAACAGCTTAGATTGAGGATCGTCGACAGCACTCCGGCCGAGGACAAGGACAGCGAGCGGCATTGGCTCTTCACCATGGAGCTCGAGTATGGCAGTGGCCCGAGCCAGATGAAATGGACCATCCAGAGGACCATCAAGGATATTCTGAACCTGCACTGGAAGTACAAGTTGACTTTGGGCAACGAGGGCTTCTCTTCCAAGAGTTCCGATCACAGCGCCAGGCGGCCCAAGCAGCCCAAGTTTCCCCTATCCGCCTTCCCGTATCTCCGTGGCGTCAGAGGTCTGGACGACAACGAGGGAGAGGAGCCCGGTAACGACATTCGCGGGGAGGAAACCGCCGGCGAGGTCACTGCCGGCGAGGGAACAGTCCAAGAAGGCACCGACATTGACGATCGGCCACCCATGCGCAAAAGGCGTTCTCGAATGACCTACCTGGCTGGGCGACGAAAACCCTCTACCCTAGGTTCCAATGCGGACCTCACCCAAATCGTTGCCGAGGCGGCGGCGCAAAGGAGGAAATATGTCGAGAGGCAACAGAGGATGCTGGAGAAGTACCTCCAGGACATGATCCGTTGGCTCATGTTCCGAGCCGACAGCAACCGTCTCTGCCGCTTCTTCGAGCTGTCTGCCCTTGGAGTCCGGCTCGCGGCTGAGGGCAGCTACCACGGAAAGGAATGCTACCTGCACATTCAGTCGTCCCAAGGACTCGACTTTCGCAGGGTGCTTACGCCGGGCAAAGTCATTGCCAGGCATAGCCGGAAGTGGTTCTTGGTCCGGCAGAGCTACATTGTCTGTGTTGAGTCGCCCGAGAACATGAACATTTACGATGTCTATCTCGTCGATTCGAAGTTCAGGATCAAATCCAAGAGCAAAGACAAGCACCTCCATCTCATCAAAAGTCGAGAACACGACGAGGGCATTGAGAGCCTCGATCCGTCTGTCCGTCGGCCAGCCGGCAAGCATCACACGCTCAAGATCATCACTTCGGAGCGGAAAGTGAAGCTCTTTTCGCCCAATCAACACCTCATCGCCCAGTTTGAAGAGTCCATCATGGAGATGCTGAAGGCCACTCCCTGGCACCGGGAGAACCGCTTCGGCAGTTTTGCCCCCGTCCGGACCGGTGTGCACGCCCAATGGCTGGTTGATGGCCGCGACTACATGTGGAATGTCTCGCGCGCTATCAGCATGGCAAAGGACGTCGTCTACATCCACGATTGGTGGCTGAGTCCCGAGCTGTACATGCGACGGCCAGCGTGCATCAGCCAGAAGTGGCGGCTTGACCGCCTCCTCCAGCGAAAGGCTGCCGAGGGCGTTAAGATCTTCGTCATTGTCTACCGCAATGTGGAAGCTGCTATCCCAATTGACTCCGAGTACACCAAATTCTCGCTTCTTAACCTTCATCCAAACATCTTTATACAGCGGTCACCCCACCAGTTTAAGAAGAACCAGTTCTTCTTTGCCCACCACGAAAAGATCTGCATTGTGGACCACGACATCGCCTTCGTCGGCGGCATTGACCTGTGCTTTGGCCGGTGGGACACCCCAAAACATCCAGTGGTGGACGACAAGCCTACCGGCTTCGAGCCTCAAGATGACCCGAAGGACGCTGAACACTGCCAGTTGTTCCCGGGCAAGGACTATTCCAACCCAAGAGTCCAGGACTTCTCCAAGCTTCACGAGCCATACGAGGAGATGTACGACAGATCGGTGACACCGCGCATGCCTTGGCATGATATTGCCATGCAGGTCGTGGGCCAACCGGCACGAGACCTCACTCGCCACTTTGTCCAGAGGTGGAACTATGTCCGGCGTGGACGAAAGCCCACCAGGCCGACGCCGTTTCTGCTCCCTCCTCCGGATTGTAAGCAGGAGGAACTGGAGGCGATGGGTCTTACCGGCACCTGCGAGGTACAAATCCTCCGTTCAGCCACGACCTGGTCGCTCGGCACCGAGCACACGGAGCACAGCATTCAGTCGGCCTACATCAAGATGATCGAGAATTCTGACCACTTCGTCTACATGGAAAACCAGTTCTTCATCACCAGCACCGACACCTTGAACACCAGGATTGTGAACGGGATCGGTGACGCTCTGGTCCGCCGCATCATGCGGGCTCACGAGAATGATGAGGACTGGCGGGCTGTCATCGTCATGCCGCTGATGCCAGGGTTCCAGAATGAGGTGAACGAGCCGGACGGTTCCAGCGTGCGGCTGATCTTGCAGTTCCAGTTCCACAGCATCTGCCGAGGAGAGCATTCCATCTTTGGGCGCCTGCGGGCCGCCGGCATCGAACCGGAGGATTACATCCAGTTCTTCAGTCTCCGGCAGTGGGGCAAGCTCGGGAATGGCGCCTTGACAACGGAGCAGTTGTACATTCACGCCAAGTGTATCATTGTGGACGACCGTGTCGCGCTGATCGGATCTGCCAACATCAACGAACGATCGATGCTGGGAACGCGCGACTCGGAGACAGCCGCCATCGTCCGTGACACGGACATGATCTGGTCGACCATGGCTGGACGCCCGTATCAAGTCGGCCGGTTTGCCCATACGCTGCGTCTCCGGTTGATGCGAGAGCACTTGGGTCTTGATGTGGACGAGATTCTGGAGGAGGAGCGGCAGGCTGACCTCGACCGCGATGAGCAGTTCAGAGCGGAAATGCATGAAATCTACGACGAGGCCTCGGACCGTTCGCCTGTGGCGGAGAGCACAACGCGGGGACCATCGTCGTTTGGCGAGCTACCTAAGACGTCGACGTCTCTCCCCGAGTCCCATAGCCCCAACCACGACGCTGTCACGGAGGAGCCTCGCCGTAGGAGCCGTACACTTTCCAAGTCTTCAAAAGGCCCAGTGTCTCCTGCGGAGTTTCCGTCGCACAAGCGAGACGTTGAGGGTTTCGGCCCCGACCGATGGAAGACGGCGCAGGAGGAAGGGTTGGACCAAGGCAGGGATTCTGTCATTGTCAGCGACCGCGAAGTGCTGCTCCACAATATCGCCGCAGAGGGCAAAGGGACGCTTGACAGCCCGAGTTTCCCGCATAAGCTTCGTCGCCCGTCCGGTACCTCAACTCCTGAGGACGCCGGAGGTCATGAGGGCATGCCGCCCATGCCGCCGTTCGACAGACGAACGACCGAACAGGCCGGTCTTCCGCGGGCCAACCAGCTGCCGACTCTGCCCGTGGTCGACGATACCGACATTGGCGGTCCGCCGATCCGGGTTGACTCGGCTGGTCGGGCGGTCGAGAGCGCATCTGCCATCCTCCCCATCGACATCAAGCTGGCCGACATTCACAAGGACTGCATGCGTGATCCGCTCAATCCGTCCTTCTACGACGACGTGTGGTGCCGCGCGGCCGAGAACAACACGCGGATCTACCGGCGCGTCTTCCGGTGCATGCCGGATTCCGAAGTAACCAACTGGGCCGAGTACAAGGAATTCATCTCGTACAACGAGCGCTTCAAGAATAGCATGAATGGTCAGCGGACCAGCGAGGACAGCACTGAGAAGCCCCATGCCGCCCATGCCGCGCTCGGGCCAGCGAGCCAAACCTCGGCAGGCGCTGGCATCGGCGCTCCGGGCCCGGCTGCGGGGTTTGCTGCCATGACTGCCATGACAGAGAAGCTGGGCAATGTGGACAAGTCGGCCGTCAATAAGACGGGCCCCGTTTCTAGGGATGCTGCATTCGACGAGAAGCGGGCTACCACAACGCCGGACGACGGCCTGCTGCAGCCCGTAATCACGAAGGCGCGAGATTCGGAGAAGCAAGAGCAGCAGCACGCAGCCGTCAACTCGAGCCGCGACACCCTCCCTTACAACACAACAACGACAGAACCCAACGCGCGCCTCGGACCCAGGCCGGACAGCAGCAGCCGCAAGGAACGGCGTCCGACCTTTTCCAGCCAGGAGAAGCCCCCGCCTTCGACGGGCGTCAGCGGCGCCGGCAGCAGCAGCAACGCGGACGGCGGCGCGGGTACTGGTGGTGGTGCTTGTGTCAAGCCGACGGGCTCGCAGAAGCGGCGGCGTCGGGCGACGACGACGAGGGGCAGCCGGCCGCGGTTTAGCGCGGCCGACGAGTTGTTGACGAGGGCCGAGGCCGAGGAGTTGCTATTGCTGACGCAGGGCCCGCTGGTGCAGTTTCCGTATGACTGGCTGGTGGTGGAGGAGACGAATGGGAACTGGCTGTTTCAGGTTGATCAGGTGGCGCCGTTGGCTATTTAGTAAGTCTCTCCCCGCTTTTGCTGTTGTCTATGAGTTGAGAAAGGATGGAGGGATGCTAACTTCGTGGTAGTAACTGAGCTCGCACGCAAGCTGTAGCGGGTTAGTTGCTGTTGAAGGGTTTGATTAGAGAGAGAGCGTTCTGCGGCGGATTCGGGGGGTTGGTTGATCAACTGCACTGGCGTTTTGGTGTATAGGGTACCAGGTTAGGGGCTTTCCCATCGTCCGAGGGTGTACTGCATTCCTGGCGCATTGGGTTCTTTCGTTCAGCCGTTTTCATGTTCTAGGATCATCAGCGTCACATAGCCGGCATATCGGACAAACTGCTTCTTTTTCTTTCCGTTGTTATCTTCTCTCTTCTTTTTTACATTCAGCTCTCGGCTTGTTTTTATACACACATAATAGTACATTGAGGCTACAGGTAGTTATACACAGATTGTAATACCGCGCCTCCGTCGTTACACCCGCTCACTCACCCAAATCGCCCCCCTACACCCGGCACGAATAATACCTGTCAACAACCAATGCGGCTCGGCCTTCTGGGCGTCATGTTCCACGGCATGATCCAAATGCTCCAGCTCCTCGTCGCGTATCCGCCGCAGCGTGGCGATCAGCTCCCGAAACTCCTCCCCAACCTCGTACCCCTCGGCCTCCCACTCGCTCACCATCTCGAGCAGCGTCCGTATTTGCCCGTTGTAGTGCCCGCCAATCTCGGTCTCGACCGCCTCGGTGCACGCCATGGCTGCCTCGCGGCCCATCACGGCAGTTGTCCACCCCAGCCCCGTCGCGAGGACGGACCAAAGCGGGTAAAGTGCCGTGGGCCGAACCCGGTGCTTGGCCAGGAGGGCGTTGAAGGTGCGCAGGTGGCCTGCTTCTTGGTCGTACATGTGCTTCATGAGCGGGCGGAGGTGCGGCTCGCGCGCGACGACGGGAGGGGTCTGGGCCGTGTAAATTAGGGTTGCGGCTAGCTCGCCGGCTTGGTTGACGCGCAGAGCGGAGGAGAGGAAGGATTGTTGGGCGGGGGTAAGGGGTTTCTTCTTGCTTGGGTAGGGTTGTTGTGAGGTTGGTGCTGGTGAGGAGGACGGCGAAGACGATGAGGAGGCTGTCGTGGAGTTTGATGAGATGAAGCGGCGTGCGCAGGCTGTGGGTGGAGTCGAGGTTGATGGTTGTGCATGTTGTGAGAGGATGCTGCGGCATTGGCGCAGTGGCTGCATCAAAGGTCGTAGAGTGGCCATTGTTGGGCGGTTGAATAGGGTTCTGGATGCTGTCGACGTTGGTATGTGTCACGCAACGAGTGATCTGATTGTTCGGGAACCTCGATGACCGCGTCGGCCGATGATCCCCAAATCGAAGTGGGCTGATCCGATCCAATCAACAGGTATGTACGGATCCGTAATGATTCATACTTTATCACGACGTAACGAGAAAAACATGCCCCCCAACAACGCACGCCCCACTTGGACAAAAAAAGAGTTACTCCAAAAAGCGTCACCCCAGAATTCTCAGAAACATCAGTCAGATCGTGGGCTCCCACTAACGTAATCGGACACCTTCAGAACCAATTTTCAGCCCCGCACCCCACTACGTCGACTCTAAATGCACTTTACAACACCACAACGAATCTATTACAGTACCAATCTATCTCAATCTATTCGCTATTTACAGGGGCAAGTCCTGGCAGTGTGCTCAGTTGGATTACAGACACTGCACCTTGGTGGAGCGCGTTTTCGTACGGTTGGTACAACCGCTTCAACCACTGTTACCTCCCCCCCTTGAGCCTCCATACGAGCTTCCTGGGCCTTTGGGGTCTTTGGGGCATTTGGGGCCTTTGGGGCCTTCTGACGTACTGTGGTAGTACTAGACACTCCCTCTCCAATTGTCATAGAACCTCCAGTTTGGATGAATACTCGACGGTGTTGACGTCGTCGCTTTTGTCGAGTGTTTTCGGCTCGGAGCCGCGAGTTCTCTTCTGGTAAGAGAGTAGCATTATGCATGGCCATCAGGCACCCTTTAACAATCTTTTGCAGATTCCTGTCTGTTAGGCTTGTCCCATTTACACGCCGCCTCTGGAGGTTATCGAACTCAGTGACGTTTGACGGAGTCTTGAGAGGGAGCGTCGAGCTCGGTTGGTCGGGAGCGGGGATGGGGCTCGGTGTTCGCACTCTTACTCGGAGCCGAGTAAGTACTTGACTTGGATCCAGTGGAACAAGGCCCGTTGCTTTGAAGCCACTTTTATTGTTTTTCGAGGTGAAAGTCTTGGTATAGGCCTCGAAGAAGAGTTCAAGGCAAAGTGGTTTGTCGATATGATGGATGCCAACTGCCATCTTTCCCCTGACCAAGTCACCATATACCCGCTTAAGGACCGAGAAGCAGCCGACATCGAGAGGCTGGTGAAGGTGCGACGAATGTGGTGGCATACACTCGATAAGGATCGAATTCTCCTTGCAGAATTTGTCGAACTCTGGTGTCATATGGCTCCCATGGCCATCGAGAATCAGGAGGCGGTACCGGCCAACTGTTCGGCTTCGAGTTTGCGGCTCAAATACTCGCTGAAGCCACTCGAAAGTAAGCTCATCGGTCGTCCAGCCGATCTCACTGACTGCAATCCTCCAAGTGGTTGGCAATGGCGAGTCTTGGTACCATGTTGAGATATGAAGCTTTCCCTCAAAGATGATCATTGGGTCAAGAACCCAGCCAGTGGCGTTGATGCACTCGATGACAGTTGCCCACTCCCGATTCCCAGGCTGAACAACAACGGGTCGATTTCGCCGATCAGATCGAGTGACAACCTTTGCCGTGCTTGCCACTCCCATTTGAAACCCAGTCTCATCGAAGTTGTAGATATCGCAATTGAGGATACCGTTCGACTCGATAGTGTTTTGCACTCGTTGAAACCACCCCAGCACTTTTTCAGGGTCCTCACACAAGGCTCGTTGGTAGTCGTACTTCCGGAGGTATTTTGACTTCAAGTCCAGGTGTCGGTTCAATAATCGACGTACCCATTTCTCTCCAACAGTGTTCATCTCGTCTACAACTGCTGTAACTGACGCGTCAAGCAAGACTAGGCTTCCACGCTCACGGAGAAGAAGGTCGGCCATCTGTCGAATATACCCGATCGTTGGTGACATGCCCCGGTCATCCAGTGACTTGATCCACTGGACCAATGCAGCTTCTTCAGTTTGTCGAAGTTTTCGAGAAGAAATTTGAGATTGTTGACGGGGGACGCGTCCAGCGACGCGTCCCCGTAAGGTTGCGTACGGCACGTCAAAGGCATCTGCAGCCTTGCGAATAGTTCGGATTTGGCCAGAACGCAAAGACTCGACGGCTAATTGAATCCTTTCTTCGTGCTGCAGAGGCCTAGACATTTTGCCGAGGTGGTCCTGCGGGTGGGTGCGTCCAAAGTCGAAGTGGTGGGGTGCGGGGCGGAAAATTGGTTCAGAAGGTGTCCTGGTTCTGAAGGTGTCCGATTACGTTAGTGGGCGCCCAGATCGTGGCCGAACTGAATAATTTCAATTACAAACTAAATCCCAGTCATAGCGCCTTCCAATTCCAAGCAATCCTTGAAGATCTGAGGGAACTGATATTGTCAACCCAGTCATTGATAGTCTCCTGCTTAACTGCTGCCCAGCCCTCTTCGGCTAGCTCCTTCACGATTTTATCGTCCCAGCTAGGCCTCTTCTTTACTGTGGTACATACTACTTCGGCCCCTGCCATGCCTTTTCAATGGGAGAAAAATCAGGGAATTGAGCGTAGTTGAAGAAATACTCCAGACCGTTCTGTTCCTTCCAAGCGCGTACGATATTGCTCTTGCTTGTACATGGCCAGAGTCATTATCCTCCTCGAAAACAAACGACTGGCCTTTGCGAAGCTAACCACGAACTATAGGCTCGAGGATGTGGTCTCTATAGACCTGCATGGTCATCTTGCCGTTGAAGTTGTCAGGTACACTATACTATACAAGCTGTGACTTGAAGTTATATCCAACTGCCGCCCAGCAATGTAGTCGCTTTTGATCCTTCTCGGCCGGCATCTCTTTCTCGAGGATGCAGTCTGGGCAATGACGCTCCCACGGTCGTCGTATAACGTGGACTCGACCCTGAGGACTTCAGCCAAAGCGGCATTCGTCGGAGAATCTGATGTGCCTCCAGTCTTTTGCATCCGGGTATTTCTCCAGCATAACTCGGCTATACTCCACTCGCCTCTCCTTCAATCTCGGCGAAGTATATCGCTTGGAACATGCGATACACATCCGGAAGTGCATTGACTGAACTGCACGGCGTACTTTTCGCCCAGAGACGTCGATGTCGAGGCCGGCGACTGCAGGCAAGCCATCCTATGGCACAGTCCGCCCGTCGAAGCCGTTATTCTCGAAAAACCTCTCAATTTGGGCTAGATCTTGTTTGCTAAGCTTTCTCTTCCGGCCATGAGTCTCAGAACATGTCGAGTGGAAAGATCGGTCGCCTCTATCCTTCGGCGAGGGTGCGCCAGCCAGAGCGTTGGCTAGCTCCGTGGAAGCGGAAAACGCCGCTTTTAAAGTGCGGGATATGACGAGATTCGAGATAATCAATCGTCCCTCGTATTCTCGCCTTTTTCGACGTGGAATAGTATGATGGCGATTCATTTTGGCAGCGATGGCAGGAAGAGGGGCGGGAAGTAGGGTGACTAAATTGGTTGTGGGGGAAATTCCAATTTTGGAGTATATTATCTTTTGTCCAGGTGGAGGCACGCTGGAGCAGCGGAGCTGTCACCAGCTGTTTGGGTGGGGCCTTGACCGCTGCATGCCAAGACCTAATCGCGGGCTCTTGTCTTAACGTTCAACAGCCGTCAGCTGTCTCGAAAGTGGAACATCACTTCATTCTCCTTGACTTTCCGATTCTGCCCTAGAATTCGACTTACGCTCCCGTGCCGTTGCTGCGCAACCTCCTCCGTCACCGACGCCGTGAACCATCTGCCTGTACGGCTACCAATTACACCCTTGAGTCCAGAGATACGCCAGAAGCCCTCGCTGCGGTCTCCAACGGGACAATCTCCAGAGTCATATCGATAGACGCGCGTCGCTCGAACAACATCGCGCTGTACCTCCGTCGCCGCTGCGCGGAAACGAAGTCGCCTATCTCTAATCCACGTGTCTGATACTGCCATAATGTCTGATATCGATGACGAGTTGCTCGCCCTGGCCGGTGGCGATGTGTCGTCGGGCGAGGAGGAGGAGCCCATGGATATGAGTCGCGACGAGTCACGTTCGCTCTCGCCAGCTCCAACATTATCAAAAGAGAAGGATTCAACATCGAGGGCCGTGGCAGTGAAGAAGACGGCCTCAAACAAAGCAAGGAGGCGTGCTAGCAGGAGTGACGATGAGTCGGACGAGGAGGGACAGGCGTGAGTTGTGCCCCTCTTCATTGCTCTCTATTCATTGCGCTCGCATGCTATTGTGAAGGAAAACTTATTGTTGAATGGGCGCGAGGGATAGGGAAACCTGCAACAAATTGAACCCAGAACAGCTTCTTGATTTCGCTGCTTCCCCCTCAACCTCTCTCTGTCACTCTCTCGTTCTTCCACACCACCTTTGCTCTCCAATTTTCGCAAATTTGCTTCACTACTCATCCCCAAAGGCAGCACTACAATCTCGTCTGTCCCTAGCTTATTGCGCGTTTACGAATAGTTGATCGCCAATGGGTCTCATAATCCGTATGCTAACCATGACGGCGTTGCCCAGATCTTCTCCTCCGGCCTCGCCGAGCTCGCAGATGTCGGCTCCCATGGACGAGTCGGATTCCGACTCAGATGCCCTCCCGAACCGCGCGCGGGATGTCGATGAAGACATGAACCAGTACCCCGTCGAGGGCCTCTTCAAGAGCCATGAGGAAAAGGCCCGCATCATGAGCATGCGCGAGATTGAGCGCGAGCAGATTCTTGCCGAGCGCAGAGAGGAGAACGAGCGCGTCCGCCAGAACAGGATGCTGCGCCAGCTCAAGGTCAACCAGGAGAAGGACAGCAAGAAGCGCAAGGCCAGCGCCGCCGACCTGGAGGATGCCTCGCGCAAGTCGTCGCGCGCCCGGACCAAGGCCGGCGAGAGCAGTGATAAGATGGACACCCTCCGCCGTGCGAGAGAGGAGCGCAGCAACCGCAAGGAGCAGAGGGAGCGTGAGAACGACCTCCGCAGGCAACGCTCCCCGTCGTATCGTCATAGCCGCAGCCCTGTCGACCGCGACAGTGATATCGACTGGCGCAGGGAGTCCAGGCAAAAGTCCAGAACCCCCGAGCCCAGAGGAGCGCCGCCTGCTGAGCTGCGCGATGTCGAACGCATCCGCCTCGGCCGGACGCGCTTCGCCGAAGTCTGCTTTTATCCTGGCTTCGAGAAAGCCATCACCGGCTGCTATGTCCGCATCAACATCGGTCCCGACCCGACAACTCGGCAGGACGTCTATCGCATGGCTGTTATCAAGGGTAAACCGAGTTTGAGGGTCCCCCCTGCACAATCACGTAGCTGACATTGTTCAGGTTTCAACCAAGGTCGTCCCTACGCTATCACTGATCGCACCGGGCACCAAATCGTTGTGGACCTCTACGTCAAAGCCGCCCATGGCAAGGCGCAGAGGGAATGGCCATTCATCACCTGCTCCGACCGCGGCTTCACCGATGCAGAATGGAACCGTTACAAGCAAGTGTGCCTGTCCGAGGGCGTGCCCATACCCACCAAGCCCGAGCTGGTCAACAAGATCGGGGACATCAACAGCCTGATCAACCGCACCTGGACCGAGCAGGAACTCTCCGAGAAGCTCAAGCGCCAGAACGCGCTGCATATCAAGTACAGCGGCGTCGAGCGCGACCAGCTGACCAAGCAGCTCGACATGGCGCGCGCCCGCGGCGACGAGGAGGCCGCCGCCCGCCTGCAAGAAAAGCTCGACAACCTCGAGATCCCGCGCCTCGCCTTCCGCACCTCGCTCAACTCGGCCAAGAAAAAGGCGTCCGAGAACCGAGGCCCGACCCAGCAGGAGAAGCTCGCACTGTTGAATGCTGAGAATCGCCGCAAGAACGCAGAAAACGTCCGCAAGGCCCAGCTGGCGGAGCGCGCCCGCGCCCGTGAGATCGAGATGCGCCTGGCCTCCTCTTCCCGGCCGGGGAGCGAGCAGCCTCAACAACAACAACAACAACAGAAACAACAGGGCGACGGGGCTGCGAGCGGCACCAGCACGCCGGCGGTCACTGCTAATGGGAATGGTAATGGCAACGGCACGCCTAACAAGACGGTGCTGCCGCATATTGTCAAGCTGCAGGAGCTGCAGCGCAGCCAGGACAAGGCGCGCATACCCGTCATTCATAAGCCCCTCATGGACGATGAGATTATTGGGGCGCTGGATCTGGATATCGACGTCGAGATTGACTGAGGAGGTTACAAGGAACCTGCTGTTGTCCCATTCGAGGAGGGGAGGAGGTGCTGCTACATCGGGTTGCTATCGACGGTTGCTCTCTCCAAATAGAATCGGAGAGGGTGGCTACTGGGGAAGAGGAGCTGACATCTTAGCTCGAGGGAGGGCATGTATGATAAGAGCACATATAGTCTTGACACATTTGGTCGGACTGTGTTGAAGCTGCCGCTTTTCTGAAAGAGAAAGTAGCTAGTTGTGTGATGCTACAAACTCATCAACTCCTAGGTCTGCCAGCTTGGAGGGGCTGGATCAGATATGACCGGCCGGAACGATCGATAGCTTGAAGTACGAGGGTAGGTGCTTCGGTAGATTTAATCATCACTTGCTCACCTCACCTCACTATCTCCAACAACTCGGCAATATCTGCCCGTAGTATATGTGTCGATGACGGCTTCAGGGCTCGCCACGAAGCTCGGCATGGGAGATCTTTGTAGTTTCTTAGCGCTACACCACCGCCCCATATGCTCAGGTTTTGTCCCTACTATCCGTACAGCAAATCACAACATCCGTTTGCTCGTTTCCTTGTAGGCGTAGTAACAGACAGAAGAGAAGTGGGGTTATTAGTACAGTACTTATCCCACGCCTCACAATAAGACCCCTCCAAGGTTAACTCACACGCTCCACACCCCAGGAGCCAACTGATATAGTTCGATACCCATCATGGCACATCAATGCCCAATCTGCACCAAGCCCTTCGGCTCCAAAACCTCAGCATCACGCAAACCGCACTTGTGCCCCAAATGCGACCAGAGATTTTGCAGTCAGAGAACCATGGAACAGCATCGCGATGCACCGTCTCATAATACCATGTTTAGCTGCGACCTGTGCTGGCGAAGGTCTGGGAGCAAGCACGCTGTAGTCCAGCATTAAAACTCGGCAACGCATGCGACGATGTTGGCTTGGGCGAATCTCACGCCGACTCCAGTGCATGTAGTTGTAAGATGTTTACAAGGCATAATCCAATCCAGTCTCAGTCCGACTGCTAAAATCTCGTTTATAGCACATTGAGCCATCATCAGTCAGGAACCAGGCCCAACACCTACAATCATACCCTCCGTGTCCGTCTCAGTTCCAGACCACACCACTGGCAACAGCAATGCTGAGGATCGTCATGATTCTTTTGATGACCACAACGACTCATCTTCCAACGATGACAATAGTCAGTCTGCTCAAGCAAATCATTCCCGACGACCATGAGGCGGCTATGGTGGAGGCTCCGACATGTACGGCGATCAAAACTGGCTTCTTTGCGATAAAGAGTGCGGGCGGTGTGGACACTGTGCCGATGCTGTCGAGTTCTGAAGAATGCACGAGTGCTACCCAGGGGATGAGGCTACCTGGCTTCGCCCAGATTGGCTGTACTAAGGGGGGTGAAATACTGACGGAGCAGCTCTGACGGTTGTATGTACCAATTATCTCGACTTCCCGAAGTTACTACTACACGTGTATACTTTACTTTGTGGAAGTGTTGCCGGAAAGGGTGAGAAAAGATGGATGAATGGCAACAGAACTACGGCTTGTCTCTTTTTAGAAGGAAACGGGACGGGGTGCCGTCAACCTCCAGCTACATGTAGTGTCAACTTAGGGTGCGAGGTATTCGTTGGTCTGTAACGGACACATCGGGATCCCTACTAGACACAGTATAACCCAGCCAATTAGTAATAAGGGCCCTACAAGCCTTTTGGCCCCGAGTTATAGTATAAGCCAAGGAGGTCCATTCCCCCTTAAGCCCTTCGGTGGAGATGGTGATTCTTTGGGATCGTCTCGTTCCGTACTTTGTATCGTACCACGCGTACCTCACAAGTCAAGTTAAAACCAACGTCACTGTTCCACTTCCCAACGTGCACTGGCATCACTGCATTGACTGGTAAAACCACTACCCGCACGCAGCACGCAGGCCACACGGAAGACACCACAGCTCATAACGGTACTCTTGTCAGCGCAAAGCAAATACACCCCATCCCGTCATTCTATTCATAATCCTCCCGCTAGAAGCAAAACAACTGGTGAGAGAGTTTAATACAGCAATTGTAACTTCGAGTGACACAGGCAGTTGCCGAACTAAATCCAAATGCAAAACACCGGCCGAGAAAAGAGCCTTCCATTCAGCACCTTTGCCTTGCCGCACTCAGAGCCGAAACCAGAAACTCATAAGCCATGTCCTCGCAAAAACAAACCAAAACGCTAGAAACCCATTGGTACAAGTATCTCATATCTTTCCTTTCTTTGGCCTTTGTCCCAGCCAGGGTACAAGGTTGGGAATTGCTTCCTGGTCAACCATGGTTTTGTTGTAGTACAAGGTGTGTGTTCTGTCATGAAGCATACCCCATCCGCCTTTTCAGGGAGGAGACGAAGGTCGTGGGAATCCAGAGCAGAGGGCTTCGATAATATTCCGGATACTTCAATCTTATTAAAAATGTGTATAGTGTGTAAATGCCTCCTCTTTTATAGAAGCAGTGTGGTCGGGCATCCAGCGCGGCCGGTGACAGGTGCTCAAATCTTCTTCCGCCTTCCCCTCGTCTTGGGGGGTACGGGCGTTGGGCTCACAAATGTGACATGTCTGCTCTCTTCCTTCTTCAGCTTGACGGCCTTGCTGGCGGATGTGCGGCGGCGGGCCGATACCGGTCGCGGCGTGTCTTCCCTGGCGTCGCTATCGTCGTCGATGTTGATCTCGGCCACGTCGGAAACAGACTCTGCTCCCATGACGTCACTAGTGTCCGAAGCCGACCCGTCATCCGAGTCATCGTACTCCCCATCGTCACTAACCAGCGATGGCGCGTTGTTGCTAGTCATGGTGTTGGGACTCATGTCCACATCCATCTCGACATCGTACATGGGGGTCTCGGGAAGCTTAGGCGACTCGAGGTCCGCCGTGTGGTGACTCTTCTGGCTAGCGGCTCGGTGCGCGGCTGGCGGCTGAGAAGGCGACACGGTAGCCCTCGACGGCATTCTCATCGCAGCCGGCGTGCGTGCGGTGGCGGCGAAGGACTTGGCTGGCGCAGCACCGCCCTGCAGCGCGGTCGCATCATCCGCATCCGAGTCTTGTCCAGCAGACAGCAACTCCAGGTCCACCTTTATCTTCGCGTCCTTCACTCGCTCCCTGAGGTTCCCGCCCAGCTTCCTCTTTCGCATCAGTTGCGACAGATAAGGAACGTCTGAGGACCCTTCGAAGACCTGGCAAGACTCGAAAGATGGGGCTTGCGAGGAAGCCGGGACGCCGGGGATGCTGCTCACCCCTGGTAGCTTACCGGCCTTGTAAAGTTCAAGAGATGCACGGATACGAGAGAGAAGGTCTCTGTACGCTTGCTGCTCCGAGATGTTCTCGGAACGCGCCAAGGGGTGAACCAAGCCGGACGGTGCGGCAGCAGGAGCCTTGCGGTCATCGCCAAGGATAGCGCCGCTGTCGTCTACCTCAATAGGATGTCCGCAATGAATAGCAGCCTCCTCGTGACTCTTGTAATCCCTCTTGTGGGCAATGCGGCAATGGTTGATGAAACCTTGGGTGCTAGAGAAGTCCCATCTGTGACAGTCGATGCACACAAGCTTCACTGTGACGCCATTAGAGCGCTTGACAGTGCAGGGCGACTGCTTGTCCTTCGGCTGCGGGTATCCACTGAATAGCGCTTGTAGTCTCTGACCTGCTGTGCCGCGGGCCAGCCGGTGTTTACCAGGGCCCACGGCGTCCGAGATGCTGCTTCGAGTCGTCCTACCTTCCGCCGCATTTCTAGCCCGCCCAGTATCCGCGAAGCCTCGAGGCTCCGGTTGAACACCGTCAAACATGGGATCGGGTATCAGCCACTTAGCATAATGGCGTGCATAAGGCCCTTCGACAACACCAAAAGGCGGCGCCCATTTTGGCACAGGCTCGCCACGATTCGATTGCAAGGCAGGGCCCTTGCCGCTGCTGATGTCCAGCATCTGGCTAGGGGTGGGACACTGAGCAGGATAAGGAATCAGGTGGCAGCGCCGCAGCTGCTCCAGAGCAACCTGGCACCGGGCCAGCTCTTGGTTGATGAGCCGGAGTTCGTCGTGCTTCAGAAGTATCTCAAGCCCAAACTGCATCTGAATCGCCTCCCTTGCCGCCTCGAGATCGAACGCCATGTTGCCTCTACGCAGCGAGAACGTCTCCTCAAGATCCGGCGACGCAGACACCGGGGAGGGCAAATCGCCATGCTGCTCTGTCTTGATGCGCTTGTCTGACGAATATGCGCAGGCAGTGGTGTCGACGAAGCTTGGCCGCCGCTTCTTCGGAGATATGGGTGTCGCAAGTCCTGAAGGGTCAGAAGCGACAGGGTCGGCGTAGACTGGCAGCTGATGGTGCCCCTCTGCTGTCTTGTCGCTTCCCCTCGAGTCGGCCGCCCAGAAGCGGAACATAGGCATGGCCGGGACCGTACTTTGGAGGTTGAAGCCCCGCGAGTGCCAGAAGGGGCAAACGTCGGAGAAGCGCGAGATTGCGACCGGTATTTCAAGGTTCGGCGTCGCTAGGCAGCAGCGGTAGCGTACCGAAAAGGGGCAAATTGGGGGGTGGTTGTTGGATGATTGGGAATGCTGACGTAACAAACCCGGCCGTGTCAGGTGGTCCGTGAGCGGATAGACTTGGCCGCGTTCGGATAGCTTGGATTAGTCAGAATGGCCTTCAGTGGGTCTAAGCTGGTGTGCTGATGTGGCCGCCCCCAGACCAGAAGGCGAAAGGCACTGGCGACTTTGCGTGCTGAGTGCTTGCAACAGTTGCGAGTGACAAGGACGCTTCAAAAAGAGAGTTGGGCTGAGAAGACCGCGCGAGTGCTAGTGAAAGCCTCGGCAACGCAAACAGTCAAAGTGATAAGGAGCGCGTGAGAATGACAGACAATAAGGAGCGCGCGAAGTTGAAGGGGAGAAATCGGTCGGTCGCGCAAAGTTTTCCGTGGTTGGGAATTGTTGAACGTTGGCTGCGAGTGTTTGAGAAGGTCGGGGTGGACAGTCTGCTGTCCTTGGGTGTTGGAAGGGGGAGCGGTTTGCGATGCAAGTTGGAAGGTAACACGATGAATACAATGAATGCACGGGAACAGGGGCCAGTCGAAAAAAGCTCCGCCTGGGCCACCGCCAAGACGCCGGCGAACCAGGAAGGAATGGCCGAGCAACTTGATTGGTCTGATCTAATGAGGCTAGCTCCTGGGATGAGTGGAACTGTTTGTCTGGTTAGATTGAGTTGGGTGTGCCATTTCTACATTCCCAGCGAGAAACGAGAAGGAGCTCAAAGTTCTAACCACCAAAGATGCAACAGACAGGCTCGGTTGCCAAAGTGAAACACGTTGAAGGCTTGGTGTACTGCAGCTTGTTAACATACCTTAGGATACTACTGAGCTGGACCTGGAAATACATATCACATATCACCACTTTGAATCTGATGAGATCAATGATGTTATTCAAAGTACCTGATGATGTTTGTTGATGCAGATCCTCCGCTCAATCTCTTATCAAAATCCGTGTTGGTAAGGACACCGTGCAGCTGCGTTGCACACGGGCCCATCCTGTTAGGGGGCGGGTTGCTGCATCTGGGCGGCAGCAATGCTTTGGGCAGGGGTGCTACCAAGAACAGGAGGCTCGTCTCTCAAAACCGGGCACCGAAAGAACGCGGGTGACTTTGGGATACGACCTATAGCGTTATCTCAATTTCGGGCGTTTCCATACAACCTGGAAGCTTTCATGGTCCAAGATATCAAGCCATCCTGATATCAAGTGGCCAAGAGGTGAAAAAGGTTGCTCTGGACATTATCAGCGTGAGAAGTCTCGAGCTATATCAGAGGAGAATTGATGAACCAATGGCTCGCTATTCGCAGGCACGTTGCATAGTTACGAGTTCATCATCGATAGAGCTGTGTTATACGCATGCTCTGTTGGCCCATTATAGCACGTCTATTGTCTGTATTTTAAATATATAGCTTTCACCAAGAAGGGGGTGATGTATTGGGCCAAAGGGTCATCGTAGGTGATACTGCAATATGTTTCATACGGTAATAGTTATTAGACTTTGACCCCATGAGCTGGGTCTTTCGGAGTCTCACACCGATAAAGAGACATATGATGGTTTCATTACCATCTCGGAAGCTGAAATGCAGTACCCTTGGACCCAAGCCGTGAAATCGCGGTTAACCAGGGTAGCTTATCGATAATTTGACCTCACTCAAATCATCAACCCACCATCGACCGATGAACGATGCTCCTGAGCGAGAGCCTATCTACTTCAACACAGAGTCAACATACATTCATCCAGCGCATCCGCGAACTCCATGGCCGCCCAAGTCCCTGTTCAACTTCCAGGCCCGCATTTACAAGGCGGCAAGCGGAAATTTCTCAGCGACAGCGATGGAGTCTCCCTCAAGAAGCGGCGGCTGTCGTCTCCTCAAACAGAGACCCAGACACCAAATCGGGCGCACAACTCGACGCCGGGGACTAGTTCGTACAACAAAGTCTACAGCTCGCTGGTCGCGAAGCTCAGTCACAAATTCGAAGTCAAGACCATGTCAGTAATGCTGTCGACCAGCATCAGCAGCCATGTCGACCGGGCTCTCGAGCACCTCGGACGCTTCAGCCCGTGGGATCAGACCGTCCTTCCGGGGGTCGTTCTCTTATGTGCCAAATCAGCAGCGGCCGGCAAGCTTACCACAATAGCGGAGCTCATCCGACGACGCATAGGCGAGAGCGAGCAGAAATGGTTTCAGTACAACATCATGAACGAGGTCGTGCTGGAAGAGGAGAATCTGGCCGTGGACGAACCATCAGTGGTTGAGGACACATTCATGCCGGGCGACCGGGAGCGCGACGAAGCCGGAGACGACGAATATTTTGAGACGAAACTGTCGACCATCCACGAGCAAGCGGTCCACCCGTCGAAGGTCAGATACATTGTGCACCTGTCGGTTCTGCTCTCCCGGTTACCACTGGACCAGTTGAAAACGGAACCCTACATTTCTCTGCAGACGAATGAGCAGAGGATCGAGTACTTGCGGAAGAAGAAGATGGGCTTGGCCGGCTAGGGTTTTCTGTATTCGATCCTGCAGTTCAGCAGGGTTTTTTTGAGTTACACAAGAACGAGCAGGGTCATAGAAGAGCGCAGAGACAGAAGTTTTCAGGGTCAGAGAAAAGCGCTGGTTCAGCGAAGGAGTCCTCTCGGAACTTGACAGGGGGAGATAGGACCTGAACATTACCATGATACCCAACAGATTCTAGACCGCAGGGTGTCTGCTTATACAGCCTACAATATTGTTTCCGGATGCCCTCCACGACCAGTCTGTGACACCAGGCTACGAGACCTCAAAGTGTTCAAGAATGATTCCATGCCACGCGGATTGCCCAATCTCTAAACAACGCTGACTTCATGAGCCCCGTGTAAATGCAAGCAATGTCCCGTTCCCATGACCGTGCCACCAGGTCCCCCCCAAAAATTCCTGACATGACCTACAGCCTGCACTGCCATCTTGTATTCGAAACGACCCTTCATAATACAGCTGCACTGATACAACAGCACACCCCCGACCGCGACGTGCTCGCCCTGTCCAGTCCGTTACAAGTCCTCCGCATGCTGCCTCTTCAAGACTTCCGGTCCTGAGACGAGTAGGTAATTCTAAGAACGAAGTTCACAATGACGGCAAGGAGCAAGATGATGGCCAAGAAGGTCGGGCCGAATCGGTCGTCGAACCCGGCCTGGCCCCTCATCCGTATCGATTTCGCCCGCCAGTGGTACGTTATGAGGGCGTATATCATCGTGGCCATCGCGACGCCCGTGAACAGAAAAGACGAGATGAAGGCCGGGCGGTCTCCGAAGTTGAGCATGCCGATGGCCAGGGCGCCGAGCACGACGGTGAAGTTGAGCCATGACAAAAAAGTGCGCTCGTTGGCGAAGAAGACTTTGGGCTCGACGCGCGTCGGGAGCGCAATGCGCTTGCCTGTGAGGAAGGGGGAGATTAGCCGGTCGGTAGTGTATTGGCTGGTTGGCTGGGTGAGGACAAACCTGGGGCCGTTTGGAGCAGAGGTTGGCTGGACATGGCGAGACGGTTGTGGGAGTTGCTGTGGCGATGGGAGGGTACCGGCAGCGGCTGCGAAGCGGCTTTTGAGACGTCGAGGAACTGATTACAATTAACCGCAAAAACGATGATTCTTTCGTCCCAAAATGAGGTTGGGGTTCTTGTCACAATAGCCTTGCGCCGCAGTGCGGTCCCGGTCGGGGCACAAAGATGAAGCTCCAATTGATCAATCAACAGGACGTCAGTGGCCCAAGCTCTGCAGCTTCGGATGCACGTGCTGCAGTCTTGGCGTCTTACTGGCAGAGAGCGCGAGAGAGTTCAGGACTGGATGTTGGCGATGGTCACGTGCACTCAATATCATATCTTTCCGATGTACAATCATGCAAGAGAGAAAACGGTCCTCCGTAGTAGGCACAGACCACCTGCGTTGACTTATCGGTCGCGCAGCCAGTTCGCGCAGGTTGGTCCGAGCATCTGCCCCTGTTGTTATCAATACAGACATGGCGCAACAATAAACACCAGCCAACCCAACCAAGATCGCACCCAGCGGTGTCACCTCTGCCATACAGTCGGTGTTACATCTCAGTGCGTAAAACGAAAAGAAGTCAAGCGAGGAGTGGCTTCTCGTTCGCTAGTCTCCCGTTCTGCTCTCCCAAACGACACCGTAACCCACCGCACAAAACGCAGCCAACCCCCTTTCCAAACGTCAACATGGCCGCCCAGACAAACTCGGTATGGTTCATGCATGGAGTCCAATGGGAAAGCAACTGTCGCTGACTAACATTGACCCAACAGCCGATTGCTCTGAAGCGTCTCGAACAGATTGCCACCGATGTGCGTAAACCGTGCCTACGAGGGACGCCGCAGTCCCCCCGCCGCGAAACTGCAAGACATGGAAGACTGAAAAACCAGCGATAGGTGTGCAATAGTGTCTTTGAAAGCGTCGAGTACTACGAGCACCCAAAGACGTCGCAATGGAACGAGACCATCATTGTAGGTTGAAGGACAGAGATGCCCGCCCCTACACCGCGCCTGGACTGACGATTTTTCCCTTATTGCAGAACAAGATGCTCAAGGCGGTGATGTCGGAGGCTACTCCTCAGGGTGCCTCGATGCCGGCCTACAAGTTTGCCATCAACAGCACCATCGTGCAGCACGTCGTTCCTACATCCCAACTCAACAAGCCGACAGGCCCGCCAGCAGAGGAGGGGGCCGCCAAGAAGGGACAGGCTGGTCGCCGCGGCATGCACAGCGCAACTGGCGGGTACTGGAACGAGAAGACGGACGGTATGTGGAGCTTCAAGTGGGATGGCGAGGCTAAGGGCCTGGACGTTGTCCTCATGGTCATCTGGATCGCCGTCTAAATGACGCACTGGTGTACCGTTCTGGTGCGCCGTACTGAGTACATACACACATGTAATGACATATCCATGGCCTACGCTTTGCGAGAATTGCTTTTCGACGACAAGCAACACACCACCACGACCGGCTGTCTGCCAGTAACGTTGGCACCAAGACCTTTGGATTATCGAACTGGTTAGGTCGGCCATAAACTTCCTTTAACCTGCAGCACACTCATCAGTTCAACGACTTCAGCCGCTTAGACTTTGTTCCTGACGGCGGGAGCGGCCTGGTCCACCCGACGAACTAGAAGCAGTTCCTGCTCCGCTAAGTATTTCGGGCGTCACGATGCTCCCCTCGGGATTTAAGGGGACATTCTTCGCTCACGCGGTTTCCCCAGGCCCCAAACTAGGCATCGTTTGCCGGCCCGTTCCCGCGGCCGGGGTTGGCCACTGCCGGCTAACTCGCAGCAGCCAAGGGCGTGGCGCATGGTCGATCAAGGCAGGATGCTGAGCAATCTTTTCGCCACTAGAACATCATGGCTTCCATCGTGATCATGCGGCCTTGGCGTTGGAATCCTCTCTGCCTCTACACACCTCGAGGAACCTCACTACAAAACAGACCCGCGACCACAAGGCAATTATGTCTCTCGTTCCGGGCAGGTTTCAGGTTTCCGGGCGCGGGGCAAGTTGGTGGGGCATTTGCAGGAGGGAACAGGATTTTCTCTTAGGTGCCATCATCCCCCATGTGATGTCCACAGCGAGTCAGCTGGTATCATAGAGCATACGCGCGTCGAGTAATGGTCTCCAATGTTCGACATACAGTAGTAACAGGCGTGTTACGCTTTCGGAACTGCCAGCATGACTGGAGTGGCAACTTTTAACCCCGCGACCGACCATGCTGGGCCAGCGACAAGCGTCACCATCTGTCACAAAAAAATCATCTGCAAGAGGCCAATAAGGCGAGAACTCGAGATGAACCAGTCCCGCGGCCTCCTGCAACCGTTCGCAAGCACATGCCGTGGTTCGAGCGTGGCGAGCGTATGTTCCTTTTCCCGCTGTGTATAGTACAACTGTGGACTAGCAATTACACGTCGGGTCGTCCTAGACCTCAAAGCCCCTGGATTTGCACACGGCAGATATCACTCACGCTCAGATTTCTGAGTGCATTGGAAAAGTGCAGGCATTCCGCCTTTGCTTAACTAAAGCCCACCCTGCCACTCCACTGCGGCAGTCCGGAATGCCGGTCAACTCAACCAGCGGCTCCGTTTTTGCCTTGCTCCGTGTCTGATGGGAAAGAAAAAAGGAGTAACTGAAGTCTCTCGCTTTGACTCCCGTCATGACGTCTTTGTATGCCCCCACGTGCCTGCCGCTTGCAGTGTTGCATCGAACTCTCTCGGGCGATCTTGGCACCACCCTCAGCCTGCTTTCCAGACCAGGTCGGGCGGGACATTTGAGCGACTCCGGTCCACTTGAGCCTGGCCACCTCGTCAACAACGGCAGATCTCTCGACTCACTACACAAGCGGCCTCGCCCGAGTTAAGTCTGATATTAACCCGTTCCCCCCTTCTCATGAACGGGCTAGTGAGGGGCTTCCAACCTCCAATTGGTGAAACCATCAGTACTGGTACTAGTGCCCGACACGGACTCAACAAAGCGGTCTGATGTATATTACAACGGATCAAGCCGACACCGACAACAACCCATAAATCTCCCTCATCGACCACACGCCACGCATCACGCTTATTCCTTGAGCACCAACGCTGTCCAGGAGTTTTGCCATCGCTTGAGTTTCTCGATTCCAACACCACGCTTAAGATAGGTCGTCGACTTCAACGTCGTCGACCGCTTTTCCAAACCCGCCAATGATCGAAGTTTTGCACAACGGCCTGGGCTCCCCGGCGGGGTCTAGGTTGCCGTTCAGCAGAGAGGAGCGCAGGATGAAAGAGTCCCGTCTAGCAAAAGAGGGCATGCGCACGCCGCGTCGCTCCCAAACTCACCACGAGTACTTCCTCCCGCCGTCTCCCTACTTTGGCGCCTACATGACCCCATCTCAATCCCCAACTATCGAGGACAGCTTGAAGACGCAATCGGGGCCCTCACGAGAGCCAAGTCAACAGGAGGTGGAGCGGTCCCGGGCGCCGGCACGGAGACCGCCTCTCGGCCCTTCCCGGCGGTCGTACTCAGTAACAGACCAAGAACTACTCTCTCGCCGCCGCAGGCCCGCGGTTGACGGCTTGACGCTGACGGATTTGCCCGCCGAGCTTCACTACGCCATTTTCGACTTCCTCAACCCCATCGACAGCACCTGCCTGGGACTTACCAACAAACATTTCTACACCATCCACCGCCGGCTCCACGGCACCGTACCGCTCACCGCGCGGCGGGACGGACCTAACGACCTCGAGTGGGCTTGGCATCTGGCTGGCAACATCGTGCGCAAGAACCCCTCAGTTGTCGTGGCCGAGGACAGCAAGGATGCTCAGACCGGGCCGCTCAAGGGGCTGGGACAGGAGGAGAGGAACGCGCTGTCGAAGCTGCGGGTGCGGGGGCAGGGGTACTGCCGGATGTGCGGCGTCACGAGATGTCAACTGCACAAGCACATCCAGGAGTGGCTCGGCGAAGGGTTCGAGTACTGCTCGGTGAGGCAGAAGTTTGGCCCCGTCGCGCCCGAGGGCGCCAAGTCGTACTGCTACATGAGCAAGCCGGGCGATCCGCGCAGGTGTGGGCGGCACTTTGTGAGGAGGGACAAGGTTGAGTTGCGGTGAGGGGGTAATCTCTGTCCATGCCTCCCACATTGGGCTGTAGCGGTGCTGGTTGTGGGTGCGCTTCATGGGTCCGGCGGTTGGCATACACGTCTCTCTGCCAGTCATCGGCGTGGATACCGTTCATTGAAGGATCATGTATAACATACCATTGCCACGAGTCGTCCAACATTCGAGTTGGAGTTACAATTTTAATACGTCGAATCTTCCACCACTGCAGTACTCAGGGGGATCGCTGTACATCCACAAGCGCTTTGCCCGAGTGATGCCTACCTAATTTATAAACATGTCTCACTGGCGGACCAAATGCGTGGAAACTGGAAGGGTCATCGGCCAAATCAGCACCACCGCAAGCCACAGGGTCGTATGCTTTGGTGGCACAGACCTCATAATGACGTGAGTGACAGGGGTCCATTACAGCATCTTAGCAGCTCTTGAGCAAAAGCGTCGAGCAAAAGGAAATTGATCGGAAAATTTGGCATGTTCAGCGTCCCCTTTCTCCGTTTACCCATGCTCTCAGAGACTTAACTCGAAGACGCGTTTATTGTCGCAGAATTGGACGCGACACGAATCCTTGACTCACGTTAAAGTGTATTGTGCATTGTTGCGCCGTCTCGCCAACTGCGACAGCTGTCTTGTCGAAGTTTCTAGCTGCTCACTGTGGGCCAGCTCTAACGTTAAGATCTGTTACTCCACCGGGTATCTCCTCCTTGTCCACCTGCGATAGTCGATTGCGGAGGCGCGCAATAGTTCAGCGTTGTTGTGGTGTTGTTCCAGTCCGCATTTTGCATCTGGCATTGGCGATTGGCAGTCAACAGTCAACGAGCCCTTTCAGTGAAAGAAACAAACGGATGCTCAGCAATCCAGACTCCCAAGAACGTCATAACACTGTCGGGGTTCCGGAACAATCCACACGGCATACACATCCGGTCCGGGTTCACACTGCCTGCTCTTTCCCCAGCCGACCCGGTGCTTTCACTATTCGAAGCAGATAACCCTCCGTTCCTGCCCATCAGCATGTCGTCCCCGGCTTCGTCGTCCCAGGGCGCGGGGAAACGAAAGCGCAACAACACGGCCAGCGCTCTCGACATGGACCCGACACAGATCATTCAGACCGAGTCGCGAGACGCCTCGGCCGAAGAGGGCGACACTACCGCCCCCGAGTCCGGCCAGGTCTTCGCCGCCCACAGGAAGACCGACTCAACCGGCAGTGCTCACCCGCCGAGCAAGCGCCAACGCGGCAACTCAGAACAGCTTACCGCCGGGCCGACCGCGATAGGCCATACCCAGGCTCTCGACCCCGGCGAACCGAGCGATACTACCGAGGCCAGTATTGATATCGCAGAGAGAGTGACACGCAAGGGGAGCCGGAAGTCTGTCTCGAATAAAATAGAGACCGGCGTCAGTGGCAGCGGGATGGTCAGCAATAAGATTGCCGCGGCCATGCCACCGCCCCCTATCGGCAAGCTTACGCACCCCGTAGGGTACGAAACGAACCCACCTCCCGCCGGCCGGGCGGTGAGGGTATACGCGGACGGCGTGTTTGACCTGTTCCATCTTGGGTATGTCCCGAAACATTGTCGGGCGTTATGGCATTCCTGCTCTCAGGGTGTCCACAGTGCTGGCTAGCAAGGGGATGCGGGCTAACAAGAGTCCAGGCACATGCGCCAACTCGAGCAAGCAAAGAAGGCGTTCCCCGACGTGTACCTGATCGTGGGCGTGACCGGCGACGAGGAGACGCACAAGCGCAAGGGTCTCACCGTGCTTTCGGGCAAGGAGCGTGCCGAGACGGTCCGGCATTGCAAATGGGTTGACGAGGTCATTGAAAACTGCCCCTGGATCGTGACCCCCGAATTTCTGGAAGAGCACCAGATCGACTACGTCGCGCACGACGACATCCCATACGGTGCTGACGAGGGCGACGACATCTACGCGCCCATCAAGGCGGCGGGCAAGTTTCTGGTTACTCAACGAACGGAGGGCGTGAGCACCACGGGCATCATTACAAAGTAAGCAATCTCTCTTCTCTCACTTCCAACCGCCATTGCAGGAATCATACCAGAGCGCCCGTTGACTTGACACTCTCTCCACCACCACCACAGGATCGTCCGCGACTACGAGAAGTACATTGTCCGCCAACTGAAGCGCGGCACCTCGCGCCAGGAGCTCAACGTCAGCTGGCTGAAGAAGAACGAGCTCGAGCTTAAGCGCCACGTTCAGGATCTGCGCGACAACATCCGCAGCAACTGGGCGACCACGGGCCAGGAGCTCAGCCGCGAGCTGCGCCAGTTCTGGCCCTCGTCGCGCCCGCAGAGTCCGGCTCGGGGGCCTGCCGGGTTTTTCGGCGGCGGCGGCGGCGGCGCGAATAACAATAATGGCAACGGCGAGGGCGGTGCGCTGCCGCCTAGCAGTCCGCTCGGGCCAAACGTGTCCTCGTCGTCAACCTCGGGCGGCGGTGGTGGCGGGTTTCCGTTCCCCAGGAGCCCGACGGGCGCGGGGCCGATGACGGCCGGGGAGAGGGCGACGGGGAATGGGAATGATTTTATCACGGGGTATACGCTGGGGTTGATTGGGGGTGTGAGGTCATGGGTAAGTTTTTTTTTTTTTTTTTTTTTTTTTAGGGCTTCTGTTCTTTAGCCGTTTCATTCGAACGGAGAAGCGAGCGGGATAAAGGAGAGATGTGCTGACTCTGGGTTGTTTAGATGACCAAAACCCGAAGGGTTCTGAGGGAAGAGGAGACTCAGGAGAGCCGGCCGGTGAGTGACGATGACTCGGAGGAGAGCGAGGACAAGGCTGCGAGTGAAGGGCGACGGTCGGTTCAGTTGCCTGTGGCGAGCCAACAAGGCTAGGTTGGGGCTGGGGGTCGTTTATTTTTTGCTTACTCCAAGAGTGGTCTCCTTTGCTTGTTCGCTGGAAGGTTGAGGCCGGTTGGTGGGTTCAAGTCTCCAGGCGAGGCTGTATTACTTTTCCATGCCATCTGGGGGTTATGGACCTTTGTTTTCTTTTCCTGTGGCCCCCGTAAAATACTGAGATTCTCAAGTTCTCTTTTGAAGGCAAAAGTAATAGTTGCGGATAGACCTGGAGTGTCTCAGTTCATACAGTCGCTACCCGTCCATTCGGTTTACGCAGTAGGGTTATAATGTATTCACAGTCGCGGGCTTGGAATTATGTGGAAGAGTGTTGGAGGCGTTGGCGGTGTCATTTATGTATTTCACTGGCTTGGTCGGACGCTCAAGAGCAAAATACATGTTGGCCAGGTGGTGATGAAGATGGGTAGTACAGTGTACTTCCTTGCTGTGAGCGAGAGGAACCGTTTCTGTTCCAGTTACTCGCAGACCGACCGGTATGACAGTGATGCCCATCATCCTACCAGTTGTACCCCGTGAGGCCACTGCTGGGGACATCTGGCAGGTAGCACACAGGCTGACCCGACTTTGAGCAGCAGCACCGAGCACCACCTGCTGTCAGTGGTTCATTTGAAGGGTCCGCATGCCCCTGATCCATCCCAACGACCATCACCGAAAGCGATTACAATCCAACCTTGGTTTGTTGTTTATCGTGGCACATTTTGCCTCTAGTGAGCCTAGCCAGCAGGCGAAAAGGGGTATTGCATGAGAGAAGAAGGTAAGTAGAAAATGGGAAGACAGAAAGGAGGAGACAGAGGAAAATGAAGGGAAGAAGGGATGAAGAAACAAGTAAAGAAGGGGGAGAGTATGAGAAAGAGGAAGAAGAGGAAGAAGAGGAAGAAGAGGAAGAAGAGGAAGAAGAGGTTGAAGAGGTTGAATATTTTTGTCTATGTTCTCTTAGTTCCGCGCTAACAAACAAACCAGGGTTAATTGTATGACAAACCTAGTGATAGGTAAATTTATTCATAGTATACGTGTCTACACTAAAAAAGATGGAAATGAAGTTGAATGTGCGTTTCGTTGCTGAGATAAGGATGTACATACAATAGTATTGTATTACTCGCCGGCGTTACCCCTTGATCGCGTTCCGGTCTCGTGTTCGGCATGGGTGTGAGCCGTTCTCCGTAATGGCTATTGGAGTCAGCCATCACTGGGCTATATGTCTCATCATCATCTGGAAATCAAACGGGATACAAGGCCCCTGTGGTTTGTAACTTGATGGGAATAAGGTTCTCAGTAGTATTAAGTGAAGCTGGCTTGAAAATTCGAACATGGTGCTGCTCTGTTACCCTCAAGGAGATTGGGGCCTTGATGATTGAAGTGTACTTGTTGCTGGCAGGTTGTGATATTTTGTCAGCAGCTTTCGTCTATGGTGGAGTTGATGTTTTGCTGTGTCTTTCTAGATGCTACGGACCAAGTCGGTCGCTGCGAAACAATAAGAGTTGGACATTCTTCAGATGTGTATGGTCTCGTACAAGGTAGTCCAGCCTTGGTCTCACTCCTGCCGTACTAGGTACTCCCTTTCTCTGTTAAACCGGATCCTACCAATGGAACAGTGGCCATCCTGGATGTTGTATAGCGATACTGGCTGCTGGTCCTGAAGATCACCTCTGTACTTAGACCTATCCACCGCATGTGCACTCAGGGGTCGCCACGACAGGCCGGATTGCGCATCTGCGTTGCGCTAAAGAGCCAACCGGGTTTGATGTTCACCGAGGTCAATGTAAGGTCTGGATTCGTAGCATGAGGCCTGGCAATCAGACAAGCCCTCAATAGTAGGTAGACGTCCAATGGTCAGACTTAGGACGAAATATTTGTAGGCATAAGGAGGCCAACAAGATGGGCCGTGTGCTGATGTTTACGGTACAGTATGAACCTCTATTTACCAGATTCTCCGGAGGGGAACGCTGGCTCCTCGCCTGCATTTCATAGGGCTGAAAAGAGGTGCCACGACGGCGGACGAGCCCGGTGGGCTGGCTGCATGGCTCTGGGAGGCCGTGCTTCTACGCTGCTTGTTCCCTCGACCCTTGCAGTGGGGGGCCAATTCTGGAACACCTGGGGAACGCTCGACAGGGGGTTGTGGTTCCCTGCGGCTGCTGCCCAACGGCCAACGGTGCAGCTGATGCGTTCGGCGGGTTTTGTCCTGTACTTAATGAAGGTTCAGCTTCAGTTGCACAGAAACCACGCCACCCGTGCTGAAGCAGCCCATGTAGCGAATCCTGCCATGGCGACATGTCAACCGATAGTGCCACCCAAGCCCCTTGTCCGATTCCTATCATGAGCCGACATTTGGAGCTATTCTGCAGCTGGAAATGTCATGAGAAGGATGCAGACCTGGGACGTATACAGCCCTGTATTGCACAGGGTCGGCACCGAGTACCGAATGAGCGTCCCGGCTTTTGTTACGCGACTGAGACAGCATGACGAAGCTGGGGCTATGCACCAACAGGCGTGCAAAACATGCAGGGTTGGTCGGCCCCATTTTTTTCTGCAGCCGATGCAAACGAAAGAATGAGCAATGAGCTGTGAGGTTGAAGGGATCTCCTTTTGTTTGGGGTTTGCTCCTTACATGCCAAGAATTGCATGGTCGACAATTAGTAGAGTCAAAGAGGGCGTATCAAACGCACTACGCTTAGGTGCGGACTATTACCACAGCATTAACCTTCTCTCTCCTTGCCGGCCTTGTCGGAGCTACGGATCCCTCTCAGAAGTATTATCCTAAGAGTGCCAAAAACTCGCTGCATCATGCAAAGGAAGTCGTTCACACCCCGCACTACCGTCTTTGCTCGACCATAATTGTTTCACTAGCGAGGTTCGATTGGCTGAGGCACATTCATCAAGAGATGAGATAATATAAGCACGGGTCAAAGCAATCAGCCCAACATTTGCCCCTGATCTGAGAACGATATGGTCGAGAAAAGACGGTAGCCTACGTTTGGTGTAGTGTGTGCCGTCTCCGGCCGCACGCACTCCACCAATTCCCGGATCCATCCATGATTCCACTGCCCGCCGGTGAGTATCAATCCCCGAGTTCCTGTTGAAGCTGCCCGATCAATCCCACGCGTCGAATGGACAGGACTCGATCAATTCACACAGCGATGAAGCTGATCAAGCAATCACCCGAAAACTGCGCAGGGGCATTGTTCTTGGTTCCTTCTTTCTCAGTCCTTCCGAAAGAATCCACACCGCCCTCATAAATTCGGGTCGTCTTCGTTTGCCGCGATGGTAGCACAATCGTCCATACCTAGTATCGTCGAGGGATTAAGCGCCGTCCAACTCTGAGACAAGCGCGCAACCGTGGCTCGAGTGGCTCACGCACGCAACAGACGGAACCAACAGAGGGCTGCGCCACCCATCCGTCCCATCGGCGTCCATCCTTTTAGAGCAGATCGGACGAATCGGCTATCAATCAAGACTCGGGTTAAGCGCCGGCCGATGCCACTAGCTGACACCTATCCCGGGCAGGTCAATCGGTACCGAGCGCCGGCCGAGGACATCTCAACTTGAAGGTCCCATCACATTGGCCGGTCATCATCAGACGCCTTTGGCTGCAGCCGGCAGTACTTGACCATCCGTACAATGCAGCCGATGCCAGTTCGCACTGTGACGCCGATGGCTGGTCGAGCCCGCTAACGTTAGCGTCGAATACTGTTATCCGCGGGTTCGGCAAACGTTTCCGCGAGCCGTTAGCTTGGGCTAGCCGCGATCCCTGCCCTTGCATCGAGGTGGGCATGGAAAGAGGACTCGGAAGTGGTGGTGAAGCCTCCTCTCCCATGCCGGTCATTGGGTTTCCGTCACTGAGCTGGATCGATCAAATATGAGAGATCCCGGCATGCCGTATCCGTGGGACCCGTTTCCTGAGCTCGGCTCTCTTGGATGCGTATCTCCAACCCATCACAACTGGCGGTTTAATTCAGGTTGTGGCCTCGAGAACACAATTCTGCCACAGTGCAAGACTTGTCAAGCGCGGGCAATTCCCTCAACAAGAGGAGACTTCTCCAGATTGGAGAGCCAAAACGAAAATAGGATCTCACTCGCATGCGGCATCAGCGGAGGGCTGCCCAATAAGAGAAGCGGGACAGCTCAGCCCCCGCAGATCTGCCCCCCTTCCACTCCCCAACTCAATCGGGCTCCGTCCCTTGTCAGACTTCCGATGGCCGGGCCCCGGCAAACGGAGTTCACTCCCGAGAGTGAGCTTGACGATGGTCCCGATAAACCTGCTCACACCACTACACAGTCTTAGGCGCAAATCCCGCGTCGATACGGGAGTGCGGTTCTCGCGCTTACCGTGCACATTAAGAAGCCAAGGGCCCAAGCCATTTGCTCACCTCAACTGCAACATTCTTAAATGAGCAGACCGGGCAGAGTTGCAGAGCTAGTTCGGCGCCTACGCAGTCATACTCGCTTCGCTGCAACCCTCCATCACATGAAAGTGACTCCAACAAGAGGTAGCGTCTCGCTCCCACTTACTTTCCAAAATTCTCTTAAGGTTTCATGAAATGGTTACACTGGTTCTGAGCGATGCTGCGTGGGCGTCAAACAAATCCAGTACACAGTATGTGGTCAGCGCGCCCGCCTGCCACCCTGTGTAACTTCTGCAGACAGTCATAAGCACGGGATTGTTTACAGTACTGGAAGAACAGACAGCTCTTAGACATAGCAGGATCCTCGAGGCTCCTGCAGTATCCGGTGCATACAGAATGGCGCGGGGCAGCCTGCCTATAGGTTACCACTACCGCGAAAAAGTTGGATGGCCGAAAAGCGGTCAGCAGACTGTGACTGCACTTCAACTCTACGAAAAGGGTTTCTGGCTCGTCCGGCAGTTGGAAGACCTCCCCCTACCAGCGGTGATGCCACTCTTCCTGGGCGACTGTGGCTGAGAATCACGACTATCTTGTGCGCCGCGGCAAAACGAACTTCAAGGGGTTTTCCTTGGCAGGTACAATAGCTACCACCTGCAGGTCAGTCCCCAGCTGGCTGGACTGTCCGGTCTTCGCTTGCGCGGTAGAGAGAAAGGGGCCCTGAAGTTTGAATCTCCCGAGAAACATTCCCCCCTTTCGGCGTGGCTAGTTGACTACAACTGTACTGTGGTACAGGCCAGGCAACAGCATTCTGAACCCTTCCTTCACCCAATGCGTCCCCTTCCCTTACCCCTGCACTCTTGGGCTGACAGGGAAGAGCGGGAGCGATTGCCCTCCGTTTCCGCTCCGACTAAGCCTCTCCTGCAGAGGGCGCCAAGAATGACACCCAATCTCCGTACAGATCACTCGATCTTCATGGCACCCCACGAAAGACTCGGTGGGCCGTCTGAATATACACGAGCAGCGCCGCACACCTGCTGCGCTGGAGTGCCGCCAGAAATGCTTCGGGAACCCACTGTCAAATGCTCGGTCCCTTCGGGTCCGGCACTGTGACCCTCTTTCTGCCGCGCCCACTGTTCCCTTCTAGTTACGCCTGGGAGGGTTGTCTTCTGGCATGTCGACTGTCCTCCGGCCGTTGTCACGCTTCTCCTCGTACTAGGTATCTTCCCCTCTTCGCCCTACCCGTGCTGCTGCAGCCGCTCGTATACTACGTGTACTGCCGGCTCCGACCCAGACTTGGTCACGCCGGGTTAGGTTGTTTCCCTCTCGGGCCCTCGGCTGCTACCTCGACAGTTCGTTTCAACGTTTCAGCAGTCCAACCGGGCTGTGTAGTTCCTAACTTGGGACAGTTGACTCCAATTCGAGAGACTGCTGTTCGCCCACCCATCATGGCTAGCCTCAGCTTTATAATGGATGCCAACGACGACCACCCCACCGACACCCGATCCACCTCAAGTAATAAAAGGAACCAGGGCTTGAACAACGTGGGCCATGGCCCCCCTTCTAACCCACAGGCAGATACAAGGCATGTCACTACCCCTGGCTTGGCCACCACCGATAGCACCGAGCAAGATATCAACCAGGCCGCACCTGCTGGCCAGACTCGACAGCGCGGTACCCCGTCACAGGGTCCTAAGTCCGCCTCCGCAACATCACTGCCAGGAAAGGCGGACAAGGGAGCCGCTCTCGTTGCCGTCGTCTCATCCACCTCCTCTTCTTCGCCATCCTTGTCTGCGTCCACGGCCCGGCGATCGACACGCCGCCGGAGCACGACAACCGAAGACTCAATGGACCGGTCACGATATGGCCAGGGCCCCTCGTCGTTTTCAATGGGCCGGCGTCTTCAGAGGCCCATGCCTATGCCTCCCGCCCCAGCCCAATTCACTCCAAAGATCACGCCCAAGACGGGGCGGGTCAGTAAAGCCAAAAAGGGCTTGCCGGTTCATGTGTGCGAGATTTGCAACCCACCCAAGGTATGGACAACCCTTCGCTCTTCTCTCATGATTTCTTCGCCGTGTGAGTGCGTACGGACTAATACGTTCAAGACCTTCACTCGGGCTGAGCATCTAAGGTGAGCTCATTGACCTGCACCCCCACCCATGCCCTTTATTTCCGCCGCCGATGGTGCTCTGATACTTGTATTTCTTTAGACGTCACCAGCTAGGCCACGGAGAGCCGCGATTCCAGTGCTCCGGCTGTGACAAGTCGTTCCATCGAGCCGACCTTCTCGCGCGGCACCAGCAAAAGCAGTACGTGAGCGCATACCCCAGGAGCTTGCCATTGTGTACTGATGACCAAGCAGTGAGGACGATGGTGACCATGGCATTGGCATTCCAAAGCTGCAACCAGCACGTCGGAGCCCTCATCCACCCCCAGCAGCACCGTCTTCCCAAGCCCAGAACTCGCCCCGAGCACACGGCCTCACGTCAACTCCGTCTCCCTCCGTGACCGCCATCCCGCCCTCACCCAGTGCAGCCGTGGGGAGTCAGTCCGATCTCTCGCATATTGGAGACTCGGCACCAGGAGACAATGCCGCCTACAGAGCGGCTCCCTGCCCCCCGTCACAGGACTTCCACAACACGTACACTCCAACCCTATCCATCGTTGATCCGGCGCGGTCGTCATCGCTTGCGGTTCCATACCTCGGCGCTCTGGAATATCAACCCCGGAACGGGCCACCGACCATTTACGTGGTAACCCAGGGTCTCGAATCGCCGAGTGTCCAATCTGTCGAAGTGCCAGAACTCCATGATGGCTCCGCATGGCCATCTTCGGCTTCTGACAGTACCTACTCGACGCCGGTATCAGACGTCTCTAGGAATCCGCGACTGTCGTCCTATCCTAGCACGGCAAGTCGCGGGCTGCTGCATTCTGCACAGACTATTGAGGGCATCCCCGCTGCTCCGCCTCCATTGTTCCTGAACTCGTACTCGAACGACCCATCAGAACACACTTATGGCAGTACGCTCGGCGTACCATCCATGGGGTATTCCACCACCGGCGCTTGCCACCGTCGTGCCTCCTTGACCGCCTCCACAGACGGCACTCCCGGCTCCTACCAGCATCGCCACATCAACTCACTGTCCTCTGCGCATCGCCGATCCCCGCCCCTAAACACATCTTCACCTGGGAATGAAACGTTGCTTGCGTCTTCTCCCGGTTTCTCCAACCGCCTGGACTCCGTGGCCAGCATTAACCGCCGGAAGGGGTTCATGATGGAGGCACACCAGGACTTACTAAGCTCGCACGCGGCGATGGGCCCTCTGGCTATCTTGGACGGCCTGGCTGTGGCGTACGGTGCTGGCAGCAGCGCGGCAAGCCCTGGTGCTGATAACGCCAGTCATAGCAGCGGCATCATCGCCGAACTCGACTTGGCATTGGAGGGTCGCTGTGCCATGCCGACGTCCTTGTCAATGACCATCCCATTGCCGGGGCCAGTCCTTGCCGCCATTCCCCGCTACCTCGACATCTACTGGTCCGAAGTCGACCTTGTTATGCCTCTGATTCACCGTCCATCTTTCGAAGCGGCCCCAGAGGATATACTGAGATGTGCTATGGCGGCTGTAGCTACGCAACATCTTGACAATCGGGAGGATCGCACTCGGGGCAATCAACTGCATGAGTTTGCATGGCAGGAGGTGAAACGTGTAAGTGGTGCATGCCTCACACCGCGGCCTTTCCTCACACGCTGAGAAACAAGGTTCATGACAACAAAATAGGTAACCCAATGGAGCCTCCAGACCATGCAAGCCATCCTCCTCTGCGAATACTTTGCCCGTTTCCGCGGCCGCAAGGCCGTCACACGACCTTCGAGGCCGTTCGAGTCTCTATTTTCGAGGGTGAGTGCTCTGCGGTCCTTCACTGTGCCGCCGTCGTCCTCTATTTTGCCCAAGCACAACGGCCACTGGTTTGTCGACACCACTGCCTGGTCCCCTGCTTCTTCCCCTGCGTCTTCTACTTCTTCCTCTCTCTGTGACACCGTCCCACCTACCACCACCACCGCCATGTCTCCTATTGTCCTACGCCATCTGAGCCCGCTCCGGGCTACTCCCTGGGGCGGCTTCCTTTCTCCCCAGCTTCGTTCTTCGCCGGGTGCTTCATCCTTCGGAAACACTCTCATTTCCTCGTCAAACTCGTCCAAGGCGTTCCATTTGCCCCGCTCGTGGGTGAATAATTGTAATCCTAATCACCCGTCTTCTTCGCCTTCTGTTTCTTCTTCTTCTTCATCTTCTACCAAATATCATTCCCGAGCACAGCCGTCATGGTCGTCTCTTTTCGCTCCAGATTGTTACAGCCCACCGGCATCAACACCGGTAGCTTCCTTTTCTGTTGCGGCTCCTCCTCCCTCTCGGGCCCCTGGACAGGCATACTCACAGCGTGTTTCGAACCCACAGATCCTGTATCACAACCCGGCGTATCTGGATCACACGATGCTCGCCACAGACCAGCACCATCTATCCGTCCAACAGCGATGGCACAGCTGGATAGTGGCCGAATCGCGCCGTCGTCTCCTTGCGGCCTGCGTCTTCTGCGACGAACACGCCGGCATCTATCACCAGCAGCGGCGTGCACAGGATAGCCATCCCTCGGCGGCCCTTCAGCCGCTTCCCCTCCTTGGCGGCAGCACAAAACTGTGGGAAGCGTTGTCGGCAGAGGAATGGACCGACGCGCTGGCCGCTGATCCGGCCGTGCTCCAACCCGAATACGTGCCCCCTCTCGAGCACCTGACATTCGAGGACATCGTCCGACGACCCCAAATGGACCGCATGATCATCGCCGCCGCCTTTGCACAGCGGCTGCCGCGCCGTCACCGGCCGGGACCAGCATCATCGCTCTCGGCAAACAGCTCCCCGACCCCCGAACTGGACCCGCAGATGCACCACCCCGGCAGCCCGTCCATTCACCTCCTCAACAACAACCAACCCACCTCGTTCCTCCGTCACCAACCCGAGTCCTCCCCACAGCCCGACAAGATTCCCTCTTGCCCTTCCTCCGACGCCGAGGAGCGCATCAGCACCATCTTCGGCCCCTGTCCCGTCGCCAACACGTATCTTGCTCTGCACCACACCCCGCTGCGCGATCTCCTCGCCGTCGGCGGCGACTCGTGGGTCTTTTCTCAAAAGGTCCTCCCCGCGACTTCGTTTCACGAACACCAGAAACGGCTCAAAGTCTGGGTCACTTCCACTTCTACTTCTACCTCCTCCACCACCAACGAAAACAGTGGTACCGGTAGCGGCGGCCCCAGTGTCGTGCGCGCCACCGTCTACGCCGCCCGCGCAATTCTGGGGTTTCTCGCTCGCCAGCCTCCTCCGCCTTCTGTTACTACTACTGCTACACCTCACGCGCGACATCCACAGCTCCAAGGGGAAAAGGTTTCCAGTAGTAGTAGTGGTGGTGAGTGCTCCATGGGGAAGCGGAACACGGCTGCCGCGCCCTGGTCTATGGACATGTCCGATTACTGGGCCATGTATGTCTGCGCGCTGATTTGCTGGGCGTTTTGTCACCAACACCAGACACATAATCCGGCGCACCGGTCGTCATCCTGCCGGTCTGGTGCTGTTGGCGGTGGTGCCACCGGGAGGGGGGGGATTAGTCCTGTGCCGGCTGCTGCCGCTTCTGCGTCGCGGCCTCAAACCCAGAGTGGCGCATCCGCCTCCGCGGCTGACGATGAGGAGGCGGTTATTGCATGGCTAGGGATGGTGGCGGCCCAGGGCGTGAGGCCGGAGGATGTGGTGGGACTGCGCGGGCGGCGCGAGGCGGCCGGTGTCGTGGGGTTGGTGAGGCGGAGGTTGGAGGCGGATTGCCTGGGCGGGAGGAGCCGGCTGTATGTTGATGCTGTCGGCGTGTTGAGGAAGATTGAGGAGGGGGTCGGATGGAAGTGGTTTTGAGCTCGGTGCTCGTCCACACAACCAACATACTGACCCACGCGTCTGGTCCCAAACCTCGGCTCGGCTCTTCCATCGGCCATTCTCCTCCAGCGCCTCTACCTCTTTTGCCTCCCTTTCTTTCCGCCCTCGCTATGAGCGCTCCAAGATCGCCTTCCCTCGCCACAGAGAAGAGAAACGAACGACACCAACACTCGTCCACACACCCACACACAGCGGGAAACAACCCCACGGCCACACTCATTTCTCTCTCTGCTTGAGCACTTCCCTAAGCGCGCACCCTTTCCTTACACAGTCATGGACATATCTATGGCCTAATGGGCAGCCGTCCATACATGATACATCCAGAATAACTGATCCTGCGTCTCATTCTTCACCTTTTCGAATCACTATGATTGGGAGGGACACTGTCACGATACATCGGCGCTGGGATAAAAAAAATGGCGGGGTTTGGTTGGGCGGTCGGTTGAGTCCATTCTCTTATCATCAACATGGAAGAGAGCGCAGTAGGAGTCTGTCTCTACCCGTTGTCAGTCATGAGCATGTGGAAACGACTTGACCCTCGTTTCTGATATACTTCTCATTTTTTTCTCCTTGATTATCCTGCTTCTCTTCCTCGCGAACAACAGTTGACCATTCTCACTGTAATTCTATGTATACGCTGCTTTTGCTCGAGCGTTTTTGTGCCTTTGGATCCTGTATTTATGTATAGTATAGCTCAACACACTGGGGACGGAAAGGGACGTGACAAAATAATCTAATGATAAGTGAGGATAATGACACATGTCTGAGGGGGGGATGGAGCCGGAGAAGATAGAAGGAATATACGGGATTTTGATACTTGAACCGGTTCTACTTTTGACAGGCTGGCATGGGCATACGAATACGACATGATGAAATGGCTTCTACTCTAATAAGGATATGCTGAATCTATCAAGGATCTCGCTGTCCCCCGATTTTACCTGCCCTGCCATACAATACCTACCCCAAAGCGCCATGTGTTAAAACACGCACCCACACATCTGAGTTGATCAAAAATGCTGCCCCAAGCTGCCTCACCCGGTGACACAAGAAACGTCAGTAAAAGCAACATAAAGAATGGGTATATGCACCGTCTACTTGCTCTCAAAACAAGCCGTCAATCTCGCCCGTCTCAGTATCGACATCGACGTTCAGATAGCCCGGGGCGGTAGGCAGACCGGGAATGGTCTGGATGTCGGCAGCCAGCGCGTAGAGGTAACCTGCCCCAGCAGCCATACGCACATCCCGGATGGGCACCGTGAAGCCCGTGGGCGCGCCCTTGAGCTCTGGGTCGTGGCTAAGAGAGTACTGCGTCTTGGCGATGCAGATGGGCAGATTTCCGAAGCCCTGACGCGTGTACGTGTCGACCTTCTTCTGCGCAAGCTCACTGAACTCGACAGCGGCGGCGCCGTACATGTCGCACGCAATCTTCTCGATGCGCTCCTGGACGGTGCCTTCGAGGCCATAGAGCAGCTTGAAATCCTTGGGCTTCTCGGCGGCGGCGATGACGGCCTTGGCAAGGTCGACGGCGCCCTTGCCACCTTCGGCCCAGTGGTTGGCAAGGACTGCGTCCTCAGCGCCAGCCTTAATGGCTTCTTCGCGGACTACGTCGATCTCGGCCTGCGTGTCGGTCGCGAACTTGTTGATGGCCACCAAGACGGGCACGCCATACGACTTGGCGTTGGCAACGTGCTTGGCCAGGTTGACGCAGCCCTTGCGTAGAATGTCGACGTTCTCCTCCCGGTATACGGCGTGAAGAGGAGCGCCGGGCGAGATGGGCGGGCCGCCTCCGTGAACCTTGAGCGCGCGGATGGTGGCAACGACGACAACTACATCCGGAACGAGTCCCGAGGTGCGGCACTTGATATTGAAGAAGCGCTCACCGCCCATGGTGAAGTCAAAGCCGGCCTCGGTCACGACAAAGCCAGCCTTGGAGGTGTGGTCCTCGTCCGGCTCAGTGCCGGCGAGCTTCAGCGCCATCTTGTCCGCCAAGATGGAGCTGTTGCCGATGCTGATGTTGGCGAAGGGACCCGCATGCACGAACACGGGAGTCCCCTCCAAGCTCTGCATCAGATTCGGCTTGATGGCGTCTCTCATCAGAGCGGTGAGCGCACCGCCGGCACCGATGTCATCGCAGGTAACAGGCTCGCCGCTCCTCGAACTGGCGACAACCATCCTACCAAGGCGCTCCCGGAGATCGCCCAAGCTCGTGCTCAAGGCCAGAATGGCCATGCATTCACTGGCCACAGAGATATCGAAGCCAGTCTCGCGGCTGTGGCCTTTCTCGGTCGGCGCGTTGCCAATGACGATGCCGCGCAGGTGCCTGTCGTTGACATCGAGAACGCGCCGCCAAGTGATGGTGTCCGGGTCGATGTCAAGGCGAGCAAAGCGACGGATCTCGTCTTCGGTTAGCGAGTCAGGATCCGTCTTGTCGATGCCCAGCTTCTTCAAGCGACGCAGCATGACGGGGGCAAACGTTCTCTTGCCATTCTTGACAGGGATGAGGCGCCTGTACAGGGCGGCATCCTTCTGGGTGCTCTCGTGGAACATGCGCGTGTCGATAGCGGCGGCGAGGAGATTGTTTGCGGCCGTGATTGCGTGGATGTCGCCAGTCAGATGCATGTTGAACTCGTCCATGGGAATGACCTGGCTGTAGCCGCCGCCAGCGGCACCTCCTTTGATGCCAAAGGTCGGGCCCTGGCTGGGCTGCCGCACGTTGGCGAATGTGACACGGCCAACATGGGCGCCGAGCGCCTGGGCAAGACCCATTGTCGTCGTGGACTTGCCCTCACCAAGAGGGGTAGGGGTGATTCCTGTGACGACGACATAACGGCCATCGCGACGATGGCCGAGGCGCTTCAGGAGACTGAGATCAACCTTGGCCTTGTAGGAGCCATATGGCTCCAATTCCGAAGGCGAGATGCCAATTTCCTTGGCTATCTGGGTGATAGGCTTGGGCGCCTGTGCCCGGGAAATGGCAATGTCAGACGGAACAGGATCCAGGAGTTTGAGGTGCAGGGGCACAATATGTCTCTGCTTCTCCGCTTCAAAGGACTGAGTCGCAGCATCCACAACGTTGTGAAGGAGCATGGCCACGGTCATGGGACCCACACCGCCCGGGACCGGTGTGATTTGGGAAGCAACCTGGGAGGCCGACTCGAAGTCGACGTCGCCAACCAGACGCTGGCCGGACTTCTTGGTAGCATCGGGAATGTAATTGGTGCCCACGTCAATGACAACAACCCCTGGCTTGAGCTGCTCTCCCCTGACAAATCCCGGTTTCCCGATGGCGACGACCAGCACATCAGCATCCTTGAGGTAGCTGTCCAGGTCCTTGGTCTTGGAGTGGCAAACGGTGACGGTGGCATCGGCGTTCTTCAGGAGGTAGCTGACAGGGCTGCCAACAATGTCGCTCCTCCCAAGCACAACGGCAGTCTTGCCGGCCAGCTCCACCCCGGCCTCATCGAGAAGCACCATGACGCCCTTCGGGGTGCAAGGGACGAAGAAGGGGCGCCCGCCGCGCTTGGCCAGCTCGCCGATGTTGTAGGTGCCGAAGCCGTCGACATCTTTCTCGCTGGCCACAGCCGACGTGACGTTGTACTCGGAGACATGCTTTGGAAGCGGCAGCTGCACCAGGATACCGTGCACAGCCGGGTCATTGTTAAGAGCGACCACGCGGGCAACCAGCTCGGCCTCGGTAGCAGTTTCGTCGAACTTGATGAGCTCGCAGGCAATGCCACACTGGAGAATGCCCGGTCAGACAGTGAACCTGAGGTTATAAGTTGCGAAGGGCAGCTTACCTCCTCGGCGGCCTTCAACTTCATGCGAACATAGGTAGCTGCGGGGCATCCAGCGTCAGCGTGTCTTGTCCCGCGTCCTAGAGCAAGTGCCGTGGTGGGGTAAATGAGGGTGTGAGCATACAGGAGTCGGAGCGATCACCCACTGCAACGGTTGGAGGTTAGCTTAGCCACGACTATATTTGAGGGAGCACTTAGCGCACCTTGGATGATCTTAAGGCAGGGCTGGAAGCGCGGATTGATGCCCTTCTTCCCTGCGATCTCGGCTTGCAGCCGCTCGCGCACCTTCCGGGCGATTGCCGTTCCGTCAATCCTTGTCGCGACCATGGCTGCCGCCGAGTTGGAGAAGGCCCTTAGAGCGGTTGGTGGCACAAGAGGGTGAGGACGCACAAGAGGGCGGGAGTTGTGACTCGTCCTCCCGTGGCAGTTGCTGCGCCAGGGAAGGTTTGGGCCGATCGAGTCTGATGATGGAGCCCCACGAGTTGTGGGACGGCGCGGGGCAGCGGGGCCTGCGGCAGCCGAGGAGAGCCGTCGAATGTCGGCTCGGGCTGCTGCCGTGCTGATGTTGACTTCCCCTGACTCACATGCTGCGGCCACACCACAACCAGTTGGTGCCCTGCTGTTTACCGGCCGCCGGATCGAGAGGTCACTATGACTCGACAAGCCAGAAAAATGGCTCGGTCGGAATGGGCATGCTGGCGAACCATGTGTGAGCGCCCTGGCCGTCGGTGCAAGCTGCAGCGTCGAAACCCTCTTGATGAGGCGAGAAAGGGCCATGGCTCCTGCTGACTCCGCCGGCCCTGCTGCAAAAGTGTCCAACGCCGTCGGGTTGGGCGACTCGCTCCTCCACCGGTCACCCGTATATGGCGGAACTGATCCCTTAACGCGAACACAGGGTCGAACATCAATCTACAAAGGAACCCGGCCGAAAAAAGGGTCCTGGGGTGGAGATATTCGGCTGAGTCACGGCTTTCTTCAACACGCCTGCTCCATCAACCGGGGTTGGGCTTCATCGGATGATGGAAGCTACACCACGGCCGACCAGTTGAGGACGGGACAAACGCACAGTAATAACGTAGCAAAACAATTCATTCTGACGGGACCTGGTGCGACAGCTGCCACTGTGTCTTTTGGTCAGGGGGAAGCGTGTTTTGGGAAACCGATGGCTCAAGCTCCGTGAGCCGGGACCAGAAAAATCGCCAAACCGGCGCTGTTCTGCCGCGCCGGGAAGGGAAAGGCGTCTGTCTACGTTGCAGGTGTGTTGCAGCTTCTCCCGGCCAGCCTGTTCATACAACCATCAGTATGTGCCTTGGAGGATGCTGGAGTCACTGTCTCTACCGAGAGGGAAACCGATTCGATGACTCGATTTGGGGGTGGGAAGGGGCGCGATCCGCTTCACCTACAGTTGGTTCGCAAACGTCTCAAAACAGAAGGCGGTCAAAGAACGGGTGGGGTCGGAATCGTCCCCGCGATGGCCTGTGGTGGACTATCGGCGCCACGCACAATCTGCGGAAAAATCACTGGCCTCCCAAATCATTCCGGCGAAGAAAGCAGCATCAACTCCCTGAAAGTAAACGCCCCCCAATAATAGCTCAAGACGACCTGGAGTTGAACTATCAATCCTGCATCTCCCTTCCATACGGCAATAAAGAAAGATTTCGACGACGGTACGCGACATCGATACTAGACAACCGCGCACACCGCCAAAATGAGGCCCATCCTGTTGGCGGGCCACGAACGTGCCCTGACCCAGATCAAGTACAGCCCCGACGGCGATCTGATCTTCTCTGTTTCCAAGGACCAAATCATCTGCGTCTGGTTTTCGCACAACGGCGAGCGGCTGGGGACGTACCGCGGCCACCAAGGTGCCATCTGGACCATTGACGTCGACCCCACCTCCACCATTCTCGCCTCGGGATCCGCCGACAACACAATCAAGCTCTGGGACATCAAGACGGGCAAGTGCCTGCAGACATGGGACTTCCCTACAGCCGTCAAGCGCGTCGAGTTCAGCGACGACGGCACCAAGCTGCTGGGCGTAACAGAGAAGCGCATGGGCCACCTGGGCACCATCGTTGTGCTGGACATCAAGCTCGACGTCGAGGCAGAGCAGTCTGACGAGAAGGCCATGACCATCGTGTGCGAGGAGAGCAAGGCCACAGTCGCCGGCTGGAGCTACCTTAGCAAGTACATCATCGCCGGCCACGAGGACGGGTCCGTCTCTCAGTACGACGCCAAAACCGGCGACCTGATTTACAACATCCCGATCCACGAGCTGAACCAGTCGATTACCGACCTCCAGTGGTCGCAGGACAGATCATACTTCATCACCGCGTCAAAAGACAAAACTGCCAAGGTAAGCCTCATACTATCGCCCACGTTGGACAAACCCGAACGGTGTTACTAACAGCTCCTTCCCACCCCCCTTCCAGCTCATCTCATCCAGAGACCTCGAAGTCCTTAAGACCTACCCAGCCGACACGCCCCTCAACAGCGCGACCATAACCCGCAATAAGGATTTTGTCATCCTAGGCGGCGGCCAGGCCGCCATGGACGTGACTACGACCGCCGCGCGGCAGGGCAAGTTCGAGGCGCGCTTCTACCACAAGATCTTCGAGGACGAGATTGGGCGCGTGCGCGGCCACTTTGGTCCGCTCAACACGGTGGCCGCCGACCCGACGGGCAAAGGGTACGCCAGCGGCGGCGAGGACGGCTACGTGCGCGTGCACCATTTCGACAGGGGCTACTTCGACTTCATGTACGAGGTCGAGAGGGAGAGGCAGAACAGGCTAGCGGCGGTTGTTAGTGCTTAAAGGACAGTCCCGGAAGTGGGGGAACGCGGTGTGAGTGGTGATGGTGGTGGTGGTGGTGGCTCGGCATTTACAAATGGCGTTCAGGGAACAAAGATTTGAGGGCGGCGGCGGCGGATCAGGGCGGGATGGATGAAGAGTAAGTAATTCTCTCGTATCCTGGAAAACATGGAATTGTGGTTCTTCGCCCGGGTAGTCCAGTTTGCTCCTGTAGCTTGGTCCTGCGTGCTCCTCGCTAAATGCGAATAGCCTAACAGCAAAGGCCTGGCTTTCAACCTGTTCTACATCACATTTTTCACCATGGTTCCCTGTCTGTTCCCCAACGATATGAGAATGGAGAAACAGCTAACCTCATTTCATGAATCTTTAAATATCTGTCAGGAAACTCAAGATGCTCAGCGCTGCCTGATGCTATTCCCTTATCATTCTTGCAGGAGACTTGATGTATCTGCTGAAAACAACTCCAGGAGCATGGGTTTTTTGTCAGCTCTCCGTGACGAAACAAAGCAAAGCCACCTAAACGCCCTGCCTTCCTTCCTTCCTCCCTCTGTCACCAGATTGGAATGTTCACCAAATGAGGGAAAATTACAGCCGACCTTGACAGCCAAAGACCGTCGCCTACCCACAGCATGGCGATAGAAACCACATCGTCTCCGTTCCTCTATCCCCCAGAAATCCATTCCCCACAACCCTTTTTGTCGCTCACAGTTACTTTTTCTTGCCCTTGGCGGACTTTGCTTTTGAGGCAGCGGCAGCATTCGAGTTTGTCGACGCGACGCTGGACGCCCGCGAGGGCGACGTCGAGTTGGCCTTGCTGGCCGTAGCCGACTTTACATTGTCAAGCGCTTTGTTCTACCGAGAGACGAGCGTTAGGGCGTGGGTTGTTGGGGGTTGTGTCGGATCAAGAGAAGATGCTTTACCTTGACACCATTTGCCTTGGTCTTTTTCTTAGCAGGCGCGAGGCCAAGGATGCTATCCTCATCGTTTTCATCGTCGTCTGGCTCCCGCTTGAACTTGCCATTCACGCCGTTGGCCTTGGTCGTGTTGACATCCTCAAACTCCTTGACGACCGTCGTCAGGAGCGTGTTGCAACGACGGCCGAGCTCGGTAGGTGTCCGGCTCAAAAAGAACCAGTCGAACCGGAAAAGCGGGCTCTCCCGGATCTCGTCGCGGATCTTCTCGTAGATGCCCTCCGAATCCACGCCGTACTTGTCCAGAAGGACGAGCAGGAACCGATCCTCCTCCTCGGTGTACACCTTTTTGTTGGTGGTCGATACAGAGTAGCTGATCTTGAGTTGCTGCAGCGGCACACGGTACTGGCTCAACTTCTTACGCAGCATCTTGCGTTGGTGTTCGATCTTGCGCATGCGCTCCTCCCCATCCTCAATGATCTTGATGTATTTGTTGTAGTCAGCGATTTCGGTGTATCGCTGCCAAAAGACCTTGGCATACGCCCTGACTTCTTGCGGCGTCTTACTGTCAACCTCCATTGCGATGCCCTCGTAATCATGCCGGCCATACTTCCCGGACCCGTTAATGAACTGTTGGAAATCACGCCGGTTCCAGTCACCAAAGCCTTGCTGGGCGAGCCTCTGCTTCTCCTCTTGCTCCTCCTCGGTGAGGGGCGTGGCGTTGTCGATCTCTTGCTGGTCGAGCGCCCTCTCAGCGTCGCGCTCCGACAAGTTCTCGTCGTCGCCTTCTGGAAGAGGAACCTTGTACCCAATCTCTTTGCGGTAGTAAGCAGTTTCCCTGTCCTGCAGGTCACGGAGCCTGGGAGGGTAGAACTGGTAGTCGTGGACTGACACTTGCTTGGGGGCACGGGGTGCCTTGGGTTTCGCCTCGGCGGTCCGGCCTCCTGTGTGCAAGGCCTGCTTGTAGTACTTGTCGATCGAGTAAACCTGCTCCTTGCGCTCACGCTTGGCCGGGTTGATCCAGTTGATGCCGATATCCTTCTTGCGCGCGGCGAAGTCCTCTCCGTTCCACTCGTAGGCCGACTCCGAGGTGAACTTTTGCAGGTCGTCGAGGCCGAGCTTCTCATACCTGGCATTGAGCTCTTTGGTGCGGCTTTCGCCAGCCTGCAGAATTTCGTCGATGTCGTCGTCGTTCAGCTCATTGCCCTTCTCGGCCAGCGTTCCAAACGCGCCCTTTGTCTTGAAAACCTTCTCTGCGCCGTGCTGGATCATGGAGAGCAGCTCATCCTTGTTTGCCGCCGCTTTGGCAGCGGCTTGTGCACGCCCTTGCTGGATGACCAGCTGATCGAGGCGCAATTTCTGCGCCGCGCGCTCCAGGACCTTCTCTTCGATTGCATTGTCTGTGACAAAGCGGTAGACGACGACCTGCTTCGTCTGGCCAATACGGTGAGCCCGGTCCATGGCCTGCAGATCGGCTTGCGGATTCCAGTCGCTGTCGTAAAGTATGACAATGTCGGCAGTGGTCAAGTTGATGCCCAGGCCGCCGGCTCTTGTGGTCAGCAGAAAGATGAACTTCTCCGACCCCGGCTTGTTGTACTCGTCAATAGCGGCGATTCGGTCTTCATGTGCGGTGCTACCGTCAATGCGGCAGTACTTATATCCCCTAAAAACGCAGTAATCCTCGAGTATATCCAACAAACGGCTCATTTGTGAGAAGATGAGCACACGGCTGCCCTGATTCTGCATCCTCTTCAGCAACTTGTCAAGGACGATCATCTTGCCCGAATTGTACACGAGATGCTCGTCCGTCGTATAAGGAGGCCCCGGCTCGGCGCCCTCAAAGAGGTATGGGTGGTTGCAGCACTTCCGAAGCTGCATGACGATGTTAAGAAGCCGGGTCTTGGATTCGCGCTTTCCACCAGCTCCATTGACAGCATCAATATCCTTCTCGAGGATTTTCTGGTACCACTTGACCTGCATTTCCGACATGCCGATGTAGACGTTGACCTCCTTCTTGGGAAGCAGGCTCTTCTCGACATCACTCTTGACACGGCGGAGCAGGAAAGGCCGAAGTACACGGTGCAGCTGCTGAACAACCGTGTCTTGGTCCCGATCCTGGCCCGAAAACCACTGATCGAATGCTTCCGAGTCGCCGAAGACATCGGGAAGCAAGAAGTTGAGCAGCGCCCAGAGCTCGTGGAGATTGTTTTGGAGAGGTGTGCCGGTAATCAGGAGCCGGTTTCTTGAGGTGAACATGCGGATGACTTGAGCCAACGACGACTCTTCGTTTTTGATACGATGGGCCTCGTCGATGATGATATACTCCCAAGCGAACTTGCGAAGGTGAGCCTTTTCGCGAAGGATCATCTCGTAGCTGGTGATGCAGACGTCAAAGTTCTCGTCCACCAGTCGGTTGTTGATGAGCTGATTACGCTCCTCCTTGGCGCCCTGCAGAACGAGGACATTGACTTCTGGCGTCCACTTGGCAAACTCGCGCTTCCAATTGTCCAGAGTGGACTTGGGCACTGTGACAAGGTGAGGGCCCGTGATGCCCATGATGTGTCGAAGGTAGCCCAGGAACGCGATGGTCTGTAGAGTCTTGCCCAGGCCCATTTCGTCGGCGAGAATGCCCGATATGCCGTTCTCATGAAGTGAGATCAACCAGTTCAAGCCGGCAATCTGGTAATCCCTCATGGTCCCCTGGATGAAGGCAGGAGACTCGCGGAACACGGTCTCGGCGGAACCTCCATGCTTTTCGTCCTTGAGAAGCTCGGCATCTTCTTCGGCCTCGGTCCGACGACGCCTCTCACTAGTAGCGCCCCCCTGACGACCACCGCCCTTCCTTTGCTTGGCTTCTTCTTCGTTCTGGCGATCGATTTCGGCCATGATCTCGCGGATCTTGGGGTTCGGGTTCGTCTCGATGAAATGGCGAAACAAGTCTGTGAGACCCAGGAGGTATCGAAACCGACGAATCGTGTCATCCTCCTATGAGAACAATAAGGTCAGCGACGGTTCGCTCATCGGAGGGCGAGTGTCCTGCTGTCCTACCTTTGACTCGCCCAAGCGGTCGTGTTTTTTGCCAAAGATACTCCTACGTAACTGATTGGCTTCTGAGCGCCTCTTGCGGCCATCGACAACGGGTTCCCCAACCACGCTGCTGGCAGTCGTGTTGGGGTTTGTGTCAGAGTCGGTGTAGTCGGGCGTCTCGTCGACGTCCTGGGGGATTGAACGTCAGCTTGCCTGGTCTTAAAGAGACGGTAGCCGCGCAGGGTGAGATCTCTTACCATGTCGTCGGCTGTCTGAGAAGGACGAGTGGGTTCAGGCGCATCGGGCATTGACGCGTCGGTGTCGTTGCCGCTCTGCCGCGAACGGGGAGCCATGCTGGCTGCAGTGCCCTCGATCGAGGTTCAAGCTGTGTAAAGGGTACGCGACTTAGACGCGCCTCCGTCTAAGTGGTTTCGCGCTTCAAGTAGGATCCTCTTGATGATTCAATGAAGTTTGGGTGATGATGGCGGATGTCGTGGCTGCGATTCGCGACGGCGACGAGAAAGGGTCGGAGGAAACTGGTTCAAGATGGGTGGGCGCTTTGCATGGTATGAAATTCCATCGAGGTCGAGGAACCCAAAAGGGTCCAAATCGCGCTCTCGGCCAATCACAGTTGCCACTCGACCGAGGGGATTGAACGGCGGTCGACTTCAGAAATACAGAGTGCAAAGGCCAGAGAGGCGATGCCATCAGCACCAAACCATCCACAGAGGGTTTGGTAAGTGCATATATTCATGGATAAGTCAACTATATTTATTTGGAAGCCGCCGAGTTAGGAACAATCCTCGCCGAATCCGAAGGTACTTCATACTGAGAATGGGTAGTTTGGGTATATGTTTCTGTAATCTTAATATTGTATGTACCGTACCTATTGGAAAGCTAATAGCCACGAATTTTAACGCACCGTAGTAATTGGGCACTAAAAGATGGGCAACCTGTTGGATTTGGCAGGTGGTCAGGGAGGGCAGCTCAGAGGTGACTAATGGCTTGGCACCAGGATTCTCAGGATCAGGAAGAGGCGGGCAACTGTTGGGAAGAACATAGAGACCAGCATCATCATCAATTGAGTGGGTGCCCATCTTTTGGTGCCCAATTACTACGGTGCGGTAACCCCGTGGCTGTTGGCTTTCCAACACAACTACTCAATTGATGATCATCCTAGTGTCTGCGTTGTTCCAAACCGTTTCCGGCCTCTTCTTGATCCTGAGAATCCTAGTGCCAAGCCATTAATTACACCTGAACTGCTCTCTCTAACCACATGCCAAATTCAATAGAACCTTACCTAGTAGGGCATTTACAAGCTAATATATATATATATCGATCTTATACTGCAAGGGCAATCGCTCTGCTCAGTTAGGATAAGCGGTCCCTCTGCATTATTGTACATGTAAGGTGCTTACTTTCATACTATATCCGCACGTCTTAGTTGCCGTTTGGGCGCCCTTAGCAGTCCCTCCTATTTAATAGTCCGGATTTGCCTTTCCAGCTTAGTAAGATGAATCTATAGGCAGCTATCTGGCCGTGTTCGTCACTTAGCTATATATCTTGTAACGGCTCGGCTCGAAATAGGCCTCGGTGACCCTCGGCTAGCTTCCGTACAAGCACGGTCCACCAAGCCCCCTAGATGAAGCTATTCCCACTTGACCCACAGTGTCGAACCTTCTAGCAGCGTATATCTGTGAGGATAAATTGGCTCTCGAGCTACCAGAGTCTCACATCTCTTCTTTCCTACTCTAAGTTCAGTGTACTCATAGAGTCGTCATCAGCTAGTTGCAATATACTACTTGAGACCGTTACATATCTTGCTCTATGCGCTTATAGCTTCAGCATAGCATTAGAGCCTAGTGCGCCTCCTCCTCTTTTTATCCTTCTTAGCCCTCTCTGGGCTCCTAGTCCCTTCGCCTCCCTTAGGTCTTCTTCTGCTCTCTTACGCTCAAGATCTATTGAGAGCCTAAATTCAGCCAAACTCTTATAGTTTATAAGCTAGGTGATTTTCCTACTATACTAGAGTAGTTCTAAGCGCTCTCATTAGGTTATACTTATTTCTAAGCTGGGGTCTCCTGTGCTTGAGCTCTTGGTCTTAGCATCTAAGCACTAGGTGAGTTACCATCTCTAAGGCTCTCCTATAGCAGCGAAGCAGTATAAATTCAGCTGCACTAGCGGCCCAGCCTATTGTAAGCAATCAGTATAGAATTACATGAACGTTTCTAAGGCGTTGCGAAAGTTATTAGCCGGATATCATTTATCGTCGGGGTCCTAACTACGCTATGAAGCCTAGTATCAGAACTTGCTATAAATATATATAGCTCGCTAGGATCTTTTCGGCCTCTCATTCTTCCTTTCTAATAAATATCTTCGCTAGGTAGGTTTTCTGCAACCTAACCAGAGAGCGGGTTATTCGAGGATCGTCGTCGCCGATCAGCTTTAAACTTAGCTGTGATTTTTCTCTGTAGTTAGTAGTAAAGGATCTGGCAGGCCTTAGGGCATAGCAGTGTAGGACTAATAATAATAATAATATAAACCTAGCTAATCCTTACTAGGATTCCGGAATGTCAAATTCGTAGGCCTTTATAGCAGTCTTCTCTAGAATCTTATAGTATTGCTAGATAACTGGAAATAACAACTTGTCGCTTCGTCGGCTAGTCAGTTCTACATTTGACAATAACCACGTAGTTATCAACGTCGAAGTCTAGCTTATAGCAATATCAATTCGCTTATACCACTTATTTCTCCTAGGCCTTCGCGTTATCTGATAGGTATTTTCTATATAGCTATCTAGAGATAGCTATAGTGAGCTTTGCAGATAATACCAACCTGCTGGCCTTTAGCCGAGGGCCCCAGGCCAACTGCTGATAACTAGAAGAGGCCTGATGTCAGGAAGTGGAGCCCATTCCTCAGGAGTGCCAAGCTAGAAGTGGGACTCTGAATATAAGAGCATTACAGCATTCTAGCACCTTCTGCGGCTAGGTGGTCATTTCGTCAACAGGGAAAAATAAAAGGGCGGAGGAGTAAGGCCTTAAAGGAGGAGGAGGATAGAATTCAATGTGACCGTTTTCTCACTCCTATCCTGCGAACCTACATATATATAGCTTGTGTCACGGGTGGGACAAGCTGATAGTCCAATGGCAGTTGTATTTGGGCTAAGCTATAGTCTGGGCTCTATTCCGTCAGGTACGGGCAGGCTTGATTGTCAAGACGTACCTCAAGGAGCTACGAACAGAACTCGCGCAGCGGAGGTGCAGGATCTTCAACCCACAGAGGCCCGTGCTTCCCACACGCCGGGCCCCACCCATGGGTTCTGGCAGGCGCGGCGCAATTGCCGTGACAGCTTGTGCCTTGCTTTTACCCCTTCACTTCAGCTCTATATATCAAGGAGCTCCAAAGCGCTAATACTTAGAAGACCTGCCTGTAGTGGGCTGAGTCTAGAGAGAAGGTCTTTGCTAGGGAAAGAGCGAGCTAATCCACTTCAATAAAGGCCGAAGGCAATAGCCAAACCTAGTCAACTTGGCCTACCTATAGAGCTAAGGTTTCGACGCTATATAGCCTATACATTCTAGCTACTTCCTTGGAGTCTAGCTAGATTAGAAGCTAGATTGGAAGGCCTACTAGGAAGCTGTCGAACGAAAGCTGAAAACATAAGACTTCGCACTATCCAGAATAGCTGCCAAGACCTAGTGACAGAGTCCATAGGAGAGACCCTCTAAGGCTCTGAGAGAGAGAGAGAGTACTTAAACAAGTGGTTGCGCAGCAATTCAATGATCATTGCATTAGCAGATCTTTTGGTCTAGTTGGCACGGGAGTTTACTGCGCAGCCTCCGATACTGTCACGGGTGGGCGCAACTGACCACTGCGTAACACCCTCAAAAGAGGGACCGTGGTTCGAACTGTCCAGTCGAACCAGGAGTTGCGCACATGAACCTCGCACTGTCACGACCCGTGACAGATACCTAGGGCTCACCTCTCGCTAAGGCCCGGGAGGTCTATACTAAATTCATTCGCAGTGCTCTAGCTATAGAGCTTCAAGCTTCTACTGGCCTACTACTATCGGGGGTCAGCTATAGAGTAATCCAAAAGACCTCTGGAAGGCCTAGAATAGGAGTCTATAGATAGTAGCCGGGGCCTATAAGGCCACTCTAACCCAACACCTTGAGGCTGAGATGTAGATTCCTCTATTAGACTGTCACAAGTGAACTAATGAGAGCCAACAGCGGCGGCTTACTTGCAGAAGCCAGTGGGGAACGTAGGACGTCCCGAGCTAATCACTTAGGACCAATCGGAACGAGCCCTGGAGGTGCTCCAAAGAGCTCTCAGGAGCATGAGAGAGCACTAGTGCAAGGCCAATCAGAGGACGCTCTAAGAGGATTTCGAGAGCACCGTAGAGCATTTGCTCTAGGTGGCTCTAGAGAGCACGAGAGAGCAACTAAAAGTATCTTATGACGGGCACCACCCAAGGTCTGGTCAGCTCGCACATACAAGATCGATATTGTTACAACGAGAGCAAGAGCTAGATGACAGGAATGGGCGTGCAACCAGACCTTGAGTACTGGAGCAGAGGCCTATGCGTAAGCATGACCATAGACGTATGATCAGACCCCATGACGTATGCATAACCGCAAGCATATGACATAACCATGAGAACAGGAACGGGAAATCCCGTGACACTCCTCTTCTAAGCTACTGATCTCCTAGCCTGCTAGTTGAGGAGGCCTGCAATAGAATCTGCAATCGCTTCTAAGGACGCAATGAGCTAGAGGGCCAGCGCAACCTCTAGCAATAGAGGAAGCTATAGAGACTATTGCAGCCTGCAAAGTGTAACGAATTTCAAGCCCCAACTTCTAAAAGGATCTCCTAAAAATTATACTTGACAACGAGGTGAATTATGGTGAAGCTAAAGGGTTTACAACAAGCAATGTCCAAGGGTACTGACAATCTTGCACTTGAGTTGCTTATTGGAGAACTCCCAGAATCCTCCAGGACGAGTGACTATATACTGACAAATTCTTCGAGTGCTCGCAGTGCTCGCAGTGCTATGCCTTTGATCGCTCCGAGCCCTTGCATGCTGCAATGTGCTCGTCTGTCTTGGCGTTATAGCACTCTAGCTCCATCCTGACTGGTCTGCCTTGCTTCCTTAAGTGATTGGCTCGGGCGTTCCTTGCGCTCCGCATATGTAACGGTCCCAGGAGTATATTGCAACTAGCTGGTGACGACTCTACGAGTTTGTCTCGAATGGAGAGAGAAGAAGAAAAGAGTGAAAGACTATGCAAGATATCTGCCGTCTTATACCTCCACATCCTTGGCCTGTGCGCCGATATCGAACAAGATAGAAGTCCACCGAATCTCGAGTCTTGGCCGAGAGTTTGCCGAGGCCTTTATGGGCTCAGCCCGTTACACATATGGCCTTCTGGCATGCGGCCTGTTGTTAGTTAATTCGTGATACAGAGCTTAAGGCAAGGACTCTACAGAGGTTCTCAATAAGACCTGGAAGGCTATAGACCTTAAGGATTTCTTCTTTTAGGCTAAGGTCTCTCGAATACCTACCCCCTACTGCAAATGCGGCAAAGGCTAGGAAAGAGTGGAATACTTAGTTATATAGCGCCGCTAATCACTGAAGCTAAGGACCTAGCTAGCTATAGAAATATGCTCACAGAGAAATCTATATAGAGCTCTCGACGAGTAGGAAAACAAAGAAAAAGGTTTATAAGGCGAGTAATTAAATAGCTACTATATTCTAGGAGGCTCCTAGAGCATAAGCTAGCTGTACAGCTGGAACTAGGCTAATTCGATGGCCTAGTTAGCTATCTACGCCTTTCTTATCGCTATAGTAAGTAGATTCAGGACTTTAGACTAGTATAAGGTAGACAGAGATTTTTAGTCTAGCCTTATAGGCATAATTTTCCTTTATAATTAGTGGTAGAGGGTCCAGCGAGCCATAGAGCATAGCAGTATAATAATAATAATAATAATAATAATAATAATAATAATAATAATAATAATAATAATAATAATAATAATAATAATCCGACCGGGAGGCCACCCTTCACTTCGACGGTCAGGCAGCTCGACCGACGGCGATACGAGCGGGGGTCCCCCAGGGCTCTCCTCTATCCCCAGTCCTCTTCATTCTCTACATCGCCTCCTTGTACAAGCAGCTGAAAGAGGAACACCCCCATCTGGCGATAGCGGGGTTTGCGGACGATACCAACCTCTTGGTCTTTGGTCGGGAGCCGGAGGCTAACGTTCGACAGCTGGAGGCAGTGTGGGAGACGTGCCTGCAGTGGGCAGAAACCCGGGGAATGTCCTTTGGCCCGGAAAAGAGCGAGCTGATTCACTTCAACAGAGGGCGCAAACAGTGGACTGACCATTTGGAACTTGCTCAGCCGGGGGGAGGCACCAGCCCGGTGAGGCCGATGGCATCGGCCAGATTTCTAGGGGTCTGGCTGGACTGGAAACTCAACTGGAAGGCCCACCTGGGAGAGGTAGAGCGGAAGCTGAAAACACAGAGCTACGCTTTGTCAAGGATTACGGCAAAAACGTGGGGCCTAGGGCTGGCCAAAGCACGAGAGGTATACTCAAAGTGCATCCGGTCAGCGCTAGCGTACGGCGCA